GAGGAGGAGGAGGAGGAGGAGGAGGTAAGCTGTAAGTACTTTCGGTATCGGGCAGGTCACGCACTGCGGTGACGTCCTGAATGGGAACCGTCCCCACGTAGCGATACGAGAAATCGCCCTGGGCATGCCAAAGCACACGACACACACGACACACACGCAGCGAGCGAGATCGGGATCGCCACGCATTCCACGGGTATCAAGGAAGGTGAGTGAGGACTCACAAGGCGAGGGGGCGTGAGGGAAGGGGAGGATGGCACCTGCAGCTGCGAGAGGAGGTTCGATATTTTCTTGGAGTAGATGAGGAGGTTGTTGAAGAGGAAGAAGTGGTGCTCCTCGGGCTTGCGGTCACCACCCTGGAAAATGTGGAGCGGGCCTTCGCGCACGTATCGCCTGTGCCGATCCACCAGCGGGTTCAGCGGTTGCTGCACCAGCCACCACCAGCCACCACCAATACATGCATAGGTGCATCGAGAGAGAGAGAGAGAGAGAGAGAGAGAGAGAGAGCGAGCGAGAGAGAGAGAAGGGCAGGTGAGATAGTGGAAATGGTGGATGGTGCAGAGGGAGGGAGGGAGAAGGACGAGGGCGCACCTCGTAACCTTGCAGCTTGTTTTTCACGATGAGGACCTTGACGAGGCGATCCGAGATCTCCATGCTCTGCTCCACCGACGTCTGGAGCATCTGCAGGCTCTGGATGGCCTGCGCGATGACACGTACATATATTCGGGCAAGCGTGGCGGAGGGAGGAGGCAACAGGACGTACTGGTAAGTACGCGTAGAAAAAAAAAAAAAAAAAAAACAACAACAACAACGTTCAAGCGATGATTTATGGGGGGGGTATTGGGGGGGGGGTTTACATCGGTGAGCGGAGCGTAGTCCGGGTCCGATGGGTTGGTCAGGTTGAGCAGCCTCTGTGTGCGATGCAGCAGCAGCAGCAGCAGCCGTGGTTAATGACCGGACCACGTGGGTGGATGGGGTGGGGGGGGGGCTTGGGGGTTGGCAGTAGCTATCGTGGAGATGGCGGCCGTTATTGGATTTGGGCGGAGGGGAGGGGCAACGCGGCGCCGTACCTTGAGGTACTGCTCGTAGCGCAGGACGCGACCTGCCGGCAGCGAGAGCAGAACTTGAAGGGGCGCCTCGTCCTTCTCCTCCGATGACTGCACCAGCCGCCACCACCAGCCACCGGTAATATGACGCGCACATTTTGTGTTAAAGAGAGATGTAGAGATGTAGAGAGAGAGAGAGAAGGAGTGGTGTACCTTGAGAAAGTTGCGCACGGTGCTGGACTGGTTCTTGGAGCGTTCGAGAGCATCTTCGCGGGTGCTGCTGCTCATGGCAAACTGGGGGTAGAGCTCCAGCTCCTGGGCCTGGCCGTTGAAGTTGCGCACGCACGCACGCACGCACGCATGCACCACCGGACGAGGATCGTGAGATTCCATGAATTCCTCCGGCGTAGCGCAACGTAAGGCGCCCAGGCTAATTTGGGGAGGTTTGGGGGAGGGAGGGCCGCCAACCCGCGCTGCAAACACGGCCCCGAGGCTGGTGTGGGGGTAGACCAGCAGCTGCTCCTCGAGACCAGCGCGCAGGGTCGTATGCACATCTCGTAGCCGCTCCACGTCTTCGCGCGCACACACACAACACACACACACACAACACGACAAGACACGACGCGGCACCACACACGACCACCGAGCACGCTTCAGCCCAGGTGCGCGCACACGCAGGCACGCAAGGGAAGAGATACCGGCAAAAATGGCGGTGATGTCGGCGCGCTCGATTTTTTTGGAGAGGGTATCGTCCTGCAGGAGCACGTCTCGGTAGTTCTGCGCGCGAGCAACCACCACAAGCAGCCACCAGCAGCCGCCAGCCGCCGCCAGCCGCCAGCCGCCACGATCAACACAGTGCACTGGAGCGGAAGAACTAAACGAGAGAGCAGGCATTGGCGGAAGGAGGGAAGGAGGATACTTCGATGAGCGAGGTGAGCAGGCCACAGTAGAGCTTTTCATCCTCGACGAGCTGCATCAGCGCTATCTTGCGCCTGTCGGTCTCTGCGCGCACGCACGCACGCGCGCGCACACACACACACACGCACAACACACACAACACACCGAGAGAAGAAGACCGCGACGGGTCAGTGCCCGGTGATCGGATCTGGATGTCCACCACCCCCGGCGCCCCCCCCCGAAGGCCAGTTCGATGGGTGTCTCCATCGAAGAGCGGGGGACGTACCTTTTTCCCAGAGGGATTCGTCGATGTCCTTGAACTCCAGGGTGTCCGCTGACACGCGCACCCGTTCCGTGACCTTGCCTCCTCCGCTCCGGAAGTCGTGCTTGCGTCCGCCCACCACCGATTCGTAGTCCTGCCCCCACCCGCCCACCCGCCCGAACCGATCGAAATTCAAACGTGCCGTTAGCCAGCCACCACAGGAAGGGGGACACCACCAGCCACCACCAGCCACCACCAGCCACCACGACGACGACGCATCTGTCACCGCACACGGGGAGGGGAGGGAGGGTATTGGGTGGGGGGGCAGCAGTACCTTGACCGCGGACTGGAGCTGAACCACGCGCTTGTAGCCCAGCGAAAAGAATCTCTTGTACTCTTCAAAGTAGGCGCAGAGCTGCTCCAGGGTCTCGATCTGGTTCTTGGCGATCACGTCCGCGAGCCTGGTGCAGCACCGTGTGTCGTGTGTTGCACCGCGCGCCCGCAATTGGTTGGGTGAGTCGTGTCATGTCCTGCTGTGCGGAGGTGGATCCAAGCGGAGGTGTGTTTTGGCTGAGCTGGGGGTGGGTGGGGGGCTGGCGCGTACGTTTTGGTGGTCTCCTGTGCCTGGTCCTTGAACACGGCCTCCAGTGCGTCGCGCTCCTTTTCCGCCTGATGGCCGCCACGTGCCAACGCAAGGCACGTGTGAGCGAAGGATCCAAAGGGGGGGAGGAGGGGAGGTGCAGCTGGCGACGTGTAGTGGGAGTACGAGTAGGACGAGTAGTCGCATGTGGTTACGTTGCACGTACCTCGACCACCTTGACCAGGTTGAGCTTGCCCTTGGCGTTGAGCTGGTGCACCTTGGAGATCGCGCTGTCGTAGGTGTTGCGCGCCTTCTCGCACTTTTTGAAGGACATCTGACGAGCCCCCATCCCGCACCCACCCCCCACGACCACCACCCATCCGCAGCAGCAGCAGCAGCAGTTAGGTGGGCGCGGGGCCGAGAGTGCAGCGGGGATGTGGTGGTGGCTGGTGGTGGCTGGTGGTGGTGGTGGCTGGTGGTGGGAACCTTGGCATCGCGCAGGTCCCCGCGCACGAATTCGTCCATGGGGATGGTGAACTTGGAATGGATGGCCCGGTCCTGTTTTTGCGCACACACATGCATGTACACGACCACCCGGGAAGAGGAGGAGCGAACACACACGACATACGACACGACACGACCAACGACACGACCAACGACACGACACACAGAGAAGAGGGGAGGAGTGAGGATTTGCCCGATCTATATTATTCGACCAATGCATGCGGTGGGGCTCTCGAGAGTGCAGCAGGTGTGCCTGGAGGAGGTGGTTGGTGGGGAGGAGGGGTCGTGCCATTTCCTCGCGCAGCGTTTGCACGTAGAGCGTGAGGTCCTTGAGCTCGGAGAGGGCGCGCACTGCCGAGGGCAATCATGTAACGTGAGGAAAGGGGACCGAGACATGAACAACACAATACCCCCCCCCCGAGGGGGCGAGGGCCGTCGTGGTGAGCCACACGTGGTTGTGCCATAATAGAGAGGTGGTGGTCACTGGTGGCTGGTGGCGAGGAGGAATGAGGGAGGAGGAGGAATGGGGATTGTTGGGGGGGGGTACCGAGCACTTCGTCGTGGCCCTCACGTATGCGCAAGCGCTGTGAGTAGATGCCCAGCGCCTCGGCCAGCTGCTTCTGCGACTCCACCGACGCTGCAGAACAGGACCACGAAGAGACGCGCCACCATGTGTGAGGAGGGAGGCGCGCCTGGCTAGAGGAGGGAGGGCACGGCAATACATTGTACACGATAGGCATGTACGACATAAATAAATAAAATAAAATAAAATAAATAGAAAAGAGGGGGCACGCACCCGCCGTCTGCTGTGAGTCCCGCACGGAGCGCTGGTGGATGACCTTCAGGCATTCCGTTGAATCGGCCACTTTCTGGGGGGGGAGGCAACAAGAACCAGCAGATGGGAAGAGGAGAAGGGGAGGTGGTGGGAAGGTGTGCCGCGTTGGCTCATGCCACGAGGGAGGGGCGGTACCGTGGCAAGATTGGCGAGGCCTTCGGGAAGGCGAGAGTGGTGGTCGCCCCCGCCCGAGGCCGAACTGTTGCCGCCGGCACCAGAGGCAGCGCTGCCGCTCGAGCCGAGGTGGCCGGCCGGCGGAGGGACCCCACTCGCATTGGCGCTGTCACCACGAAGGGTGGCGAGCCGTCCGAACTTGAATTTGTTCATCAATTCACAACACAGTACAACACCCGCACCCGCCCACGCCTGACTTGTTTTTTTAATATAAATTGCGATTTTTTTGTGTTGGAAAACGGAAATTGCAAGCGGACAAAAAAAGCCCACAAAGCCGCGCTAGAAGGGCTTGAACTTGCGCTGTGCGCGCAGCTTTGCGATCTTCTTCTTGTCCTCCTCGAAGCGCAATCGGAGGTCCGCCAGCTCTGTTGTCGGGTGGTGGTGGTGGTGGCGGCGGCGGCGAGGGTGAGCAAAGGTGAGCAGACACGTGGTTGGGGAGGGGCAGGGGCGAGGGCACGTCGTACGCTTTCGTCGGTTTTCGCGGCGCTGGAAGCGGTAAAAGTCGAGGAGCACCTTGTCCGACTCCTGTCGCTGGGCCTTGGCGGCAAGGGCGGGCGCTGCTTTGGCGCTGGCGATCGGGATGCCGCCGTCCGCCACCTTCTTCCTCCCCTTGCGGCGCACCGTGACGAACCCATCTGCGTCGGGCTTCCCGAGCGCCGCCTCCTCCTCCTTCTCCGCCTGGTGGTGGGTGGTGACCCGGGGTGAGTCGAGGTGCGTCATGTGCGTCATGTGAGGGCAAACGCACCAGCCTTTGCCTGCGGTCGAAGTCGGCCATGAAGGCATCCACTTCGGCCAGCACCCGCTGAGGGTCCGGGCGCGCCTCTTCGTACTCGAGGAGCCACTCTGCACGACGTAGCAATTGCCGAACCGGCGCGCGTGGCTCGTTAGCAACAATAGCAGATGATTTCATCCAGCACACGGACACGCGCGCACGCATATATATATACATAAACACATATACAAAGCACGCGCACAATGCACGACAACCGGGAGGGCGTACTGTTCACCCCGCGCCCAGAGCCGGCTGCCTCTCCAGCGGCGTCGCTTTCGGCGGCGGCAGCCGAGTTCCAATCGTAGCGCAGCGCGGCGCGTAGCCCGTCAGGGCTGGAGAAGGTGACGTGGGCAAACACGAGCGGACGGGCTTCGGCGTCATCGGCCTGGGCCACCTCCAGCCACGGCCCTCGCCCGCCCTGGTGCGCTGGCCGCTGCTGCTGCTGCTGCTGCTGTCGGTGGCTGTCCGCCGGCGGCACGCGGCGCATGGACTTGAGCGTCACGCTTTCCACGGGGTGGCCACACCTTTCGAAGAGCCGGCGCAGCTGGTCCTCAACGGCGCCCGCATCGGCGTCGTCGCCCACGTTGGCCACGAACAGGGTCGACGTGGCGCCGGCCTCTTCGGTCGGGTGGTGCCCGCGCGGGTCGTCGTCCACCTGCGAGCCGGCGCGGTGCTGCCGGATGTAGAGGTACCTCCTCCTCGCCTTCTCCTCCTCCTCTTCATTGGCCGCGAGGGCGTGGGGCGGCTTGAGCGGCAGCGGCACCAACTGAAAGCCGCCCGCCCCCGACGCCGCCCAAGGGAGGCTCGCCTCCTGCTGCTGCTGCTGCTTCGTGCCCAGCCCGTTGTCGCCGGCGGTGGCCTTCTTCATCTTCTTTGCCTTTTGCTTCTCCGGCGTCCCTTTCTTGCTGCTGCTGTGTTGAGTCGTGCCCTCTCCGCCGGAGGAGGCCGTCCGCTTCCTCTTCAACTCGCTGCTGCTGCTCATCTCTTTGGGGTCCGGTGTGCTGTTCTGGCTTTTCTCTCCGCTCCGGCCAGCATTAGGTTTCCTCCGCCCATTTTTTCTCTTCTCCAAGAGAAATTGAAAAGGAAAATAGTTTTAATCCCTTTTTTTGTAATTCAAGATCCGTGGCCAAGGATGCAGAACCAAGCACGACGTGCCGTTGTGGGCAGCGCAAGAACGACGCCACTTCTCGCTGGTCCTCTTCCTCTGCAGCGGTTGCACCTTCGTTGGGTAATTGACCCCCTCCCATTCTCCCAAATTCACCCCCGGAGATGCCGGTTCAATGGCGACTCTGCTCTACCACTACGGGTCCCTTCCGTTGTCGAACAGTAGGAGCATTTTCCTTTCGCCCTGCGACGCAGTCCTGGACCTTTGCTGGTCCTCCCACCCACAGCAGGCTAACCTTCAATGGTGTGGCAGCGGCACGGAGGGGGCTTGGTGTCGGAGCAGCCGATGGTGGTGCGCACGGAGGCGCTGAGCGGGGTGCAGCTGTTGGGCGGCGGCGCCGTCTTTGCGCACCGGCTGCAGGCGCCGGCGCACGCGCCGCCCTCGCGGCCCGGGTTGGGGCAGCTGGCCGAGGCCGAGGTGGCGGAGATGCGGCGGCTGAGGGCCGAAGACCCCTCGCGCTGGACGCAGCGGCGGCTCGCCGAGCGATTCGGGGTCAACGCGCTCCTGGTGGCTCGCCTGGCGCCGGCTCCGGCGGAGCGTTTCGCGCAGCTCGAGGAGGAGGAGCAGCTGCGGGAGCTTCGCCGCGTGTTTGGCGACCGGGGCGGAGCCAGCGCCCGGCCGGCGCACAAGTCCTACTCGGAGAGCGACCAGCAGCGGATCAACCGGGCCAAGTTCCAGCAGCAGGTGGCCGAGCAGGGAGGCCTCAAGGCCACGCTCAAGCAACACAACGCCGTGCCCAAGCGCCGTCGCCAGGGCGTGCGGCCGCCCTTCATGCAGGTGGCCGACCAGGAGGTCGTCGTCGACACGGCCGAGTTCCAGCCCGGCGTCGTGGGTCCCGAGGTGGACTTTGCCAAGGCCACCCGTCCCCTCACCGTCCGCTCCCCCACGCCCGACGAGGCCGCCGCCATCCGCCGCCACCTCGCCGAGACCGCCGCCAAGGCCCCTCTCGACCCCGCCGCCGCCAAGGCCGCCGCCGACGAGTTCGAGCGCGACCTGCAGGCCGTCCGAAGCGAGGCCAAGGCACAGGGCATCCAACGCAAGTACCGCCGCAAGTGAGATGCTTTCCCCACACCCCCACACCATCCCCCCCCCCCACAAACACCAAACAAACAAAACGGGTTGCCGCCAACTGCTGTTGATGATGGTGAGGGAACGGCACAACCCGTGATGGGGCACTACATCATAACAACAACAACCACAACAACAACAACAACAAAAAGCCGTGGTGATGATGCTGGTGGCGGTGGAGAGGCTGTCCTCAGTTGGTGGCCTCCTCCTTGTAGCCGCCGAAGATGGCGGTGGGTCCGTTGGGGAACTGGGGGCGCTTGCCGCTGGCCACGTAGGCGTGGATCTTGGCGTGGGAGCCCACGGTCTCGTGGTGCTTCTTGAGCAGCGGGAAGGGCTCCAGGAACTGGTCGGTGGCCAGCACGATGTGGTTCTCCACCACGTCGAACAGGTACAGATCCGCAGCCGTCAACTGTTGTACCACCACCACCACATACCACCACGAGTGGTGAGAGCGAGGGACTTGCAAGCCTCCCACGACGGCGGCCAAGAAAGCGACAACGGAGGAGAGTGCGCACCGAGCTGCCGACGAGGAAGCCGGTGCCGTTGCTCTTGAGGATGTTCTCGATCTTGCCAAACTCGACGGGCATGGTCTCGGCCACGTAGGGGCCGCGCAGCTTCTCAAAGTCGGGCGAGTAGCACACCTTGGCGAACTTCTGCCTGAGGTCCTCCGAGGCGTCGATGAGCATCTCCACGCGCGCCTGGTTCAGCTCGCCCTCCCCGGCCAGCCCTGATAATAGAAAATGTATTTACGCAGATGAAGAGGAGGAGGTCACGAAATCAGAGTCGTGCCGCCCCTTCGCTCTTCGTCCCCCCTCTAAAGAGAGAGAAGGAGAAGGGGGAGAAAAATGGCCGAAAGAAGAGGAGAGGAGAGGAGAAGGGTACCGGCCTTGCGGGCCAGGTAGCGGAAGATGGTGAGGCTCTGGAAGAGGTCGAACGTGGAGCCGTCCTCGAAGGTGATGGTCGCCTTGGGCAGCTGCTCGAACAGGTACCCGCCGGACTTCTTGTGGGCGCCCCACTCCTTCGGCCTCAGCCTGGTTGTGCCACCGACCACCGACCACGTAACTAAGCGCTTGCCCCTCTCCAACAACAACAACAACAACAACAACACAAAGACACCGCAGCGTGGTGCAACGTGGTGGTCATAGTACCTGGTCTCCTCGTAGGGAATACCGCCAGCCTCGAGCACAAGACGCAGCTTCTCGACAACGCCGCGCAGGGGGAAGTACGTGAGGTGCACCTTCTGAATCTGCGACATGGTGGCGGTGGAGTGGAGCGAGTAGAGTAGACGAAAAGAAAGCAAACTACTCCCCCCCCCGACAGTTTTAATTGTGCTATTAATCACCGCATTCGCTGAACGATGAGGTCGGATTGTTTTGGGGCCCCGGGGTTCAAAAGAACAGGCAGACCACCTTTCTTTTTTTGTTTTTATTTTGCAGTTTTCCTTTCGTTTATCCTTCCGAGCCAGCCATGGAGGCGGGCCAGGAAGACGAAGGGAGTGATCTCCTGGACTTTGCGGCCACCTTTGCCCAGTTGTGCGAGGATGAGCGCACCGTGCCATTGTACGCCTCCTCCTCTCGCCTGCTGCTGCCGCTGCTGCTCCTGCCGCCGGTGGCGGTGGTGGTCGGGTTGTTGCTGTGCCGCACGGCTCACCCGTCGACGGGTACCTGGGCGGGCAGGGGCGAGGCTGGTGAGGAGGTGGTGGTGCGGCAGGACACGGGCGTGGGCCAAGGCGGGGCTGTCTGGGAGTCGGCCCTGGCCCTGATCGCCTGGTGGCGCCACGCCCACGCGGAGCACCCCCTCGGCCAGCTCCTCCCACAGATGTCCGGCGGCGGCGGCGGGTCTGCCAGCTCGGTGCAGGACTCCACAGACGGAGCTGCCGCCGTCTCTACGGTGGTGGAGCTGGGCGCCGGCACCGGCGTGGCAGGGCTCGCCATCGGCGCCCTGCTGGGCCGATCGCGGATCGTGCTCACCGACCTGCCGCCCTACCTACCCCTCCTCCGCCACAACGCAGCTCTCAACGCGCCGCTCTTGCGTACAACCCCCGCGCGAGTGCATCGTGTCGTGTTGTTGGTCGTGTCGTAGGTTGCTGATACCAGGTTTGGCATGGGTGCAGGATCGCGAGGGAGCAGTGTCGAAGTGGCGAGCTATCGCTGGGGAGAGGCGCCTCCGCTTCTGTCCACCACCACCGCCGCCGCCGCCGCCGCCAGCAGCAGCAGCAGCGGGGGTACATACGCCCTCGGTCATGTGGGGGCCAGGCACTTCGCACACGCATGACACGATGGCAACCCAGCCGCCTGACCAGGAGGGCGCGGAGCAGGAGGACCCGTCGGGTCCTACGATCTGATCGTGGGCTCCGACCTGGTCTACGACGCGGCCAAGCCCGGTTTCGACTGGCGGCGCAACCACCAGGAGCTGGTGGCCTCCTTCAACCTGTTGGCCCACCCAGCAGCCAGCCAGCGGGCGACCACGGTGGTGTTGGCCGTCGAGCGGAGGCGCGAGTCGGGTCACTTCTACGACGCCTTCTTTGGCCTCCTTAGGGAGTGCGGGTGGCATTGTGACGTGCGGCCCTTTTCGATCGACGAGCGCACGGACACCCTCATCCTCATCATCCGTCGTGCGCCGGCTGCCTCTGCGGAATGACACGACTTCTCCCCCTGTACGGGGAAAACTTTTTTTTTAATAAATTTGCAACATGAAAAGGGTGTGCGCACGCAGACGAGCTCCCAACGGCAACCGAACACCGTAGGGAACAGATAAGCGTGCGTGGCTGGCTCTGGGTCAAGGGGATGACCGCCCGCACAAGAGCACCCGCCACCCAAAACCAGTGAAGGCGACGGGGCAAGCACGGACGGCTTTCATTCGAGACCGCAGTTAGGTACCATTCCAGCCCCGGCCTCCGCCACTTGTAGCGCCCGCTCACCCCGAATATTATGGGCACCGACCGAACCGAAAAATTATTCCGTTCAGCAACACACAGCGGTTTTTTGTTCTGGGGTGTGCGGCTGGTGGCCGCGTCTGAGAGAGTGTGTACACACACACGAATTCTACGCAGACACGATCAGGCGGCGTCTTCGTTGACGTCGTTGGACGAGGAGATGTCGGGAATGGGCGCCTCCTGCAGCCACAGGTCGTGGATGAAGCTGTAGAGCTCCGACGAGACGGACACCTTGTACGGGGTCGGATTGAGCAGGCGCAGGTGGTCCGGACGCATCCTGTCGGGGCCGCGCGCGCGCGGGGAAGGCGGATGGATGGGTGGGGGCAAAGTGGTGGTGGGTGGTGGGTGGTGGGTGGTGGGTGGTGGGTGGTGGGTGGTGGGTGGTGGGTGGTGGGTGGTGGGTGGTGGTCACAGCCGTTAGCCGGGGCCTGGGTCCCGCGTGCCGCCATCACCCAAGGCCGAGAGAGGGGGGAGGTGCATGGGCATGGGCATGGACATAGGGGGTGTGATGGGGTGGTGGGCCGGGACACACGTACTCCTGCAGCTGGCCGGTGACGTAGGCCTTGAGGGACTCCATGGTGGGGAAATCGGTGACGAGCTTGCCCTGGTCCCACACCAGCTTGAGGAGCGGCATCACCTTGGTGGGCGTCACGTACGCACGCCTCTTCTCGTCGAACGGGTGCCTGCACAGCAGACGCTTCCCCTCCTGCACGCACGCCACACGATCATCACCACGTACCGTACCGTAACCGTACCACACCACCCACAGCCGTCAGAAATTAACCCAACCAACCCAACCAATCCAACCAAGTAGGCTACCGCCGCTGCCGCCGGCCAGACCACCGTGTTTATGGGTTGGGCTGGGAGGGGGAGGGCACCTGGGGCGCCTCGCAGTGGGAGGGGACGAGGATGTCGGCCACGGGCGAGCCCTGGTTACCGTACAAACGGAAGGCCTCCTTCCGGCCCGGCAGCGTCACCTGGTGCGCGCACAGCGAACCCCCCCCCCACGGAGGTGCGTTGAGAGGGACGCGCTATAGTCTGGGCGAGGGCGAGGGCGGGGCAGGGGGAGGGAGAGAGCAGAGCAGAGGGGGGGGGGGCGCACCTTGGAGACTTCCTGGGAGAGCTTGATGCGGGGCATGCCGTGTATCTCGACGAGCTTGTAGACGCACCCGAGGGCGGGCTGGGCCTGGCAGGTGACCAGGTTGGTGCCGATGCCGAACACGTCGATCTCGTGGCCCTGCTGGTTGAGCGAGACGAGGGTGTCCTCGTTGATGTCGTTGCTGGCCGTGATGCTGAACTGCCCAAAGTAGTCCAGCCCGACCCGCTTGCCCGCGCTGCGGAACATCTTGCGCGTCTGCTTGGACAGGTAGGCCAAGTCCCCCGAGTCGAGGCGCACCCCGACGGCGCGGTAGCCCAGCCGGTGGAGCGCGAGGGCCACGGCCAGGAAGTTGGGCACCCCCGACTTGAGCGTGTCGTAGGTATCCACCAGCGCCAGGTACCCGTTGGGGAACGCCCTGCCCCAGGAGGACACACACGACACACACGACACAGAAACACCGTAGCACACATCCCGTCAGTCGCCGGCGACGACCGGCTCGTCCCAATGAGGAGGGACTTACCGTGCGTAGGCGGTGAAGGCGGTGAGTTCGCCGGTGTTGGTGTCGGCGAAGCCCAGCTCCTCGCGGCAGCGGAGGGCAAGCTTGAGGAGATCTTCAGTCTCGCCCGTGGTCTTGTGCCGCAGGGTGGCATCGGGCAGGTCCTCCTCGCTCACGAACGACGTCACGAACGAATGCGCGTGGGTGCCTACACACACGCCACACGCCACACGCGTGACACGCCTATGAACATCGGTCACGCCTCGCCCGTCGGCGGTTGTGTGTCGTGTCGTGTCGTGTCGTGTCGTGTCGTGTCGTGTCGTGTCGTGTCGTGTCGTGTCGTGTCGTGTCGTGTCGTGTCGTGTGCGTGGCCAGGTACCCTTGACGGGGAGGCCGAAGAGGAGGCCGGCGAGCACGTTGCTGGTGCCGTCGCAGCCTCCGATGTAGGTGTAGCGCGAAGCCGAGATCGCTCCATCGGGGCCTGATGCGCATCAGGTCATGCCGCCGCCGCCGAGATGGAGGCCAGGCCAACGATCAGAAAGGAGAAAGGAGAAAGGAGGTGGGCGGGAGGGGGTGGTGGTGGTGGAAGGTCGAGGTCTGGGGGGCGTGTGTGGTGAAGGGGGGGGGAGGAGGATGCGTGGGCGTGCCTTGGGCGCGGCGGAGTCCGAATTCGAGGAGAACCTTGCCCGGCCCGGCCGCCAGGCGATGGCGAGCGGCGTTGGTGGCCACCAGCGACGGAAAGTTGACCAGCGTCTGTGTGGTGCCCATCACCCCCGGATAGACGCGCCGCCGTTTAGTCGCCGCCGCCGTACGAGCTGCACATGGTGGTGGTGGTGGTGGTGGGGGGGAAGCAGGGTATACCAGGAGGGTGGTCTCAAGCATCTGGGCGATGGCCATGGGTCCTTCCACGCGGATCATCGGAATGCGCGGGAAGCACACCGTACCCTCTACGCCGCCGCCGCCGCACCACCACCACCGCCACCACGGAGCCACATGAGTCGAGTGCGCGTGAGATGGGTGGCGGGGGCGGTGGTGGTACCGGGGAGCGAGTAGACCTTGATGCGGGAGCAATCGACGGTGGCCAGCCACTCGAAGAAGGCCGGATCGCAATCGGGCATGAGGCCACGCAGTTGCTCCAGCTGCCCCGCCTTCAGCCGGAACGAACTCACAAACCGGACCTGTGCCCATCATCACCGTCATTCATTCATTCATCCATCATTCATCCATCATCATCATCATCCACCACTATCCCCACCACCACGTGTGTCACGGCCGCGAGGGCTGTGCGCGATCGCTGGCGAGTAGGGCGCGGGAGATAGATGGACGCGGGGCACGCACCACTTCCTCGAGGCCCGCGTAGATGGTGAACTCACCGTGGAAGGGGTTCTTGCGGAAGAAGAGGTCGAACACGGCCGGCTGCTCGTGCGTGTTGTTGCGCCAGTAGGCGTACGCCATCGTCAGCTGGTAGAAGTCCGTCAGGAGCGGCGTCACGAACCCTGCTCACGCGCAGCCCCACCACCGCCGCCGCCGCCACGTGCACGCGGGCACCATTGGGGGGGGGGGGATCAGCGCTCTCCCCTCTCCTCCGCCTCCGTGTTTGGTGGTTGGTTGCTTGGTTTGGTTTGGTTGGGGGGGGGGGCAATGTACCGTCGAGGGGGCGGAACTGTTCGGTGCTGTCGGCGCCCTCGAGGGAGGCGGCGGCCAGCTGGCGGCGCTGCTCGTTGAGGGGGATGTACTCGAGGGTGTTCCTCCGCCGCAGCTCCCGACGCACACGCTTCGCGCTCGGTGCTGCTGCTGCTGCCTCTGCCTCTTCGGCAGCAGGCGGCACCTGCCTCTCAGGCGGCGGCGGCTGCTGCCCTTCGAGGCTCCCACCGGTGCTGCTGCCGCTGCCGGAGGTGCCGCCCTGGCCGTTGTCTTCGGGCTGCTGCTGCTCTGTCGCGCGTCGTTTGCGGGAGGTGGTGGGGGTGCCCACCAGCTTGGCCTCCGTGGCGTCCGTCCAATCTGTCTCCATCCCGAGTGCTCTCTGCTCCGCCACGACCAGATGCAGATTCGACAAAGCAGCGGTGGCGGTGCAACGGAAAAGCACCGACGCCCTTTGCGGGGGTGAACGAATTATTATTATTATTTTGGCATTTCCCCCCACGGAGGGAGGGTGGTGTAAAATGGTCACAATGTGGGGCAGCCGGTACTGTACACGGGGGGGGGGGTGAAAGCGCGGTGGCGAGGCTCCACCTGACATCATCAACTTGAGGTCGTCATCGCTGTCATTGTCGTCATCATCGATCGTTAGGTGGAGAGGAGGAGATGGTGGAGGGGCGGTTGGCCGGGGACGGGGCTGAGCTTGAGCACGACCACGCCCGTGGGAGCCACGGCCTTGGCCGTGTACGACTGGGTGTGGGGTCCCAGGTCGCGGTGTGCCCACAGATCGCGCAGCGCCATCGTCTTGGCCGGAGCGAAACCTGGTGCGCACCCCCCGGGCACCCCCGATGAGACAGGAGCTGCGACCTCGCAGGCGCCGTAGGCCGTACGTACCGAGGTCGGACCAGTTGAGCGTGATGTCGACGGGGTAGTCGACTTTGTTCCACAGCGCGACGGCGATGGCGCCGCCGACGAGGGGCTTGGCGTAGATGTCGCTGTCGATGCCCTGCAGCACGCGGCGGCCTTGCCGGCCCAGGGGGTCCTGGTCGATGGCGATGACCTCGGCGTTGGTGATGATGTCGAGCGTCTCGGTAGTCATGTGGCGCAGGTCGTTGCCCAGGATGAGGGGCGCGGCCATCATCGCCCACAGCGAGAAGTGCGACTTGGACTCCTCGTAGGTCATCTCCCCGACACCCACCTCCAGCATGTCCGGGTCGTTGAACGCGCCCGGCTTGGCGATGGTTGACAGATCGAGCAGGTCCCACGTCTCGATGTTGAAGGCCAGGTTCTACCCAACCCAACCCCAACCCCAACCCCAACCAGCATCATCACCGCCAGCACAACCGACGATGCGGTGGCGGTTTGGGAATCGATCAGCGCCAATGCAAGAGAGAGAGAGAGAGAGAGGGAGGGAGGGAGAGAGAACGAGACGGGCTACGGAGGAGGAAGCGGTACCATGGTCCACGACCACCAGTAGGGCTTGATGTCTGGAATTGGGATTGCGCGCGCGCGCATGCACGCACCACCACCACCCACCACCACCGCCGCCACCACATGGGAAAACGTTGTGGTGAGGAGGAGATAGAGTGAGAGTGAGGAGGGCGGGTAGGAATGCGTAGGCGGTACCCTTCCAGGTGCGCCACATGTTGCACACGGGCGGCGCCCAATCCCACGGCCGCTCCTCGTTGGTCCACGGGAAGATCCCGATGAGCTCGTCCGTATCACAGCTGTATGACCCACCAGCCTCTCCTTCCGTCAGCGGCTACGTTCACTACTCTCTGGCTGTGTGTGTGTGTTGTGTGTGTGTGTGTGTGTCGCGTGTTGCTAACCTGTAGACGATGGGCCTGCCGGTGGCATTGAGCGCCTTGGACCACTTGGGGTAGGACACGTTCTTCATCTCGACGGACGTGTTGCAGCAGTCCAGCTTCATGAAGTCCACCTCCCAGTCGGCAAACGTCTGCGCGTCCTGTGTGATCCCGACACGCCCCAGCACCGCCACCACCGCCGATGGTCAGTTCGCTGCTATCTCCGCTCTCTCTCTCTCCCCCCCCCCGCTCTCTCGGCGTTTGCCTCGCGGCGGCGCGTACCTCAAATTCGTGTCCCCAGCTGCCCTCGAAGCCGCTGCACGTGCTGTGGTCGGTACCCACGTCCACCGCGGCGCCCCGGCGTGTAAGTGTCCACGCACACACCGCACACGCACACGAACACAGGGCGGGGGGGGGTGGGCAGGGTACTATTGGCCGCTGCTGGTGTAGATGCCGAACTTCATGCCGAGGCTGTGGAGGTGCTGGCCCCAGCCGTGCATGCCGGACGGGAACTGCGTGGCGTTGTAGCGGAGGCGGCCGTTGGCGTCGCGTCCGTCCTCCCAGCAGTCGTCGATGTTGAAGTAGACGTAGCCCAGCTTGGTGAGGCCCGTCTTGACCATGATGTCGGCGATCTCCCGCAGGTCGCCCTCGTCATAGTCGCACGCCAGCGTGTTCCACGTGCTCCACCCCTTGGTCACCGTGGTCCACCGCCAAACCGGTCAGCCACCTCGCAGTGTGTGTGTGTGCGTGCGGGCCACTACCACCACCACCACCACCACCACCACCACCACCGCCAGCAGCAGCAGCGGTGCACCCACATTATTTGCATACCCCCCCCCCCGCGCCACACAAAAGCGCTGTGTGCCGGCGGCGGCAAGAGGAAGAGAGGTACCATGGGCGGCGTGAGAGCCACGCCATTGTCGAGAGCGTAGCAGGCGCTGCAGGCGACCGCGAGAAGGAAGAAGGCGGGCAACATGACAGGGCTTCTCCTACCACCACCACCACTCTGCATGCCGTGTTCTTTTTGTGTCGCTGGGTGTGTTTGTTGTTGCGCTTGGTGCCCCAGCGTGCCCGCCACATTTCGTTGGGTTCGCTCCTTTCCTAACTCCGCCTCGTCGACAATTTTTGGCGCATTCCGCGCATACTGCAGTAACTGGCCAGAAAATTGGCTCCACGAACGATGCGTCAACCACCACCAGCACTGCGGACGTCAATGGCGGCGGCAGCAAGCAACCCCGAACAAAGCGGAGGGCACAACATCTTCATGCGAGGCCGCGAAGATGCCCATCCGCTGGTGCTCGAATGGTGCCCCTTTCCCGCCACCCAACGTTTTCTTTCTTTTTCTGTTTTTAAATATAAAAAATATAATAAAAAACCAAACTAAAAACCTGAGCGTTTCTGTCTTACGTGCGGACCTTTGGCCCCCAAAGGTTGCGGAGCGCGTTCGAGGAAAGGGAGGGCACGCGGCTGCCCAAGCAGGAGGTCTACGACGCCTACGAGCGGTTCTGCCAGCGCAACGGGTTCGAGAGGACCAACACGGCCGCCCTCGGCCGTCTCATCAAGAAGGTAAAGCCTGCAGCAGCAGCAGCAGCACGTGACGGCGGCGACAGCGCTGTGGCGCACCTGATCGCCGAGGCTGACCATCGTGATGGTCGTGATGGATGTTGCGTCGTGGGCGGGCGGTGTTGCACCACAGGCGTTTCCGACGTCGCGCGGGCGACGGTGGGTGGAGCACGGCATCAACGTCATGTACTACGTCAACATCGCGCCCCGCTCCTCCATGGCCACCTCCGCCTCCCCATCGCAGCCTTTGCCCGCAGCCTCCGCAGCCTCCGCAGCCTCCGCATGGGGCAGCAGCCCCGCCTTGTCGGCATCGCCGCCCAAATCGTCGCCCATGCCCGCACCCTCAGCCCGTGCTTCCACGGCACCCACCACCACCACCACGACGCCCACCACCAAGATCACGACACACGGCGCCGAAGAGGGCGGCCTGGATGGCAACAAGAGGAAGAGGAACGCGTCGTCATCGCCCTTCTCCTCGCCGCACGCCTTTGCGCACCCCGAGTTCGTGCCGCCGCTGCCGCCGCCGCCGCCCAACCTGTGGGGCCACGACCTGCCACAGATGATCGCCCACCACCAACGCCTCGAGCGCCAGGGACCCGCCGCCGCCCACGCCCCTCACGAGCCCGGCGGGGCATTCGATCGTGCGAATCTCCCGGCCCGTCTGTACGCCGGCAGCAGCAGCAGCCACCCGCCACCGGCCCCGCGGCCTACGAGCCTGGTGGCGCCACTGCCCACCACCACCACCACCACCACCAGCAGCAGCAGCAGCACCGCCGCCATGATGATGATGCCATCGTCGTGCCATCGCATCCTGCCCGCCCCGTACCATGCGCAGCAGCAGCAGCTCACACTCAACCTACACCACCCGCCGCCCCCCATGCACTCCGTCGTCACCTACGGCCCCAGCCACCATGCCCACCACCACCACCACCACCATCAGCAGCAGCAGCACCCCTACGGCCACCACCACCACCACGAGTACCACCACGAGTACCACCACGAGTACCAGCAGCAGCAGCAGCAGCAGCAGCAGCAGCATCGGCACCAGTCCCCATGGTTCTCCTCATCGCCCGACAGCGACAGCGACGGCATCAGCCCGCGGGCTGGCCCGCATGCGGGGTCCCAGGTGTCGACGGCGCCCACCGGCGAATGGTACGTGCAGACTGCGCAGACGCATGGGCGCCCGTCGGGGCAGCAGGCCGGCCGCCGCCGGGCGGAGCCGGGGCTGTGGACCGCGGGTGCCCATCTGCAGTTCATCAACGAGCAGCTCCACTACACGCGCCTCTACCGCTTCCACTACTGGAGCGTGTCGCCCCTCAACCCGGCGTGCCTTAAGGTCGACGCCATCACCTACCTCCTCACCACCGAGGAGGGCGCCCGGGAGCGCAGCTCGCTCTCCACCTCCGTCTACTACGCCCTCCACGTCGGTACGCACGCCACCACACGCCCCGGGGCAACCCCCCCCGCGATTGTGAGTGCTGACTCGGGTGATGCCCTGTTGTGGCTCGTCGGCGCCTTCGCTCCGGTCGCCGCCATTGCCCACCAACCACCAACTACCACTGTGAAGGGGCGCTGCTCTGTGGTGATTTCCAGCGGGCGCGAGAGTACATGCTCATCAGCCGGTACCCACGTGCACCCTTCCCCCATCCATTCCGTGTCCTCCGCTCGCGCGTACTTCTTCTCACGCGTCGGCATGCGCGCGCGCGCATCCCAATCCGCCAGTGAGCACCTGGGCTACGTGTTTGACGAGCAGGACTACGACGTCGCCTGCATCCTCCGCCATTTCGCCATGAGTGCGCATCCTTCCTTAACCCCCCACCCCCCACCTTCATGTACTGCCGGCGCGGTCCTCCCTTCCATCAAACCCTCAGCCCTCCTGACACCAACTGACACGTGCTCCCGCAACAACCAACCACGACCACTACCACAACCCAACCGCACCATCAACACCATTGTCCCCCTCGGCAGTATCGCGCTTCTTTGCCGAGACGGAGGAGGAGGGCCAGCGAATGGAGATCTACTACCTCACCATGAGCAAGGAGATCTGCGAGACCATCGGCGCCGTCAACGACGAGAACTACCTCATCGCCATCAAGCTCCTCGCCGCCTACCACGGGGTGCGTGGGTCCCCCCCCCGCCAACCGCCAAGCCCTTTGTGCCGAGATTTCATCTCATCTGTGCTGCCCCCGGCATGACCAGACGCCCAACGAGGAGACGTTGCGGGAGCGGATGGCGGCCATCATGCAGCAGCCCCCCTACAGGAAGCAGTGGAAGGAGGGCCGCTACTTCCTCTCGCAGTACCGGTACGGCAACATGAACAAGATGTACCACAAGCAGTACCTCGAGACCCTCCAGGCCATCTGCTTTCTCCTCGCCGCCGCCCGCCGTACGCCGCCATCCGCACGACCGCACACGACACACGCACACGTCACACACACACACACATGTGCTCACCCTGCTGCGCGCTCACGCACGAATGTGCCGCCGGGGGGGGGGGATGTGCAGAGGGGGGAGTGCCGGAGGAGCTCAAGCTCAAGCTCATGGCGCAGCTGTTCGCGCTGGCAAAGCTGGAGCGCACGCTGCTCAAGTACCAGCGGCTGCACGCGGCCGCGTCGCCGTCGATGACGACCAAGGTGATCCTGTCCTACGTGCTCCTCCTGCGCTTCCTCATCTTCGAGAGCCTCGGCCTGGCGCCGTCGGCGCAGAAGAGCGCACGCGAGTTCGTGGCCTACCTGGCCCACATGGGCGCCACCGGGGTGGCCATCGTCATGTGCGAGCTGGGCAACATCCGCCCGCTGCCCGACATCGCCGCCACGCTCGTGCGGCGTCTGCTGGGCCACGCCGACTACGACTCGCTCCACCTGCTCCTCCACCTGCTCCACCCGCTGCGCCACCACATCCTCTGGGTGCGCCTCCAGTACACCCTCATCCTACGCACCCTCGACCACCACTTCCGGCGGCGGCTCACCGACCACACCGCCTTGGCCTCGCCCACCACCCCTTCACCGGACCTTTCTTCGCCGGAGACCCCACCCACGCCCGCGTCGTACGTGGCCTCGTCGCCCGCCGCCTTCACCTCGGCCTCCACCTCGGCCTCGTCCTCGGTACTGGCCACGCCGTCGCCGCTCTCATCCACGCATTCGAACTCGCCTTCGCGCGACTTCTGGCCGTCATCGCCACCCACACACCCGGCCGAGGACCACCACTACCGCTGCCGCTACTACCAGCACCAGCAGGGCCTCGCGGCGGCGGCGGCAGCTGGTGGTGGTGGTGGTGGTGGTGGTGAGGCGTTATCACAGGCAGAGGCGGACCACCATATGGCGGTGGCGGTGATGGTGGACCTGCGCCACCAGGCGGCGGCGGAGTCGTCGTCTCTGCCTGCCGAACTGCTCCGGGCCTACCTCGGGCCGGCCGACTACCCGCGCCTCTACACCGATCGTGCGCACGAGCCCCCGCTCGAGGCCACCTACTTCGACGAGGCGGCCCAAGATCGAAACGCCCAGGCCCTGCCGCACAGCCTCGACTCCTTCGTCGACAGCTTCCTCAACCTGCCCTAACACCCACCCACCACACGTGGGGCTGCCCTTGAGTTCCAACGACGACGTCTGGCGAGATCGCGCCGGACAAAAACAAGCAAGCTCATTTATTAAAACAGGCTTCATTTCCCATTTATTTATTCCTTTCCTTGTACAAGATGAAATAATTTTACTAGTATAATAGAGAAATAACAAGAGAGGAGAGAGAGAGAGGCCAAAGATGTGGGTGCTGTTCGCGCTCCCCACGGCCAGCGACGAGGTCGGAGGAGGGCCTTCGTCGTGGCAGTGCGTGGAAGAGAACGACTACTTCGTGCTCCAGGTGCGCCAGAAGGGCGCCCCCTCATCTTCCTACTACTCATCATTATCGCACCGGTCATCGCGGCGGCTGGGCGATGGCCTGGTGCGCGTGGCCACCCTCTTCTCCTCCTCGCGCAGCAAGGGAAGCACCCTGGTCGACCCCTTGCAGGGCGGCCCCATCGAGTACCGCATCGTGCTCAAGGCCTCCCTTGCCGACCGTGGTGGTCGTGGTGACCAGCCCGCCAAAGACGACGGGCAGCCGCCAGCAGACGAGGAGCGCGAAGAGGCCGAAAAGAAGAAGAACAAAAAGCTCTTGGATGTAGCGGACGCCGACATGGAGGCGGGGCACGGGCCGGTGGTGGAAGAGGCGGCAGTGGTGGAAGAGAGGCGGGAGGGGTGGGAGGCGCGTGTGGTGGCGGAGGGGCGGGAGGTGAAGGAGGCGCGGGAGGAGTGGCGGTGGCTGGAGGCCAACGTGGTGGTGGCGTGCTCCTTCTTCAACCGCAAGAGTGCGGTCGAGGAGCGGGAGCTGTTCCACTTCCTCATGCTCAAGTTCACCGCCCTCGCCGAGGAGGCCCAGCAGCACCGCAACAAGGAGCGCGCTCTCGCCCTCCGCCGCCACCGCGACATCGGCCTCGCCAGCCTCTTCGACGCCCGCCGCCGCCGCTCTTCTTCCTCTTCATCGTCGTCCACCACCTCCACTTCGGCGCTGCCGGCCAAGCACTCGTCGGGGTCGTTGCGCCGCTCGCGCAATCAGGCGTCGAGCTCGGCCGACTTCCTGCAGCCCATCGCGTCGACGTCCTCCTCGTCGGTGTCGCTCGGCCTCGCCAACCGGGGCCGCACCGCGGCGGCCTCGGCCTTCTCCCGCTCCCACTCGGCCGACACGCCGTCGACCGCCGGTAGCAGCAGCAGCAGCCGGTCGGGTCCGCTCGACGCCATCATGGGCAGCCTGGGCGACGGCGGCGGCGGCAGCAGCAGCCTGGCACGGAGTGACAGCGTGGACCGGATGGAGGTCGACGCGGGGTTGGCCGCCGCCGCCACCGCCAAGGCAGAAGGCGAGGACGAAGACGAAGACGAGGAGGCGCTGCTGCAGCGGGTGGGCCGCGATTACGAGGAACAGGACAAGGCCCTCCAGGCCGCTTGGCGCAAGGCCTTCCCCAAGCTCGCCTCGCTCAACGAAAAGGCCATCGCCTGTACGGCTCCTCCTTCCCTCTCTTGCGGGCTTTATTTTTTATTTTTATTTTTTTTGGGTTTCCTCGACATCAAGGACTGATGGCTTTTTTTTTACAACACAAAACAAAACACACACTGCTCTGTAATATATATATGTATTATGGCCTATAGCCTATGTGTGTGCGCTGGATCGACGAGGCTCGGAGCGGCAGGGCCACTTGTTCTTGACGGTGGCGCGCTTGTGCTTCCACAGTCCGCAGTTCTCGACCAAGGTGGCCATCCCGTGGAATGAGGTCATCTCCCTCCACCGCGACGGCGGCACCACCATCCACGTCTTCTCGGCCTCGGCTGAAGAGGTACTCCTTCGTGAACTGCCAGCCGTGTCGTAATTCGGGGGGTTGGCCACCTCGATTTATACGATGATGTGGAATCAATGGAATTCGCAGCTGGTGTTCTCGGCGTTCGACGAGTACGAGGAGGGGTCGTCCGCCCTGTTCTTCATGTGGCGCCTCAACATCGACCAGCTGGCCACCCAGGTACGACGACCCTACCCACCCACACTCCACGAATTGCACCACCACCACCACCGCTGACGTGGCTCACACGATGTGGCGCGCGCGGCAGGTCATTTCCGAATACAACGCTTCGCTCCATCTCGATGAAGACGGCTTTGCCAACATCAGCAGCGTGCCCGGTACCACCACCCACCATACCCGCGCGTCATCGTCGTCGTGGTCCCTCGTTGGCCGTAGTGCGTATGCAGTGCCTCACACAATCGTGTGATCACGGGTGCAGCTCTTCCCCCCATGACGCGGGAGACGCTTATCGCGCGAATCGAATGCGACAAGCACCGGACCATATTCCGCCTGCCCACCTCCGAACACCTCACCGCCGGTACCCCCATTTTCAAACCAACCAACCAACCAACCAACCAACCAACCAACCAACCAACCAACCAACCAACCAACCAACCAACCAACCAACCAACCAACCAACCCGGCGCCACCTCTCCCTCTTCGATGATGCCCCCCCCCCAATATGTGCTTACGTTGTTGGGTGTGGGTCCTCATCCATCCATCCACCCACGTGCAGCCTACGCGGCGAGGCTGAGGCTCTCGACAGCGGCCTACCGTGAGGGCATCCTCTACCTCAGCCTCAACTACCTGGCATTCCACGCCTCCTACGCCGACAAGGTACCCGACCTGACTGTGCCCGGCCCCTGCCGCTGTGCGTGCTCACAACGTTGCAACATTCCTCCGCTGCAGCGATTCGTCGTGGTCATCCCACTCGGCGAGGTCGTGGACATCGTCAACAGCGGCTCTCGCCTCGTGCAAATCACCACGCAACGCAACAGTGAGGTGCGCGTCTCCCTCTTGTGGGGCAGATCTCCGTGAGCTTTGCATATGCTGACGGTTGTTTCACGCGCGGGTGGGTGGCGGGGGGAATGCACACACACTCTCTCTCTCTCTCTCTTTATCTAAAATATAAATATAGTTTTGCTTTTCGCTGCCGCAGCGAAGGGCGGCAGCCTACCGGCAGTTCATCCAGGCGTGGTCGCGCCTCGTGCACGCGGCCACCCACAGCGATCAGCCCTCCTTCCTCCTCTCGCCCCCGGCTCCCCGGTGCGTTGCACTCACACCTCGGCCCTCTCCCGCACGTGGTTGGTTGGATCCCCGTGCGTGAGCACTGCATGATTGGCCGTCAGGCTCACCAATGAATGGATGGGCACGTGGGGCGGGGACGGGGGCGTGTGCAGGGACGAGAGCGGGGTGACGACGTATGTGGGGGCGTCGACGTATCTGGAGAGTCGGGACCAGTTCTCGGCCCACTACAAGAAGGCCCAGCGGAGGCAGCGCGCCCTGTGGGACCTCTACATCGCCAAGAACGGGTGGGGCATCGAAATGATCAAGACCCACGACCTCGCACCTCTCGTCAAGGGCGGCATACCCGATGAACTGCGCGGTACCGACCACGACACACGACACGACCAAACACGACACGACACGACACACACGACACGACACGACACGACACACACGACACGACACTTGTTTGAGAGGGGGGCGCACCGACTAACGGCCTTGCTCGTTGTGTCGTGGACAGGACCCGTGTGGCAGGTCCTGACGGGATCGGTGTACCAGCACGCCACGTGCAAGGACGAGTACCGCCGCCTCCTCGACACCCACCGCGAGGAGGCCAGCCTGGCCACCGCCGAGATCGAGCGCGTACCTCTCCGCCGCCCCCCCCCCGCCCAATCCGCCCTTTGCAGAAGCCCCTGACCCATGATGGGTTGTCGGGTGGTGGTCGCCATCACACACACACACACACACACACACACGATGCACAGGACCTGCATCGCAGCCTGCCGGGCCATCCGTTTTACCAAAGCGAGGAGGGGAGGCAGATGCTGCGCAACGTGCTCTCGGTCTACTCCTGGCGCAACCCCGACCTCGGCTACTGTCAGTCCATGGTACACACCACCCTACCCCCCCCCTACCGCGCGATCTCCCTTTTTGGGTTTTTTGAAGGTGGGCGTCCGATCTCACCACCGCCGGTGTTGCTGGTTGGTGGGCAGAATATCATATGCGCGGTGCTGCTCCTGTTCATGTCGGAGGAGGAGGCCTTCTGGCTGCTCGCCAACGTGTGCGAGGAGCTCCTGCCCCAGTACTTCACCCGCGGTACGCACACCCAGCACACACACACACACTTCATCACACCACACCACACCTCACACAATGCTCTTGGTCCTCACTGTGACATGGTGATGTGTGCGCACACAGACATGCTGGGTTCGATCACCGACCAGCGGGTGTTCGAGGACCTGGTGGCCGAGCACGTGCCGCAGGTGGCCGAGCACTTCGAGAGACTGGAGCTCCAGCTGGCCCTCATCTCCTTCCCGTGGCTCCTCTGCCTCTTCATCGGCCACGTGCCCCTCCAGGTACCCACCACCACCCCATCTCCCCCCCTACTCCCCCCCTAGCGTGCGGCCAACATTTGGGGGGGGGGCGCAGGCCACGCTGCACGTGATGGACGTGCTCTTCTGCGAGGGTCCGGCCTCCACCTACCTCTTCAAGGTGGGGCTGAGCGTGCTGCAGCTGCACCACGACTGGATCCTGGAGCAGACCGACTGTGCCCGCATCATTGCCGCCCTCAAGTGGGCGTCCATCGATCCCGAGGAGCTCGTCAAGGTACCCTACCACACACACCACACACCACACACCACACACCACACACCACACACACCACACACACCACACACACCACACACGCCACACACGCCACACACGCACACACATCACACACACACTCACTACCCTTCGTCGTACGACGGCAATCTCACGCGGGTACACGACACCACCACGGCGGGTCTGGACCATTGTAGCAGGCGAGCGGGAACGACTTTGCGGGGGTGACGCCGGCCCGCATCGAGGAGATGCGCTCGTTCCACCGGCTGCAGGTGGTGAACGAGATGCAGGTGAGCTTCCTCAACTTTGGGCAGATGCTGCCGGACTTCTCCGCCACCGCCCACAAGCGCACCCCGGCGCCTCCCGGCGCCTCCCCGCGCACCATGCTCGACGCCTCCGCCTCCGCCGCCGCCGACAGCGCCACCGCCACCGCCGCCGCCACCACGCCGCCTCCGGTCGAGAGTAGCGACGGACCGTCCCCGTCGGAGTCCCCACCGTGCGCCACCGGCGGGGTGGTGGAGCTGTCGCCGGCCAAGACCAAGACGCTGCGGCGGGGCAAGGGCACCACCGTGGGCGGCGTACGCTTCTCCGACTCGACCATCTTCAAGGACCCGCCCCTCGTCGCCATCCCCGAGGAGGAGGAGGACAAGGAGGAGAAAGCCGGCGACAAGGCGGCCAACCAGCCGGCGCCGGCGCCTCAGGCCCTCTCCGGCGCAGCAGCCCCCGATGCCCAGCTTGACCAGCCGCCGCCGATGCAGCAGCAGCAACAGCGCGACGACGACGGCGAGGCGGCCCAGCGGCTTGCGCCGGCCCACCAGTCATCTGATCATGGAGCTTCGTCGCCGGGCGGCGAGGTGTCGACGAGGGCAACTGTGGCGCTGCTGGTCTCGTCGCCGCCTCCGTCGCCCGCGCCGCGCGTGCCCAAGCTGCAGCCGTTCTCGCCCCTGGGCAGCCCCGCCGCCGCCGGGGTCGTGTCGTCGGACCAGGTCCCGATATCGCCCCGCACGCTCGCCCTCTATGCCTCCACCGGCCAGCGGCCCACCTCGCCCCGCGCCGTGGGGCGCGCCTCGCCCACGAGTCCTGCGGGCGTCGCCGGCGGAGCACGCCCCGGCGGCAGCGCGGCAGCGCGCGCAGGGCGAGCGCACAAGCGGAACAACTCGAACCACTACATTCTGGACTACATCTCCATCTGCCAACAGCAACAGCAACAGCAACAGCAACAACAGCAACAGCAGCAGCAGCAGCCGGGCGGGCAGCAGCGCACGCCCACGACGCCGCTCCGGGGTGGCTTGAACGCGTCGATCGGCGGACTTGGGTCGCCCCTCCGCGAGTCGCTGGTCACGGCCCGGTCCAGGTCGGGCGGCGGCCTCGGCGAGCAGCAGACGCCCCACACGCCCTCGCCCCTGTCCGCGGGGGACCTCCGCCGCACTCCCGCGCCCGCGCACCAGGACTGGGCCTCCCTCTCGTCGCCCGAGTGGTCCTCCTACCGTACGCGCCACCGGTTCGGCGAAGAACCGGCCGCCGCTGGCACCACCGCCTCCACCACCACCTCCACCACCAGCCCCACCACCAGCGGCGAAACGGCGGACCTGCTGAGGACGCCGCCCAGGGTCTACAGCCGGCTCCTGGCCTCCATCAGCGAAACCGACCCCTTCGAGCCGAGCAAGAGGGACGGTGATGAAGACGACGACGACGACGATAACGAGGGGGAGGACGCGGTGGAAGAAGAGGAGGAGAGGGAGGAAGCTGAGGAAGCTGAGGAGGAGGAGGAGGAGGAGCTCGGGGTGGAGTACGTGCAGCGTCTGCTGCTGCGCAAGAACGAAGAACGGCGGGACAGCTCGGGCTCGCGCACGGAGCACCTGGCGCCGGCCCACTCGCGGCACGCCCGCAGCCCGTCGCTGCCGCCCAAGGTCCTCTACGCCCTCTCCACCCTCGCCGCCCCGCCCGCCCACTCCATCATCGAGGAGGACCTCAACTCTGGCCTATCGCCCACGGACTCCCCGTCCTCTCCCCACCGCACCGGCGAAGACGGCGACGACGATGAGAACAGTGGCCATCAGCAGCAGTTGGCCAAGAACAAAAACAAGAAGAAGAATAGCAAGAAGAGCAAGAAGACAAACCGCGTGGCTTCCCCGCGAGCGCCGCCGCCGGATGACAAGAGCACGGACGCCCCGAGCCCACGCGAGACGCAAGACGACGACGACGACGACGACGCGACCCAGCAGTCGCAGCAGCTGTTGTCTTCTTCGGAGGGGGGCAAGGACGAGGCGGAGCCGGAGAAGAACAAGGACCAGACGAAGGACCAGAAGAAGGCGGACTCCAAGGAGGCTGCGCAGCCCAAGCCGGCCAAGGAGTCGACGTCGTTCCCGCTCAGCCCGCGCAGCTGGTTCTCCAGCGGCGGCGGCGGTGCAGCGGCGTCGTCGTCGTCGGACGCGACCGCGCAGCCCAAGAAGAAGGAGGGCTCCAGCTTCCTCCAGAGCTGGTTCGCTTCGGCGTCGGCGGACAAGGGAAAGAAGGACGAGAAGGAGAAGCAGAAGGAGAAAGAGAAGGAGCAGCCGGAGGAGAAGGAAAAGGAAAAGCAGGAGGCCAAGAAGGAGGAGCGAAGAGGGCCTCTCCTACGATTGTTCAGAAGTGGACAGGCGTCGTAGGCGAGCCAGGTGTACAAAAAAACAAAAAGGCCAAAAGAAAAAAATGATTTTCCTCATTCTTCTCTTTTCTTTTCTCGCGAGAGCAACATCGAAGATGGCGGACAGCAAGCGAGCCAAATCAAAGGCCGCCGCCACGGCAAGTGATGCCACCGGTGCCTCCAAGTGGCAAAAGGCCCTCGACCCGACCGCGGAGTGGGAAAAGGTGTGACCCGTGTTTCCGCCCTCCCTTTACCTGAGTTTGTGCTCACCGGGCTGTCTCGTCGTGGCTGCAGACGGAGCTGCACGAGGTGGTGTACTGGTTGCGACAAGTGCTGGGCGTGCTGTGTGGTGTGGTGTGGGGCGTCATCCCCCTGACGGGCTACGTGGGCAACCTTGCGTACGCCAACCGATCTTTCCTCCCTTCCCCTGGCGCCTGCTGAGTCACGCCGTTTGCGCAGGTTTTTGGGGCTGAGCGGTCTTGCTCTGTTCGTGTTCTTCGCCAAGTACCATCGCACGGTGGACCCCGAGTGGTACTGGCCCCTCACGCAGGAAGGCTACCTCAACTCCTACGCCATCTTCCTCGTACGTAGCCTTCCCTCGCGCCGCGTCATGACCTACACGGCTGGAACCAACGCCGCAACCAACCTACACCAGGTGACGTGGATCATCGCCTACAACGCCGTGCACTTCTGAGGACTGACCACGACGCACAAGGCAGAGCTCTGGTGCCGCGTCTACGTTCTTCAGCGGCACGAGAGAGAAGAATAAAACGAGGGCTTTGGTGCGTGTTGCTACAAGGGAAGTTTAATTTATTGTACGGGACAGGGCACGCAGCCCATCGCCAAGGGGGAGAGGAAAGGGCTCGCGTTGTTGTTTACTCCCAATCCTTCTTGATGGCGAAGGTGTACTCGTACTCGAGATGGCACTGGCCGTCGTCGTCGACGAACTTGTGCTTGCCCTTGTAGTTGCCCCTGGCGAGCATGCCACTGGGGGCCTCCTCCCAGCCGTGACGAGGGAACACGACGACGTGGGCCTCACCCTGCGGGGGGAACGAGCCCAACATCTCCTCCTCCTTGGCCACTATTGTAGAAGGGGGGGGGGGGCAATGATTAGAAAATACGCAATCAATGTGCTGTGGGAGGTTCTAGATTACAGTACCTCGTACGCCCTTTCTGAAGACCAAGTTGATGAACTTCAGACCGGCCACAATTTCGTGCTGGACCCTGAAGGCAACCTCGATTTTGTACTCGCACTTCTCCTTGAGCGTGAAGGGCTGGTCCTTCAGCTTCTGTTCCGATCCCCTCTCCGTGAAGTCGTACAGAATGTCGCCGTTGGGTCGTTCTTTACAGATGACCTTCATGCGCGTGATCACCACGCGGCGAGGATCATCCGAGGCTGCATGGATTAGATAAAGTCAGATTAGCACATAAACCAAGCAGCTCGCCCCGCAGAAGCAAAAGAACAATTCGACTCTACACCAGGCAGTGGCTACGAGGGATAGACACGAGGATCGAAGAGAGCAACCACTACAAACACACAAAAAACTGGTCACAGGGGCTGGTAGTTCGTACGAGCAACGGCGCCAGAGAGGGCAGCCTTGCCGAGGAGGGCCTCCTTGTACTTCCTCAGAGACTCGTCTTCGTTATCCATTTCGAGGATGGTGCCCATGTCGACCTTCTTGGAGATCTTGTAGCCGGGCGTCGTCTCTGGTCCCTCATCGTCAGACATGGTTGATGCTAGCGGTGGAAAAGCAAAAGTAGCTGGAGGCTGTGGTGGGAGAGAGAAATAGGGAGCCGTGAAGTCTTGGCTGGTTCTGGTCTTTTGGCTGTGCACCTGGCCACCAAAGGCGACACCGCAAAGTCTAAAGTCCGTAACGCCACGACTGGTCGCTGTGCCACCCAACCCCAAATCAGACGGTGCCGCCCATATTTCAGGGAAGACCAACCAATCCCCCATTTATCCTCCTTTGTTTTGGCGGTGCCTGGGTAACGCGCAAGCAACGAAGACGTGGTTCGGAGAACGCGGCGCGACTGCTCTTCGGCGCCGACGACGAAGAGCGAAAAGATAGAAAGACAGAGAGGAGTGGCGAAGAGTTCGCTGGTGGTTTTGTACAGGTCCGCCACACGGTTGGGAGTGGGGCGGCATACACGGGTGGGAGAGGGAAAGCGCGAGAGAAAGCGAAGAGGGCAAAGAAAGAAGAGGCGAGACGAGGGAGAAGAGGAGAGGGTGCACACACATCCCATTGGCTCAGTACTTCTCCTGGACGGTGAGGCCGCCCATGACGCCCTCGACAAAGTTCTGGAGGAACCTCTGGCAGACGCGGGTGTAGTTGGTGACCTCCTCCTTCCACTTGACGAAGGCCTGGTAGTCGGCGATCTTCTCGGTGGGGCGCTCGTAGAGCTCGGAGAGGTAGTTGGTGTGCTTCTCGAGGTCCTCCTGGAGGTAGACGTAGAGGTTCTTCTCGCTGACGCGCGACTTGTCCTGGTCGAGGTAGTAGCCGTACACGTAGGACCACTGGAGCACCCGTCGGTTGTTGATGAGCTGCTCGGTGGCCTCAAGGAGGAACTTGGTGTCGGCGGCGCGCACGTCGAACTTCTCCATGAGGGCAGTGCCCTTCTTGTCGGCGCCCTTGCGCTGCTCGTCGGCGATCTTCATCGCGTTCTTGTGGGACTCGTAGCGATGGAAGTAGAACATGTAGTGCTCCAGCTCGGTCTTGACGTTCTCGGCTCGCGAGTCCTCGTCCTTGGCGTTGGACTTGTCGTACTTGTTGCAGTTGTAGTACCCGCCCGTATGCGAGCCGTGGTCGCTCCACGGCCCTCGGCACAGCCAGCAGAACTCGAACCCGCACCCACCCGCGTTCTTGCGGCACGTCATGTGCATGCACCTGGTGCAGGGCACAGCAACATTGCACACGTCAGGGTATGCGGTGTTGTGTGTGGTGTGGTGTGTGTGTGTGTGTGTGTCAGGCACATACCCGCCGTTCTTCTCGATGGGCGAGCGGCACTGGGGGCACTTCTTGGTGTTGGCGATCATCCACGTCACGTTCTCCGACTCGTCGGCGGCCTTCTGCTGCCAGAGGTCGACGGTCTCGCAGTCGGCCGGCATGTGATCCCCGATCTCAAAGTCGCAGCACTTGAAGCAGAACCGGAAGCCGCAGCCGCAGGCCACGGCCTCCTGCCGGTTTTGCCGCTCGCACCGCACGCAGTTGGAGCAGTGCGGGGCCGGGCACCACTTGACCTTGGGGTTGTCGTCCACGAACGAGCGCAGCAGGTACTTGGAGTAGAGGGCGAACTCCTTGGCGTCGACGATCTTCTTCACGGCCTCCTCGTGCACCACACTGCCGCACTTGGGCGCCATACACTTGGTAGTGATGCACTCCGGCCCGTCCGCGATCTTGACCTCCAGGTAGTTCTTCCAGCACGTGCTGCAGTACCGATGTCCGCACGGCAGCGCGAACGAGTCCGAGTTCTTGTAGTCGTCCATGCACACCAGGCACTCGCTCTGTGTATGTGTGCGACGCCACACGTGAACACGAAGCTTCAAGTACACCACAGCTGCACTGCACACTCGACCATTCATGATCTAATCTGTTATCGATAATTTCGCCTTCTCTTTTTGACGCTGAATCACGACAGCACTAAATAAAATAAACAATAAATCCCAAAAAAAAAAGAGCACCGCAGCCAAGAAGCATCCTTCACACAATGAATCAAATTCAGAGAATACACATGTGTGATAGAGTTGCTTGGAAGAGGTTTGGGGGGGGGGCGTACAATAGCGTTGGGGCTCTCGATAGGCTTCTCGAGGTTGAGCGAGGGCACGCCGGCCTTCTTGCACACCCGCTCGGGGTCCTCGGTGTAGGCTTCTATGAGGCGCTCTCGATTCCAGTCGTAGCTTCGCAGCAGGCAAGCGGCGATGGCCCTATTGGGGATGCCCAGGAACTCCATCACGCCATCGATCAGCAGGCGCGACTCCTTCAACATGTCGTCTTCTGAGATGACTTCGAACGAGCGCTGCTTGGTGAGTGTCTCCTGCAGCGCTTGGTCGTCTACCGCCCCCAGATCATCCTCATCCACGTCCTCAGCGTCGTCGTCCTCGTCATCGACGTACTCCTCCTCTGAAAAATATTCCTCCTCAGACATGTCGGACATGCTACTTGATGATGATGTGGCAGAAAAAATCGAGGCTTCTTGTGGTGTGGCGTTCGCGCTGCGATCTGTCCGCTGCTGCTGTTGATGGTGGATCTGATGATGCGCAGGGTGTCGATGGGTTGCCGTGGGGCCTGAGAGATTGAATGAAAACTCACCTGGCGCCCATTTTTTTTCTGTGACTGGACGTGCCTGCCTTTTTCCCAGTTCCATTCTGGTGCTTTCCCCGAAATGAGCTTGTCAAATAAAAGCAGCCAAAATTCAGAACTCCCTCAGTTGGGACCGTCCACCTTGGTCAGAAAACCAACAAGAAGCAAAAACGCTTTCTTTTGTGTTGTGCGATGAACGAAGGAGTACAGATTAGGGTGGGGGCACAACACGTGGGACATGCAAAGCGTTGGCAAACCCGACACGTGCACACGACACACACACACGCTCGTTTTTGTTTTTGTGTTTGGCAGCAGAACTTAGAACTGGGCGTGCTTGGGGTAGCGAGGGAAGGGGATGGCGTCGCGGATGTTCTCGACGCCGGAGACGAAGAGGACGAGGCGCTCGAAGCCGAGGCCGAAGCCGGAGTGGGGCACGGAGCCGAAGCGGCGGGTGTCGAGGTAGGCCTTGTAGGGCTCCTCGGGGAGCTTGTGCTCGGCGAAGCGCTGGCGGAGCACGTCGAGCCTCTCCTCCCTCTGGGACCCGCCGATGAGCTCGCCGAGGGTGGGCATGAGCACGTCCATGGCGGCGACGGTCTTGCCGTCGTCGTTGAGGCGCATGTAGAAGGCCTTGAAGTCCTTGGGGTAGTCGGTGACGATGACGGGCGTGTTGTAGATCTTCTCGGTCAGGTAGCGCTCGTGCTCGGAGCTCATGTCGATGCCCCACTCGACCTTCTCCTCGAACTTGGCACCGCTCTTGAGCAGGGCCTCGATGGCCTCGGTGTAGGTGATGCGGGTGAAGGGTGTCGCCAGGACGTGCTCCAGGCGGGCCAGCAGGCTGCCGCCCTCGCCCTTGTAGACCGAGTCGAGGAACTTCATGTCGTCGGGGTAGGTGGTGAGCACGTGCTGGATGCAGTGCTTGACGTAGGCCTCGGCCAGGTCCATGTTGTCCACCAGATCGTAGAAGGCCATCTCCGGCTCGATCATCCAGAACTCGGCCAGGTGGCGCCGCGTGTTCGAGTTCTCCGCGCGGAACGTGGGGCCGAACGTGTAGATGTTGCCCAGCCCGCACGCGTAGTACTCGCCGTTGAGCTGGCCCGACACGGTCAGGTACGACGGCTTGCCGAAGAAGTCCTCCGCGTAGTTGATCTCGCCCGTCGGCGTGCGCGCCACCTCCTCCGGCTTCTTCACGTTGTTGAGCAGCGTCGTCACCTGGAACATCTCACCGGCGCCCTCGCAGTCCGAGCACGTGATCAGCGGCGTGTGCACGTTCAGGAAGCCCTTCGACTGGAAGAACTGGTGCGTCGCGAACGACAGACCGTTCCTCACACGCGCCACAGCGCTGAACTGGTGTGTGTGTGTGTGTATCAACACCAACAACAACACCAACAGCACCAACAACAACACAACGCACGCATTAGGTTGGGGCGCGAACAGAGGCGGGAAAACGAAACAACGATGCAGTGGACAATAAAATACAATATAATAAAAGAAAACATCTCCATAAATGGCTATGGTAAATAAATGCTGAGGGGGCATACGGTGTTGGTGCGAGCGCGGAGGTGGGCCTGTTCGCGGAGGAACTCGACGGAGTGTCCCTTGCCGGCCAGGGGGTAGGTCAGGGGGTCGCATCCGCCGACGAGGGCCACCTTGGAGGCGAGGAATTCGACGGTCTGGCCCTTGGCGGGGCTCTTGACGACCTTGCCAAAGATCCAGATGGAGGCGCCCGCGGAGCAGTCAGTGGCCTTGAGCTGGTCGAAGCCCTCCTTGTTGCTGTCGCACACGACCTGGAGGCCGGTGATGAGGGAGCCATCGTTGAGGTTGATGAAGGCCAGCTTGCCCTTGTTGCCGAATCGGACGGTCCTGATCCAGCCCGCAACGACGCCCTCCTGATCGACCAGGCCCACACCGCCATCCTCGCGGCCCAAGATGTCCCGCACGGTCCATCGCGAAGAGAACATGTGTCGGCCGGAGGGGGCAGCAACGACCGGCAGGGTAGCGGCGGCCACTGCAGTGGTTACCTCGGGGGTAGGGGTTGATGCTTCCATTGTGTGGAATGCGAAGATGCAGCGCAGGTGACGAGAGATGCGACAAGGCGAAGATTTTTGCAGGCTCTGATTTGGTGCCGTTCTATTTTGTCCGGTTATTTCCTGCTTTTTTCTCCGAAGCCAAACCACGAAGCCTTTGGCACAAACCGGACAACAAGGGGACAACACTGCCAGGGTGGTACCATGACTGCTTTCCCACCTTCCCACAGACGGGAAAAACCAACAAAAACCAGCACACTGGGTCCACCTAAGTCCACCTAAGGGGGCCATGTGGCTGTATTGAAAAAAGGTGGACAAATCCACATCCACAACTGTCCACCTTCTTTCTTGTGTCACACATCCACCTTCTTCTGTCTTCTTCCCTTGTGTCCCCTGTCATCCCCACCCACTGTCCATGGTCATTGGTCCTCACCACCAGTTGCCCTTGCCTATGGTCATGCTTGTTGCTGTTGGTCCTTGCCACCCTTGCTGGTGGTTGCACTCATTGGTAACCTGTTATAGTTGTGATTAATGCCATGGTGTGTCTTGTGGTTTGTCTTGGCTGTTGATCATGACCTCAACCTCTCAAACTGTCCTGCACAGTCTCCCTTTGGCCACACTCCAAAAGGACCTTCTCTCACCCATTTTTGGTTTAGGAGGATGTGGACTTGAAGAGCACAAAGCTCACACCCAGACAGTGACCAGTCCATCTGGTAAGTTGAAGGGACGCGGCGCTTGGCGGACGCGTCCTGATATCGAAATTACTTGGGATTCAAGGCTACAGGGATATGTAGCACGCATTAAAGTGACCAGGTCGTTCTTGCGAGATTGAGATCTACTGTCATCAATAGGTTGCACAAGGACGCGAGGCCACCAACCTGCTGCGTGCCGTACTGGTCGCTGCTTTCGGCATCGTCGTAGGGTTGACGCTCCCACTTCTTCCACTGGCCAAGCGACACCGGGAAGGCGCCCTCGTCGGCGTCCCATGTCGTCACGCGCATCACCGTCCACAAGAAATCCACCACGGCCTGCGCCAGCTTCTTGTTGTCATCGTCTCGGCGCAGCCCGGCATCGGCGATGGCGTCATCAGAGGCCGGCGGGGCAGATAGGCCGAGAAGGCGGCCGACGGCGGCCAGCGCGGCGGTGGCCACCACCTTCTTGCGAAGCTCGACGTTGGGGCTGCCCATGGTTCGATTCAGGTAGATGAGTAGGGCTGCATGCCCATCGGCTGCCGCCGGGTGGGTCTCGTCGCCCACGTCGTACCCGTTCTCTTCCTCGCTCAAGGTCACGGTGGCCGACTCGGCGAGCGCGGTGAGTCGCTGGTGGAGTTGATGGCCTGCTTGGTGGCCACCTACGACGCGCACCGTGATCATGGTCTGCTCGGAGGGCGCGTCGTAGGTGTCGACGGCCTTGGTGGAGACCGAGACCACCACCTGCTGCTGTCCGTTCTCTCCTTGGATTGACATCGGGTCGTCTGCCTGGAGGCCTCCGCCGCCGCTGGAGATCGGACACACCAGGTCGAGCCTGGCCGCGAAGAAGCCGCGGTTCTGGTGGGGGCTCATTTGAAACGAGTGCGCACGAAGCACGCGCAGGCGTGGCACCACCTGGGGGCGCGAGCTGGTTGGTGAGTGGCACTCAGACACGGGACAAAACAAAAAAAAAAGAAAAAAAAGAAAAAAAAGAGAAGCGCTTCGTACTTGGTTGTAGCCGGTCACGTCGCCACTTTCTGTGAGCGCAAACGGCGGCTGATCTGCCCACACGCCTCTGCGGGCGGCTCGGTCGGCCAGGTACTCCGCGGCGCGTGCGAGTCGCTGCTGTCCGACGAACCGCATCACCTGGCGCTCGATCAGCTGCCACGCCGACGCCTCCTGGCCAGGCGTATCGCCGGTCTGGTCGACGTGCTGTGCAACCAAGTGTGCGAACTTATCGACAAAGTCAGCCGTGTGCTGTCGCTCCTGACGCTTGGCGGCGGCAGTATGCCGGCACAACTGATTGGAGTGGCTGGCGATGCCGCCGTATCGTTCATCGCTGGGCACCTGGCACACGTCGGGCTGCCACACGAACCCCAGGCACGCCAGCAACGTGGTCAACACTTCGCTGGCCGTCCAGGTCGCACCGTCGTCGCTGCCGCTGCCGCTGTTGCCGTCCACCCCAGGTGCGTAGTTGGGCGAGCGGAGCCCCACGCTGTCCCACAGCTTGCGCAGGATGTCGAACCGGAACGACGGGTTGTTGATTTGGCCGTCGCATCTGTCGAAAGCGGCGAGGGTCGCCAGTATGGTCGAGCCACCATCGAGCACTGTGGTGTCGTTGTAGCGGCGGTACCCCCTGCCGCGGCCCGAGTTGGCCGGGGCGGGTTGCGGTAAAGGAATGGAGGCGAGAATGTCCTTCCACTTGGTCGACGACGTGGTGAGGTCGACGAAGAGCGCAAAGTCCCAGTCATCGTCGTGCCACTGAAGCAGATTCATCGCAATCTCGACACGCTCTGCATGATCACCAACACTTTGTTGTTGTTGTTGTTGTTGTTGTTGTTTACGTCTTCTTCACTTTTTGGCCCAGGGCAAGGGGAAAGGGATCTTACCGTGTGGCAGGTCGGGCAGGCCCAGCGAGAGGCACGATGTGATGCCTAGAGAGTAGGCCATGCCCAAGAAGTCGTCGCCTCGCCTCAGGTGGTGAATGGTCAGCAGCGGCGCCGCCGGCCCCATGCTTTCGCCGCCCGGGCCTTCGCCGGCGACCGCCCGAGGTGCGAGCAGTACGCTGCGCAAATCGTGGAGCTTGGCTGGCGCGAAGTCCCACTCGCGCCACACGTAGTCGAGCACCTCGCCGAGACGCGCCTGGTGGATGCGAGCGCCGGTCAGGCCCAGCGCCGCCTCGGCCATCATGCGCACGCGGTTCTTGGCCTGTGCGTCGCCGGCCGACGCCGAGAACAGGGGCACACCACCGCCGCCGCCGGCCGTCGTGGTTGTGTCCGACAAGAAGTGGTGGGCCAGGAATTGGTCGAGCGGCTCGGCGAGCGCGCACGCCTTCTTGAGGCGCCGGCCGCTGCGGGTGTTGAGCGCTTCGTCGACTGCAGCTTTGACGGAGCGGCAGGTGAGACGTAGCGCGGCCACGCTCGTCCATGGCTGCTTGGCGCCTCGCTCTTCCCTTTCTTGAAAGCTGTCGTGCGCGCCGCATAGGTCAGCACCTGATAGAGCAACATCATGATAGACAGCGTGGACAACACACGAAGGTCGTCGATGGTACGAACTAGGGGGCAAGGCCGTGCAGCTGCTGGCGCCGTGTAGTGGCTGAGTCGCAGTCGTCAGGCCAATCAAAGAGGGCTCGTTGGGCGCGCACACGGCACACCTCGGGCACCACTGCGGTATCCCACACAACAAATTACATAATTATTTTTGTACAAAAACAGAAGGGCACCGGTGCTGACAGTGGTCGACGATGCGGTGGAAAGGTAGCCCAGCAGTTGGTGGAGTACAACATAGGGCAGGCCGCTCAGCAGGTTCCACTCTCCTTCTTCCCCACCTCTCTCTTCATCCTCTTCTCCCAATCTCCGTCTCTTACTGTTTTTTATCGCCTCTGGCTTCACTTCTTGGCCCTGCCCAGCTTCTTCCTCTCTCACCCTCTTCATCAGCTTCAACAGTTTTTCTGTGTGGCTTCTGGTTGGCAATTTTTTAGAATTGGAAGTTTACCAGGAAAACCTGTTTTTTTGCGCTACAGGAGTGCGCCATGACTGGACGTGTGGATACTGCCTGAGGCGCTGGTTGAGAATGAGCATGTTCTTGGATCCCATCTCCACTGCCTGATTGCCAATGTCCTGATGGGCAATAATGATAGTGAATCCATATTGGTGCTAAAATGAAAAATGATGAAGGGTATGATGAAGGCCACCACCAACCTGAGCAACACTCTTCCTCCATGTGAACACAACTCTGTGATGTTAATTGAGCAATATGACTCACTATGTGGTCAATGTGATAAAAGTGGGGTTGGACCCTGGTCATTAATGGACCTCATTAGCTTGGACATCTCCTTTGGCTTGTAGCACTTGCAGATTGTGCTGTAGGGCTTCATGGGATGTGTACAGGAGACCATGAGCAGCTTGAGAGAGGGGTTGATCCATAGGTAGATGAGGCCAAGTGCCACATATGCATGTTCATCATAATTTTCCTGTTGTTGGAGTGCTGAAATGAAGATGGGTGAGATGCCAGAAGAGGTAAGTTGTCCATCTTGCTTGAACACAGTCTTTACTACTATCTGTACAGAAACTACAGGAGTTCATCAACCAGGTCTCATCAGTCAAGATCATGGGTTCCCATGGATCAACCCTTCAGATCAAGGACAATGAAAAGGTAATAATGAAGTACAAGCTCACTGAGAACTGTATGGCAGTGGTGGCCAAGGTGGCAGAGAGGAAGGTGACAGTTGCTGTGACAAAGGTGACCAAGATGAAGGAGAAGAAGGAAGCTGTCACAAACAGGAGCAGAGTGAAGAGGAAGAGGAAGGACAACATCAACAAGGAAATGGCCAGGCCCAGGAAGAAGCGTCTCAGTCCTACTTCAATGGTTATGTGCAAGGCAGCCAGGATGTTGGCAGGCATGTCAGTGGGCATGTCAGTGCCCATGTCAGCAGGCACTTCACCAGGCAGGTCAGTGGGCACTTCAGCAGGCACTTTGGTGTAAATTGTCCATTTACACTAACTCCACATTTCTTTTTAGAGGGCACACTTTGGGAGATTGGCTTCACAGCCCAAGACATGATGGCCAATCTCTTCAACATGAAGCTGTGGCAGAGCAATGAAGAAGGCCTGTGGGAGCTGCCACTGAACAATGCACTCTTTCAGCAGAAGGGTCTCTTGGACACTGTCATACTCCATCTTGCCACTAGCAATGCTGACTGGAGTGAGGATAGTGAATTGAGCAAGTCTCTCTTCATTGTGATTGACAGTTGATGGTACACCCATCTACATCAGACACAACTGATGCACAACACACAACACATGACACACCAACACACATACTTGTGCTTCCTGAGTTCATACTATGAAATTTCTTGCAATGGTGTGATAGCAACCAATAAAGTCCCCTTTTATTGAATACCCTGATCCCTTTCATCTTGTCTTTTTGGTGGGTCTTCCCTCCCCTCAAGATGCCAAGTTGGCCAGTGTGCACAACTCTTGCTGTTGTGTGGTTGTGGCCCACAAACTCAAGGCTGTTGGGCAGTGCCCATGGTTGGGTCTCACCTTTACATGACCAAGTGGGCACTTTCTGAGTTTGTGGGCTGTTCCATTTTTGCAGTGGGGCTTGATGGACTGCAGCAAGTGTGTGTACCTGAGGAGTTCACAGAGTTTGTAAAACACGTAGGAGTAGTGCAAAAAGTTCTTGCAGGAGCGCTTGATGCCTTAGGCAGACTGTTTCCTTGAAAAATCTGTTTCCCGTTCTTTTTGTTGGTTGTTTTGGTTCATCAACTAAGTGGAAGCCATCGGAAGAAGAAAGAGAAAGAGCTTTTATTTATCGGGGCTCAATTTCTGCTTTGTTTTCATGCGCACAACCAGCCAAGCAACATGACAAGTCGTGGATTGATGGAGCTGGTGGGGGTCGTGTTGGTTGTGCTGTACATGAGCAGCACAACACGGGCTGGCATGTACGACCTGAGTCGCCACTGGGCAAACCAGATGGTATGCGGAGGCAACGTCTACGACGCCTTGCTGGTGCAGCACGACCCCAACTGCTCCCCCATGGAATGCAACTGTTTCTACAAGCAGTGCATCGAGGCTGAGTGTGGCGTGTCCTTCAACCCCCGGTCTCTCGGTCCCGACGGCTCAACCACCGTCTTCCTGAGCCACTACGCCAACAGCAAGTGCGGGGGTACGGATATCCCTCTACTAATTAGAGACCTGCAAGGTTGTCCCTGAGTGAGCATGCACGAATTTTAATGGCTGTGCAGGCAACTTCACTCATGCGGAAGTGTACCACACGGAGCTCTGCCAGCATGATTTGGCACAGCTCCGCAGTTTCAAGTTTACCTGTGTGGGTGGGAAGGTCATGCAGACTGACTACTCTGACTACAACTGCATGGAACCCTTGAGCAACAAGACTGGTGTCGTCAGAGGTACGCCACTGATCCAGCTGGAAGATGGGAAGAATCTGAGCATCATGTGACGCAACCAGAATGCTATGCCGATGGTAAGGGCGGATCATTTGCCTACCGCTGCCTGGCAGGCTGGTCTGGGGCGCTGTAGATGATCAAGCAGTGAGGCCCAACGCTTCCAGAGAGATTCAATAACTTGTAAGCAGTTAGATTAATACACTGTATTCACAAGTTGAGCTCCAGCTTCAAGGGTTCAAACATCAAATACTGAGGCTGGCACAATGCTTTGGGGTTGGCGCCTAGATCTCACTTTTTCACCCACTTAATGGCCTGCTTCAACTTGATTGTCTGGTTTGTGCCCCTCTACAGCATGACTTGCTCAGTGACTATCTTGGCCTGGTTGTGATGGGTGACATTTTGGAGGTTGAGTGGTTGCAATCTGCTGGATATTTGTCCTTTTTGGGAGGTGGCAGTTGGAGATCAGGTGGTTTGATTACCACTTCAATGAGCTTAAGTGTAGCTGTAGGTCTGGTCTTCATCCTGGTGATGATGGACCATAGCTTCTTCATCAGTAGAGCACCTTGGAGGTCTACTGCCAACAGGTTATGGACCCACACTCCATCACAGCATGAATCAAGTACAATCCCATCTCATTCTTCTCAAGAACAGCAACAACTTCCTGAGCAACTCCTTTCCTTCCTAGAGATTACATCACAACTGACATTGCTGAGTAATCCTCCTAGGTGGTAGCTGGGAGATAAGCACACATGTGCATGCATGCTTGATGACCTCCAGGTGATGTTACTTGCCAATGTTTCCCTGGTACAGCTGAGCGTGCCCAGCAACTTCACACCACACCTCCACTAAGTGGACCAAATCAGTACTTTCCAATGACTTTGGCCATGAGATGGCGAACCCAGATTTTCACGACCATGTACACAGACCCAACATTTTTTCACTTGTGAGCCCTTATTTTTTACCCGTGCTATTTACCAAAGTGCGTACGGAGAGTGTGGTCTTTTTTTTTCGCAGTGATATGCGCCTCCTCTACCAGCGTTGTATCTTTCCCTCTGGATCCATCATAGGTGCACTGTCGTGCTGGAGTGATGGGGAAAGCGAAAGGGGCCACCCCAACTCACCTGCCCAGCCATATTCACCTTGAAGAAGGCTGGGGCGTGTTCTGGTTCGGTGATAGTTTACACTCAGTTTGTGACAAATAAGTGGCTGATGGTACACAACGGTTGCGGGCATGAGCGTGATCGATCAGCCCCGAGGGCCGAAGTCGTCGAGGAAGAGGGAGGAGGTGATCTTCTTGGCGGGGGCGGCGATGATCTCCTCCACGCGCGGCAGGTCCGGCATGGACATCGAGGAGGTGGGGGCCACGTTCCTCGGGCGCGGCGGCACGATGGCCGGAGTCGGCGGGAGTGGTCGCTCCGCCTCCTCGGCCTCCTGCTGATACGGGGCACGCCCCGGCACGTCTTCGCTTTCCACGTCAAAGTCGTCCTCGTCGTCGCTGATGGCTTGGCTGCTCGCGAGCACGCAAAGAAAACGATGATCAGTGATGACAACTCGCGACAGAAGTGTGTGTCGTGTTGTTGCGTGCGTGTCGTGTCGTGTCGTGCGGGGTCAGGACAGGGGTGAACACGCACAAGTCTTCGCGGTAGATGGAGCTGCGGCTGAGGCCCGATGCCGAGGCCGGGGAGGGGATCGCCGCCAGCGAGGGCGAGGGCGGCGCCACCAGTCGGGGCGACGATATGGACCGCTTCCACCCGAAGAAGCCCTTCTTCTCCTCTGCTATGTATGGCCCACCCCACCCAACCGATTTACCAACCAACGACGATCACCGTTAGACGCGGGGCCGAAGGGCACACACAACACGACACGACACGAGCGCACCGGATTGGAGGTTGGTGAGGGAGTCCTTGCGCTGCCTCTGGCGGATGATGAAGCTGCCGCCCTTCTTCCGCTCGATCTCGGCCTCCACGCCCTCTGAGCTCACATCATCGCACACACCACACACACACACACACACACATACACACACACATCAGAAATGGTGTCCACTCTCAACGTTCGTTGATTCTTCGCACCTTTCTCGAGTTCCATGCGGGCCTTTTCGGCCGACACCTCCTGGAGCTGGAAGTGCTTGAGCGAGTTCTTGATCGCCGTCACCCAATCTGTGAAGCGACACACATGACACACACGACACACACGGCACGCGTTGGTCGACTCGCCGCGAGTCAGCCCAGCCCAGGGCGGGCGGGCGGGCGGGCGGGCGGGCGGGACGGGGAGCAAGCGAGTGTGGGAGCTCTCACCTCTGGCGTCGGCGGCGATGGCGCCGAGAGTGAATCGCTCACGCACCCGCACGGCCAGCACACCCTCCTTCTCCACGTCCTGAATCTCGAACGCCTCCAGCCCTGCCGTTTGCCGCCACGTTCCGTTAAGTCGCCCACCGCACACGACGGGAGCAAGCGGCACGCACCTTCGACGGTGCCCATGTTGACGAGCTTCATCTCGTCGAGGCCGATGTTGGCCAGCAGGTTGAAGCACGACGGCTTCCGCGTGTCCTTCCGCATGTACTTGGGCTTCTTGGGCTTGCCTGCAACCCCCCCCCCCAACGTTTCGCTCCGGGACGTGAGTGGCGTTGGCGAGCAAAAGAAAGAATTGCACGAAGGCACACGACACACACACGACACGACACGACACGACACGACACGACACGCGTACCGATGAGGATGACGTCGGTGAGGAGCCACATCCAGACCTTGTCCTTGTTCTTCGAGTTGAGCCACGTCACCGGACCTTCACGCACCAGCTGCCTCCCGGGCGCCACCAACTGTGCATCATTGATCAAGTTGGAGAATAGATGAGTCCTCGTCTGCCGCGTATGTACCATGCGTGCGTGTCGTGTGTGCGGCGTGGAGTTGAGTTCGTACAGCAACCCCGCCGAACAGGGAATCGATGGCGACCAGCTCGCTATCCTCCAGAGTCATCTGGCTGTCGGCCCGCGACCGCATGATATCTGCAGCAGCAGCAGCAGCAGCAGCAGGATGCACCCCATCAGCCCATCAAGCCTGCAACGGACTGTGTGTGTCGTGTGTGTCATGTGTGTTTGTGTCGTGTGTGTCGTGCGTGCGGCGTACCGGAGCCGCGGGGTGACGACGTGGGCGGCGCGGCAGCGGAGGGTGCGTAGAAGGAGCCGGGGCGCTGGATGATGCTGCCGGACTTGCGCGGGGAGAGGGGCGAGGCCTCGCCCTCGTTGACGCGCTTGCGCTTCTCGTGGAGGAGGTCCTTCTGCAGGAACTCCTTCACGAGCTTGTTGACGCTCAGCACCCACTCCATCTTGGCCTCCGTCGAGCCCATGCCCAGCGTGTACGAGTCCTTCACCTTCACCACCGTCATCCCGTCCTTCTCCACGTGCTCCACCTCGAACGCGTCGTACCCTGCCGCAATCGTCAGACCACTATCGCCACCATCATTGTTGACGACGACAATCATCAGAGCGAGCGGCGACGAACCCTGGAGGGAGGAGAGGTTGATGAGGCGCAGCTCGTCGAGGCCGACCTTGGCGACGGTGGAGAAGCAGGAGGCGGTGCGGCGGGACTCCTGGAGGTGCTTCTGCTTCTTGGGCTTGCCGATGAGGAAGAGGTCGTTGAAGAGCCACACCCACACGTCGACGGGCTTGTCCTTGTTCTTCCCGCTCAGCCAGGCCATCTGCGTGTCTCGCACCAGCCGGCGACCGTTCGCGATCAACTGCGGCCGACGTCACGTGCCGACGTCAGCACGTGCACGAGAGCGTTCGTTTTGCTGAGAAAGAAGGAAGGGGAAGAGATGAACGAGGAGTGAGGGAGTGTGTACGCCGACACCGCCGAAGTAGACGTCGATGGTGGCCAGCTTGCCCTCTTCTTCGGCCGACGAGCCCGTCTGCTTCACCAGATCGAACACTGCGACGATACACACGGCCAGCCCCGGGGTCAGCATTCCCTCAAAAGGGGGTTGTTGGCGTCACAGCCGCTCGATGATTGGCGCATACCAGACATTTCGCGGGAGAGCCCCCGCGGGGTGGCCGGAGACGACTTTCCGTCGTGTTCTGTCGCAACGGAAAAAAGGCAACGAATCGGATGAGCGCATTATTTCGGTGGAAAATGATTGGCGAGGGGGGTGAGGAGGTACCGAGCTTGGCTTCCGTCTCGGCCTTCTTCTTTTCGGCGACGAACTCCATCTGCTGGAAGTGCTTGATGATGTTCTTGAGGCCAAACATCCACTCGGTCTTCTGCTCCACCGTGGGCAGGCCCAGAACGAACGACTCCTTCACCTTGGTCACCTTCATCCCCTCCTTCTCCACCATCTGCACCTCGAACGCCTCCACACCTGCTCGAGCCATCGCATTCGTCATGATAATAATAATAATAATAATAATAATAATAATAATAATAATAAAACAAAAGCCAACGGAAAAAGAAAAAGAAGGCGGTACCTTCGACTGTGGAGAGGTTGACGAGGCGGACCTCGCCGAGCCCGACCTTGGCGACGACGGTGAAGCAGTTGGTCTTGCGCTTGCTCTCCTCGAGGTACTTGGACTGCTTGGGCTTGCCCAGCAGCACCAGGTCGTTGAACAGCCACACCCACACCTGTCCTCCCGCCAGGCGCTGTCAGTTATAAATGATTGCAAGACAATAATAACAAATGCATACTAATAATAATAACAACAATAATAAATGCAATAATAAATAATCACATTGGGCAGGTGGGCGTACGGGGTTCTTTTCCTTGCCCTTGACCCACGTCATGAGGCCCTCCCGCACCAGCCGGCGCGTGGGGCTCAGGAGCTGTTCGGAGTCAAAACGATCGAGGTCAACAATAGAGGAAAATCAAACAAAGTTGGTGCTAGGCGCGGGCCTGGACACATACCTCGATGGCTTCAAAATAGGAGTGTATCTTGACCACCTGGTCGCGGGCCGCAGCTTGCCTCGCGCCCTGATTGATGTAGGTGACCACCTACATACATTGAAATGTATATACACATTTATATATATATATAGATATATAGATATATATTACATGTATGCACATGATTCGCGCGTGAGAACTCGGCAAGAAGAAGAGAAAGGAGGGCAAGGTGCTTTTACCTCTCCAATCTTCCGCTCGGCGAGGGTGAGCTGGGGATAATCCTCGTGGGTCTCCGGAGTGTATTTCACCAGCTCCTGCACAAGGAAGGGGCCAAAAATACCAACACACACACACACACACACGACACGACACACGACACACACGACACACACACACGACACACACAACGGAGGCGGGTCAGCGTTCGGACCGGTAGCATGATAACGGGGCAGATGGGGAGAGCAGTGTAGTGTATAACGTACGCGCAGGAAAAGCGGGTATTTACAGATGCGTTGTACGGGCTGCGCCAACATTACAATTCAACCTCCTCCGGTTAGTAGATGATCATCATCACCGAGGAGGATTCAAGATGGTCTCACCTTGATGAGGTAGTCGTTGAGATTGAGTCCGCGACAGGCGGCATCGCCTTCGGCCAACTGCGTGAGCGGGTGAGTTCATGTTTGCGCGAACTAGAGCGCGCATGTATGAGGGAGAGGAGGAGGAAAGGGTAGGCCGTACGGCGAGGAATTTGCGGAAGTTGGAGTTCTTTTTGGCCAGCTTGATCTTGGTGTCCACAGCTGTCGGGTGATTGGAGCAGTAAATAGTGTACATCTTAAAATAGTCCGCCTGTTGGCACGCACGTCCATTATTAATATTATTATTATTGGTCAGCAGCAAGCAAAATAGAGAAAACGAAAACGAAACTTGAGCACAGTACCAGCTTGGCGAACACGTCGCCGATGGGAATATTGGCGGAAGGCGTGGAGAGCTCCGACACCTTCTTGCTCAGGTTCTGGTTGAACTCCCTGCATGCATGTGCGCGCCAGTCAAAACCATCGTTGTGGTCACGTGCATGCACGGCACGATTGATTGTCGTGACAGCCCGAACGTACATGTTAACGCCGAGCAGGAGCTGCATGTTGGAGAAGATGGTGTTGATGTCGGCGTCGTTCAGGATGTTGGACATGCGCAGCGGCGTCATGAACAGCTGCACGCCACCAGTGGAAAGCGGAGAAAGAAGAAGAAGAAGAGTGAGTGAGTGAGTGAGTGAGCAAAGACGTAGATCGTCGACATGCAAAGCGCGGTAAAGAGTTTTGAGGTAGTGAGAGTCACGAGCTAGTTATTACCCGGATCACGACTTCGAGATCGTGTATGTAGTCCTGCTCTGTTCTGATGATCTCGTTGATGACCTCCCTTCGCATGCGACTCTCCTTGTCCGTGCCTGCAGAGACAAGGGCGGGAGGGGGGATCACGAGAGATGAGAGATGAAAGCAGAACCACCCGTCGACCCGTCGATCCCTCCGCTCGAGAGGGGAAGAAGTTACGGTCTCTCCAAAATTTGGCTAAATATTTGAATTTTGTGTTCGCGAGCGAGAAGGCCACCAACCACTCACCTCCCGCCAACGAACTAACTAACTCCATTTCTCGTGGAGATAAAAAGAGAACAAAACATGTTGGCCAACAACAACGGCTTGGTTTCTACGTTGTTGTCGAGGCCAACGCGGGTCACAAGGGACCTAAAAATGAGTCCTCATTCGAACAATAAATATATGAAAAAAAAATGAAAAACGACAACAAAACGAAGAGAGGGGGAGAGGGGGGCACCGTCGGACGACGAGGGCGAGGGGACAGCGGGCGGCGGCTTGGCCGGAGCAGGGCCGGTCGGCGCCGAGCGGGGCGAGGGCGGCTTGGGGAGGTGCCCAGGCGACGGGGCCGCCGAGCGGGGCGAGGGCGGCTTAGGAAGGGAGCGCGGCGAAGTGGAAGATGAAGATGTCGAAGAAGAGGAAGAAGAAGAAGATGAGCTCGAAGTGGAAGGGGGCGGGGGCGTGGGACGAGAGGGGGGAGCGGTGAGAGCGGGCGGCGGCTGGAGAACGACGGCCGAGGCCGCCCCATAGGCCGAGGTGCCGCGGGGCGACGGGCGCGGCGGGACGGCCACGCCGCCGTTCGAGGCCGAGAGCGAGGGAGGCGGGCCGCCGCGGGGCGAGTGGAGGAGCCGCACGCAGCGGGCCGGGAAGCGGCCCAGGCGACCGTCGAGAGCGCCCGCCCACCAGCCGTCGTCGGACTGGGCCACGACCGTCACCTGCTGGCCGGCGCGGAGGGTGAGCAGGCCCCCATCGTCGTCATCTCCACCTCCTCCACTTCCACCTCCTCCTGATGCTGCGGCGATGTCGCGCGGGGAGGGGGTGAAGTCCTCGACGACGGTGGCGCGGGCCGAGGTCATGCACCAGGACCCCCGCGTACCCGCCCCCGCGCTCTTCATCGACGCAGACGCAGATGCGCCATTTCCGTTTCTCGAGTTGTAGGCCGTCGCCATGACTCTCTCGAGATTTATATGGATTTATCTTCTCTTTTTTTGTCGATTCTTCTTCTCTCCGCCTTCGTTCTGGAATGGATGCAAAGAAGAAGGGGTTTCTTCTTTTCTACTTGTCACCTCCTTGCGCAATCCTGTGTGCGTCGTGTGCGTGAGATATTTTACCTTGGCGTGTGGTTGTTGCGGCAAGGTCACCGTTGCGGCCCTGGTAAATGAGGCGGATATTAATTAATGGTCGACAGGAAAGGAACAGCACGCCACTTTTTTGGTTTCTTGGCGGAGAGGGCACCGTTGCGGTGCTCTCACTAACATCCGGTGGGGGTAGTCGCTTCAAGGCTGCCAAGCCTTGTTTGATACCACCCAGCTCGTCGAGAAATCGTACGAAAATAGTTTGGGCTCGATAGCACCTCACACATCACCGGCGGTGAGAGGGGCGCGACATTGACGAAAAGGTTTGAATTGTTTGTTTGGCGTTTATGTGGGAGACAAAAAATTTCTACTTGCCGCCGGTCATCTTCTTGTTGGCGCCCTTCTTGCTCCTCTTCTTCTTGGGCGACTTCTTGGGCGCATCGGTCTGGGCCTCAGCCTCGGCCTGCTCCTCGGCGGGCTGCTCGCCCACGACCTCGGCGACGTCCATGCCATCGACCACCGCCGCCTCCTCCTCGCCCTTCTCCTCCTCCTCTGCCTCCTCCTCCTCCGGCTTGGCGGAGACGTTGGCCGGGATGGGGACCGGCATGTTGTCGTACTTGATCAGCTTACACACAAAGAAACCGTCCATATTGTGCGTGTGCGGGTACACTCTGTGTGTGCGCGCGTGTGTGCGGTTGTGCGTGTGTCACGGTTAGCACTCGAGCACAGTAGGCCGTCGAGATTGGGGGGGAGGGAGAGAGAGAAGAGGTTGTACCGGACAGCGTGCTTGAGGCTGGGGTGGAATTGCCGGCTGCCGATGCGCGTGAAGCCGGGCTTGCCGAAGGGCACCCCCGAGGGGACCACCTTCACCGCTCGCTTCTTAAGGGCGTAGTCGACGACGGCCTGCCGACGTGTACGCTCACGAAGGTGAGAATGATAACAAATACTGAGGAGGAAGGTGAGAGAGAGAGAGATAGGGCACCAACCTCGTTCTCCTCGATGAGGATGGAGCAGGTCGAGTAGACGATGACGGCACCGCCCGAAGAGTGGCCCTTCATGTCGACAGAGTCGATGGCCGCCAGGATGAGCTCCTTCTGGATGTGGGACATGCGGTGCACGTCGCGCTCGTCCTGTGGTTATCACACAAAAAGAAAGAAGAAGAGAAGAGAGCCGCACACTAATTAGTGACCAGGAGAGTAAATAAATAGATACCTTAATAAACAAATAAAAAAATAAAAATAAAAATAAATCGTGTTTGGTGCGGCGTTACCTTCTGCGTCTTCACGGAGGGATCCTTGGAGATCACACCGGAGCCCGTGCACGGGGCGTCGAGGAGGATGCGGTCGAAGCCGCCCATCACGCGGGGGAACATGCGTCCGTCATAGTTGGTGATCACCGTGTTGCGGATGCCCATCCTGAAGAGGGTCCATGGCGAGATGAGTTTCACTGCGTGCGTGCGTGTCGATGCGTGCGTGCCCAATTAACTGTGTTTACCTGTGAACGTTGGCGACGACGGCCCTAACTCGCTCGGAGTGCTTGTCGTTGGAGAACAGAACACCGGTGTTCTTCATCATTTGGGCTGGACGAGGGAAAGGACAGTAAAAAACAAGATATGTAAATAAATGAATCGATCGTCGCAACAACAACAACGAAGAAGAAGAAGAAGCGCACCGATGTAGGTAGTCTTGCCACCGGGAGCGGCGCACATGTCGAGGACTCGCTCTCCGGGCTGCGGGTCGAGGGCCAGCACGGGAATGAACGACGAAGCGCTCTGCAGCATGTACTGCCCCGTCAAGTACTCGGGGGTGGCACCTGGCGTGTGGTGAGCGGGGGGGGGAAGTGAGGATCTCCGCTCGCTTCGATGGAAAAAGCCGGCCGAGTGGTGCAGTACCGATGGGAACGGGCGAATCGTAGATCTGGAGGCCGACGTTGGACCACTTGGACAGCGGGTCCAGGTTGACGCCTCGCTGGATGAGGGACTGCGCGAGCTCCCTTCGCCTCGTCTTGAGCGTGTTGGTCCTGATGGTCAGCGGGCGCGGAGCCTCGTTGGCCTCGAAGAACTCCATCGCCTGCACGACACACGACACACACAACACGGGTGACCACAGATTAGCGATCACGATCACGATAACGAGATCTCGGGCACAGGCGACGATCGAAGGGACGCACCTCGTTGAGGGTGAAGAGGTTGAGGATCTTGGCCACCATCCACTCGGAGTAGCCGTAGTAGGCGGCGATGTCGTGCCTGAGCTGGGTGAGGTACTCTCGCCTCTGCCTGCCCGGCTCTCGCAGCTTGCCAAAGTTGTTCAGCACTCGGAGCACCTCGTGCATGTGAGTGCGCACCGCCTCCAGGTCCATGCCCATCAGGCTCTGCATGGCTGTGCACACACACACACACACACACACACACAAACCGCACAATCACAGTCAGATTGTAGAATGCAAACCGACACGCATGATCGTAAACAGTTGACGGCCGAACAACGTACGCATGTCGTTGGCATCGTCTTCGCCCTCGTCCTTGGGCGGGAGGATGGGCATCTCGCTGGCCTCGTCGTCGTCCTGGACGCTGTGCTGGAACTCCAGCGCGGAGAGCGCCTCGTCCTCCTTCTGTCGCTGCACGATCTTCTTGGACTTCTTCTCCACTTCGAGCTCCTGCAGGCCAGCCGAAACCATCGGTCCGTCAGCCAGCGCGTGGGTGGAGTTGGAAGGAAAAGAACGAAGAAGAAAGAAGACGAACCTCTTCGTCGTCGCTCCCACCAAGGAATTCGTCGTCCTCAGCACCGTCGCTGTCGTCGCTGTTGACGTCCGCTCCCTCGACGACTTCAAACTCACCGTTCTCCTCCTGCTCCCCATCGTCCTCTTCCTCCTCTTCGTCTTGTTCGTCGTCCTCCTCCTCGGCCTCCACCGACTTGTTACCCTTCTTGGCCTTCTTCTCTTTCTCCTATCGGCGTAAAGCGAAGAAGCGATTAAATGAAAAATTGAGATTTGAAAACAAAAAATTGAGATTGAATGAGCAGCAAGAGCGTACCAGGAGCTGAAGGAGCTCATCTCCCTCATCGCTTTGCTCTTCTTCCTCCCAGAGGCTCTTCTTCGCTTGGCCAGTGACGCTCGTCTTCACCGACTTAGTCAAAAGGTTCTCGGCTTCATCGTCGGAGTCGGCATCGGCCTTCTTGTTGTTCTTCTTCCCCTTCTTCTCCACCTCATTGGCCTTGCCCTTGGGTGATTGCTGCTTTTGCGCGGGCGATTTGGTGACGGGCGATTCGACCTTCCGCTGCTTCTTGGCGGGTGTGGCGGCCTTCTCCTGCTTGGCAGGCGACGCAACTGAGGTGTTGCCACTTCCTACGCTCTTCCTCTTCGGCATCTTCAACCACGAGCTCTACTCTAAGAATCCAATGCAGGCAAAGAGCGATTGGAGATGCGCCGGCAAGATCGTCTCCGCAGCGGAAAGAGTCTGGAAAACCGGAAAAGGCCGCGAACGCTTGCATTCCTCGCATACTATACAATGCCGACGTCGACAGCCCCCTTAGCAATAGAGCCATTTTTTCTTCGGTGACTTTTTCCCTCGATTGTGATTGTGAGCGGCCAGGCACGCCATCATGCCGGCTTCCGCCATCTTTGTGCTCGATCTAAAGGTGGGACGTGATGGCTGTCTTCTTCTCTTGTGTCAATTTGTTCGTTTTATTCATTTACATTCCTTATATCTGTGACAATTCGCAGGGCAAAGTCTTGCTGTGGCGGGATTACAGAGGCGATGTGCCGCTCAACATAGCTGAGCGCTTCATGAACATCATCATGGCCAAAGATGAGCAAGATGTTCGGCCGATTTTCGAAGAGGATGGAGTAACCTACATATATGTCAAATACAAGAACCTGTACAGTACGTGCCCTCATCTTCTCGCTTCTTCCACTTTGTTGAGTGTTAATCCTGCCCTACAAACAGTCATGACGGTCACGAAGCACAATGCCGACGCCGCCATGCTCTTGATTTTCCTCTACAAGCTCATTCAGGTACTGCCGCACAATCGCAAAAACAATATCGTCGCCTCCTACCATCAGGTGGCCTAACGTGAGTGCACCTTTTGAATGTTGCATACCGCCTTGAGGAAAGGTCTTCACGGCGTACTTCCAAGAGCTGGAGGAGGAGAGTTTGAAGGACAACTTCGTCATCATTTATGAGCTTCTCGACGAGATGATGGATTTCGGGTATCCACAAGCCACCGACGCCCAAATCTTGCAAGAGTACGCCCCCCCCTCCACCACGTGCCCCGTTGTTAGTCCTGCTTCGTTTCGCTTCTTCTCCTCTGGCCTTTCTTCTTCTTCTTTGTGGAGACGGCCATCGCCTTTGCCTTTACTCGAGTAAGAAGAAGAAAAACATTCTACACGTTTAGCGCCTTTCCTCATCTTGTGCTGACCGGTGGTTGATGTTGCGGCAGGTTCATCACACAAGAGTTCTACAAGATGGAGCAGCAGCCTCGTCCACCGCCCGCCCTGACCACGGCGGTGAGCTGGCGCTCGGAGGGAATCAAGTACCGAAAAAACGAAGTCTTCCTTGACGTCATCGAAAACGTCAACGTTCTCGTACGCCTTTCGCTCTCCCTTGCCTCAGTCCTCTGCTGCTGCTGTGGCGCGCGCGCGCGTGTGTGTGTCGTGTGTGGGTGTGGGTCGTGTGTGTTGTGTCGCTGTCGAGTGCTGACGTGGGCAGTTGTGGTGCAGGTGGCGGCCAACGGCACGGTCCTGCGAAGCGAGATCGTGGGTAGCGTGCAGGTGAGGTCGTACCTGAGCGGCATGCCAGAGCTCCGCCTGGGCCTCAACGATCGCGTCCAGTTCGAGTCCAACGCGCAGAGGTCGCTCAAGAAGGGCGCCATCGAGATGGAGGACGTCATCTTCCACCAGTGCGTGCGCCTCTCGCGCTTCGACAGCGACCGGACCATCTCCTTCATCCCGCCCGACAAAGATTTCGAATTGGTTCGTTGCCCTCTTCGTCCAGCTTACGCCTCTTGAAAGCTGAGTTCTTTCTTCTCACCAATCTCGCTCGCCATTTTTTTGTGTTTTGTGTTCTTGTCGAGGGCAGATGTCCTACCGTCTCAACACACAGATCAAGCCCCTGATTTGGGTCGAAGCGATTGTCGAGTCGCACGAGCGCTCGCGCGTAGAGTACCTCGTCAAGGCCCGCTCACAGTTCAAGGCCCGATCGACGGCCAACAACGTGGGCATCTTCATCCCCGTGCCTCCCGACGCCGATTCGCCCAAGTTCAGGGTTCGCGCAGTCTCGCACTTGTCGTTCTTCTTCGTCGTCGTCATCATCTCAACTCACACGCTTTTCCTTTTTCCAGGCCAACGTGGGTACGGTCAAGTACGTGCCGGAGCGGGACGCCATCCTGTGGTACATCCCCAAGTTCCAGGGAGCGCGCGAGTACCTCATGCGAGCGCACTTTGGGCTGCCGTCGACGACCAGCGAGGACCTTGCGCAGGCCAAGCCGCCGATCACCGTCAAGTTTGAGATTCCTTACTTTACAGTATCCGGCATCCAGGTCCGCTACCTCAAGATCATTGAGCGCTCCGGCTACCAGGTGCCCACCTCCAACCCTTCAACCTTGTCGGTCACCGCCTTTGTCTTCTCCGCTTCTTGCCGAGTGCTCACGCTTTGTCCTCCTCTGGCCAGGCTCTGCCGTGGGTGAGATACATCACCAAGAGCGGCGATTACCAGCTCAGGCTGTCGTAGACGTTGCTCCCCTCCCCCCTCCCCCGCTTCGCTTCTCATTTCTTCGCTTCAACACGAGATGTCGTTGCCCCCTATTTGTTGTGTGTTTCCTTTATTTTCTCTTTCTTTATTTTCTCTGTTCGTTTCACTTGTTCTCTCTCCGCGCCAATCGCAGCAGGCCTGCGTGTCCCTTCGTGAAAAACAACGCAGGCAGGAGGCAGAACACAGAAGAAGAAGAAGAGGAAGAAGAGGAGGAACGAGAAAGATGACCGACTCGTCGAAGGTGATTGTGTGCGACAACGGTACGGGGTTCGTGAAGTGCGGCTTTGCGGGTAGCAACTTCCCGGCCTCTATCTTCCCGTCGATGGTGGGTCGGCCCATCATGCGCTCGGAGGAGAAGGTGGACAATGTGGAGATCAAGGACATCATGGTGGGCGACGAGGCGTCCAAGCTGCGCTCGCAGCTCCAGATCACCTACCCGCTCGACAACGGCATCGTGCGCAACTGGGAGGACGCCGAGCACGTGTGGAACTACACCTTCATGGAGAAGCTCAAGGTCAACCCGCGCGAGTGCAAGATCCTCCTCACCGAGCCCCCCATGAACCCGCTCGCCAACCGCGAGAAGATGGTTCAGGTCATGTTCGAGAAGTACGGCTTCAAGGCCGCCTACATCGCCATCCAGGTATGTTGTTGTTACATTCTTCCTTCCACCGTTTCACTCATGGCAACGTGTAGTGCGGAGGAGATTAACATTTTGAACACCTCATCACGCAGGCCGTGCTGACCCTCTACGCCCAAGGTCTGTTGACGGGCGTGGTTGTGGACTCTGGTGACGGTGTGACGCACATCGTCCCCGTCTACGAGGGCTTCTCGCTGCCCCACTTGACCCGCCGACTCAACGTGGCCGGCCGTGATGTGACCCGCTACCTCATCAAGCTCCTCCTCCTCCGCGGCTACGTCTTCAACCGCACCGCCGACTTCGAGACCGTCCGCCAGATCAAGGAAAAGGTACTGCTGCCTTACGCCCCCCCCCCCCATAAGCAATCTTTTCCAACGTTTTCTCAAACTGTTGCTTGATTGGGCGCGACCAGTTCTGCTACGTGGGCTACGACCTCGAGCTGGAGAAGAGGCTCGCGCTGGAGACGACCACGCTCGTGGAGAAGTACACCCTGCCGGACGGCCGCGTGATCCGCATCGGCGCCGAGCGCTTCGAGGCCCCCGAGTGCCTGTTCACCCCGGCGCTGGTCGACCAGGAGAGCGTGGGAATGGGCGAGCTCGTGTTCGACACCATCAATAAGGCAGACATCGACACGCGCGCCGAGTTCTACAACCACGTCGTGCTTTCGGGTGGTTCGACGATGTACCCGGGCCTGCCCTCGCGCCTGGAGAAGGAGATCAAGCGCCTCTACTTTGAGCGCGTGGCGAAGGGCAACAAGGTGTCGATGCAGAAGTTCAAGTGCCGCATCGAGGACCCGCCGCGCAGGAAGCACATGGTGTTCCTCGGCGGTGCCGTGCTGGCCGAGATCATGAAGGACAAGACCGCCTTCTGGATGAACAAGTCCGAGTACGACGAGCAGGGCCCGCGCGTTCTCCGCAAGTGCTTCTAAAAAGATAGGTCGACAACGGACAAAAAAGAGTTGTTGTAGTTTGGAGTACTTCTATTAAAGATGTTGTTGAAATGATCATTGCTCTTGTCGTCAAGCAGAGGCGAGGTCCCGTATCAGTTCTTCTGCCTACCGTCGTCAGGCGAACCAGCTCGAATCGGGCGTCTTGAAGGGATCCGTGGTCTTGTGGTCCGGGTTCATGTCGTCTGAACTGCATGGTTGGTGGTGCAATGGCACGACGAGGGGGTCAGGGCGATGGGAGAGCGGTGATGGAAATGTGGCCTTAGGCCGGGTTGTGTTTGTTGTGGCGCCGGAAAACGTACTTACTTGCGGACGTCGGTGGCGGAAGCGTCGGAGTACTCGGCGCCCTCCTTGTAGAGCGGAGTGTCCTGTTCGAGGCTGACGCCCTGCCGGTTGCGCTCGTCCTTGATGTCCTTGTCCAATCCGGTCTCCTTGTTGAACGACGTACCATCCATGTTCTTCATCTTCTCTTTCGTGCTCCCTGCACGTGCGTGCTGTGAGCAAAGCAAAAGCACCCGACACCGTGCCTGCACAGAACGTACGAATGTCATCCTTGCCGTAGGAGCTGTCCCCCTCGCGCTGGTCCATTCTCGGGGCCACACCTGGACCCATCGAATCCAAAGTTGGTGAGGGACATTCCACGGACTGACAGGTGGGGGATTACCAGCAGCAGTGTCCTGAGAGAGGGTGCTGATGGGGCGGGTGTCCTCGTCGGCGAAGCGCTTCTCGCGGGTGCTCTGTGGGTTGAGGTCCTGCACGGGGTCGCTCACAATGGAGTCCTTTGTCTTGTCGGACCGCCAAATGCTGGCGCTTCTGCAGCCGCCCAGCAGCCTTGCAGCCTGCTGCCCGCCCAGCCCTGCATTCATCACTCTTGTGGCTCTTCTCATCTTCTCTTGTGGCACAGTTTTTCTTTGTTGGTAGTTTGGTTGGAAGGCGGGTGTGGTGTAGTGTGTTTATTTAAAGTGGGACACCCAGGGGCTTAGAGGGAATGTGACCAGAAAGTCATGGCTCCATGCTGATTTCCTGCTAGAATTGGGGTGATATTTTGTTGGAGTTTCTGACTCCACAATCCTACAGAAAGAGCTGGTGGTGTATGAGCCCACACAAACCCTTGAGGATATTCTCAGTCAACAGCAAGCTCATGTGAGCTCTGGAGAGTTGGAGAAATGGCCAATGCCAGGCAGACACTACACTTTGTGTTCTGCCACCCCACATGTGGGGGGGGGTGTGCTTACTGGCTAGTGGTTGGAACATGGTAGAGGTATGACACTGACATAACCAAGCATGGCTGCCTCACATCTTCTCTACATCAGCCAAGAGCATCAGAACAGTGGTGACATCAGCTAGCTATCTCACTGTGATGAACTACTACTTATGGGCAATGTGGCTCTCCTTGAATGCACATTCCTCATGGGGAGTTAGGTGGCAGATCTTTGGTGTCCAGTTTTTGCCAGTTGGTCAGGAACCTACACACAAGTCAGAAGTCAGGGGTGGTGTATGGTGTGGTGTGGGCAGCACAGTCATCATGGCAGTGTGTTCAGCACAATGGCTGCAGGTACATTCAGTGCAGCAGTGGATTGGCATGGCAATCATTGTTGGGCTGGTCAGGCACAGCCCCTGCATTCCTGTGAAGTTGGTGTCTTGTTGAGCCCTACAGCAAGCAAAATCACAGGACTGTTGACGCACTAGGAGCAAGAAGAAAATATTCAGGAAAAGGAATAAACGAAAGACGATCGACTTGCCAAGAAGATCAGAAGATCATTGGCGTACAACATAACGTTGGAGGTGAAGCGCTGGTAAGGACATCAGTCCGTGTGGGCAAGCTCTCGGCACCCAACCGAAAATGATGGCTGATACAAATGGAACGTTTGCGCCCGCAAATGCCAAATTGCACCCACCACAGCCGAGACCGCCCTACTCCTCATCTAATCCACCACCTCGCCCTCCTCGTTCGCCTCGCGGCGTAACATCCACCACTCACCATGCCGTACCGACACATCTGCATCTGCTCGATGCTGAATCTGCTACGGGGGCGATGATGACGACGCCCATTGGCGATTCGACGGAATCGCCCCTATCGTCGTCTGTTGACATCACCGCTTCTTCGTCGTCGGTGGGACCCAAGCCGGGGGTGACCTACCCCCGATTTCCTCGTCTGGCCGAGTACTTCATCGTCGTTGGCGCCAAGCAACCCCTCGCCCTTCTCGGTGCCCGCCCACCTTTTCTCCATTTCTCATTTTGCTAATTTCTGTCCACAATCTTTTATTTGTTTGTTAATCTTTTATTTATACAAAAAAATAACGTTATCAGAGGGGCCTAGCACGGGCGAGGTGTTGGACGTGCTGCCGCGCCCGTCTGATGATGACAACCCCATCGGTGGTATCTCCATGGTACGCTCCTTTTGCACCCTTCTTCTTCTTCTTCTTTCCCAGGCGTGGTGGTGGCTGGTGGTAGTCGTGGTGGTCCAGTGTTTTGCTAACCTGCCTGGTGCTTGCTTGGATGGGGATGGATGGATGGATGGATGGATGGAATACACCCAGTTTTGCTTTCCCGATGGCGTCGCAATGAAGTTCGAGGAGGACCCGGTCAAGTTTCACACGTTCGTGCTCACCGGCCTGCTGGGCGGGCGCCTCTACGGCTTCTGCCTCGTCTTCCCCGAGCGCCACCTCCTCCCCGCAGCTCCCCGTACCGCCACCGCCACCACCTCCCTCGCTTTCGCTTTCGGTTTCGCTCTTTCTTTTTGTGCTCACTCACATTCGGGATTGGGATCGACACCAATCGACACCAACACTACAGCTGGACCGCCGCCGCCCGGACACAGGCACTGGCCGAAGTACGGCTACGTCTCCAAGTGCCTGTGCATCGTCTCCCAGAAGACCTTCATGAACACCTTCAAGCGCTATCTCGCATCGTACGCGCCCTCCCCTCCCCTCTCCACTTCGATGCAGAACATCGAAGTTGGGCTTGTTGCTACGTGTGTACCATCAACCACTGACCCCGTTGTGTGTGTGTGTGTGTGTGTGTGTGGACTCGGTGACGACAAAAAACACCACAAACAAACAGACTCTATCTCTTGAGCAAGGACGTCGAAGGGCTCACCTTTCCGCTCGAGTTCCACCTGGCCAACCTCCTCCTGGAGACTCCTGCCCCAGCTCCAGGTCTGTGCTCTCTCTCGCGCGCGCGCTTGGTTCCTCCTCGTTCCCGCTCTCTTCTTCATCTTCTTGGGGGGGGGCATGAAGATATCTTCTGACCTGCTTGGGGGCTTGGTTGGCCTTCGGCACCACCAGGTCGGATCGATGTCACGTTCTCGCTTCCCAACAGCCCCGATTTCACGTTCTACCAACCATCGCGACACGAGTTCCCTCTCATCGACGTACGCGCTCTTCCCTCGCACCGGTCTCCAATTCACTTTGGGGGGGGGGGAATTGCTGAACGTGGTTGGTGTGGATTGTGTCAACAACTTGAGCAGTTCTCGCTGCGAAGCTTGTTCGAATGTTTGGAGGTTGAGCGCATATTGCAGCTCATCCTGTGCATGATGCTGGAAAAGAAGATCCTCCTCTACTCTCGCCACACCGCCCTCCTCACCATCGTCACCGAGGTACCCCCCAAATCGCTCGTATTCTTATTTAATTCTTATTTATTATTTTTTATTATTGATATTATTGTAGCGTTCTAGATAATATATTTATAATTATCTGTAGGGCGTCAGTGCGCTGCTGTATCCGTTCAAGTGGGACCTGGTCTACGTGCCGCTCCTGTCGCGCTCGCTGATCGACCACACGGAAGCACCCACGCCCTTCGTCATGGGCATGCACAGCTCCTACCTCGCCGACATCCCCTCCAACAGAGAGGTTCGTTTTCCGTTCTTGTGCCACCGCTCGTGTGCGTGTCGTGTCGTCGTGTCGTGTCGCGCTGGCGCCGGCAGTAGCGCTGACCTGGTCCTGATCTCTGGCGCAGGAAATGGTGTTGGTCGATTTGGACCACAACCGATTGGAAACGACAGAGGTGCTGCCCGAGTTCCCCGCACGCGACAAGGGTACGCCCAGCCCCCCCCCACCAATGCACAGTCGCGTTTCTTGAAGAGTGGCTGGCTGCACTTCCTTTGGTCACTTGAATGACATTGTGGTTCCAATGCGTCGCGTGCGCATCAATTCACCAGGCGAGCTGATCGAGCGGCTCATGACCCACATCCACCCGGCCCTCGAGACCATCGACCTGGCCTTCCCCGCCATGTCCGCCAACAACGTCGAACTGGAGCGCACGCCTGGTACGGCTTCCTTCGAAGACGCGTTCTCTACACTGCAATGCCCGAGATTCTGTTGTGTGTGTGGCTGACACAATCACCAACGACACGCAACACGGCATGCAACACGACACACGACCCCGACCCGTGCGCAGAGCGGTGGACGGCGTACCACGAGAAGCGAATACGAGCGTCGTTCTTCATGTTCTACGCGGACCTCATCAACGGCTACCAGTTCAGCGGGGACGGCAACGGCAACGCCGACGAGTCCTTCATCGCCGTCCAGCCCGACTCATCGAAGGAGTTCTTCGAGAAGTTCTTCGGCACCGAGATGTGGTACTCCTTCGTCGAGGAGCGCAAGAAGCACGGCGACGACCTCTTCGAAGACTTCATCAACTATCGCGGTTCCTCACCCCGCCTCTCTGCTCTCGCTTGCTCCGTGCTCCTGACACACGACACGACACGACACAACCAATGACACGACCAACGACACGACCAACGACACGACACACACCGCAGAGGAGCGAGCGACGCGAAGAGGCAAGGCGAACGTTGCGGACGCGGGGAGGGAGCGGCGGCGAGAGCGGGAGAGGGAGCTGGACTATCTGATGGACCGGTTCGGCAGCGGCGGCGGCGCGTGCACCCACGTCACGGTGCCCCGGCCCTCGTTCGCCCACCTCGCGCCGGAGCGGGAGGAGGTCGTACGGCGCATACTCGACGAGCGCCGCGCGCAGGCCCGCGCCGCGGCCGAGGATGAGTCGTGGAGGCGGCGCCTGGAGGAGTGGAACGTCGAACGCAAGCGCGCCCGGGAGATCGAGCGCGAGCGCGAGAAGGAGCGGCTCATGAACCGCGAGTCGCCCAACGGTTCCGGTGGATTCACGGTACAATCACCATTTTTGTAGAACTACAATAATCTCATTTTTTATAACAATCATTTCATTTCTGAAAAAAATGGCTGACAACTATTTTCTCATGAATGATAGGATGCATTCCAGTCGCCACTCTCGGTGCGTTGTTCACGTCGCGTGTGTGCTGGCCTCCATTGATTTTAGGCTAACACGAGTTGTTTACGCGGTAATGTAATCTAATGCAGAGCTCGCCCACCCGACAGAGGGCCAACTCGCTGCAGCAGCCCACCACCACGGGGATGGCGCCCCAGAACGCGCCACCGCAGTATCTGGCGCCCACACCCCAGCGCCAGGCCGCCCCGGTCTCGCCTCGCTCCGCTCGCGTGAACACGCTGGCCACTCCGCTGAGCTCCTCCCATCCCGAGGTACACCCCTCCCCCCAAGCCATCTTCGTTCTTCTTTCTTTCTTCTTCGTTCTTCTTCGGCCAATCGTTTTGCTTGACACAGAGGGGTCCCTCGCCGAGGCCCAAGTCGCCCAACGGCGCGATGGGACCCAACTCCGGCCCGACGCCTCCACCCCGCATTAAGAGACCCCTCACCTCCGTACGCCTCCCCTCGATCGCGATGAACTATACATCTATCTATATCTATATATTTCTATCTTATACACATCTATCTATCTATACATTGTTTGGTTTTTTGTTTATTTGTGAAGGGGCAGGCGCTCTCGACTCCGCATCTGTTTCCGCTGCAAGGCCGGAAGGACATGCCGCCGCCGGCCACCCCCGGCGGCGGCGGTCGGCCGGCCCAGCCGCAGCCGCTGCTGGGCGCCAGCCGCACGCCGGTCCACTCCACCTCGCGCCAGCGCCGCGACATGCTCGAGCACATCCACAAATCGCAGAAGGAATTCGAAAAACGCGAACCGACCGACGCCGCGGGCAAGCGACCGCGGCCGTCCTCCATCAACCTGGGTGTACAGCGCCGCGGCCACCGCAGGAGCAAGTCCGTCGCCATCGTTCACAGTCCGTGCTCCCTCCTCTTTATGGAATGTGGCGGCGCATGATGATGGCAATGGCAATGATCGCGATCTGTGCTCACAATGGCCTCGTCGTGCACGCGTGTGCTGATGGTGTGCGTGACGAACGTGTGTGTGTGTGTGTGTGTGTGTGTGTGTGTGTGTAGCGACGAGGTCGGCGGGGTCGTTAGACACGACGGACCTGGAGGGGCGGGGCGAACTACGCGTCTCCAAGGAGGAGAGCGACCTCAACAGCTCCACCGGGAGCGACTTGGGCGAAGGCAGCGAAGACGACGAGTTCGGTAAGCGCCGCACGACACGACCAACGACACGCACACGACGCGGCGCTGGCTAACGCTTGTGCACGCAGGCTACGATATGGAAGAGGAGGAGTGCAAGGAGGAGGAATCGGACGAGGACGAGGAGGCGGTGACGCTCGAGGAGGACGCCAAGCGGCCGTGGTCGTTCCCGCGGCTGGCCCAGGAGGTGTTCGACGCCTTCGAGGGGCGGTACGACCAGCTGGTCGAGCAGCTGTCCCGCCGCATTGCCGCCTCCCCCGAGATCGCGCAGCTCTACATGCTACGCGCCCGCCTCTACACCGAGCTCGGCGACCCTCTCAACGCTCTTCGGGTTCGCTTCCACCACCTTCTTGGCACGCAAAGAAATTCGCTGATGTATCTGCGTGTGTCGTGCCGTGTGCCGTGTGTCGTGTTGTGTGTCGTGTGCAGGATCACGACAAGGTGTGGTCGTTGATGTACGGGCACGCGCACGTGATCGCGGAGAACAGGGAGCTGATGAAGGCCCTGTTCCCGCTCCTCGACGAGCAGCAGCGCGAGGAGGCCTCCAAGATCGGGACCTACACCGAGTCCCAGCTCTCGCACTTCATCAAAAAGTGTGAACACGAGCACGAGCACGACGACGACGATCGCGAGGGTGACGACAAGGTTTGCTACGCTCACTCGCTCGCTCGCATTCAGTCCTGCCCGGCACGTACAGCTTTTGTGTCGACTGGCGGTTGACTCTGGCGCTGTGTGTGTCGTGTGTGTCGTGTGTGTCGTGCGGTGTGTTCCGTGTAGGACAAGTCGATGCTGGATTCGCTGGATCGTTCGTCGGGCGACATGTTCGATAGCACCAATTCGCCCATCAGCCCGCGGGCCAAGGGTGCCGCCACCTCCAACAACCCCGCTGTCATCACCATCGCCCCGCCTCCGCTCAAGGTTCGAACCGTCATAGCACACGCAGCACACACTCGATACGCGCGCACGCGCGCGCACGCGCGCGCGCACACACACACACACACACACACACACGAAACGCGTACGCCGCACACACTCACGGACATGCGGTGGCTAACGAAAGCTGATGCAACACCAGGATGAGAGCGACGGGGAGTGGGAGTACAAGGTGTACGTGGGGAAGTTGGTGAGCGCCCTGCCCGCGACCAAGAAGATCCACCGGAGGGAGTTCATTGACTACGCCGTCTCCGTCAACCTCTGCCCCGACGTCTACGACGCCAAGATGCACGCCACCCACCCACCCCGAGATCCACTCTACACCATCGCATTTTGGGCGTGTCTGAAGAATGTGAAATATTTGCGTTCCGTTATTATTATTATTTTGCAGATTGTTTGCGGTGCTGACGGCGACGAAGAAGGCGGCCCCGAGCAAGTTCATCCTGCCCAGCAAGCTCGTCAAGTTCGTCAAGACGGTGCAGGCGACCTACTGCCAGACCGTGAGCTGGATCCCGCGCCTCGGTACCCGCTTCCCCTCTTCTTCTTCGTAGCTTTTCTCCTTTTCTTCTTGTCTTTTCTCCTTTTTCTCATGACTTTCTCTGCCTACAGGTCGAGGAGAGGTGGTCCTGCGGGTGTCGTCGAGCAGCGTGACCACCACATCGGGCGCGAGGGGCTACATGATCCTCACCAACCACCGCCTCCTCTTCGCGGTGCGCCCACCACCTCCATTTTTATTTATTTTTTTTTATATATATATGGGACATATTTATAAATATTTGAAGATTTGTATGTGATACTACTTATCGCAATTCCTCACTCACATATAAAATCTTGCAGCCCAAGAAGCCGTCCAAGAAGGAGGACGATCAGAGCAAGAGCAACTTCCTCCTGAGCAACATTGTGAAAGTGGAGCGACACAACTTCAAGGTGGGTCACAACATGTTTGTTATATTGTTATCGGTCTTATGTTCTCGGAGGCTCTTGTTTGATATTATGCGTATGTTTGTATTCCGCCGCGTTAGATCTTCATACCGCCGGGTTTGCCCTGCCTCAACATCCACGACCGGACGCGCAATTACGAGACCTTCTGCTTCCTGTCGTGGGTCGAGCGCGACATCTGGATGTCTTGCCTCAACGAAATGCAGGTACGCGTACATCACACGACACACGACACACACGACACACACGACACACGAAACCTGATTGCGGTTGTGGTGGGACAACAGGTGGCCTACGAGATTGCGATCGATCTGTCCGACCCGCGTATCATCTGCCACACCGCACATCGCCTCATGCTCAGTGAAGCCATCTTCCGCATCAAGAAGCGATACGTCGTACGTTGCGCACGCACCCACCCTCGAATAACTGAGCCCCCCCCCCATAGTTCACACCCCCGCTAGCGGACCGGTTACTTATTAATGACTCTGATTGGGGGGGGGGGGCAAATCAATGCGTGCAGAGGAATCTGTTCGCGTTTGCAGACTTTACGTCGCAGTCGTTCTACCAAATCGCGAAGCGGCTCGAGGCGCGTGGCATTCTCAACACCAGCCACTCCTGGGACATCAACCAACCCGTACCCCTCCCACAGCCAACCATGCCCTACTTTTTGTTGTTGTTATTATTATTTATTGTTATTATTTATTGTTATTGTTATTTAGCTCGCCTATTATTTTTGTTATTGCCTTTATTGTTGAAATTGTTTATCATTTTTCTGATTATTGATTGGGTGTTTGTCGTCAACAGGTCCGGCATGCATGCGCTGTCTCCGAAGATCTGCTCGGGGCCATCGTGGCGCTGTTCTTCGCCCACGTCCTGCCCGACGGCCATCAGGTGGACTTCAAGGCGTTGGCCGCCTCGCCCGACTTCCAGCGCTTCGAGGAGTCCAGCGCCGAGCTACAGGTGCCCCCCCCCTCTCGACCAACGACACGACCAACGACACACAACACGGCATGACACGTGACACTGACGATAACAACACACCGCAACGCGATGCACAACACACGCAAACAGAGGGTGAATCTGGCGCAGTTGAGTGCCAAGGAGCGTACGGCGTTCTTCATCAACGTGTACAACGTGCTGGCCATCCACGGGTTCGTGGTGACGGGCTTCCCGCGCTGCCAGCTCGATTGGCGCTACTTTGCGCGCACCGCCTGCTACGACATCGCCGGCCTCCCCTTCTCCCTCGACGAAATCCACCACGGCCTCCTTCGGTACCCAAGCCCCTCCCCTTCTCCTCCACCCCCTCCACACCCCCGCTGACATCGCACGTTGCGTGTGCGGTGCGTGCGGTGTGCGTGTGCGCCCGAACAGAGGCAACCGGGCAGGCCCGTGGTTCTCGAAGAAGCGGTTCACGGACGACGACCCCCGGTTGCAGTACACGATCGAGCGGCCGGACTACCGCGTCCTGTTCGCCCTCTCCATCCACTCGTACTCGTCGCCGTGCCTCCGCCTCTACGACGCCGACAACATCGAGGTCTGGCTCAACCTCGCCACCGAGGAGTACATCTCCTCCAACGTGCAGATCCTGCCCGCCAAGGACCGACAGGTTATTCCCCCCCTTCCCTTCCCTCTCACCTCGCTCTACCCATGCGTGTGTCGTGTGCGTCGTGTCGTGTGTCGTGTGTGTCGTGTGCGACAACAGTCTTTGCGATGCTGACTGGGGTGTGTGCGCAGCAACAGCAGCTGATCCTGCCCGAGATGCTGCGATGGTACTACAAGGACTTCCTCGAATTCTCCGGCGGGGAGGCCGACACCGACGCCTCGCCCCCCTCGTCTTCACCCGGTTCGTCCCTCCCCGCCGAATAGTTGGTCTTGGCCTCCTCTAATCGGCTGCGACACTCGATGTGTGCATATGTGTGTTGTGCGGTGTGTGTGCGTGCGTGTGCGTGTGCGTGAGCAGGGCCGTTGGGCGGTGCGGGCAGCTCGAGCCTGACGGGTCTGCTGCGGCGCGTGGTGCTGCCCTTCCTGTCGGGCGGGAAACGGAAGGCCCTCCAGACCCTCATGGCGAGCGAGGGCGCCCCCTACGACGTCAAGTGGATCTACACGTGGACGCCCTCCCCCAAGCCCTTCCGCCAGCTCTGATCGAAGCCGTTTTTTCTCTCCCTCTTCTCTCCCTCTTCCCCCTCCGACACATCGCGCCCGACACCCCGAAGCCTCTAGAGAGGCCCTGGAGAGGCCCTGGAGAGGCCCCGAAGCCTCTAGAGAGGCCCATGTTCCTCGACACACAAATAGAATATGTAACATATTAAGCTTCTTTTATTGTTGTTGCGAAGGACAAAGGTGGGTGCGGTACCTTGTTGCCTTGTAATGCCAAAGCAAAGATTGGCCAAGCTGACATGCACGTGTGCGACGAAAAAAGAACTGGGCTGTTCGATGAAAGAATTCCGCCAAACACATCGTTGGCGAAACACACAAAACCACACCCCGCTCTTTCTGTTATTGTCACGCTCTCTCTCTCTCTCTCTCTTCAACCGGCCCTCCAAACGCACCATGCAGTCATCGACCTTCACGTTGACGGACGCCCCGCAGGCTCCTCCCGAGGTGGTCCGGCTGAATCTGCGCAGCCAGAGCCTGTGGGAGCGCATCCAGGAGAAGGCCCGAGTCCTCGACCCGGCAGTTGCTGGCGTACTTCCACAACGAGCAAGAGAAGGTGATGCGCTCTGCCGAGAAGCGCGGCTACTACACCGATGAAGAGCTCCGTTTCCTCAACAATCTTCTGTCGAGTAAACTGGACGAGACCATGGACCGCTTCAAGAGGGACGTGAGCAGCATGTTCGCCATCACCAAGGAAGACTCGCTTGAAATCGTGGCTCTCAAGGTTGAGGTCGGCTCCAAGCTGTTGGAGTGGCTCAACAACCTGGTGGAGTGGTTGCTGGCCAAGCTGACCGCCATCTTCGAGAAGGCCAAGGAGGCCCTGGAATGGTGCTGGACCCAGGTGAAGGAGCTCTTCGGTGTCCTCTACGCAGTCCTCAAAAAATAACTTGCGATTGGCGGCGTGTTCGTTTTACAAAACGCGTTCTGAACCAGTTCCACACACAATGTCTTTTCCCCAATTTTTCTTCCTTTTTCCTTGGCTTGCTCGTCTTTGTGTTGCGGAAGATGAAGCGGAAGGTGGCGTGGGCGGGGGCGGGGCTCGTGGTGTACGCGGGGGCTGCGTGGGGCGTGTACCAGTACCTCCGGCCCTCCGGCAGTGAGTGCGCGTCGACGACGTGTGCCACCACCAACGGTGTGCCGGAGGGCGTGTGGGAGGGGCTGGCCGGAGGGTACGACGCGGCCGTGGACCGGGACGAGCGCGTGACCGGCGTCCTCAAGCGACGCGCCGCCCTCCTCTCCTCCCACGCTCGAGGCCACGTCCTCGAAATTGCCTGCGGCACCGGTACAAAATACATTTTTTTAATTTATTTTATTTTCATATTTATATTTGTTTATTTATTTCAGTTATTGATTTCATTTTACTCACTACTTTAATTGTTGTGGGCAGGGAGGAATCTGCTGTTGTATCCGATGACGCCGGAGGTGGTGCGGGTGACGGCCACCGATGCGTCGCCGGCCATGCTCGACGTCGCCCGCACCAAGCTCCTGGAGCAGGGTAATGACCACCCTTGTACTACACCCCTGCATTCGTGTACGGGCTGACGGCACGCGCGTGTGCGATATGATGTGGTGTGTTACGCTGTCGTGTGGCAGGGAGCGAGGAACAGAAGCGGCGAATCACGTTCCATCGAACGGACGCGCACGATCTCTCCAGCTTTCCTGACAACAGTTTCGACACGGCACGACGACTACCCTCATCTCTTTTTATTTTATTTTATTTATCATTTTATTTATCATTTTATTTGTGATCCGTGTGTGGCTGACCGAGGTGGGTGTGTGTCCTCGTGCCAGGTGGTTGACACCTTCGGCCTGTGTAGCTTCTCCGATCCCATCAAGGTGCTCAAGGAGATGCAGCGAGTATGTAAAAAGGGTAAGGTGTACGTGTCGTGCGTGCGTGTGCGCGTGTGCGTGCGTGTGTGTCGTCTGTTTGCCTTGCACGGTTTGACGTCTGCTGTAAATGCACTCAGACGGGAAGGCACGCATCCTGCTGCTCGAACATGGCAGACCAGAACGCCACGCGTGGCTCGCCAAATACATCGACCGCCGCGCGCCGAGGTACTGACCACCACCCCTGTGCCGCGTGTGCTGCCACTCCCTCACCACACGCGCACGCGCACACGCACACACACATTTTATCGTGGCCACTGTGCAGACATGCACATAAGTGGGGCTGTTGGTGGAATCGGGACATCAGCAAGCTCGCTGAGGAGGCCGGCTTGGTGGTTCACGAGAAGACCACATACCACCTGGGTACGCATCGTCATTCTTGAATTTGAGTGTGTTTGGTGTGGTTCTCTCACTGTGGCCCACCACACACACACACAGGCACGGGCTACATCATCATTGCATCGCCACCACCACAGTAATGTAATCTGGGTAGGGGCATCTATTCTACACTACAATAAATTACCCGAATGGTTGTTGCTGGACTCATGTGGCGAGCACGGCCGAGGCCGAGGGGGCCACGAACACCACGGGCGAAGAGTCGGCCGAGGGCTCGAGTGCGCCCAGGATCAGGCTGCGGCCCTCCTTCCGCCGGATCTTGGCGTGGAGCACATAGCGCTGCTCAACGTAGGCCGAGTGGGGCATGTTCCACGGCGGCCCGTTCGTGTCGTCCTCCTCTATTGTGAACTCCAGGTTGTGCGTCGACCGCTGGCCCTTGAGCATCTCCGCCGCGAACCACTTCTCCGGCCTCAGACCGCCCGTGGCCGACGACCCCCTCCGTCGGCCCTTCAGCTTGTCGCTGCGGTGTTGCTGCTCTTGGTCGTCGCTTTCGTTTTCGTTCTCATTTTCATTGTCTTCGTTTTCGTTTTCGTTTTCGCGGTCGAACGACCCCTCGCGCGGGGGCTTGTCGCCAGCGGCGTCGGCGTCTTCGTCGGAGGCGCGCAGTGCCATCCGCTCGCGCATGCGCTGCTTGCGGTCGTGTCGGGGCAGGGTGACGGTGGTGAACGAATCGCGCAGCACGGGCGAACGCATCTGCTCCACCGCACTCACCACCAGGAAGTGAAAGTCCATCGGCGAGTTGTTGTCCACCTCCACTTGCATTTGTATCTACACACGACACGCACGAGACACGACACACAACACGCGCGAGACACGACACACAGGAGAAGATTGTGAGTGCTGTCGTGTGCGTGTCGTGCGGTGTGTCGTGTCGTGTCGTGTCGATACCGGCTCGCCCAGGTAGAAGCCGGTCCGTTGGAGCGAGATGGTGATCTTCACCAGCCCGTTGAGGAAGGTGGTCACCGATCGCCCCGGCACGTGGCGCTGCTTGGCCTGTGGCGAGCAGCACAACAAAATTTGATGAGCGCGTGATACCAGCACACACCACATGTGTACGTGGTGCGTGTGCGATAGTGCGCGTGCGCGTGCGGTGGTGCGTGTGCGGTGGTGCGTGTGCGTACGAGGAGGGCCAGTTCGTAGCGTGGGCTGGGCAGGACGGTGAGGCGGTGTGCGTGCTTGGGCGTCCAGTAGTCGGCGTGGAGCCGCGGGTAGGCGATCACCCCGCGCAGCTTGTACGACGCCGAGTAGAAAAGCTGCTGGGCCGTCCTATCAAATGCCTCGCGCGTGAGCTGCCATCAAATAAAAGCACACACGCACACGCATGACACACAACGTGCGACACGATACGACGCGACGCGACAGTACCGACAGAAGGTGGGCGGGGTGAGGGCGGCGCGGGCGGTGACGCGGAACGGGAGTCGGTGGGTGCCGTGCTCGTACACCACCTTACGCTCGTGGCGGTGTGAGAATTGCACCCCGTCGCTCACGCACAGCGCCACATTCATGATGCTGCTCCGCACCGTTCGCTGTCGTGTGCGTGTCGCAAGTTGTGTGTGTCGTGTCGTGTGTTGTGTCGTTGTGAGCGTGGTGTGTTGGCGCTGAGCAAAGCGAAAAAAGGGGGGAGGGGCGTACCTGGTAGCGTCCCGCCCCGGAAGAGTGGAACTCCTTGCCGGACACCACCACGTAGATCCCGTGCGTCACGATCCGATTCGACGCCACGTTCAACACCACCTGGCGGCCCAGACCATATCGGTTACCATGCAACGCATACGTGTGCGTGTGCGGTGGTGCGTACTTCGCCGGAGATGGGCGGGTCGAGCGCGCCGGTGGCGGTGAAGACGGTGGTGTCGAGCCGCACCACGATGGTGTCTTTTTTGCGTTCGCCCTTGGGCACGTCGAAGGTGGCCCGGTACCGCGCCCGCCAGTCCACCTCCGCCACGGCGGCTCCCATGCCCTTCGCGTGCTCTTCGCTCCCCTCGCTTCGTTCTTCCTCGCCGTCCTGTGCTCAACCACACGCACACACCACCGCACACGCACACGCACGACGCACACACCGCACACATCGCACACACCGCACACGCCATAAGATAACGACACCATGACGCACACGCGCATGCGGGGAGCGCACGTCTGAGCTGTGTCTGGGCGAAGAGGTGGCCCCGCCGCCGTTGCTGTGAGCCGGGCCTGTGTTGCTGTTGTTGCTCATCAGCAGCGGAACGATGTCGTCATTCGTCACCAGCGCGTTCTCCAGCTTCCTCGCCTTCTTCGCCTCCTGCGCGTTGCCCGCCACCACCAGCCACCAGCCACCACCAGCCACCAGCCACCACCAGCCACCAGCCACCACCAGCCACCAGCCCCACCACGGTGAGTTTGGGCGATGATGGGGTGGATGTGAAGGTTGCGGGGAGAGCTGCGTACGAAGAAGAGGCGTCGCCAGAGGGCGGACTCGAGGGAAGCCGCGTACCACGCGCGGCACGTGCAGCCGGCTGCCGCAAGCTCGCGAGGCCCTGCCACCCACCCCAATATCGCCACCACCAACTGTTCCCCACCACCATCGGGTTAATAGTAATAATTAATTATTCTTATTGTTATTATATTCTTATATTTATTGTGAATTAATATAAAATATGTTAAAAATAATAATATATTATTATGATTTACTTCATCAATAGGAGGGAGACACCTCGGCCGGCAGCGTGTCGAAGCCGGGACCCGTGTCCTCCGGAGGTGTGTCGGGGTGCTCTGGCGGGCCGCGCTGCAGCAGCGAGGAGCGCCGCACGTAGCGTGTGACCCGCCCCAGCACCTTCCGCTTCGGCTCTTTTCCCTCCATCTTTTGTTTGTTTACATCAATAAAATAGATGTCAACATGATTTTAAAAAAATGAACGGAGTCACAAAAACAGTCTTTGGTGGCTTCACCGCCCATTTGGTTCGATGGTGAAGCGGCTGCCAAAGGGCGGCACTGCGCCAAAGAAGCAGCGGCCTAGTTCTGGCACTGGGACAAGCGGCTCTCGAAGCTGCTGGTGGGACAGGATAGACGTAGGGGAAGGTTGCGCCCTTCCTGCCTTGCAATTGAAGTGAGTCGCGATATGTCATACATGTTTGTTTGCACACATCTTCACCTCCGCATTTTTGGTTGCATGTTGCATGTTCACATATGGATGTGTTGCAGGCGTGGGGCCGATTCATTGGCTTCCAAGTGGTCCGTCGATGATCGCAGAGCGGAAGGAGCCTGTGGGCTGCCGTCAAAGCAACGTCAAACTTTTTACAGGGCTAAGGTGAGTGGCCAATGTGACCATGTGTGATCTGCCATGCGACCAACCGCGGAATGGCAGGCCCTTTAAGTGTTGCAGATGGCCCATCAATCTGTGTGAACCACCAATCCTCAATCGGGCGGTAAAGCGCTTAGGACCATTTAGCCCCCGGAGTCTGTCGCTGACGCTTCCCCTCCCTTACCGAGCGTGATCGCCCGCAGATGAAGACGCATCCCACGAGAATGCAGCACTCCACAGTGCCGCTGTACCGCCGCACACCGAACAGACCTATTTTGCGGGGATATTCGGCCCTAAATGCGGAAATTTCGGAGAGTTGCGCCTATCCTATGCGACCGCAGACAAAATGTGCCCAATTAATTTTTGGGCTCCACGGAAGAAGGAAGGAGGAAGCGTACTTTTTTGATTGATTCCTACACTCGGCCAAGCACACGACCTTGCACACGTAGACCGTGAACTTATCTCTCCTTATTATATTATATTATTGTTATTAATTTCTACACAACATGTCTCTATGTTCAGGTTCGTGCTCTCTTTCCCTTTTTTGACAATCACAAACAAAAACACCATTTTGCTCATTTCATTCATCTTTCCAGATGGAGATGACGACAGCCGCGATGTGGGATTCATCGTTCTCACATCACGCGGTCGCGTTTGGACGCTTCGGCACCTGCACCACGCCGCCAGGTACGTGCTTCCCATTCTGTCCTGTCTGCATTCTCCCGCTACTCGAATCTTATTATGAAATTCCTCCATCTCTCCATCTTTCCATCTCTTGCACTAGCGAGGAGACAAAGCTGGAGCTAGCCTGGAGTGGCCTCTACTCGACACGAGGCACACACGCACAGACCTCCTCCCACTACATGGGCTCAGCAGGTGCAGATCATTTCACATCCTGTAGACAAGCTTTCTAACAAACAGCACATCTACGCCACGTGTACGTCACGTCATGTACAACACTAACATCATCATCGTCATCGCCCTCGCTATCATCATCAGAGCTCAAGTGCTTTGGGTGCGGCTGGGCGCTGCCGGGCGGTGAGATGGGCAAGACCGACGGCGCCTGGGAGCGACACCGAGCGGCGGTCGGGCGTGCGTGCAAGTACGCCGCAGCGCGGCCCGCCAGCCAGCCCCTGGCCCAGTACGCCAGGCAGCGCGACACCCTGGCCCTCCAGCAACTGCTCCTGGTGCGCCACCACCCTCCGCCAATCTCATATTCAAATCAAAGCGTTGAGATCGTACCGCGTTGCGATGTCTGAGCTCACAATGTGTCGCGTGCCAACAACAGACGCTGGGCAAGCAGTTGCAGGCCGCCGAAAAGGCACAGGACATGGCGTCGCTCGAGAAGGTCAAGAAGAAGGTCCAGTTCGTGGTAAGGCCTCCTTCACTTTCATCATCGTGTGTCGTGTCGTGTGTGGCGTGTGTGGCGTGTCGTGTGTTGCGCGTGTGGCGTGTGTTCGATCGGTTATTGAGCAAAGTTCATAACTCTCCCGATCGATCGATGATCAATGATCAATCAACCAACCAATCAGGTGGCGATCAACAAGGAGCACATCGAGGCCGTGCCGGAACTGAAGCAGGGCTTCGCTGTGCTGGCCAAGCACCTCGTCGGGTCCGCCTACCCGCGCTCCTACTCCTCCCCCTCCGTCTCCGCCGCGACATCGTCGACATCGACGTCGCCTTCGCCCTCCTCTTCGTCCATGCTGAGCGCCGCCACACAGACCTATCTCGCCACCGCCGACTACAACTACTCACCCTCCAACTCTGCTTCCTCGTCTTCGTCTTCTTCATCATCGTCGTCGTCGTCATCTTCTTCTTCTTCTTTGCGATCATCGCCCTCTGTCTCCCCGCCCTCTTCCAATCCGTCGTCGTGGTCCACTTCGTCCATCCCCGTCACGTCCTCCGATTTCTACCCCGCCACCGACAGCAGCGGCTCCCATTCCACTCAGCAGTGGGACAATGACGACGTACGCCCGACACACGACACGCAACACTACACGACACGACACACGACACACGACACATGAAAGCTAATACTTCTTGTGTGTGTGTGTGTGTGTGTGTGTGTGTGTGTGTTGGTTGCGTTCTTTTTTGCAGTCGCTGAAGAAGCAGTTGATGGAGTATTCGTGCGACATCGCCGCAGTCGAAACCGAGACCGAGACTGAGACTGAGACCGAGCTCGAAAGCGATGCCGACACCTGCACCGACAGCGGAAGCGGAAGCGATGATTCCGTACACGACCCCGCTCCCGTTCTTTTTCGCTTTCGCTTTTCTCGATTCTCGGCTCATCACTGATTCTGAAAACTGCGCAGTTCGCGGCGGAGAGTGGCGACGGCGACGACTCGCTGCGTCGCGGGCGGCCGCGGTACAAGGAGATCGACTACCACGAACTCGCCTTCCTCGAAAAGATCGGCTCCGGCGCGTTCGGCACCGTCTGGCGGGTACGCGCGTGCGCTATTGCACTACTTACTGTGTGTGCGCTTGTGCGCGTGCGGTGGAGCGTGCCTGTGTGTGTGTGTGTGCGTGTGTGTGTGTGTGTGTGTGTGTGTGTGTGTGTGGCTGACGTTGCCCGTGCTCGACCCAGGGGGAGTGGCGGGGAGGGCAGGTGGCCATCAAGATCCTGCACGACAGCGACGTCTTCAACCGGCAGGTGCTCCACGAGTTCCGACGCGAGGCCGAAACCATGCACGTCGTCGGTACAGCCGCACCCCATCCGCCACACACTGCCTCCGTGTGTGTGTGTGTGTGTGTGTGTGTGTGTGTGTGGTGTGTCGTTGCACGCACGCTCACCGATGACGCACGCGCAGGAAACCACCCGTGCGTGGTCAAGTTCATCGGCGTGTGCACGAAGCAGGGCCACTTCTGCATCGTGTCCGAGTTCTGCACGAAGGGCAGCCTCGAACGACTCGTCCGCGGGAACAACCGCGCCTCCATTCCCCTCCGCACCATCGTGCAAATGGCCCGCGATGCCGCCGCCGGCATTCTCCATCTACACTGCGAGTCGGTCATCCATAGGGTACGACACGCACACGCACACGCACACGCACAGTGTTGAATCATCAATTAATTTCGTTTGGTGGGCAACCGACAGGACATTGCGGCGCGCAACATCATGATCGGGGACAACTACTCGGCGCACGTGGGCGACTTTGGGTTTGCGCGCGTGAAGGACAAGAACGCATCCTCCGCCTTCACTTCCACCATCGGACCCGTACGTCGCCTGCCACACACACGACACACGACACACACGACACGACACGACACGACACAACGAGCGCACGTGCTGATTGGGGGGGGAGGGAGTGCAGGCCAAGTACATGGCGCCCGAGGCCATCAAAGAGAAGAAGTACTCGGAAAAGTCGGACGCCTTCAGCTTCGGTGTGCTGCTTTGGGAGGTACGGCGTCGCACACGCAACACGAACGCGCGCGCTTGCACCGCACGCACGTTCCATTATAATTAATAATTTATAATAATAATCTAACCGCTGACAACAACAGATGGTGACGGGCAAGGAGCCGTGGGAAGACCAGAAGTCGTTGGTGGAGATCGCCATCGGCGTGTCCTCTCGAGGCTGGCGGCTGCCCATCCCCGACAACTGCCCCCCACAACTTGCCGGTACGACACACCTCACACCGCACACACCGCACACACCGCACACACCGCACACACCGCACACACACAACGAAGCGTGGTTTTGATGTTGGCCTCTCTGTGTGCGCAGATCTGATGCATCGGTGCTGGGCGACGGATCCCAAGGAGCGGCCGGACTTCCGCGCCATCCACCGAACGCTCAGCAACTTCCTCCTCGCCCTGCCCGCGCCCTCGTCACCTTCATCACCATCGTCATCTCCATGAACGGTGCAGCGGTTGTAAATATTCCCCCCTCCCCAACCAATGTATCTAGCCTCTTTCATTTCTCTAGCATGTCAAATACAATCTTGTTGCCACTATGTAGATATATGTTATGGCAATACATCATCAACATGTTGGGGGAATCTATCCAGCACCAACCATCACTTGATGATGATGATGTTCTGTAAACGCTGGGGAGAGGGGCTCACTGGCGGGAAAGCGGAGCCGAGGAGGCGTGGAGCCACTCGAGGATGACGGCCTTCTCCTCGGAGGGCTCGTCGCCCATGAGGCCCACGATCCGACGCTCCCGCAGCGCCCCCTCCGGGCTGTCCGACGCGTGCGCCCCGTTCCGCATGAGGTCGTGTCCGTAGTCGCTGCGGATCGTGCCCGCTCGCGCCTTCTTCGGGTCTGACTCGCCACCAAGCAGGCCACCCGGTCAGAACACACGACACACGACACGCGCCTTAGCGACGCACGACACACGACACACGACACGCGCCGAGCGGAGGAAAAAGAGGAGTCTATACCGGTGACTCCCAGCTTGGAGCGGATGATCTCGATGGCGTTGTCGCCGCGGTAGAGGAGAGCGAAGCACTTGGCCGGACCGGGCTTTCGGAACAGCTCGTCCGTCTTGGCGTCGTCCGGGTGCACTCCTGCCCCATCCCCGCATTATGTTAGTGACTTTCGCGCGTGCGGTGGTGCGTGTGTGCGGTGGTGCGTGTGGCGTGTGGTGCGTGCGGTACCGGTCATGTAGTGGATGATTTTGGCGACCTCGCAGCGTGCGTGTCGGTTGATGACAACGTCGGCCATCTTGGCGTAGTCCTGGTCTGTCACCTCGTACTCGAACGCCGACGCCAGCCGCTGCTTCATGGCCTCCTCCAGGTTGGGCTTGAGCTTCTTCACGAACACGTTCTCCAGAAACCCGTAGAACTCCATTCCCCTCCGCACGCTGCCCAACTCACCGTGTCATCCGCCGCACACACCGCACACACCGCACTCGCAGCACACACCGCACACCGCACGCACAGTGGTACCTCATACAGAAGACGCGCGCGCCGATGAGCTGCAGGCCGGTGGTGCCGAACAGGTCGATGATGTGCCCTGGTGGAGCCGGTGACGGTGAGGTCTCTCTCTTCGCGAGGATTGTGCGGGCGCGAGGGTACCGGGCAGAGATGAGGGCCGCTCCAGGTTGTCGGGCTTGATCATCACCAGGCCCGTCTGCTTTGCCCATCCGACTAATGCGCGTGTCGTTGGTCGTGTCGTTGGTGAGTGTGTGCGTGTGCGACGGTTGGTGGCTGTTGTGTGTGGGTCGTTGGGGAGGGGCAAGGTACGGGGCTGGTTCCTCTCCTCGGCATTGATGGTGCGGAGGGCGTGGTCCGAGTCCAGGTACTTGGCCAGCACCTCCAGGCAGCGCCGGTTCGACTCATCGCTCGGCGGCACCACCTGCCATCGCGCCCACACGCACACGCACACCCGTGGCCAACCAACCGAGTCAGTAGTCGCCCTCTTAACATGTTTTTTGCTGGTTTCTGGTGGTTCGTACGACGGCCGGCTGGAAGAGATTGATCTTGCCCGTCCGGTCCTTGAAGTAGTCGCCGTAGGTGCCACGGATGGTCTTGCCTGCGCGCGAAGCAAAGCGTGTGGGCGTTGGGGAGGGGGACAACGAAGAGCGAAGAACGAAGAACGAAGGAGAGGTACCAAAGTCGTTGGGGTTGGGCACGTTGGCGCCCACGACGTCGGCGAGGACCTGGCGGGTCTGGGCGCCGCCGGCAAAAAGGAGCAGCATCGTGTGGTTGGCCACCCCGCTCTCCTTCAGCTCCTGCCCAGCACACGCATTGGACCACCACCGCGTGTTAGGCCAGGTCGCGTTCCACGCGCACCACAAAAGCGCACGGCACACGACACACGACACACACCACACGTGCATAACCGCACACGCCTGTCTTACCTCTTCACCAAAGATCGTGGGGTACGCCTTGAGAAAAGTGTCCTCGTAGGGATCGATCACCTGGACCACCGCACACGCACCACCGCACACCGCACACCGCACACGCACCACCGCACACGCATCCGAGATGTTTGAGACGTTTGTTTGATATGGCGTGAAGCGGGAAGTAGAGGTGATGGTGGCTGGTGGCTGCTGGTGGTGGTGGTGAAGAGGAGGAGGACGAGGAGGGAGGAGGCGTACGCCGTCTTCGTGGGCGGCGCGTTGCATCTCGAGGAAGAACTCGTCGGTGAGCTTGGCGGAGGGACGCAGCATGCGCGCGCCCACGAACTGCAGCTCGGGCGTGGCCAGCAGCCGAGCGATGATCCCGCCCGTCAAGCTCTTGGCCAAACTGCACGACACGACACACGACACACGACCCAACGACACACGACACTACTCGTTAGTTGAACCAAAAGAAAAAGAAGAGACGAAAAAACAGGGGGAACGTGCCTCTTGGGGGTGATGAGGGCGAAGGACAGCTGCTCGCCCTGGCGCACGCGGTGGATGGACGTGTGCCGCTTCTGAACGCGGACCAGTACCAACCCCCACATGTCAGTCGCATACAAACTCAGCCACGACGGACTACTCGAGCGTTTAGCGACGCAGCAAATGATTGGAAAATGAAGAGGGGGGGGTCTCACCTGGTGTGAGGAGTTGTGGGCCGAGGGGAACACGAGTGCGGCGGTGCTGGGGCCTCCAGTGGCGCGCCCGAGTGCGTGGCCCGACAGAAGTGCGGTTGGACGCTGGCAAGGTAACCACCTGGCAGTCCTCATGAGGTGGTGGCGGGCGCTAGTAGCTGGTTGGGGGTGCTTGTGGGTGAGCGACGAAATGGAGAGGCCCTTGATAGTCACCGATGACCAGGGAAGATAGGGGCGGATGGTGGCGAGGGTCCCACCACGCCAAACTGTCCGTTCGAATAGAAGAGAACCGGCGATGGTGGGTTTTGCCCCAAGTTTCGGTGACCAACGACGAAACGACACATATTGAAAAAATTTGAACAATGTTACCGTTGAGACATTGCTTGAAGGTGGATGGGCAACGCAAACAGCACCCTGGTCGTGACTCCCCTACCACCTCTCCTGGCAAGTAGTACATACAGATGAACAACCAGGAACACTCAAAATTGGTAAAAACCTGGTGCAAGAACAGCTCGGCAGAACAAGCCAACGCCAAATCCAACCACCTTTCCGATTTTCCGCCCGGACTTCAAATAAAATCTTTTGAATTCCGTAACGGTAGCCGTTTGCTTGGGCGGCGCGGACGTGAATTTCGAACTATGGGCAGGGGTCTCCGGCCAACAAGAAGCTGGGGAGTTCGTAGCTGGTGTAGCACATCTGCAGCCAGCCACAAGGTGTCATCTGATTGACTGGCCGGCATGGAGCCTTCTTCCTCTGACCCTGCGACCACTGCGCTGCTAGCACCTTCATCGCCGGGCACAGACGCTCCTCAGGATAAATCGAACGGTAGCGATTTGATTCAAATTGATCGCGAAGAAGGCGCGACTGGTGGTGAGGATCGATTGAGCGAGGAGGAAGAGAGCGGTCATAGAATTTGCGAGGGGGACGCAGTTAAGAACGAAGAGGAGGATTTGATCAAACAAAATCTGGGCGAGCATCACCACGCCGAGAAGACGACTCATCCGGCTGATTCGTCTTCCGCCTCCACAGCCCCCACTCCTTTGGTCGAGGTGGATTGGGATCTGCTGACAACGGGAGAATCGGCACCCTTGGTCGCCTCTACGTCATCTTCTACACATCCCGTGGACGTGCGTTCTCACAACAAGGGCAAAGAGAAGGAATATCAGATGGATGGACACGGTGGTGAAGTACTAGTGGCATCGCCGCGCCCTGCGTCGCCGCCGCTCGACGTGGTGGCACCCGCCTTCCGCGTGCGATTGGACAGCCGCGAGCTGGCATCGAGCGACATCGTCGTGGAGGAGACGTCTTCGCCTTCGACCCTCTCCTCGATGGCCCTGCTCGAGGAGAAGAGGAAGCAGCAGCGCCACACCGCGACGCATTTGCCCCGACAAGGTGCCCTCTCATCATCATCTGTTCTTTCTTTATTTTATTTTTCTTTATTTTTTAAAACATTTTCATTTCTTTTTTTTTAGATTATTTATTATTTATTTTACTTGCGCGAGCGGGGTGCGAAAATTCGGTGGCATCAGAGTATCTCCCCCTAGGCTCTTGTTGCGGGCCGTTCGTCGTTGCGAGGCTGTGCTCACGCGTGCTCACCTCCTTGAGGCTCATCGGGGCTAATAATTCACTTCTTCCGCAGGCCACCACCTTGGCAGCGGTGACGCCGAGCCCGAAGAACACGCCGATGGTGCTACTCACGGAACTCAGCAGCGACAGAGGTCCTACTCGCTCTCCGACCCGGTACGCACACGACCGCACACAGTCCCTTGTTTGGTGGGGGTTGATCGTAGGGATTGTGGCGCGAAAGCCTCGACCGGTCGCGTGTTTGGCGCCCAAAAGTTGCGGGCACGGCCGCGAGGAGAAGATGGTGATGATCACCCGCGTGCCCCAATGATTGGGCCGCAATAATCTCCTCGCTCGTGAGTGGTGCGATCCGTAGAATTTTGTCTATCCCCGCTCTCTTTGGTGGAAAGACCGTTGGAACCTCTGCGGCAAACAAATCGCGCCCGGCCGAGGCGCACAAATCGCTGCGTAACGGCGACTTCTGCTCTCTTCGCCTAAAGTCATTAGACACAAATTAACTCGACACAAGCAAGAAGCACACACCGCACACGAGCCGGAGGAGAGAAAAGAGGAGGAGAAGATAGATTTAAATATTTTACATCTATCTTCGTTGTACTCCTTTACTTTTTACACACTTATTGTTGTTTATGAAGACCATCAAGCCGGCGACCACAAGTTTATCCAAAAACAGCCTCAAGCTGGACTCGACGCGACACCGCATAATTATTTATTTTATTTATTTATTCATCCTCTGCACCATGAACGCACTGTGCACCGAGGAGGAGTTCTGCGACCTCTGGGAGAGAATTGATAATCTAAACCGGAAAAAGGTAATTAAAAAAATTATTATTATTATTTATGACGGTCACGGAATTACTCGGCATTATTCTTTTATTCTTTTTACACATTCTCGGCTCACCATCACTTCTCGTCTCTCCGGTGGGAATGCAGCACAAGAAGGAGGACGGAGCGCACTACTTCTACCCGACGAGCTTCGCGCGGACGACGGCCTGCAACGTGTGCCACAAGCCCCTGCGCGGCCTCGCCAGGCAGGGCCTGGCCTGCAGCATCTGCCAGTACGCGGTGCACTACAGCTGCGAGGAGAAGTCCGAGCACTGCTGCCCCATCACCTACTCCCGGCCCTCCTCTCTCGAGGTACGATCGTCCACACACACACACACACACACACACACACACACACCACACACACAAACAACAACAACAACAACAACAACACTCTGCGTCGTGTGCGCTCATGCGTCGTGTGTCGTGTGTCGTGTGCGTAGAAAATGAAGCAAATGGAGCACGCATGGATCGAGGGCAACGTGGAGGCCGGGACGGAGTGCCGGGCGTGCAAGAAGGAAATCCTCGCGCTCGACCCCATGGCCGCCTCCCGCTGCTTCTGGTGCGGCGGTGCCGCCCACAACGGGTGCAAGGAAAACACACTCAAGGTAGACCACCTCAACCACTGGCGCATAGTGTTCATTTATTATTATTAACGAATTTACATATTTTATATATTATTTATTATTATTGCTATTATTTAATTTAAATTAAATTAAATTTGTTGTTTGGTGCGCAGTGCGACATGGGTCCGCACAAGGACTTCAAGCTGCCGCCCTACGCGCTGTTCAAGCACCGGCTGCCCAACGGCGAGGAGAAGTGGCAGATCGAGCCCTCCCTGCTGCCCGAGGGCTGCGTGCCCTACCTCGTCTTCGTCAACAAGAAGGCCGGCGGCCAGCAGGGCAAGCTCGTCTTGAAGAGCATGCTCTCCCTCTTCAACCCTCACCAGGTACGCTGCTCCCATTTTATGTTAATTTATAGTTTATTAAATTATTATGTAAAACTGTATTTATTTATTTAATTAATGTGGTGGTTGGGCGCAGGTGTTTGATCTGAGCCAGGGCGGACCGATGCCGGGCCTCCGCATGTTCTTCCCGCTGGCGCGGCGCGGGCCGGGTTTCCGCATCATGGTCTGCGGCGGTGACGGCACCGTCAACTGGGTCTGCCAGACTCTCGCTCGCGTCAAGTTCCCGCGACCCGAATTCGCTCCACCCGTACGATCCCCCTCGCCGTGTTCACACGACACACGACACACGACACACGACACACGACACACGACACACGACACACGACACACGACACACGACACACGACACACGACACACGACACACGACACACGACACACGACACACGACACACGACACACGACACACGACACACGACACACGACACACGACACACGACACACGACACACGACACACGACACACACGAGTCCTCACCGCCGTCTCTTTGCTGTTGTGGCGGTGGTGAAGATTGCGCTGCTTCCGCTGGGCACGGGTAACGACTTGAGCGGATACCTGGGATGGGGCGTCGGCTACACCGGCGGCGATCTCAACGACTACCTCTTCCAGCTCCACAACACCGAGGTTCGCCGCCACACCACCCACACGCCACACACGCCACAGCTAACTTTCACCGTGGTGATGTCGATTGGGCAGATTGTGAAGCTGGATCGGTGGAAGTCGACGATCGCCAACTTTTCGCAGCCGGACGGGCGCGAGGACTCGGGCGCGGGGCTGAGGCCCATCGACGCGCCCGCGCCCAAGAATGTGAAGAAGCTCACCTCGCAGCCCTCGGCCGCGTCTCTGGTCGAGTGCCCCACGCCCGTGGCGACCATCTCCAACATCATGTCCTCCCTGTGGCCCTCGTCCGACTCGCTCGGCGACACCGGCGACAAGCGACGCGCGCTGGTCCAGGACGACAGCGACAGCCACCACGGCGGCGAAGGTACGCGCCTCGCTCCCAGCATTCTCGCTTACGAAGGTCGGTCCACCAAACTTTTCATATATCTATATCTTCTATATACATACGTACTCTTTTACATGCCTATATATCGATTCTCTACAGCATATAAGATGTAGCTTGTTGCTGTGTAGTGTTTTTATTGACTATATATATATATATCGTATATTGCAGAGCTGCAGCAGAACCAGGATGTGGATGAAGACGACGGCATGCCGGCGTCGAAGGAGGTGCACTACGATGACGACGACTTTGAGCTGGAGGAGGAGGACGAGATGGTGAGCGGGGCGGAGGTCAAGAGCTTCCACCACTCGTTCTCGATCGGCGTCGACGCCAAGATCACGTGGAACTTCCACTGCGCGCGCGAGGCCAACCCGGAGAACTTCACCTCGCGGGGCATGAACAAGTTCAAGTACTTCACCCAGGGCGTCTCGTCCATCATCGACGGCGGCTGCAAGGGCCTCGCCCAGGCCATCGAGTTCATTGAAATCGACGGACGCCTCATCTGGGGCGACGATCTCCCCCAGGTATGCACACACACACACCGTACGACGCACGACACGCATGCCACGCGCGGTGCTGACTTTGCCGCACACGCGCAGGCGATCGAATCGCTCATATTCGGCAATATTCCGGCCTACGCGGACGGTACGGATCTGTGGGCCAAGCCCACCGGCGACTACAAGCCGCAGCGGGTGGACGACAAGGTGGTCGAGGTGATCGCGCACAAGGGCTCCATCCACCTGGTGCAGATCAAGGCCGGCGTGTCGAAGGCGTACCAGTTGGGACAGGGTCGCCGCATCAAGATGCAGACGCGCGACGTCCTCCCCATGCAGCTCGACGGCGAGCCCTGGCTCCAGGTACGTGCGAGTCGTGTGTCGTGCCGGTGCCATGTCGTGTGTCATGTGTTGTGTGGCTCACGCTTTTGTGTGCAAAGGGTCCGGCGCTGATCCAGATCGAGCACAGGAACCAGGTGTCGATGATTGTACCAAAGAACCGAAAGAACAAGAGTGCATGAACCAACTTGTAACCAATCGATCGCATTCATAAACCACTTCGTTCTTTCTTCCACTCCAACCCTGTCTTTTCGCCTCGCACGCCATTTTTAATTGCGATTAAATACTATTTTTTGAAAGCCGGGAAAAAACCGGGGAGGTACAGCTTTTTCTTTTATGAGGGTGTCCGCAATATTTTGGTCCTTTCTTTCTTTCTCCTTCCCCTGCATCGCGAAGCCGTCCTCGGTGGCCTTCTTGATCTCCCTCTTCCCCTTCGTCCGTTCACAACACATCATCGAACATGGGTCGTATGCATGGACCTGGTAAGGGTATCTCGGGCTCCGCCCAGCCCTTCAAGCGCACTGCCCCCTCGTGGCTGAAGACCACCACCCCCGAGGTGACCGATCTGATCTGCAAGCTCGCCAAGAAGGGTCTCACCCCCTCGCAGATCGGCGTCATCCTCCGTGACTCGCACGGTATCGGTAAGGTCAAGTTCGTCACCGGCAGCAAGGTGCTCCGCATCCTGAAGGCCAACGGTACTTCATCTCCCATTTCTGGCCGCTTGCATCATTTACTTCGTCCGTTGACTTTCAATCGCGCGACGTACAACTTACCAATCTCCATCCTTTCTTTGTTCCTCAGGTCTTGCCCCCGAGCTCCCCGAGGATCTTTACCACCTCGTCAAGAAGGCCGTGGCCGTGAGGAAGCACCTCGAGAAGTTCAGGAAGGACAAGGATGCCAAGTTCAGGCTCATTCTCATCGAGTCGCGTATCCACCGTCTCTCCCGCTACTACCGCCGCACGAAGCAGCTGCCCCCCAACTGGAAGTACGAGTCTTCCACGGCCTCGGCCCTCGTCGCCTAAGTGGTGTGCCTGTGCATGACTATTTGAAATATGTCCTTTCGCCTACACACGGATCTCTCGTTCCTCTCCTCATCATGATGATGATCATCGCCGCTCGGGAAGATGAAGAAGCGATAAAATAATAACCCAAAATTAAAAAAATCTATTCTACATTTTCTTCACTGCGTTTGCACAGATGGATGAAGGGGTTTATTACTGGCTCAGTTGATGTTGAGCGGATGTACTAGTACGGCCTCGGAGGAGGACGCTCGGTGCAGTCTCTTGCCTGATGGCCGGACTTTTTGCACGCGTAGCAAGTGTCACAGTCCTTGGCGATGTGGCCCTGCGCGACACAAGAGCGAGGAGGGTGAGCTCACGGGCACGAACGAAAGAAAAAAAGACCTCGTGGGGCAAGGCGTACGTCGAGCCCACACTTGTAACACGTCTTCACGTCGCCCTTGGGGCATTCCCGTGCAAAGTGACCAGACACGCCGCATCTGATGGAGAAGCGAGCGGGGTCAATGCGCAGTCGCACACAACAAGCAAGCCAAGCTTCAAGAAGATGATGAAGAAGAAGGGTGTCACGTACTTGTAGCAACCCGCAGGTCTGCCACCGCCAAAACCGGGCGAGTAGGGATCGTAGCCGCCCATGCCGCCGGGAGGGCCACCGTGGCGGCCCATGTCCATCATTCTGTGCATGTCGCTCTCCCTCATGCCGTGGTAGCCGCCGTGGTGCATCATGTCGGGCGGATAACCCATGGGCGGGCCGCCGTAGCCTGCCCCAAACAGCCCCCCCCCCCACCGCCACCGCGTCTTAGTAGATATCAGACACGGACGACACATGCACGAAGAAGCGAAGCACATGACATCACAGGCCAACCAACGTCTCATGAGAGCGGGGCGAGCCGTACCTCCCATGCCATAGCCATCCCTGTCGTAGCCACCTCCTCCGTATCCACCGCCGCCGTAGCCGCCGCCGCAGTTTCTGATATCAGGAAAAAGAAGTAGTAGAACGTCAGTCATTGCTTAGTCGACGCGCTGAGCACCTGGACGGCAGCCATGTGGTGACGAGTGCTGTGGCGCTAGAGCGTGTAGGCGGCACCTGGCAATGTGGCCCGGCATGCCGCAGCGGTAGCAGATGTCGCGGCTGAGGTAGAGGTTGGGGCACATGGAAGCGCGGTGGCCCTTGCCGCTGCACTTGTAGCACGGCGGCTCATCGCTGTTGGCGGCGCCCTGCCTGGAGGGGCACATGACCGCGATATGACCGTAGCCTGGAGAGAGAGAGAGAGAGAAAGAAGAAAGATGAGTGCGCCATTTACAGGGAAAGATCGCGAGCGAAACATCTCACCTCCACACTTGAAGCACAAGTTCTTCCTTCTCTTTGCTTCATCATCCCTATCATGGTAGTCCCTATGATGATCCTCCTCTCTATCCGGATACTTCCTCTTCCTGTCCCTATCATCATCGCGATCGCGAGCGGGAGAGTAGTGACTCCGATCCCGCTCGCGGCTGCCTCCTCTCCTCTCCCTACTTGCTCCAGAAGATGGCGACTCTACGCCTCCTCTCGCCTCATCTGCACCACTCCTCTCCCTATCTCGATCATAATCGCTGCTTGTCTCTCTACAAGCAGCCCACGTACGTCAAATGATGATAAAAGGAGGCCGAGTAGAGGCGGGCGAGGGCCGCTTGCTGCTCCTCGCATCTTCATCGCGTTGAGGCGCACCTTCTGGGCGAGTAGTTCGAAAGGGAAAGCGGTGCGGGCTCCGCGTAGTGCGCAGATCGCCTGAAGTCCCTCTCGTCGTCTGTCGGTGAGCGATCGCCAGCCCTTTCGCCCTGGTCTTCCATCGTTGTCAGGACCTGCAAATCGATTTGTTCTTTTTTTACTTTTGTTGTTCTTTTCATTTCGCCAATGAAGGCGAAGCTTTGATTCGGCTTTATCGCCGGTTTTATCTGGGCACCCCCGATTTTTCTCTTCTTCTTCGCCCTTCAAAATCTCCATCATCATCATCACATCGCCGCTGGGAGAAGGACCAAGATGACGTCTGCTGCGCGACCCACTTTCAATCCTGCAAAGGGCAACACTCATCAGGGCGGCAACCGCCTTTTTGCGCCCTCGGCTCAGACCTCGGCCAAGGACCAGCCAGGGCACAAGGAATTGAAGCTGCGCCGACCCGGCCAGAGCGCCCCCTCTGACATGCGGGCCAAGGATCTCAAGGCCGATCTGGAGGAGAGGGAGAGGCGGCATTTTGAAACGAAAGGGGCGGGCCGAGAGCGAGATGAAGAGGAAGAGGCGGTGCCGCGACCACCGCAGATGATAGAATACAAGAGGAAGAGGGGGGACGAAGAAGAGAAGAAGAACATCGACGCCGACGACTCGGATTCGTCTGAAGACGAGGACGATTCTGACGATTCGGACGATGATAGCGAGGAAGATGACACGGCCGAGCTCATGCGAGAGCTGGAGAAGATCAAGAAGGAGCGAGAGGAAGAGAGGAGGAGGCAAGAGGAGGAGCGGGAGCGAATGGAGGCCGAGAAGAAGGACGAGGAGGTCAAGTTTGGCAATCCACTGCTCGCCAAGGGCGAGGGGGACTTCAACGTGAAGAAGCGGTGGTATGAGGACGTCGTGTTCAAAAACCAGGCCAAGGACGAGCCACAAAAGAAGAAGCGCTTCATCAACGACACCATCAGGAACGACTTCCACAAGAAGTTCCTCTCCAAGTATATCCAGTAATCAATCCCTCACTGTTTTTGTTTGATTCTCCATCTGTCAAGTATTTATTGGATTTGCTGTTGCTGTAATAAACCAATGATGGAGCCAGAGCATGGGCAGCTATTTAATGTCCAGATGTTGATGGTAGAGAAACCTGCCTTTGTGAAACAGCCTGTTAGTGGAACACATGGCATTTTTAAGCCAGTGTGGCTAGGGAATACCATGTAAAGGGTTGGGAGGGAGCTTATCTATGGATGTTGTGGACACCTGTGGGTGTTGCAGTCATTGTGGAGATCCATGTGCCAAAGCCTATCCTTCATCATTGCAAGCTTAGCAGCTGTGCACTGTTTCTACTTGCAAGGTTGAGCTTTCTGGTTGTTTTTTTTTTTTTTTTTTGAGAAAGGTCATACACAGTCATACTGGCCTTTGTACACATGTGCCGCCCCCACCTTCATGCATGCTCTCATGGCCCCCCTTTGTGCACAGCCTCCCTTCCTCATTTCAAGGTGCACTCCTGCTGGAATTAGGAGTATGCTTGGAATTTCGCAACAGTGCAAATTTCTGGTCGGCAAGGAGAAAGTTCGCTCACAAAAGTACGTGCTGTTAGCTTCTTGAAGCCCTTCTGTCGCACACCGCGAGAAGAACGAAGATGATGAACGATGATGAATCACCCCTACTTGCCCTGACCAATGAGGAACTCAAACAATTGATTGAGGCCCAGGGCGTGGCAATACCCCCGACAGCGGTCGACCAACGCGATGAATTAATCGTACTCGCGGAGAAGCACTGCAGGGGCGGTTCTTCAACGGCATCATCATCCTCATCTTCTTCGTCGGCCACCCCCATGGCCCTGGAAGGCGCCGACTCTACAATGGTGAAGCTGGAGGGGGTGGATTTCATGTGCCCCGTTTGTACAGAACTCATCTACAAGCCAGTCACCACCCCGTACGCTGCTTCATCCATTATAATACCCCCCCCCAACAATATAATTTCCGCGTAGCATCATCCATCTCACGCGATCCGCCGCCTCTGTACTTCTGTGCAGTTGCGGACACACGTTCTGCGAGGTGTGCTTGGCGATGGCCCTGGCCTACAAAGCCAAGTGCCCCATGTGCCGCGAGACGTGCGGCCTCTCCCACGCACAATTCAAAGTCAACGTCCTCATGGTACGCTACGTTTTCCCTTTGTAGTACCTTTTGTTGTATCCCCCCCCCAACTCCCAAACGCTCGTGTGTCGTGTCGTGTCATGCGAGACGCAGCGCAGTTGCATTGTTTGTTGGCTTTCTCTCTCGGTGTCTCTCTATCTCACACCGAGTCACACGCAGGCCGCCATCATCGAGCAAAGCTTCGGTGATTTGTACAAAAAGCGAGCGCAGGAGATGGAGAAGCAGGCTCTGGTTGTGCGACAGGGCAAGAAGAAGCTCATCATCGGCAACACCCACGAGACTGTGCCGGTACGAACCAACGTTGCAGTGATGGCCACGCGCCCTGTAGACGTCGAACGCGTTTCTTCTTGTCAATCGCTTGTCGCTCGCTCATCGCTCGTGTCTTCTCTTCTGCTGCGCAGTCGACATCGCAGAATCGGCACAAGTGGAAGTTCTTCTGTACAGTGTTGGACATGGACGAGAGGCTGGGCGTAGCTCCTCCCTCCGTGCCCACGTCCTACTACATCCAGGTGCGTCACCGTCTCCTGTTCTTCTTCTTCTTCCTCTTCTTCTTCTCTCTCTCTCTCTCTCTGTGTGTGTTGTGTGTGTGTGTGTGTATGTGTTGTGTGTGGGGTTGTGTGTGTGTCGTGTGTGTGTCGTTGTCGTGTGGTATGACGCGCACGCTCGCTCGTTCACCGCATCTTGCTTTCTCTCGAGTGCAGAAGGTGGAGGTGTTCCTGCACCCCACGTTCAACCCCAACCGCCTCGTCCTCACCGAGCAGCCGTTCGAATTCGCTCGCGTACGCGACGTCCTCTCCTGCCCTTGAACGTAGCACACAGCTCTTCATCTCCTCACCTCACCGATCTTTTTTCCGACCTTTTTTCCTGCGTGTGTGCAGATTGGCTGGGGCGTGTTTCAGCTGAAGGGGACGATCCACTTCCAGCCCAAGTTCAACATGCGTCCGATCGCGTTCGAGCACCTGCTCTCCTTCGAGAGGAACGGCACCCACAGGGAGTACCACATCTCTTTCGGTGGCAGCAGCGCGGAGGGCCAGCGTTCGTAGCGCGTCGTGTGTGCCGCGTTTTTTTTTGTGTTTTTTTGTGTTTTTTTGTGGTTTTTTCCCTTTTTTCTTCTTTTTTTAACGATTTGTGTTCTAAGAAATACAAATTACGTTTGGCGCGAAACATTTGGCTCGAGTAGCGGGTGATTACCGATTGAATCGAATTTAGAAGCCGATTAATCGGTCGCGTGGTGGCCAATGTTGCAGCGCGTAGCGGCCGAGCTACGAACGCGCCAGGTCAATGTGAAGGATGACTGGTTGCAGCTGTGCATGGAGCACATTAGAATGGAGGAGGGGATCGGAAACGATGGCAATCCACGACAGCTCGCCGATGCTGTATTCAACCATTTCCTTATGGCGGATCTCAACGCTATTGCCTCGCAAGGGACTCTGCCGAACGTCGAGAGGATGCACAAAGACCAGATTGCCGTACGGTTTTCCCATTCGCTACACGTCCGTCGCAGGGTTGTAATCATCCCATTACTCTCATGCAGGGAAGCCACCTCCTGCAGATCGATGAGATGGTAAACATCGAAGCGCCCATCGAGCACGTGGGCCGCGTTGCTGATCAGGACGAAGACGAGGAGAAGGCGCTCGAGAAGAAGCAAAGACACGAAGCCGACGGCGCTCGCGGTGGAAGGGGCGGTCGAGGAGGCCGCGGCGGCTTCGCCCAGCAGAACCAGCGCCAGGGCCAAGGCGCTGGCACTACCAACTCCAACTACCGTACGTTCAAGCTGAGCCTCACCGACGGCGTGCGGCGAGTGTTCGCCCTCGAGTACCGTCGCGTGCCCGTGCTCGATCTCGAGCGCACGCCGCCGGGCACCAAGATCCTCGTGCGCGACGTGCTCGTGCGGCGCGGCGTGCTGCTGCTCCTCCCCCAGAACGTGCAGGTGCTGGGCGGCCGCGTGGCGAGCCTCGTCGATGCCCACCTCCAGACCATCGAGTACAAGCGCAAGCGAGGGTGCGTCTAGAAGAAGAAGAAGACGAAGAGCCTTCATGTGACTCATCTCTGTGCGTGATGCTTGTGTGGCGACAGACAGGGAATAGTCGAGGAGCCGCCAACGGTGAACGCAACGGGCGCCCAGCAACAGGCGCCGGACGGCGACTGGCGATCGAACGCCGCTAAGCGGCCACGAATGGAAGTCGATGAGGTCGGCACCGTCACGGCTACTACGTCCAGCTTCAATTCGTACGACAATACGGCCAAGGCTGCTGCCTCTCGGCCAGCGGCGTCGACTTCATTGTCTGCCGGCCTCAACAACTCCACCGCACCGAAGCTGCGCTCATCGTACTCGGCGTCGTCTTTATTATCATCGTCTTCTTTATCCTCCACATCTTCTTCTTCTTCTACTCCTACTTCTTCATCTCTCGCCTCCTCCGCAGCCACCTTTGCTGGTGCGTTCGCTTCCTCCTTGGTCCCCACGACCCGGCAATCTGCCGCACCAGCCGCCCAGCCGCAATCATCCACATCCACATCCACATCTTCCACCTCATTGTCGTCATCATCGTCATCTTCCACGTCCGTAGTCTCAATACCCTTCTTCTCGCGATCGTCATCGTCGTCGCGCTCCTCGGCCACAACACTCCCTTCTTCGGCCACCAGTCGGATATCGCCCCTCACCCCGCCCGGTATCGACGATTCCAGCGACAGCATCGAAGACGACGTACCTGTTCCTTCCCCCTCTCCTCCGTCTCGTCTGCTGATGCGCGTCGCCTGGTCTCACTAACGGTTCATGAACCGGCGCTCGTCACAGGAGGCGGAGACCAAGCCGACGTCGGCCGCCAAGCTACTGCGCGTCAAGGAGGAGAGTGCCACGACTGTGGGGAGTGCCGAGGGCGAACAGCCCAGCAGCAAGCCGAAAGGGCTTTCGCTTTCCCTCAAGAAGAAGACCATCGTGAAGGAGGAGCCTGCCGTCGAGGCCGTCATCTCCCTCCTCGACGAAGAGCTTCCATCGCCCATTCCAGTACCCGCACCCTCCTCTCTCGCAGACACGGCACACACTACACACACACGGCACACACGACACACACGACACGCATGGCTTATTGCGTTCTGCTCTCACCCCCCCCCCCCGCGACAGGTCAAGGATGAGCCTGGCCAGGCCCGACCAGCCGACGACTACCTGGCGGACGTGCCCGACGACTTTGGCTTCAGTCTGGGCGACCTGGCCGAGTTCGACGAGCACCCACCAGCGGACGTCAGGAGCCCCGAGCCCTTCGTGTACATAGACGAGCTTCGGCCGGAAGACATGGCGACCGGGCGCAAGGTGACGCTGAAAGCAGCCTCCATCGAACTCCTCAAGGGCTCCTTCCAGTACAAGACTGGTATGACTGCCCCCGCACCCACTGTGTGTCGTGTGTGTCGCGTGTGTCGCTGCTTATCATTGGCGCGTGCTGACTCCATCTCTAGGGAAGTATTCGCTGGAGCTCAAGCTGGAGGATGGCAGCGGCACGCTGCAGGCCCTCATGTCCGACGAGGTGTGTCTCCACCATGTGTTGTGTGTGGTGTGTGTGGCTGACAGGCTTCTCCATCAGGTGGTGGCCGAGATGATGGGCGTGACGTGTACAGAGTTCAAAGCCAACCTCACGAGAGGCCCAGAGGGCATCAACGAGAACAAGCGGCGCATGCGACAGCTCGAGGTGGCGTTGTTCAACCTGGAGGGCCTCATGGACCTCATGCTGGAGGTACGCTTTCCTTTCTTCATCTGTTCACCACGCGTGCGACTTACACTCATCATCATCATCATCTTCGTGTCGCAACGTCATCCGTTCTTGCAGGATCCGAAGCCGCTGGTGACGCGCGTCTACCGACCCACAACAGAGCACGCCAAGCAGCTCCTCGCTCGCGTGTCCTCCTCCTCCCAGCTCAACTCGCCCTCCCAACGACGAAACCCTTTGTCGCAATGAATGAAACGAATCGAAGAGGCCAATCATTCATTTCTCAATCTCGCGCAATCTTGTCCATCAGAAGATGAAGGTGGTCGAATCATGCAAGGCTGAAGAAGAATGAAGATGCAAAATGAAAGGTAGGTCGGACATCCACTCGCTCCATCCCACACCCAACCCTTGGCATTACGGTGTAAAGGAACGGTCATCAACGCGTTGCGCCAGACCATGCAACGGCCCCGAGGGGCGATGCAGGCACTGTGTGCGCAACGCAGCACTTCGCGCTCAGGAGCAAGGGACAGGCGTCATCATCCATACCCAGTGGGCTCGTCTTGTTTAAGGGATACAAGACTATAGACTCAATACTATGGAATATGATCCTGAAGAGTACGGTCTACTCCTCAGCACCACCTCGCGCCCTACTTGAAGCCTTCTCCTTCACCCTCACTCCGTCATTGTGGGCTCGACCAGAAAGTTGAGAATTGTCGACAATATTGCGCCAAAACAGCATTTTAATATTCATTTTTACTTATTTTGATCAGACCAGCATGTTTTGTTTTTTTTTAAAAACAGGTTTATGTACACAAAGCCACTATTTACAGCATCGTTGGGAAGGTGTGATGTGAAGAGCAAGGAGGAGGGTGAGGGTTCACTTGTCCATGACGGGGATGTTGGTCTCGCCGGGCACGATGGGTCCCTGGGTACCCAGGCTCGTATCGACCGGCGGCGGGATGGGCGGCTGCGGCAGGAACTCCTCGAACCTCTTCTCCTCCCCTGCGGTCGCCATCGTCATCATCATCGGTTGCTGCAGCGTCGTCGTCGGCTGTTGTTGGAATTGTTGCGGCTGCTGAAGCAGAGGCGGTTGCTCCATGTACAGCTGTTGTGGCTGTTGTGGCTGCTGCTGGGCGTGAAGCTGGCCCTCGGCCTTGCGCTGGTCCTTCTTCTTCTTGCGCAGCATCTTCCTCTTTTCGGTCTTCTCCGACGTCTTCTTCTGCACCTTCTTCTCCTCCAGCTCAGCTGCACCATCATGATCGCCAGCCAGCCCCAAACCGTCAGCTCATCGGCATCATCAACTCATTTCCGAAGAAGAGAGAAGAGAAGAGACGAAGTGCGAGGTGCGAGGCCGAGGCGAGTGGGGCGAAGAGAGAGAGAGGGGGTGGTCAGTACTCACCTGCCCTCTTCTCGCGGCGCTGCTCCTCGGTCTCGCGGATGACGATCACCGGGCAGGGCGCGTGGGAGGACACGTAGGACGAGACCGAGCCCATGAACATCTTCTTGATCGGGTTCTGGCCTCTGCTACCCATCACGATGTAGTCCACCTGGCATTGAAGCCCAACGTCAGCCATCTTCAATCTTCTACTTCATCTTTCATCAATTTCATCAATTTCATCAAGAGAGGCGGTGGAGGAGGAGGTACCTTCTCCTCATTGGCGAGGTCGCAGATGGCCTCGCGCGGGTCCTTGGCCTCGATGAAGCGCGACGTCCACTTGACCCCGTCGGACCACTGCTTGGCCAGGTTGCCGGCGTGGGCCAGATAGCCCTTGCCCCGCTTAACCGAGTCGGGCTCGGGCTCGGGCTCCTGGGCGGCCGCCGGTTCGGGTGCCGGCACGCCACCGGCCGCGGGCTGGGCTTCGGCCGTTGACGAGCCGCCGCGCCAGATCGAGAGGCGGCTGGCGAGCGAGCGCGATTTCTTGACGGCGTGCACCAGGATGAGGTGGTCCTCGTTGACGTTCATGAGGTTGAGCGCGTGGAACAGGCCCAGCTTGGACTCGCTCGAGCCGTCGATACAAACCAGCCACTTGCGACCTGATGCACAACAAAGATATGAATTTTGATTGGTTAGTAAAATAAAATAATTCCTAATGAAAAGTTACAGTGAAACCAGGATAAGAATTCCTGGTTTGTGATTGGCGAGTGGGGCTGGGTACCGGCGGTGAGGAAGTAGTGGGGCACTTCGTTGCTTTGGAAGTCGGAGGCCCTCAGCTTGAAGACCCCCTCGCGGCCCGGCGTCTCGGGGGCCGGGGCAGCCTCGACCGGGTGAGCCACGGGCGGCGACGTGGTGGTTGTTGGTGCGGGCTGTGGCGTGGTGGTGTCCATCGCTGCTTGTGTCGAAACTTCTTCTGCTGCCGATGAAGGCGGCAGCGGGCGGTTGGAGTGAGTCAAAAAGATGTCGCTAGGTGGTGACAAGACTTGCTCTTCTTGTCCAGGGCTTGTTGTTGTTGTGGGTGGAGTTGAAGCCATGTGGTGAGATGAGGTGGTATACAAACCTTGAGCAAGAAGGGGTGTTGGGTGGTGAGGTTGGGTTGTACTTGTGGTTTGGTGGAAGGAATGGCTCAAGGCAGCACTCTGGGCTGGTGTGGCGTGTACAGCGCCAACGATTGGCCTGCATCCTGTCTGCAAGTTTGCGAATTTTCGTCTGAAAGAAAGCGACGTGGCTCGCAATTGCTTCACCTATTGGCCCTTCACCAAGACAGGACAAGATAAGATAAAACCTCTGGCTCACGTGGCGTATCCTGGGCGTGTCCAGTTATCCACCCCATTGGTGATTATCTCTTTCTGGTAGAAGAAAGAAATAAGAGTATTTATTGATTAGCGATTATTCACACGGCTAGACCATTGTAGAGCACAGGCGTTGGAGTGGCTTACACGCTCGCGATCTCGAGGTTTTGTCGGCCCCAGAACCAGGCCTCCTCTCCGACGATGGGCGCCGAGGTGGGCATGATCACCACCGCGCCCTCTTCGAACGGACACCTGATCTCGCCCACCTCGTCGTCCATCGCCAACAACTGTTTCAGGTGGGGGAGAGGTGTGTTGGTTCTTGTTCACCTCATTATGAGGAGGATGTGATTTGGTGGCTCCAAAGAGGGGGGATGATACCTCGTTGTAGGCTACGTGCTCGAAGGCCTGCACGCGCCGGGCGTACCTGAAGCCCTTCCGCACGCGCACTTGGTTGGTGCTCACGTAGCGGCTACGCGAGCAATGGAAGTGTAACAACGTTGTTTGGTGAGTCGCACACGCAAAGTGGTGATGGGCAGTGAGCGAATAGGAGCGTACCGCTTCTCGCCAAATAGGCGGTGGCCCACAATAAAGCTCATGATCACCCGCTTGGCGGATTCGATGGCCTCTCGTGTGCCCTCCTGCCCGCACTCAACGCACACGCACGTCTGCAGACAGACCACCAATTAGGCACCAATGAACAAGGCCTTTACTAGCGAACCAGACCTTTTAAGGGGGGGGTAGATAAGAACCTTGTTGTGCTGCAAGGCCCAATCGCAAGAGGTTCCGCCCTCCACAGTGTGGTGAGCCAGCTTGCTGATCACCAAACCTGACAGCACCTCATTCGTGTCAGTCGCACAGGAAAGAGTGAACAAGATCATTACAATGAGTATCTGCTGGCTGTACCGATGTCGAGTCTCTCGGCGAGCTCTTCGCTCTGCGGATTGCCGGTTGGCAGGGCGTAGGCGGTGCAGGGCGAGGAGGTGGAGTGGACGTCAAGCCACTGGTCGCTGCTGAGCCCCATGCGCGCCACCAGCCGCGCTCGGCGGACCTCGTAGAGTTGTTCCTCTCTCGCAAACCACGTCTGATGCAGCCACCACCGATCAGCAATTCAGGGTAAAGAAACAGGTGAACGTCAATACGTACGGGATGGATGATGCGGTTGAGGTTCTTCTCCATGAAGCGCTTGTTCTCGGCCACAGCGCGAGGATTCCCGACCATCACGGTCAACTGGAGGAGCGCCAACAGTTCGAGATCAGTGTTGCAGGCGCGCGAAAGGAGTGAACCGAGAACCAAAGCTGAACGCGTTGTACCTTGGTGTACACGCCGCGCTGGTTGAGGAGCGCGGGAATGGCGCCCTCCTTGATCAGCTCATTCATCGCCACCAGACCTGAGAACGGGCATGAGAGAACCATAACAATGCAACACGACTACGCCAAAGAACGAACACATATGGGGGGCGAGGGAGAACCTGTCTTCTCGTTGCCGTGCATGCAGACGGTGATGAGGAGGTGGAGCGGACGTCGTTTGGGGGCGGAGGTGGTGGGTTGGGTGTTCTGCCCCTTTTCGATCTCTATCTCGTCGTTGGCGTACTCTTGGTCAAGTCCGCAGGTGAAGCAAGCGTCGGTCGGGCATTCGCAGGCCTGCAGTGTGGTCGTGCGCTCTTCCTCCTCCTCGTCCCTGGCCTGGATGGTACATCCGCAGCCTCGTTGCGTGGCTGCCGGGTCAGAGTAGAAAACGAGTAGCGGCACCTCGGGTGAAAGCAATCCCTTCATCTGTCTTAGACCTATAGAAGAGACTACAGGCGACACAATGTACGTCAGCAATCCTACTGTCCTCCTCCTCTTTCTTACTTTGCATCGATGCATCATCCACAAATCTGGAGGAACACCGGTGCCCGACGTACTTCTTGTAAATGGAGTACGGCTCGGCTTGTGGTTGTTCGTAGCTCGGTAGGTATACAGTGTTGAAAAAGGCGAGTCGTGTGGTGCTCTTGTCGAGGAAGCGATGAGCAAATGGATGGTCTGGTCCCTCCCCGTCCTCCATCGGAGGTAGAATGCAATCCGCAAATTCCTCAACTTGGCCAGAAAAATGGCTGATACGCGCAAAAATTCGAAACAGTTGAGCTCAGGCCGCGGAACGCTCTATTGGCAAAGGCAAAGCGGGCACCACAACCTTCATCATCTTCAACGTCGCACAGAAGATGACACAACCTCTCTTTTGATCGATAGATATTTGCGCAGGTGAGAGAAAAGGAAGTAAGTGCTTTATACAGCCTTATGGAGAAAGGACGGAAGGTTGGAGAGAGACGGCTAACTCGACGACGACCAAGAGAGAACACAAGACTTGCTCACTGCTGCTGCTTGGGCTTGGCCTTCTGCTCTTCCTTCTCTTCCTCGATGACCTTCACGACCTTGTCCACCTCCTCATCGGGCAAGAAGGTCAGCTTCTTATCGGAACGCATCACCGCAATGTCCAGGTTCTTGCTCGTTCCCTCGACAGTCTAGATGTGATGTGCACAACGCAGGTCAGAACAGGGTGTGCGTGTTGGTGTGTGTGGTGTGTTGTGCGGTGTTGGCGCACCTCGAGCAGGGCCTTGATGGCAAGCTTGATCGCTTCATCATCGCTCATGCCATCCTGATAGTTCTTCTCCAAGAACTCTCTCACCGTCTTGGAGTTACGACCAGTAGCGTTGGCCTGCACAATGCGAACGAACAAACAAACCAACAAACAAAGGAGGTCACGGCGTAAGCACCAATTCACCAACGCGAGCGATTGATAGGGAGTGAGTGTGACAATGAGCGTACCTTCCACTCGGCGTGAGTGCCAGAGGGATCGGTCTGGAAGAGGCGTGGCTTGCCGTCGTCGAAACCGATCACGAGCGTGGAGATACCGAATGGTCGCACGCCACCGCTTTGTGTGTATTTCTATGTGTGTAGAGTGATGATGGGGAGAACAGGGATTAGCGCTTCCGATTGAGCTCAAACGATGGCGGTGCACTCGAGAAATCTGAAGCGCGCAACGAGAGGGGCGGGTACCTGCTGAACGCCAGCGATGTACTTGGCGACGTACTCGACGGACACGGGCTCTTCGATGGTGAGCGAGTAGCTCTGGCACTCGAGTCGTGCCTTGTTGATGAGGACGCGTGCATCGGCCGTCAATCCGGCAAAGGCGAGCGAGATGTGATCATCTAGCTGCACGATCTTGCGCACCGTGCGGGGATCCTGCAGCTTGGGCACAGACTTCTTCTCCACACCCAGCACGAGGATGGACTTGCCCCTCACGCCCACCTGACGATGATTAAAATCAGCCTTTTGAATTAGACCATGTGCTGCATTGATTGATTGCCCCCCCAAAGGCACGCGCCTACGATGCACTGCAGCAGCGATCGCTCAGATTCGACATGGATATGGTGGACGTACAGCAGTGGTTCCCTTTCTGACTGCCTCGAGAGCATACTCGACCTGGAACAAGTGTCCATCGGGCGAGAAGACGGTGATGGCACGATCGTACGACATGATGATCTTCTACGCTCTAATTCTTCTGTTCTATCTGAGAAATCAACCAAGGCCACGCCAACAAAGTCTGGGCACGCGATCCACGCACTCCCTTGTTGTACCAACCGCCTCCTTAAATGCGAATTTGATTTTTAATCGTTTTCTCTCCTTTCATGCTGACGTCATGCGCGTAGTGGATCAAATCTCGATTTCCACTAATTCAAACGATTGAGGGAGGAGATGCTGCTCCGACGCACGGCACATGGCTCTCATGTGAAAGCCGCCACCTCGCTTTCGCTTCGCCATGCAGCCTCTTCTTTCTCCCTTGCACATCACGCTATGCCATGCTGGCGGCGAGGCTGGTCCTCGGCCGCGGCGGGCCTACGATCGTCGGCCTACGATGTCATCGTAGTCGGTGGTGGGCATGCGGGCTGCGAGGCCTGTGCCGCCTCGGCAAGGGTGGGCGCCAGAACGCTCCTCATCACGCACAAAATCGACAGCATCGGCGTCATGTCGTGCAACCCATCGATAGGCGGCATAGGCAAGGGCCAGTTGGTCCGCGAGATTGACGCCCTGGACGGCCTGATGGGCAAGACCATCGACGTCGCCGGCATCCAGTTTCGCATTCTCAATCGTTCTCGCGGCCCTGCCGTGCACGGCCCGCGAGCCCAGGCCGACCGCGAGCTCTACCGCAAGGCCATGCGCCACACGCTCGAGTCGACGCCCGGCCTCGACATCGCCGAGGCCTCCGTGGAGGACCTGCTCCTCTCGCCCGACGGCGCCACCGTCGAAGGCGTCCTCCTCGGCTCCGGCGAGCAGGTGCGCGCGCCCAAGGTCGTCATCACCACCGGCACCTTCCTGGGCGGCCTCATCCACCTGGGTACTCCACTCACTACGCAGATCGATCTTTCGCTTTGGGCACCTCATCGCCGTCTTTGAGGCCTTGCCAGCTGCCGTCTGACTGTGGGTGTTTTTTTCTTCAACCGTCGACTCAGGGCAGAAGCAGTTCACGGCGGGCCGGTTCGGCGACGCGGCGTCGGTGGGCCTCGCCAAGACGCTCCGCGATGCCGGCTTCCCCGTCGCCAGGCACGCACGCAGAAAGAGAGAGAGAGAGAGAGATGAACGTTGTGCTCATCGCCACACTCGGCTCTTGACCGAATGAATGGACGTGCAGGCTGAAGACGGGCACGCCGCCGCGGTTGCTGGGTACGACGATCGACTACTCGAAGCTGGAGGTGCAGGAAGGCGACAAGCCGCCCGTGCCCTTCTCCTTCCTCCACGACAAGGTCGCGCTTGAGGACCAGCAAAGAGTAAGCTCAGCCCATCATCCCATGCAAGCACCACGCAACCGAATTCACACACGTCCTCTCGTGTGTGTCGTGTGTGTTGCAGGTGTGCCACATGACCTACACCACCGAGCGAACGCATAAGATCATTCGCGACAACATCCACCTCTGCCCCACCTTCGAATCAGGTACGATCGTGTGTGTGCGTGTGTGTGTGTCGTATGTGTCGTGTGTGTGTTGCAAGTCCAACTCTTCCGCCTTTTCAGGACAGGGAAAGGGTCTGGGTCCGCGCTACTGTCCCTCCATCGAAGTCAAGGTCGAGCGGTTTGCCGACAAAGACCGGCATCAGGTCTTTCTCGAGCCCGAAGGTACACTCCCGCCACGCTGCCACCCACGTGCGAAACGACGCTAAAAGCCATCACGAACGGAACGAACACAATCACCGCCCCCCTGATGCAGGGCTCGATACGGACGTCGTTTACCCGAACGGCATCTCCATCTCCCTGCCCGAGGACATTCAGCTCGACGTACGTCGTCCGCACACGCGCACACACGCACGCGCACACGCGCACACGCGCACACAAGAGTGGCATGTGTTTTGCTTGTGTTGACTTGCGGTGGTGCGGCGATGCGTGTGTAGATGGTGCGTAGCATTCCGGGCCTGGAGAAGGTGCACATGATTCGGCCGGGCTATGCCGTCGAGTACGACTACGTCGACCCGCGGGAGCTGCGACCAACGCTGGAGACGAGGCGCATAGGCGGCTTGTACTTTGCCGGACAGATCAACGGCACCACCGGGTACTGCTTCCATTCCACCTCATATTTGTTCGATCTTTCTTCCATATATTCATGATATATTAATATATCTAAATGATATGTGGACATACAATGTCTTGTAATATATGTACATATGTATTTATTTATTTACAGCTATGAGGAAGCGGCGGCGCAGGGTATTATGGCGGGCATCAACGCTGCGCTGGCGGTCAAGGGCGCGGACCCATTTATTCTCGACCGCGCCGACGCCTACATCGGCGTACTCATCGACGACCTCGTCACCGTAGGCACCAAGGTACTCCTCCACGCCCTCCATTCACTGTGTCGTGTCGTTGGTCGTGTCGTTGGTTGTGTCGTGTCGTGTGTGTGTCGTGTTGCGTCGCGTCGTGTGTAGCGATTGATGATGTGTGGTGATGCGGCGGCAGGAGCCCTATCGAATGTTCACGTCGCGGGCGGAGTACAGGCTGTCGCTGCGAGTCGACAACGCCGACTTCCGATTGACGGAGCGCGCGCAGGGCGTGGGCGCCGTATCGCAGCACCGCTTCGCGCGGTACGAGGCGCGCAAGCAGGAGGTGGACACGCTCAAGTCGGCCCTCCGGGACCACACCGAGGCCGCCCAGGAGTGGGCCCGACGCGGCCTGCCCGCCCCGCGCGACGGCCGCAAACGGAGCGCGTGGGACATGATCGCCCACTACAAGGTCACCCTCGCACAGCTCGCTCAGGTAGTTCTCCGCGCTATCAACAATTCGCGCCTTTTAGTTTGTTGTGGTTGTTGGTTGGTGGTGGTTGTTGCATTAATGTTGATCTCTTCTCGTGCGGCCACACACGTGCAGCTCTGGCCGGAGCGCTATGTGTCGGTTGGCGAAACAACGGCGTGGCACCTGGAGGTCGAGGCTCAGTACAGGTGTGTGTTCCACAGCTTCACTCAAAACGACCGCACACACGCACACACGCACACGCACGCACGCACACACGCACACACGCTGGATGACTGATCGCGCAACCGTTTTCGCGGCACGCTGCGCGCAGTGCGTACTTGAAGCAGCAGGAGGCGGAGATTGCGGCGTTCAAGAAGGAGGAGAGCCTCGTCCTTCCGGCGGACCTCGACTACTCCGAGATGGCTTCGCTCTCCATCGAGGAACGACAGAAGCTCGCCGCCGCCCGGCCCACCACTCTCGGTAAACCTTTACCATCACCACCAAATTTCTTCATGTGTGTGGTGTCGTGTCGTGTGGCGTGTGTCGTGTGTCGTGTCGCGTGTTCTCAATATTTCTCCACTGCCAACAAACAGGAGCGGCGTCGCGCATACCAGGGATGACCCCCAACGCGCTGCTCTTCCTCACCCGCTACGCCAAACGCTCGGCGCTGCTCTCCCCAGCGTCGCACCAGCTTCCCTGATCCCTCTTCTACAATATTCTCATTTAAACACACACACACACTTCTCTTCATGTGTCTTTATGGGTGGTCATCATCCCCACCAACTCCAAGGGGCACCAGCTCGAAGGCGCCTTTGCCCTGCTGGTGGGCTTTTCGTCGCGATGCACGATGACCTTCATCTTCATCATCTCCTTCGTCCACCATCTTCATCATCTGCGCCACTTCGTCGTCGTCGTCGTCGTCGTCGTTGATTGCTGCGGTGGCGCCGGCGGCGTGTGCGGTGACGGTGATGCCCATGCAGCGCGGGAGGAAGAGGGCGAGCAGGGCGTAGACGGCCAGCAGCACGAGGTTGCCCGCCAGGATGGTCCACATGAGCAGCGACGACGCGATCTTGTTGAAGATGAACCCGGCGCCCATCGGCACCAGCATCGCGCCCAGGCTCGACCCCACTGTGCGTTGCGTGCAAAGTGAGTGCCACCTCGCACGTCGTGTGTCGTGTGTGTGTGTGTCGTGCGTGTGTCGTGCGTGTCGTGTGTGACGTGTGCGGTGGAGCGTACCGACGAGGAGACTGGAGGCGCGGCTGGTGATGGCGACGCCCAGCTGATATGGGAAACTGAACACCAGCGCGTAGATCGAGGCCATGAAGACGCCGTACAGCAGCGTGACCACCCACAGGGACTTGTACACGCGACACGCGTAACCACACGACACACGACACAATCAGTTTTGGGTTGCGATTGAGGCTGGACGGGGAGGCGGGGGAGACGCGGTACGAAGTTGTTCTTGAAGGGCACGACGACGATGGCCAGGATGATGGCCAGGGTCGATCCGATGTGGTCCGTCAGCAGCATCGACCGCGAACTGAACCGCGTCGCCAGCGGCACTGCAGGCGTGTGTCGTGTGGTGAGTGTCGTGTGTCGTGTGTGTGTCGTGTGTCGTGTGTGTGTCGTGTGCTTGATTGCGAGTAAACGGGCAAGGGTTGGTTACCTGCGAGGAGTCGTCCGATGGTGATGGCGAGCCAGAAGGCCGAGGAGAGGTAGTCGGCTTCGGTCTCGCCCATGTGGAACTCGTTCACGGCGTACGTGAAGATCCACCCGCCGTACGCGATCTCGATACCCACGTACTGCACGCACCGCACGCAACGCACACACGCACAATTAGGATTCGTTCACAACACCAACACGTGTGTGTGTGTGTGCGCGCGCGCGCGCGCGTGTTGGTGGCAACCACACACCACACACACACGACACACACACGACACACACACACACACGAGAGAGGGAGAGGACGTACGGTGAAGAGGGAGAACGCGGTGAGGAAGATGATGAGGTAGCCCAGCCACTTGGGCGCGTCCTGGCTTCCATCTGGCCGCACGACACGCACACACGGCACACACGACACACGGCACACGGCACACACGTGAGTCGGGCAGGCAGGACTACGAGTGGAGAGGCTGTGTGGCGCAAAGACGCACTGTTGCGGGTGGCGTCGCTGTCGGGCGCCGGGGCGGCGGCGATCGGGGCGGGGCTGGGCACCGCGAGCGCGAAGAAGGAGGGCAGCATCACCAGAAAGCCCAGCACCCAGTAGCACCTAATGATGATGTCCACCTCACCGCCACGGCCCAACCAAATGAACGTTATCGAGTCAGCTCAGCGCCACCGCACCACCATCACTACGGTGTCATCGTGTGTGTGCGTGTGTGCGTGCGCCGTGTCGTGTGTGTGTGTGCGTGTGTGTGTGGTGCTCACCAGAGGAGCTGCGCGTCCGACGGGGCCACGAGCAGCACCAGCGCAATAATGGCCGGGGCCGACGTCGACCCTACCACCACACACACGACACACGCACACGACGCACGCGCACGACACACGACACACACACGCAACACGGTCAGAGAAGAAGAGAGAAGAAGAGAGAAGAGAGGGGGGGTTGACAGCAGCGGTGCGGTACCGACGCCGTAGGAGAAGTGGAGGAACTGCATGTAGGGGGCGACCTGGCGCTGCCAGACCTGGAACATGAGGGTGTTGGCGCCGACGTCGTTGAAGGAGGCGAAGAAGGCGTTGACGGCCTGCAGCGCGAGCAGGAGCCAGAGCGAACGGGCGAACGGGAAGACGAAGAGGAAGGCGGCCATCGTCATCGTCGACCCGAACAGCACCGCGTGCGACCGCTTGCCCGTCGACTCGTACAGCCGGCCCGCACACAGCGACCCCAAAATCCAGCCCAACTGTGCGTGTCGTGTGCCGTGTGTGCGTCGCGCGGCGTGTGCGATGGTGTGTGTGTCGTGTCGTGTCGTGTCGTGTCGTGTCGTGTCGTGTCGTGTCGTGTCGTGTCGTGTCGTGTCGTGTGTGGTGACGTACGCCGCGGAGGGTGAAGATGAGGCCCATGTCGTCGACGGTGGAGGAGGTGTTGGCGGCGAGTAGGAGGAGGGTGGGGCCGATGCAGCCGCCGGCCATGCCCTGGGCGACGTAGGTCCCGCAGTAGACCATCGTCTGGCGGTACTTGAGCCGCTTCTCCTCCCGTGCGCTCCTCTCTTTGATCTCCTCGCCGATCGCATCGAGCCCGTCATCGCTGAGTTTTGTTGGCATAATGTCGTCATCATCATGCAATGTTGTCTTCATCTTGTTTTTGTTGTGTTGTGCACCGCCACTGACGTGCAGGAGGGATGAGGATGGTCGATGGTCGTCGTAGTCGTCATTGCACTCTTTGTAATCGCGATTTTCCGTGTCATCGAATGGAGCGGGGTGATTTTCCTCCAGCTCCCAATCGTGGCTCGCCTCCTTCGATTCGTCGCGTTGCAGGAAGGGGTCGTGAAAATCATCCACCATGCCCTCGCCATGGACCGCAATCGCTGCCGATATCAGATCATGATGTTCATCATCGTCCTCGTCATCCACAAACGCAGCAAAGTTGAACTTGGACTGGGCACCCACATCATCCATCCCTCTGCCAACAGACTGTCGATTCTGCTGCTCTGTGGTTGAAGTTGGTTAACCCGAAGCAGCATGATGCTGACGTCACCCCTCATGTGCTGGCCCTTCAACTGGTCTCATGATCCTCCCCTCTTGTTGTTCTCTCTCTTGTAATCAAAGAAGAAGTTCCCAAATCCCTCTCTTCTACCTTCTTCTTCTTCAACTACTTGTGTTCCACCTTCATCCCCAGCACCATCATCGTCATGTGGCTTGCTGCTGCTGTTGTTGTGTTCGTCGTCTTCTTCTTGATGTTGTGCTTCTTCTTCATCTCTTCCAGGATCTCTTCCTCTCTCTTTCTTTATCTCTTCCGTCGTACGAACCGCTCTCGGTGCCCCTCAGCCCTCGTCGTGTTGGTGGTGATGTGGTTGGTGGTGGTGGTGGTGGCGATGGTGGCGGTCGTCCCTCAACCGCTGCTGACGAGGGGCGGGATGACACCCGACACGACGGCGATCACCACCACGATCAGGAGGATGATCAGAATCACCGTGATGACGATGCACACTTTTTTCTGTTGGCGTGTGTCGTGTGTCGTGTGTCGTCGAGTTAGCACACGCATCACACACAGCCAACATATGCATATGTATATGTTGAGCGAATATAGCGGAATGTGAACAACGTACCTTTCTCGTGTTGGTGACGATCTTGGCGGTCTCCTGGAGGGTCACCACAGCCTTCTCGGTGAAGGCCTTGGAGTTCATCACCGAGAACTCGATCTGATCGATCAGGTCGCCTTGCGTCTCGACGAGAATCGCCATGTCCATGAACAACTGCAAACCACCACGCACGTGGCTCAGTTAGCATCATATGTGCGTGTGCGGTGGTGCGCGTGTGCGGTGGTGTGTGCGTGCGGTGGGTACCTGGTTGAGTTCGGTGATGGACTTTTCGAGGGCGAGCAGATCGTTGTGCTTCTCCTTGAGGTAGTCGAGCGTCTGCTTGGCCTTGGCGTGCTTCCGGTCCTCCATGATGTGCTTCTGGAATATGGCCTCCTCGCCCGACTCCAGCACCTCATCAATGTCCTCCGGCGACGCGTCCGGCGCCACTGCACACACGACACACACACGACGCACACACACGACACGACACACGACGCACACACAAAAACATTATTCCTGCCCTGTGTGTATGTGGTATGTTGATGGCGGTGTGCGTACCGATCTGGACCTCCTTGTAGGCCTTGTCGCGGAACTTCTTGTCGTACTTGGTGAGCATGGCCTGGTACTCCTGCATGAGATCCAGGAACTTTCGCACCAGCGTGCCGTGCATGTTGCTTCGAATCTGTTGAGGTTCGGCGCGTCAGCCACCAACGCCATCACGACACAAACGACACACACACGACACACACACGACACACACACTGCCACCACACACACGCACACACACAGACGCACGCACACACACACAGACGCACGCACGCACACACAGACACACACGACGACACACTGCCACCACACGCGGGTGTGGTCTACCTTGACGAGCGAGGGGTCGTTGTCGTGCGACTTCTCAAAGTCGTCGTTCTCCTTTCGCATCTTCTTCATCTTTATGCGCATCTGCTGTGCTATCTTGTCCGTCGACGATCGCACTTCGCCCACCTCCTGCCGTAGCTCTACGTGCGTGTGCGGTAGTGCGTGCGTGTGTCATCGTGTGCGGTTAGCGCGTGTCGTGCGTCACAAAAGACAGGCTCACGACACCGCACACGACACGAGCTCGAGTGTGAGAGGTGTCGTACCTTGGGCGTCTTCTGTGGAGGTGGCGGTGAGGAGCTTGGAGTAGAGGCCCTTCATGGTGGCGATATTTTCGGTGATCTGGGCCATGGCCTCCTTGATCTCCTCCACCTGGCTGAAGAAGTCGTTCAGCTCGGCCGTCGATTCCTCATCGGCCGCGGGCTCGCCGCCGCTCTCGATGTCCGAATCGGATGATCGCATGTTTTTCATCTCGTACTGCGCGTGTAGAAAGAAAAAACATCATCATCAATCAAAGCCGTTTTTCTCCATCTCAAAAGAGAAGTAAAAAGGGGAAATAAATTGCTCACAGCCCACGAAGACGAAGTGGAAGAGAGTGCGAGAGGATGATGCGCAGCGTTGTGATGCGACATGCAACGAAAGATAATAGATAAAGAAAAAGAGGCAAATAAAATAAAATAAACACTAAATCAAGCAGATTGCAGAGATGTCACTACGTACGTCACCCATGTTGATGGTTGTGCGAATGAAGCGAACAAGAAATTAGCAGGTGATCGATTCAGGTTTTGTTCAGAAAAATGTCGAAGAAGAATGCCCTCTTCCGAACGTAGATATCAATCAATCGCAGTGTCGCGCAGAGCAAATGCTTCCAAGCTCACAAGGCGGCGCGGGATGCGAAAAACGAGAGAGCGGGAAATCAAGAAGGTCCACGAGATCGGCGCGCCGAGTGGGTTGACGCAACAGAAATAACGTCCGCTTCGGACATACGGAGTGAAGATATCTCCGGAGTGCTTGTGAAATTTCCAGATCCATTACAAATCATACGACTTTTTATTCCCGATGAGACGACAGATGAACGACATGTTTATATAAACACACCATCTCGTAGTTCTACATTCTTCTCGCTGGAGGCTCTTGATCAAGTGGCCACGATCGTGGGGTGGCACAATCGTCGGCGTTGGCGCACCCAGACCAGGAGTACAAGGCAGAGGGTGGCCGGACAGCTCCACACCAGGACCGCCAAGTACGCGTTGGGCACTGTGGGCGACGCCTGGGGCACGACGACGTGGTCGGCGTTGCCGGCGAGGATCGCGGACAAGACATCGTGCACGCGATCGACATCGCCAACGCGCTGTTGTAGATGGAACGCGACCAGTTGGTCGTGCGTGGTGATGTTGGGGTTGAAGCTGAAGTTGGCCATCTTCTCCGCCAGTTCGCTCGTTCGCACCATCAACAGGCCATGCTGCTCGCACACACGCGTACGCACACGCCTGAGCATCACCGAACGCATACCACACGGCACACACGGCACACACGGCACACGGCACGCGTGGGCGGCACGGGCGTGTACCTGGAGGAACCGCGCGATCTTGTTTTCGTGGCCGACGATCCAGTTGTTGTGCACAATGTAGGGGTCTGGCCTGACCTTGACCCGTACTCCGTCGCTCGTTGTCTGCATGTGCGCGCGCGCAGTGTACAACATGATCAGAACCACTACAATGTTTCGTAATATGGCCGCGTTGCGTTGCGTTGCGTTGCGTTGCGTCGCGTCGTTGTGTCTAGTCTGCGTTGCGTGTAGTGATGCAATGAAAAGGAAGAAAGCAAACCTTCCAGAACTCGTGGAAGTAATAGTAGCCACTGGGAAAGTCGTCCATGGGCATCACCTGCACTGTGACACTCTGCAAGCGGACATGAGTAATTTCTGTGTGCCGTGTGTTGTCTGTGTGTTGTCTGTGTCGTTTGGCGGCGGCGGCGGGGGAAGTACCTCGTTTCTCTGTCGTCTTATCTTGTCGTGCCACTTGTTGAAGCAGGGCTGCTCCTTGATTCCTTTTTGCTCGCACCGCTGCACCGAGTCGATGAACGCCATCGTGTGTTCATTGCTTCGCCCCAGCCAAAAGCCTGGTCATCACCACCACCACCACGCCACGTCATTCCATCAGTTCCTGCACGAATGTCGCGTGTGCGGTGTGTGCGGTGTGTGCGGTGTGTGCGTGCGGGAGGTTGAGTGGACCTCCGCACAGCGCTTGCTGTCCACCCTTGCGCATGTCGTCGTTGATGAAGAAGAGATCGACAGTCTTGTTGACGAACAGCGGCAGCGGGTCCTTCATGAACACGATGTCCACGTCCGTCACCTGCACATACAATCGGGACCGTCACCACGCCCGCTTTAAGGTGGCGGTCGAGCTGGCATCGTCGATCGCGCATTGCACACATACCAAGACGTTGAGGCCCGTGGCGATGATGGCCCGCACGTTGGCCGCCTTCTTGTGCACCACCTGGTTCCAGCTCTGGTGCATGGGGTCCTTCTTGTCGGTCGTGTAGCGGGCCGCTTCGGAGGACGCCAGATCGCCCAACCCGATTGCGGGGTCGTACGCCCAATCGATTCCTGCGTAAAATAAAACAGAGAACCAAACAACAATTGTAATTGGAATTGTTGGACAGGAGAGGTCGTGCGGGCGTGGTGGTGAGTACCGAGAAAGCTGAGCTGCTGGGCGGCCTTGATGTCGTTGGGCACGATGACGTAGTTGGTGATGTTGAGCCGATCGACGGAGGCCTTCCAGTTGAGGAGCAGGTCGAGGTAGCCCGCATTGCACAGGGCCAGCACCACCACCCCGTCCTTGGCCACCCGTTTCGCCTCCTGTAGCCCGTTTTGTTTTGTTTATTAATGTTATTTTTTTCAATATTTGAATAAAATTTCGTACTTTAAAAAGAAAGAAAGCGAAGGGCAAAGAGCGAAGGTGGCCACGTACATGTTCGAGAAGGAGGAGGCCCGGTGGAAGAAGAGAAGAAGTGAGAGGAGACGGCGATGGTGAAGGAGAACCGGATAAAAGGGTGGCGGCGGCCAAGTGGTAGAAGCTGACGAGGAGCAGGAGGAAGGGGACGCAGAAGACCAGGTACACCCTCGTCGTCGTCCTGCCTCCTCCGCTTCTTCGTGTGTCTTCCATCCTGTGCGCACGTCCTGTGCGTGTTTGGGTGGTGTGCGTGTGTTTGCGCTAAACTCCTCTTTTTTTGGCTTGCTGGGGTTATCTGATTCCCCGTTGGCGGATGTTAGAGTCAGAGCACACACCGAATACCCGCGACTTTTTTTCTTTGGGCTCACAGACACTTTCTGTTTTGTGGGCAATTGTTAGCGGGAGTCGACCATTGTTGTTTGTAGTAACAAAAGGTGGCAAATAATTGTGCCAAGTTGTGCAAAGTTGTTTTACTTGTACAACAGTGTCATTCACAAGTATTGATACAACAGTCCAGATCTTGTGGTGAAGAGAGAGGATTAGGTTCACATCCTGTGTGAATGAACATATTGGCTGCTTTTGCAAATGCTATGTGTGGGGTTTCATACCTTCAAAGCCTGCATTGCCCATGTGTTGCTCTGTTGGTTCAAAGTGGTTCCATTTGTGCAATTCTTCAAATGCAATTTGTAGATCATTTGTTGCACCACCATAGATGAAGAGAGCCCCATAATCTGCCCATTCATGGTGACAAACAAAAGAACAGTGACAGAGAGTTGGTTCTTTTTGCTTGAATAAAGCAAACTGTCTAACCCATTGTCTGAAGAACCAGAAATGGGCTGTTCTGATCCATCAACAACCCAGGTATAATACAAACCAGGAAAATCAAGCATGCATGTCTTGTGCAGTGCTCTTAGAGATTAAAAAATATTGAACCTAAGAAGATGTCAACTGGATAGTGGCACAAATGAAGCAGAATGAAAAGAAGCTCAGTGGTGGGGCTCAATCTTGATGGTGGTGGGCCTAATTTGCAATGTAAATGATCTACATACTTGTGAACCAATTGACCAACAGAGTGGCGGCAAACCAATCAACTCTTGCAAAGATTGATCAGAGATCAACTTCAGGTGAAAGACAAAACCTGTGGAGAAAGATCACATTAACTTAATCTATGAAATTCAGATATGAAATGTTTTCAAAACAAATGATTTATTCAGTACCTGAATCATCACCATCATTCTTCTTGCACTTCTTCCTCTTCTCCAGCTTCTGTCCCTTTGTACAGTACACCAATAAAATAAAACAAAGTACATGACAACATTTACAAAAAAATTTGTGCTCCCCATCCTGGATGAAGATGAGGTGGGTGCTGGTCTTTACACAGTGTGTGTTGTCTGCCTCCTTGGTGCCATGGCACCTCTTGAAAATCTCTTCTTCCTCCTTGTTGTCAGATGCCAGATTGTTGAGGTGGCAGTCCCCATTCTTGAGCACCACCAGCTAATCATCACCAGTTACCTCACCAGTGACGTCAGGCTCCGCTCTCCTGACACGACGCACATGACACGACACGTGGTAAGCTGGTGGGTGGTCCCCCTCTGGCTTTTAGAGGGTTGGACTTGAGGGGGCAGTACTGTTCTATGAGGTCGGCCGCGGCTCGGCTTTCTTCCATCGCTCTCGAAAACGAAAACGAAAATGAGAAAAAAAAGTGAATTTTCAACATTTTTGTTTCTTCTTTTCTTCTTTTCTTCTGTGCCCACCAGCAAACGCACTCAAGATGAGGGCAATTCTGGCGACCGACACTGGTCTCATCAAAGGTGCACATCATCTCACAACACCCTGTGGTCATCCATCAAGGAAATCTCTTGCCTCCCCAGGATTATGGAATGAGATTTTACATCCAAGATTTGCCAAGATTTCAGTTTGCTGATTTTCTTTTCTCAACAGCAGTGGTGGACATGGTGCAGGAGAAGATGGAGGATGGAAGCGCCAGCAAGGAAAAGGTGGCATTCACCACTCAATGGGGTGCTACCCAGGCAAAATTGGAGGAGATTCACTGCATGTGCACCTACCATGGCCAGAAGGATCAGGTTACCACTAGCCTCACCTCTCACCTCTCACTCTCTCTCTCTTCATCTCCCTTCAGCCCTCTGCCCTAGAAATTGAAAATGCCAAATCTCACACAATTTTTGGCCTCTCATTTCAAATGAGCACAAGTTACACTCACATTTAATTTGTTTTTGCATTTTATGGTTCTCTTTAGTAATTCTGATAAGGAGCTCTTGAGTGTTCATCATTCTACATCAAGATGATGAACTCACATGAGGTGTGTCCACTCCTTGGTTGCCCTTTCAAGCTCAGGATGGTTCAGCAGAATTCTGCTTTTTCCCACCTACCTTCCCAGCAGTGAAGTTATGCAACAATTAACATCATGGCAAGTAGCCTGACACAACAAGCAAGGCCGCACACGCTCCTGTTCACGTGAGTCCACCTAGATGTCCAGTTCGGGTTTCCGTGGTGGCAGTGGCGCTGGTCGTGGTGCGCTGCCCCCTGATCTTCGGCGTTGGTACGCCCACACGACGAGGAGCACAAAGCAGACCGTCACCGCCGGAGAGCCCCACACCAGGACCATCGAGTACCCGCCGTACAGCGTGGGCAACTCCGCAGATGAGTCGACCTGGTCGGAGCACAGAGCGGGTGTGTCAGGTGTGTCGGGGGTGCTGGGCGTGTTGGGCGTGTCGGGCGTGTTGGGCGGGTCGGGCGTGTTGGAAGGGTTGGGCGGGTCGGGCGTGTTGGGAGGGTCGGGCGTGTTGGGCGTGTTGGGCGTGTCGGGCGTGTCGGGCGTGTCGGGCGTGTTGGGAGGGTTGGGCGTGTCGGGCGTGTCGGGTGTGGTGCGGTCAGCTGAAGCAACGCGCTGGGAAAGATGGAACGCGACCAGTTGGTCGTGCGTGGTGATGTTGGGGTTGAAGCTGAAGCCGGCCATCTTCTCCTCCAGCTCCTTTATGTCCACCAGCAACAGGCCATGCTGTTCGCACGCGCACCGTCGCACACACACACACACACACACATCGTGCGGCAATGTGAGCACGCACGAACACAGTCTTCGCACGACTGCGAAACGACACTCACCGCGACACGCGCCACACGACACGAAACATTGGTGGGTCTAAGCACCTGCCGCAACCGGGTGATCTTGTTTTCGTGGCCGACGATCCAGTTGTCGTGCACGATGTAGGGATCCGGCTTGACCTTTTCCCGTATCATATCTCCATTCGTCTATGCACGAGCACAAGTCACAGGTTTGATTAGTGGTCATGGTGAGGTGGTGTGCGTGCGTGAGTGCGTGTGTGTCGTGTGTGTCGTGTGTTTCGTGTGTGTCGTGTGTCGTGTGTGGAACTGATACCTTCCAGAAGTAGTGGAAGTAATTGTAGCCGCTAGGAAAGTCTGCCCGGGTCATCACCTGCACCCTCACGGAGCTCTGCAAGCGACACGCCACACTGGGTTAGTGTCGTGTCGTGGGCGTGTGCCGCTTGTGAGTGCAATATACCTGACTGCCCCTTTTCGCTATGTCTTGGTACCACTTGTTGAAGCAGGGCTGCTCCTTGGAGCCCTTTTGCTCACACTCAAGCACCGAGGCTACGAAAGCCAACGTGTGGTCGTTGCTTCTCCCCAACCAAAAGCCTGACAAGCACCACCACGCCACGTCATCATTTACAAGCAACGATTGAGTTAGACTCGCGAGTCGTGTGTGCGTGTGCGGGTGCTGTGGTGATGCGTGCCGACCTCCGCACAGGCTTGGCGGTTGTCCGTCGTCGGTCTTGCTCTTGGTGTCATCGATGAAGAAGAGATCGATGGTCTTGTTGGAGAACAGCGGCAGCGGGTCCTTCAGGAACACGATGTCCACGTCGGTCACCTGCCCGTGACATAATTTTTTCACCATTTCACACATATCAATATAAAGAGAGATGAGTGGGGAAAGTGTTGGGCAGCACACTGACATTTTGCTGAAAACGGCGGGAGTTGGCGCACATACCAAGACGTCGAGGCCCAAGGAGAGCAGTTTCCACACATAGGCCGCCTTCTTGTGCACCACTCCATTCCAGAGCTTGTACATGGGGTCCTCCTTGTTGAATGGGTAGGAGGCCGCTTCGGAAGACGCCAGATCGCCCAATCCGATCGTGGGGTCATACGCCCAATCAAGCCCTGTTTTATATTCACAATGAAGTAGAGAATGTTGAATGAAAGAGTGGAAACGTACAGGCTACGGCCCGGAAACAGTGGGGATTGTTGGTGAGTACCGAGAAAGCTGAGCTCCTGAGCAGCCTTGATGTCGTTGGGCACGATGACGTAGTTGGTGATGTTGAGCCGATCGACGGAGGCCTTCCAGTTGAGGAGCAGGTCGAGGTAGCCCGCATTGCACAGGGCCAGTATCACCACCCCGTCCTTGGCCACCCGTCTCGTCTCCTGCTTAACTTTTATTAATATTTACATTAAACATGGTTATAAAGTGAATAAACCATGTTTAATGTAAATATTAATAAAAGTTAAAAAAAGTACAACACTGATAACGACTTTAATTCCAGTGATATACAGATATAAAAAATACTAAGCTAGATTTTTCTTTCTGGGGTGGCACTGGAGGCCACAAACTGTTCAAACGGTGTGGTGTGGAGGGAAACTAATCAACAGAGGTAAGCAAGGCGTACTTGCTCAAGAAGGAGCAGGTTGTTACCAGAAGAAGAAAGAGTGGTGGCCACCACAGGGCTGAAGGTGGCGAGGAGCAGGAGAGAGGAGACGCCTACGATTAGCCACACCATCTTCCTCTCTGCGTCCAGTAGGTGTGCCATCTTAAATACCTCAGCCGCACAAAGAAAAACAAGAACATATCAGGTTCGATTTATAGGTTGAGCCTGTCTTCTTTTGGCCTGACACCTTCCTTTTATGACTCTTGTGTGCAACAGGTGTGAACGAGAATGATTAAAGATGTCACAAAGATATTCCTCCAACTATTTTTCTTTTCTAGGACTGTTTGACGGCGTTGAGAGAGCAGCTGCCGCCGACGACGTCGGGGAAGACCATGACCCAGAGACGGCGCACAAACACGCCATCCTCGCGACCCTCGGCCGGCCATCGGGCCTCCTCCTCATCGCACTCCTGCCTCGTATCGAACTCCACCACGCCCAGTGGCCTGTCATTCAAGCCATTGACGTCAGTGTTTGCTTGTGGTTGGTTGGTTGGTTGGTTGGTTGGTTGGTTGGTTGGTTGGTTGGTTGGTTGGTTGGTTGGTTGGTTGGTTGGTTGTTTGTTTGTTTGTTTGTTTGTTTGTTTATTTGTTTGTTCGTTGCAGGTTGCTGTGGAGCAATTGAGGCGAATGGGCCGCACCTGGGTTTGCCGTTGGGGTTGAGGATGACCTCGGCCTTGGCGGGCGGCGTTGTGGTGAAGAGGGCGGAGAGCTGGGCCGTGGTGCAGTTGTTGGGGAGGCCGCACACCACCAGCGATCGGCCTGTTGTGTGTCGAGGGCGTGGTGAGACGTCGGTCGAGCTGGTGGTTAAGGTGATGGTGGAGGTGCGGGTGAGGGTACCAATGGGGTGGTGCTGTTCGGCCGTGAGGAGGTCGCCGGGGCTGTCGGGGCCGAAGTGGGGCGGCGTGTGCTCGCCCGGCGGCCCGAAGTGCACCACCTCCTTCACCTCAAATGGGTTCGTCCCTTTCCTGATGATCCATTCCGACGCGTCAGAACGCACACACGGCACACGGCACACGGCACACGGCACACGGCACACGGCACACGGCACACGGCACACGGCACACGGCACACGGCACACGGCACACGGCACACGGCACACGACACACACAGAACGAAACGCACGCGTTGTTGGGGTGACACGCACCTGTGGAGCAGGTAGATCTCTTTGAGGGTGAAGGAGATGGGCCGGAAGGAGGCTTCGAGCTTGGCCTGCACGCTCCTGAGCTGCTGTTCGTTTTTGCATTTGGCCACCGACACGTGGGCCACGAATTTGCCCTGGCCCCGCTTCACCGTGTCATCGCACTGCGGGAACACCGCCATGATCCGTGCCAGCAGATCATCCATCGCATCTGCGAACACACACATAATAGCACACGCACGCTCGCGCACACGCAATCGCACACGCACACACGCACACAGTCATAAGATGATGGTGTGGCCATGTACGGGCCATGGAGTAGTGTATGTTACCGGGCGGGTTGAATTCGGGTTCGAGGAAGAGCGTGGCCGACTTGGCGTGCTTGAAGTGGCCGAACTTGGCCAGGCGCACCTCGATCGGCGGCATGTCGGCCAACGCTTCGCCCAGCAGCCTGGCCGCCTGCAACCACCCGCCCAGGTTAGTGGTGGAGGAAAAAAAGAAAGAAAAGAAAAGAAAAGAGAAAATAGTACCTCGGGGTAGAAGTGGGGCAGCAGGAAGGGGTCGATGAAGGACAGGTGGGGTCCGCAGCGGGCGTCGGCGATGTACTGGGTGCGCACGCTCTGGATCTCTGCCCACGTTTCGCCTGACAGCGGCAGCATCAAGAGTGAGTGGGTGAGGCGCTACATGAGGTGAGGGGGAAATAGTGGGGTGAGGGAGCAATAAAGAGAAGAAGAAGAACGTACGGGGAGGGATGATGTTGATGACGCACTGGCTGTTGGGGGACTTGGTGAATGTTGAGGGGTGGGCAGTGGTGGGATCCATTAGTACAAATTTCGATTGAAGTGTTGCTGTGCTTGGGGGTTTGAGCTCAGAGCTGCGAAGGTGGTACAAACAAGGGCGCAGTAGATGATCTCTCTTTTATGTGGTCTGCTAGAGAACCGCTTCACCGAACACCTCCCTTATTTCTCGTTTTTGGTTCTCTCTTTCTTCACGCCTGGCACATTGTGCACTGCACGTGTAGTGAGTGAACCATGGCGTGTTGCCATGCGTCGCAATTGGAGAAGCGATGTGGCCAGGCATCTACAGCAAGATCTCGGTACCATCGAAGCTTCGCAAAGAAGCTAAGCCTTTGCCTTAACGTTCCATTTACCTTTATTTTGTAGGCCAGCCTACGAAACCTCCACATCGTAGAGTTTGTCGGTCATGCCTGTGTAGCCGTTACTTCGCCGGGTCTTGTTGTGTAGCACTATCCGATACTCCTTAATGAGGTCTGTGTGTCGTTGGTCGTGTCGTGTCGTGTCGTGTCGTGTCGTGTCGTGTCGTGTCGTGTCGTGTCGTGTGAAGGAAAGATGGGTTTAGAGGAGAAGGAAACCAACACTGTCAAGGTTGAAGCTGCGTGTGTGGCACCGCTGAAGGAGGAGCCCCTGGAGCCGAGGAAGAGATCGGTCATCGAACAGGCGGCTTGCTCCACCGCGATCTGCAGTGTGCTCGAGGAGCACATGGCCCATTTCTCGCTGTCGCAGCTGAACTGGATGCCGGGCGGAAGGCCGTTCTGCAAGTCTTCGCCCTCCGACGCGTTGGCGTTGTGGATGAGGAACAGCTTGCCCACTCGATAGCGCGGCTCGACGGAGGCCATGAAGCGCAGAATGTCCAGCACCACCTTGGCGATCGGTGGCTGACGGGACGCCAAGTCCCCCCGTCGTATGTGAGCGCACATGGACACCGGCCTGGCCGCCGCGCTGTTGGTGGTGTTGGCAGCGACAATGGCCGGCAGCTGATCGATGACGGTGCGCGCCTGCTCGACCACCGCCGGATGGAAGGGAATGACGGGCAGGGCCTGACCAAAGGTGGCCGGAAGGGAGTACACCATGCCGGCCAGCATCCCCATGGCCGGAGGGAGCGGCTGGTCGATGGCGGCCCACGAGGAGGTGTCGTTCCACTGAAGGGAGTCCAACGCTCTGACCTCCGCCGCGCCGCCGAAGCTGCAGCGTAGGCCTGTTTTTGGGTGGTGGGCCGTCGTGCAGGCCAGAGGCCCCAGCAAGGTCTCGGGGTTGTCCTTCCGCACATCTCGCTGTTTGATGAGCCCCTGGGGTGTGGCCCACAGGCTCTCCATCTCCACGCAACCAACATCGTCGAAGGTGAGGAAGCCTCCTGTGTTGAAGGAAGTAGCGGAAACAGAGAATGAGACATGACCCCCCTCCTCCCCCATATATATGGAGGTCTGTGGTTGTTGCTGTTGGAGCGGAGTGGAGTCGTACCAGCATGTTGAAGGAATGAGCGGATGTATTCCACGTCTAATATCTCGGCCACAGTCTTGTCGACGATGAGGTCTGGAAGTACGAGCTGCCTGTTCAGGCGGCCCGCCAGCCACAATGCCCGGCTCAGAGTTATCACCTTGGGGGGGGGGTGGAGCGTGCAGGCATGTTGGCACCACAACTGCAGGCACGATGTGGTGGCTCGTGTGGTCAAAAAAAAACAAAAAAACAAAAAAATGGTGGTGGCCAAGTACTTGGTTTGAAAACCGGCCGTACTTGCCGCAGTAGGCCAGCGTCCGCCTAAGCTTCGGTGGTGGTGGTGGTGGTGGTGATGGTTGCACCAGGGCAGTCGAGTCCCGCGGCGGGTTACTGAGTGTGTTCAGTACCGAGAAGCATGAGAAGAGGCCCACCACGGCAAGGACCACCACGCTCACCGCCCAAGCCCTTGTTCTCCAAGCACTCTTCATTGCCTCTTCTTCTTCTTCTTCTTTTTAACAACATGAAGGTCTTTATGGTAAGTGCCTCTCGTTTCCTAAACGTTCCATTTGGCAGTGAATTTTTCGCTGTGTCCACTATCTCTGACCTCTGCTCAACAGACGTTGAAGGCAAGGCAAGCACCCTTTGTTGCGCCTGGTAGCAGCCAAGGGCAAGCACAAGGGCTCTGTTTTCCAAGTGACTTGTACTCAAAAAAAAAAGTGTGCTCTATTCATTCCACCTAAAAACAAAAAAGGTGGGTGGTTGAACACACGCACGGCCCACTGTGGCGGAGTATGGCTCAGTGCGTTCAAGCAGAGGGGTTGGCAGGGGTGGCAAGCTGAGAAGCAAACGGCCCTCGCAGCACAATCCTACGAAGGAAAGGATAAGGATCGAGCCCCGGGGGGGTGAGTGAGGCAAGTTTGTATCGGGGGGGAAGGTGGTGGGAATTAGAGCTTGGTATACCGCTTGATGTTGTTGGTCCAGAAGGAGGAGAGCGAGTTGTAGACCCTGAGTGTGGGCGCAACGAGGTAGGGCTGGACCACCGACCTCGCCGACTGGATGAAGATGGTCTTGTAGTTATTGCGGAAATTCCAATAGACGTCCTGTTGCCCCAAAGAGAATGAATGAGATCGCGTTAGCGCCATGCGCACGCACCACACACACACACACACACACTAAACATTCCGATGCTAACGTACGCGTCCTTGCTTGACAAGCTTCTCTTTCTTCTCTGGGTCGCTGGTGCGCATGTAGATGAGGAAATCGTTCAGAGTTTCGTAAGAGTGCAGTTTCTCCGTGGCCTGCGTCTTGAGGTTTTCGTAGCCCAAGCGCGCGTAGGTGCGTTGCGTGGTCGCCACGGTCAGTTCGAACAAGCGACCCAGAGAGCTGCATCACCAGCGCCGACACATCAGCGCAAGATTGTACCCAACATAATCCTACGTTTGTGCGTACCTGACTCGGCCGTCCTGGCTGTCTCGACGCGACTTGCCGGCGGTGGGGCCTTCGTCGCCCTTCTGCTTCTCCTCGGGGAGGTAGTAGTCCAGGAGGGCTTCGGCGCGGTCCAGCAAGCGCGACGGCAGCGACGTCGCCGCGTTGTAGGTCGCCGACACCGGGTCCACGACCACCTTCTGCACCAGCCTCTGGCCCAGCTCGGCGCCCTTCTCCACCTGTTCAACGAGAAGCACCAACAGACAAACAAACAAACAAACAAAGAAACAGAGATGAGCACCGGTGCGCAACGTGTGCCAGTCAGGCTCCAATCGCACTCGCGCTACACGTGAACCATCAACACAGCCAATTTCGGTCGACACAAAATTTGCCTTAAAGCAGAGTAGCGAGTGGCGAGGAACGTTGTGGGGGGGGGTACCTTGTCGATCTGACGGACGCTGAACTCGTCGGCGATGACGATGAGAGGGGCGAAGAAGTGGATGCTGCCCTCGACGAGAGGCGAGTGGACCACCTTGCTCACGTTGCTCTCGGCGAGCTCACAGCCGTACTGCATGTGGCAGCAGGTGGCGTGAGCACAAAAGAAAGGGCAAAGTAGAGGGGGGGGAAGAAGGGGGGGAGAAAGTAGAAGTAGTACCTTGGCGAGGCTGTTGCTCTGCTTCACGGTCTCGTAGGTCTTGGAGGCGGTGTCCCAACCATACTTGATCCACGAGTAGCCCAGAGCCCTCTCCACCAAGCGCGAGTTCAGCAGGCCCTTCTTTTCGTTCTGGCTTTCACCATTATGCTGCTGCTGGTGCAGCTGCTGTTGTTCGGTCATCTTTCACGCTCTGCTGCTTCGTCTACTTCTTTCGTTCGGTTGTTCTGGGTGCGCGTAGCGGCTTGGGCGTGGGGAGCAGGTGGCAGAGGAACGCTGGTCTTCCCAAAGACTTTGGTGCGGTGGTGATGTGGTTGGTGTTTCTCGTAAAGCGCAAGGCTGAGGCTACGCAGAAGAAAGAGGAAGTTGTTGGTGTTGTCGTCTCGCCTTCTGCGGTTGGGACATGCTCCCTTCAATCTGTCACTTTTCGTTTTTGTTTCGTCGACCTGTGCCCTTTTCACTCTGTCAAATTTCGCATTATAGCATTTCTTATTATTTTCTTCCTTGTTTCTTTTTATGTTCTTTTCGTTCTCCATAAAAAAACCAGTGGCTTCCGAGCTTGCAACCAACCGGCAACAAGCACACTATCGTCCGCACAGTTCTCTGTCAAGTTCCGACTTCAAGGCCACCTCTAAGTTCAAAAGGCAGCAGCACGGCTGCACGTACCACAACGAAGCACTAACACACCATGAGAAGGACAGCTACGCGAGCGATGGGAATGGCGGGCGGCCTGATGCCGAGGCGAGTGGCGAGCTTGGGGGCGTGTAGGAGCGTCAGTAACATGGGCACCGCGAACAAGGACTCGATCAGCCGAGCCGGCAGCTACAACGACGACCCGCAAGCCAAGCTTGCCAACGACATCTTCGCCACGGATGTGGGCAACAAGGGCCTCACCGATGACACCGGCACCCCCATCGGCTCCCTCGCCCACGACAAGTCAGGAGGTGCGCTGCCCCCCTCCCCCTCAACCGCTCTTGGCGCTAGGTGAGGCCCTGATGGGTGGGATTCCTGGGCGGGCGCGAGCAGGAGCAAGTTTCCTGCATTCCTACATTCCGCAGTTTTGATGGACCAACTGCGTGTCTTGTTTGTATGACGTGACCACCACCATACCCATACCCTCCTCAGGGTACGACCCCAATCTGGATCAGCGGGAGGGCCAGCAACCGATGGGCGACGAAGTGCTGAGTACGCACTGCGCCCCCCCCCCCTCTCCATGGCTTGTGTAGTGCATGTGTGTGCTGAACTGTGGTGTGCATCATCAGAGAGGGCGACGGAGAAGATGGCCAAGGAGAACCCGATGTCTCAGGGGAGGGAGAGCGCGATGGAGAAGGACATCAGGGACGCGCCGCGCGCCGGGCCTGGTGTTGAGAATCCCAACAAGCAGAACCCGCGCGACAATGACGTCAAGTCCGGCGTCCAGTAGACGAAGTAGTGAGAGAAACAACAATATATAGGAACGATATAGGAAACATGAACATCTACACCTCACACTACACCTTCCCCTTCTCACCAACTTCCTGCCTCCCCGCTTTGGCTGAAGAGTAATCGTGTTGATGGTGGAAAAGAGTGGGAAAGAGGTAACGAACTATTTATATTGATCTCTTTATTGCTTTCTCTTTGATCTACGAGTCAAGAGATTATCAACATCGCAATGCATCGACAATGGAATAGCGCCCCTCAACAGCAGGGCGGTGGTGTTGTTGCTGGAGGGCAGCAGCAGCAAAGGTACCAGCAGCACAGGGCGCCTCCGTTTGGCGCGCCTGCTGGCGGACCGAAGCCGCTCGGCAACAAGTGTGGCCTGTTCGGGTACAACAGCTACAGCCAGAGGCGCTTCTCGATCCCGCTCAAGAACGTCGCCATTCGAGCCCACGTTGTGGATTTCTTCGCGAGGGTCGAAGTGACGCAGGAATACGTCAACAACGACCGCAACCCTGTCGAAGTCACGTGCGTACAAAAATCAATCAAATCAATCAAATCAATCAATCAATCGCATTTGCTGCCATTGATCAATTCATTATTGATTTATTAACTTTCCATTTTTTGAGATCTGCACGCCTGGTCGTGTGCCACCACCTGACGCGGTGCCTCCTGGCGCGATATATGCAGATACACCTTCCCCATCGCAGCGAGATCTGCTGTCTGCGGGTTTAGCGCCGAAGTCGAAGGCCGCAAGATCACCGGCGAGGTCAAGGAGAACGAAGAGGCCGCGGTGTGTTTACAATCTCAACGCACACGCACGCACGCACGACACGACACGACACACGCACACACCGCACACACACGAGCCACTTATATTCTTTGTCTGGCGCACCAGAACCTGTACGATGACGCCATCAGCAGCGGACACGGCGCCTTTACCGGCCGGTCCGAGAAGCCGAACGTCTTCACCGCCGTCGTGGGCAACCTGCCCCCAGGTACCACCCGCCCACATCCACCACCCTCAACCCACACTGACTAACAACCGTCGTGTGTGTCGTGTGTGTCGTGTGTGTCGTGTGTGTCGTGTGTGTCGTGTGTGTCGTGTGATTATTCGATTTGGCAACACACCAGGCAAGCAGGCGACGATTCGCATCACCTACGTGACCGAGCTCGGCCTCGAGAGGAGCGGCGGCAGGGGAGCGGCCAAGGAGGCCCCGAGGCTCAAGTTCTCGCTTCCCTCTCGCCTCGCGCCCAAGTATGCCAAGAAGAACGCACAAGGGTACCACACAAATGACACACATACACACACACACACACACACACACACACACACGACACACACACGACACACACACACACACACACACACACACACGACTGAACAAAATGGTTCGGTACAGCACGTCGTCGTCGTCTTCGTTCTATCCGCAGCGTCCCGAGTTCAAGCTGACGATCGAGGTCGACTTTGCGCTATCGTCGCGCATCGCGGGCATCGCCGCCAGCCAGCCGGTCTCAATCGCCCTCCCCTCCGACTCCCACGCCAAGGTCCGTCTCATCTCACCTTCGTGTCGTCGTCCCCCTCCCTAACGTGTGTGTCGTGCGTGTGTCGTGTGCGTGTCATGTGTGTGTCGTGCGTGTGTCGTGTGTTGGTGCGCAGGTGACCCTGGGCTCGATGGTCAATGCGCTGAAGCACGACTTCACGCTCCTGCTCCAGCTGGAGGCGCCCGCCGCGACGACTGGCCAGCAGCTCGCCACCTCCTACGGCCTCCTCGAGGCGCCCGCCGCTGACAGCCCCAGCGGCGAGTACGCGGCCGCGCTGGTCCTGTACCCCAAGGAGCTCTTCCCGGCCGCCACCACCGACAAGGCCGCCACCGCCGCCGTCGATGAAGAGGAGACCGAAGACGAAGACGAGACCGCCGCCACCGCGGAGGAGGAGGAGAAGAAGGACGAGGCCGAGCCGGAGAAGGACAAGAAGCCCGCCGGTGCGCACCTCTCTCGTTGCGTTCACGTTCGAGTTCTCTCAAGTGCCAACCTTCCTTGCGTGTGTCGTGTCGCGTGTGTTGCGTGTGTCGCGTGTGTCGCGTGTGTCGCGTGTGTCGTGTGTGTCGTGTGTGTCGTGTCGTGCGGTCAATGCAACAACAAAAGCCCAAAAGAAGGAGAAGCCGTCAATTACGGAGCTGCGGCTGGACTGGGGCGATCTGCCGGCCAAGGAGCAGATCAAGAACACGGCCATCCCGTCCTCCATCTTCTTTTCGCACGGCGTACTCTTCCTCTACTCCATGCTCCCCAACGACGCCATCCCCGAAGGCCAGGTACCTCCCCAAAACCGCACACACCGCACACACCGCACACACCGCACACGCCGCACACACCGCACACACCGCACACACGGCTCAATGGTGGCGGGTGGCGTGCAGGAAAAGATCAAGGTGACGCTGAGGGGCAAGCTGGGCGACAGCGAGGTGAGCCACGACCTGTTCCTCGACGCCAAGGCGGCCCCGAAGGACTCCCTCGTACACCAGCTCTACGCGCGATCCGCCATCCGAGGTGCCCCCTTCCTCCTCCCCCTCTCCGTCTTCGCTCTTTCTTCTCATCGCTTTCACTTTGTCGTGTGTGTGTCGTGTGTGTGTCATGTGTGTGGGTGTCGTGTGTGTGGGTGTCGTGTCGTGTCGTGTGTAGCGCTGGAGCGGGGCGTGGAAGGTAAGAGCGACGATGAGGCGAAGAGGGAGATCATCGACCTCAGCCTCGCCTATTCGCTGTCGTCGCGCCACACGACGTTCGTGGCGATCGAGGAGCGGCAGGAGGCCACCGAGGGCACCATGGTGCGCCGCACCGTGCCCCTCAACGGCCTGGGCTACCGACAGCCCATCGGCGGCGGCGCCCGAGGCGGCAGAGGCCGCGGCGGTTTCAGAGGCGGGGCGCCGAGGGACAGTGACAGATCATGTACACGACCAACGACACGACACGACCAACGACACGACACGACACGACACGACACGACACGACACGACACGACACGACACGACACGACACGACACGACACGACGCACGAGCCGACTAATTCCAATGTTGTTCGCTAGTCTACGGGCACGACCAGCGCGGAGGAGAACGGGGAGAAAGGCCGCAGTACCACTCCCGAGACCAGCGGTACCCGCCCTGATAACCACACACGCGCGCGCGCACGCACACACAACACACACGACACACACACACGACACACACGCACTGACAGACTGAGCTCTGGTCTTGTTCAGCGACGGTGGTGGCGACTCGTGGAGCAGAGGCGGCGCTGGGGCTGGCGCGTACGGTGGCGGCGGCGGCGGTGGTGGGCGGAGGGGTCCGGCACCGGCTGCTGCGCCGCCCCGCAAGAGGCTGGAGATCACCGAGGAGCTGACCGATCAGCTGGTGGCGCTCAAGGGCGGCGACAAGGACTACTGGCTGCTCAACTCGGCCCTGGCCAAGCTCGTCGACAAGAACCTCACCCAGATCATCGACGCTCTGGTCGGGGTGCCCATCGTCGACTACATCAGCAACGTCTGGGCCACCTCGCTCGTCATCACCGTGCTCTCCCACTCTGGCCAGGTGCGTGTCATGCCGTGTGGTGTCGTGTCGTGTCACATGTGTGGTTGTGCGTGGGCTGATCAGCCAAGGCGAATGCCGCGCAGAAGGAGAAGCACGCGGAGGTGCTGAAGAGGGCGGAGGCCTGGCTCGAGGAGGAGACCAAGAAGTACTTCCTCGACAGCAAGGACAAGTGGCTCGCCAAGGCCAAGGCCTTCCTCCATCTCTAAAAGACCAGAGACCACTGCGCAGCCGTTTAGTTCAGTTTTTGACAAACAGTTGCCACCACTTGAAGGCTGATTCAAAGTAGTACTGGTCTCAAAAATGTTGATGTGTACATGTACCATTTATTTACACGAATATACTGTATACACGTTACTAGGAGAGACAGAGAGAGAGAAAGAGATGGGATGGCGCAGGTGCGCTCGCTGTGTCAAGGCTGGCGTCCTTGGCGCGCTTGAGGTGATGATCCTTGTGTCGGGCGACGGCCAAAGCGATCACGGGTGTGTTGCGCTCTCGGTGAGTGCACTCGGCGCACGCCGTGTTCCAGCGGTGGGTTGGAGGAGGGAGTCAACAGAGAATACACTTGCTCTCTTGCACAGGCTCCTGTGGCGCCGTGAGCTTCTCGATCTCCTCCAAAATTGTGATGAATACCTGGGCTGCACTCCCGACACACGAACGTTAGATTGGATGCAACATGTAGTGGTGCGCACACACGCACACACACGACACAACATAAAAAAAAATGTACGCGTACAAATGTTTTCGTTGTGCTTGGCAGAGCACTCGATGAAGGCGCAGTTGAGCTCCTCGGCAGTGCGCTTGCCCTCCTCGACGGAGATGCTGCGGTCGTTGTGGAGGTCGCTCTTGTTGCCCACCAGCACTCGTGGCACGGTGGCCGTGCCGCTCTCGTTGATGATCTTCTCGTTGAGCACCTTCACCGTTTCCATTGACGTGCGCGAGGCCACCGAGTACACCATCACGTAGCCGTCAATCCCAATAGTGCCTCGGAAGGGCATGATCGACTGCTCGTCCTGACCAGCCTGTGTGTCGTTGCAGCGTGAAGAAGGCAAAGATGAGTAACTCTGGAAAAGAGGATCGAAGCAACGATCTAAAACGACCTCCCCACCCAGAGAGCTGTCTGCAGACGTACGGTATCGATAATCTCGAGCTCGTATTCGGTGCCCTTGTGCTTGAGAGTCTTGTGGAAGGTGTTTTCGATTGTGGGGTTGTACGCCTCTGCGAAATGGTTCTCCGAGAATTGGATCGTCACGGCTGACTTACCTGTGCCAACGAATGCACAAAGTGAAATGATTAGAGAGAGCAAGAGCAAATGCATCATCTACAGAGGGCGGCACGGGCATAGAGGCATGAGGAAGGCGGCCTCCAACTCATCCATCCTCACCGCCATCTCCGCGTAGAGGTGCGACCATCTGCAGAGATGAAGCCAGAGGGATCGAGTAGCACAACCAGGTGCAAGGGAGGGACGTACCAACAGCTCTGAAACCCACCACAGCAATCTTTCGGGACTTCTTCAACGGCATTTTGGTCGTAATGGATTAACGCGGCAGAAGATGAAGATGGAGATTGATGCAAATTTGCAAACGAAGCCTTGTTTAAATGTGATGCGATTGGAATAACGCCTACCGAATGATGTGTGCTGTCCTTTCGGGCGCAGTAGCAGTGGAATTACAAAGTCTGAATGCGGAGCGTCTCTGGGCGGAACTTCCCCAGAGCTCTTTTTTCCTCCGTCTCTTCCGCCTCTGGGCTCTCGAGAAAATAAAATAAATTCAATTTCCTGATCCGGCACGATCGGAATTTTGCTGCATTTTTTGTGCGCCAACGCAACACGCAACACACAGCGCACAGCGCGACGCACGCAACACATGCAACACGGTCGCTCTGCCGGGAAGGGACTGGTCTTAGTCGGCTGCGAGCTCTTCGAGCATGGAAAGCTCCATCTTGAGCTGTTCCATCTGTTTGCACAGCACCGCAGTGATGACCACGTTAGGGACAGGAAGGTGAGATAGAGCCGATCGGTCGGGTGCAGCACCTTGGGGTTCTGTTCTTCCTTCAATTTGATGGCCTCCTCTGGCTGCAGCTCTTTTAGCAGCTGATGGAAGAAGAAGGACAGTTATGAGCTGATGTACAATGTTTGTTGGCCAAGCACGATGGCTTTACCTGGTTGTAGTAGTCGAGGGCGTTGGTGGCGCAGCTCTTGGCCTCCGCAAAGTCCTCGTTGAAGTAGGTCGTACCCGCGCTCTGCGCATAACCGCCATCACAGCACCAACCGATTGAGCAGGACGCCGCAACGACGCCAGAGCCAACAAGCCGGCGCTACATTTTCAACACCTCTTTGAGCTCGTGGAGCAGTAGTAGTGGTAGTAGTACCTCGCGCGCGTTCTCGATCTCGTCGCGGGCCTCAGAGAAGAGCGCGGCCAGCTTCTCCAGCTCCTTCCTTCGCTCTGCCAGCACGTTCGCGTAGCCGCGCCTGCGGAATAGAACATACAAGATTAGCGCCGAGGGTGTGGGATGATTGACAGATTGATATGCAAGGGTGAAGAAAAGGGCACCGATGGCTGGACAGACGTGGTGTGCGCCGTGATGTAGCCCAGGTAGCGGCCGATGAGGGTCGCTGAAGAAGGCTGTGTAGCTGCATGCGAGAGGAATCGAGAAGGAGGGGAGGAACTCGTGTGGCGGTCGTCGTGCTGGCCGCATAATGCAAAGCAGGTGCGGTGGCCCGGCTCGGCACCATCGAAACGTTCAATCTCAGCGCAGCTCTCATCTTGGCTAAAATAAATTTAAAAAGAAAAAGAAATGAGAAGAAAGTCATTTTTTTGCAGCGAGACCACAACAAAAAGGAGATGGAGGCACAAGCGCTGATGCAGAAGATTTTGCGTGTGGAGAACATGAACCAGGTCATCCTCAACAAGGTTCAGTATGCTGTCAGGTAACGAATTATCGTCCTATTTATAATGGTTTACACAAAGGTCTAATCATAAATATGTACAACTAAAATGTCACTTTATCTCACATAAATAAGTAATATTACGTAATTGGGGGCAGGGGAGAGCTAGTTATCAGGGCGGAGGAGCTGGAGCAGACCTTGCGCGACCCGGCCAGGCGCGACTCGCTGCCCTTCAAGGAGGTGATCTACTGCAACATCGGCAACCCTCAGCAGCTTAGGCAGAAGCCCATCACCTTCTACCGACAGGCACGTGCCACCCTTATCTCCCTCCCTCTCATCTCTCCCACGACCTTTCTCTCACGTTTTCTAATTTTAATTTTTTTGTTTTTGTTTTTCATTTTATTTAATCTCTAAAAAAATCAGGTGCTGTCTCTGCTCGAGTATCCGGCGCTGCTGGAGAGCGCCGATGCCGAGCGGCTGTTCCCGAAGGACGCCATCGCTCGCGCCAAGTCCATCCTCCACGACATACCCGGCGGACTTGGTAGACGCCACACGACACGACACGACACGACACGACACGACACGACACGACACGACACGACACGACACGACACGACACGACACGACACGACACAGTGCAGACTCTGAAGTGCTTGCGCGTTCGCGTGGGTGGTGGTGGTGGTGGTGGTGGTGGTGGTGGTGGTGGTGGTGGTGGTGGTGGTGGTGGTGGTGGTGGTGGTGGTGCGAGGGGCGTACAGCAACAGCAGGGGCGAGAGGACCGTGAGAGAGCACGTGGCCGAGTTCATCAGCGAGCGGGACGGATTCGCGTGCGACATGGAGGACGTGTTCCTCACCGACGGCGCCAGCGCGGGCGTCGTCAAGATCCTCCAGTGCCTCATTCGCGATGAGAAGGACGGCGTACGGGCGCCCTTCACGTTGCGCTGCGCTGCCGCTCTCATGAGATGATTCACCACGTGCGTGTGCCGTGTGCCGTGTGCCGTGTGTGCGTGTGCGGCGGTGTAGATCCTGATCCCCATCCCGCAGTACCCGCTCTACTCTGCCACCATTCCGATGCTCGGCGGCACCCAGCTCAAGTACTACCTCGTACGTATCGCTCTTCTTTTTTATTATTGTTTATTATTACATCTTTTATAGTAATAATAAACAAATAAACGAACAAACAAATAAATGGTAATAATAATAATAAATAATTTTATGCCTTAATTATGATTCATTGTTCGCGTAGGACGAGGAGAAGGGGTGGAGCCTCAACATCGCCGAGCTCGAGTCCATCGTGGAGCAGGCCCTCGCCAAAGGGGTGACCCCGAGGGCGATGGTGGTCATTAACCCCGGCAATCCCACAGGCCAGTGCCTCGACACCGCCAACATGCAACAGGTGAGTGTGGTGTGTGTGGTGTGTCGTGTGTGCCGTGTGTGCCGTGTGTGTCGTGTGTGTCGTGTGTGTCGTGCGTGTGGATCGCTTACGATTGTACGCCTGGCGAAAGGTGATCGAGTTCTGCCATCGACGACGAGTGCTTCTCATGGCGGACGAAGTGTACCAGGCCAACTCGTACATTCGCCCCTTCACCTCGTTCAAGAAGGTACCCCTCCTCCTTCGGCCTCTTGTTAGTTTTTGTGTGCGTGTCTTTCTGCAATTATATCAACATATTAGCATTGCATCATACGTGTGACGTGTTGGGCAGGTATTGCGGAGCATGGGTGAGGCCTACGCTGGGTTCGAGCTCGTGTCGTTCCATTCCGTTTCCAAGGGCGTGATTGGAGAGTACGTCGTGACACACGACACGCACACGCAACGCACACACGAAACACGCGACACGCGCACCGCTCACATTCGCTTGCGTTCTACCAGGTGCGGCCACCGGGGCGGCTACATGGAGCTCGTGGGGCTCGACATCGCCGTCAAGCAGCAGATCTACAAGCTCGCCTCGATCTCGCTCTGTCCCAACATCGCCGGTCAGGTGGTGGTGGACCTGATGGTGCGCCCGCCCAAGCCCGGCGACGACTCCCACGACCAGTTCCAGCGCGAGACGCAGGCCACCTTCGAGTCCCTCAAGAAGCGCGCCGGCCTCCTCGCCACGGCCCTCAACCAGCTCGAAGGTTCCGTTTCCGCCGAAACCACCGCCATCGCCACCTTAAACGTTTTGTCGGCCGCCACCTTACATGCTTGTTGGGGGGTACCTACTGGTGCAGGCGTGACGTGCAACCCGGCGGAGGGTGCGATGTACCTGTTCCCGCGCATTCGGCTGCCGCAGCGGGCCATCGACGAGGCCAAGCGGCTCTGCAGAGCGCCCGACGTGTTCTACTGCTTTGCGCTCCTCGACGCCACCGGTACTCTACTCCCTCCTGTTCGTCCTCGCAGTCTCAAGATTGACACGCACACGCACACGCACACGCCCCACCGCACACGCACACGGCAGGCATCTGTGTGGTGCCCGGGTCAGGCTTCGGCCAGAGGGATGGCACGTTCCACTTCAGGACGACCTTCCTGCCGCAGGAGGAGCAGATTCGCAGCGTCGTCGCTGCCATGGCCGCCTTCCACGCCCGCTTCATGGACCAATGGCGCGAGTGACCACCGCCAAAGAATTTTAGCATTCCTTTTGGGGCAAGGACGGAATGTCGAATATTTGTGAGTTTTTGGCGATCACCGCACGGACAAGCTCGCGTTTCTTCATTTGGATTTGATTGTCCTCTCGGCCCCTTCGGTTTGATTGATTGACTTTTGCTTGGGGCCAATGCGCAAGCTACGCCTTGGAGGATGCCAGGAGATTCAACAAGACAGCAGACGCAGCAGATGAGATGCGCCAATCACCTGCCCGCTCCCCGCTGCCAGTGCCGCACTTCCCTCCGGGCACCCGACCACCAGGCGCCAACTGTGGGTCCTGAGCGTGGCACAGTGCGATGCCATGTTGGCCTACTATGGCCTTGTGCAAGCGGTGGCGTTCGATAAGCGTCTCAGGCTTGCACAGCACCTTGGCATCCGTCTCTAGAGACTCTAGACACAAGCTCTTTGTTTCATTGTAGACCTCACCGCACGACACACACGACGCACACGACGTACAACACACGCCACACACCATAGTGAAGAGTGTGAACTATGTTCATGTCTTTTGTTGGGAGCGGATGTAGCGGAGGCGTCGGGCTTTGGCCCATCGCTCCCGCCGCTCGGCCCACGCCCGCAGGTCGACATCTACACCGAGCGGGGCGAGGGCCCGCTGCACGATTTCCCCGCGCTTCCGTCGCACCTCGCGCCAGTCCCACTCGTCCACCGTCCGCCTGCACCTCTTGTACACCTCTCTGTCGGGGCATCGTCACGGGGTGTCATGCCAGGCGTGTGTTGCGTGTGTGTCGTGTGTGTGTGTGTGCGTGTGGTGTGTGTGTAGTCAATGTACCGCGAGAAGTCTTTGCCTCCGTCGGTGGTGGTTTGCCAGACGTCGTAGGGCGCTCGCGCGTACTCGTTCCACAGGTTGATGACCCCGCTCTACAGGCCGGGAGGACGGGGTGAGATTTGCGTTGCGTTGCGTTGCGTTGTGCTGGCTTTTGGCCACGTGGGCTCCACGACGTAGGGACGTACCATGTGTGCGGCACCGAACACGCCGACGACCTTGGGACCCTTGGCCTCCCGCAGCTGCTTGATGAAGCACAGGTCCCGCTCCACCCCAGACTCGTGGTATGCGCTCCCATAATACTGCACACGACACACACGACACACGGCACACACGACACACACGGCACACACGACACAACGCGACACGCGCACAACAGGTCAGTGCTGGGTGTCGGTCGATGAAGGGATGGTGGGTCTACCTTGGGCCGGTTGTGGAGGAATTCGACGGCGTCGAGGAAGCGCCGCGGGGCCGGGTGGCCCCGCGTCACCCAGTCGCCGACGTGCGCGCACGCCACCACCGTGCTCGACACCGCAAACATCAACGCCCGCCCCGCCAGCGACACCGGCGGTGGACCCTCATCATCTTCTTCTTGTGTTGATGATGATGGTGCTGATGATGATGGTGGTGATGTTGGTGACGATGATGATGGTGATGGTGATGGTGATGGTGATGGTGATGGTGATGGTGATGGTGATGGTGATGGTGATGGTGATGGTGATGGTGATGGTGATGGTGATGGTGATGATGAAGAAGACGACGATGACGACGATGCCTCGTATTCGGCGCGGAGCTGACGGGGCGAGACCCAGTCCATGAGCGCCCGCGGGCCGTGCCTGTCGGTGCCCCAGCGGAGAGTCTCGAATCGCGTGTGGGCCTGGCACCAGTGGTTGTAGTACGGATGCTCGGCGTGCCACGGCTGCGCCTCACGCAGCTCCGCCTACGCCGCGCGTGTGGTGAGTGCGGTGAGTGCGGTGTGTGCGGCGCAGTGTGTGCGGTGTGTGCGGCGGCGGGACCTTGTGCAGGTGCGCCCATTCGCAAACGGGGATGAACTCCTGGTGTGCGCGCAGTTGTGGCATCCGAGGCAGCAGCCGCGTGAATGACTCTGGATCGTCCCACAGTGAGTGTTGCACGCGTGTGCGTGTTGCGTGTGCGCGTGTGCGGTTGGTGAGAGGCACACACCCGGGTAGACCGCCTCGGAGACCACGCTCTGTGGCCGCTCTCGCTCCAGCACCCGCAGCGCCAGCTCTCCCGACGACATCGGCGTCGCGTGATTTGTACCTGCAATAAATAAATAAGTTTGTTTATTATTTTATTTATTAATTCAAATAACAAAAGAAATAGTTTTGGATGAAATGGAGGGAGGGCGTGCCGACGAGGGTGAAGGAGCGTCCGTCGAAATCGAAGGCGTAGACGAAATCGCGCAGGCGGCGGTCCGTCTGGTCGTAAAGCCGCACCTCGCTCGGGTCCAGCCTTGGCTGGCCGGGTTGTGGCAATGTCGTTGATGATGAGGCGTGGTGCACCAGTCGGCGCCCTGCCACCCGCCCATGCAGCGCAGAGCAGCAACCAGCCGACGCCCCCAACCTCTTGGCCATCTCTTTGATATTTCTTTTCTCGTTTCCTTCATTTTCTTTATTTCCTTGCGTGATTTTCTTCTATTTTAAAGTGAAACGATTATGGTTGGCTCGTCCTCACGAGATCCTCAGTGATTCGTGTGCTCTTTTCTTTTGCGCCTTCTTCAGCTCCTCTTCAGCTAACCACCCGTTGGGTCCCAAAGCAGGAGTTCTCTTTGCTATCTAGCTTCCAAGGCTGATCCGGTCATGACCACCGCCGCCTTGCTCGTGTGCCTGGTGGGCGCCGCAGTGCTGTTGGTCGCCGCGGCGGCCCAGGCCCAGCCGGCCCCGCCGCTGTGGGACAAGGCCTTCAAGTTCGTCGCCTCCGTCGACTCCCCGCCGCCGACCACCACCGTCTCCATGCAGTACCACTACCGCTGGGACCTCCCGGCCGTCGCCCAGGTCCTGACCAACCAGCTGGGCCAGACCTTCATCATCTTGAACGTCAAGACCAACACCTGGCGCGTCACGCCGGGCAACCGCACCTGCTGCCTCTGCACCAACCCCAACGCGTGCGGTCACGTGACACCGCCCGCGCCCGACTGGCTGCGCTCGGGCAACACGACGCGGTACCTGGGCGTGACGACCATCAACGAGCGCGACTGCCACGGGTGGGCCAAGACGAGCCCGGTGGCCGAGTTCGGGTGGTGGACCAGCGTGGCGACGGGCCAGCCGTGCCAGCTGGCGTGGCTGCTGGGCGCGACGATCAACATGGTGATGAGCTCCTACACGAACGACCCGAGCCTGGTGCCGGACTCGACCTTCGAGGTGCCGCCCTACTGCCCCTACCACGAGACCGACCCCAACTGCAACATCTCCTCCTTCTGATTTGATTCATCTTTATTGGTTTATTTGTTAATTTTGTTTATTGATTTTCTGTTTCTCGAAGCAAATACACTTTATTATTTAAAAAATAAAAATACATTTATTATTACAAGAACAGCAGCGTTCGAAGCAATGCGTGCTGGAGGATGTAATCGTCTGAGCTCGTTGAAAGGACCACCCGCTCTACGATTTCTCCATTCGACGCCTCCATTACGCCTGAAGACCGACATGTCCGCCAGCGCAGATCCCTTCCTGCGTGGTCGCGTTGCTCGATTCGAGCATGCAGGCAAAGCATTTGTGCTCGTCGGTGCATAGCCCAGCCTCTTTTCAATGATTATAATTAAATAATCCATTTATTTATTCATTTATTCACTAATACAATTTTAATTGCCTATTTTTAATATAAATCAGGAACTCACCACGGGCTGCCGCGAGCGAGTAGCATTGCTGTGGAGCGCGTGCTGGAGGCCGAGCGACCCGACACCATCGTCGCCGAATCCACCTACTCTCGTACCCTCCCCTACACTTTCTCTGTTTTTCGTGTGCGTGTGCGGTCGAATGTGTGCGTGTAGCGCGTGGCGCTGATTCTTGAGCCCAGGCTTCAAGCTGCCGCCCTACGACACCCGAGCCTGCGAGTTCGCCTTCACCTCGCAGTGGGCTCTCAAACACAATGTGCGCACTCTCCCACCACCCTTCTCTCGTCCTGACACCACCTCAACACACGACACACACGACACACACGACACACACGACACACACGACACACACGACACACACGACACACACGACACACACGACACACACGACACACGACACACCACACACACGACACACACGACACACGACACACCACACACACCGTCGTCGTCTCGGCAGGTGCGTCTGGTTCAGGGCAACCCCGTCCATCGCTCGATCCAGGGACTGCACCGGCCCTTCCACGAGGTGCGCTGGGGCGGCATCCCCGCCGAGGAGCAGTCGGGCGCCTACGTGCGGCCGCCGCCGGCCGGCCACGCCAACACCGACGTGACGTCATCAATGTCGATGTCGACGTCTTTGTGGTCCGCGGGCGCGCGGTGGCTGCTCGGGGCGTCGGTCCCGCTGTACTCGGCGGCCGTGGTGCCCCTCCTGCGGCTGGGCGACCTGGCGAGCCGCGGCACGCACCGGCTCCTCGAGTGGGACGACCGCAACTACTTCCTCCACCACCACCCTCTCGTAATGTCCATTCTCTTTTCCATGCGTGTCGTACTGTGTCGTGTGTCGTGTGTCGTGTGTCGTGTGTCGTGTGTCGTGTGTCGTGTGTCGTGTGTCGTGTGTCGTGTGTGGTCTCATCGCCTGGAGACGCAGCGCAGGAGTACAAGGTGTACATGAGCAGCGTCGAGAGGGAGATGTTCTTCATCAAGGCCCTGCGCGAAGCACCGGGCACCAAGGTCGTGGGCGTGTTTGGCATGCTCCATCTGGTACCTCCCTATTTCCCCTCCCCCTTTGCTTCTTCTCCAATTAATCAATGCGACGCGTCGTGTGTGTCGTGTGTGGGTCGTTGTGTGGTGTGTGTGTGTGTGTGGTGGTCGTGTGTGTGTGTGTGTGTGGGTCGTGTGTCTGTTGTGTGTCGTGTGTGCCGCAGGCGGGAATTATGGCGATGTGGGAGGAGTACGGCAAGGCGCCGTATCGGCTGTGGCAGACAACGGAGCACGAGGGCAAGGACGTCACCAGGGCGCTGGCCACGGCCTACATGCCCGCCGTCGCCGCCCACTGGCAAGCCCACATCCAAGCTCTACAAAAACAAAACAAAAAAATGTAGATTATCAACCATCAATGAAGCTCGACCTGAGCAGCCGAACCTCTCACGTGGCAGGACACATCCACAGCCTTCTGTGGAGAAGGTCTTGAGCAGCACCCACGCAATGCTGGGCGCATCAGGCACCGTTGCCTCGGCCTTGGCGGTCACTGCGAGTCCGTACATGTGCAAGGGGATGATCAGGTAATGATCAAGACCAATGCATGGTATGGTGGCCTGCTTCGTGTGTGCGTGCCGTGCGTGCGTGCGTGTGTAGTGTGTGTCGTGTGTGTGTGTGGGAGCCGCATAGACTGAGTCATCGACGATCCTGTGGTAGCCCACGCTGGTCTCGTTCAGGTCACGCCCGATCTTGCTCGGCCAGAGATCGGCCTCAGGCCTGTTCAGAACCCACGAGCCGGTGGACACCTTGCAGCGGTAAAGGTCCATTTTTTTAATCTCCTTCTCCGCAACCCAAGGAATCACTTTCCTTTACGCGAGCTTTCTCTAGCCGTAGTCATCTCTCTGGACAGCCCTGAGCATCTCCATACTACACTGTAGAGACAATATATATTCTTTCTAAATCTGTTTCCCAACCCCCAGCTGGTGGAGAAGAAGGTAGCTTGCTTAGCTGCGGGCCTGGTCGGGGGCCACGCCGACGGCCTCGGGGTTGACGGCAAGGCCGATCATAGCGCTGTCCAAGTCGCGGAGGGCCTCGCGGGCGATGGTGAGGAACTGCTGCGAGCGCGCGGACTCGATCTGGTTGACGACGAACCAGACCGAGGAGCCGAAGGGGGCCTCGGGCTCGATGCACGACTTGCCATCGACCTCGATCAGGGCCACTTCGCCATCGGCCAGGTAGGGCTGGAGCTCGTCCGCAGGGACCACGCCGACCCAGTTGGCTGTCGTCGCATTACCACCACTTAGCCCAACCAACACACACGACACACGACACACACGACACAGGGCACACGACACACACACGCGGGCCGTGTAATGTACCTCCGCGCTCGGCGACGGAGCTGGCGACAGTGAGGGTGTCGACCACCTCGTCGAAGCGGATCGAGCCGACCGACACGTCGCACCCGGTGGCCACGCGCTGGACGTGGGTCGACACGGCGCCGTTGTGGCCGATGAACTTGGTCGCGCGGGCCTCGTCAGCCTTGAGCTCTTCGCAGAGCTCGGTCTTGGTCCACGAGGTCCTGACCGTGTTCGACTCCGAGGTCGACACGACGAAGCAGGTCGAGGTGCGGCCAAAGGCGAAGAGCTTGATGGTGCTCGGGTCGGGGATGGCGGAGAGCTCGGCCGACCGCGGATCGCGCGAGGCGAGGCCCACCTCGACGCCGGCGAACGAGGCCACGTAGCCGGGACCGGTGCCGACACCGCGCACGGCACCGAGGCACGGGAACTCGGAGTCGGCGTTGAGGGCGTCGGAGATGGCGTTGGCCAGGGGCTCGGCGGTGGTGCTGCCGATCATGACAAAGGCGCAGGTCTTGCACATCTCGCACGTCTCGCACGTTTCACAGGTCTCGCAGGTCTCGCACGTTTCACAGGTCTCGCACGTCTCACAGGTCTCGCACTCCTCGCACGTCTCACACGTCTCACACGTCTCGCAGGTCTCACATGTCTCGCAATCGTCGCACTCCTCGCACTCGGGAGCTTCGCACTCGGGAGCGGCGGGGATCATTCCTTCGAAGCTGAGTAGAAAAAGAGATGGGTGAGATTGTTGATAAGATGAAGATGAAGATGAAGATGAAGAGGAATAACATTCAGAATGTTGAGCTTCTTTTGGGAATGGGAGAGTTTGACGTACTTGAAGTTGACAACGGTCTCAGAGCTGACCTGCTGGGAGGCCAAAAGCGCACAGAGGGCGGCAAGGAGTAGGAAGGCGATCTTCATCTTTTTCTTGTACAAACCCCAGTTGCTTCGTGGAGTGAACAAGAAAAAAAGGTGGTGTAGAAGAAAGACTTATCCCTTCTTCAAGACTCGACCCCCATTGGTATCCACGGTACCAAACACAGTTTGCACGTTTACCAAAAAATTCTGGAAGAATTTAAATAACCCAAATCAACCGTACTTTCCTTTTATGGTTGTAGTTGCACGTCAGCGCTACAAGGTAATAAAGATATTCGGAGATATACGATTGATATTTCAATTCTAGAAGAATTCAAAAAAAAAATCGTTAAGCGTGTGGTATGTACAGAAATGAAACTGGTCAGCTTTCCCGCCACGTACTCAAAACAGCTGGCCACCGTCTCTGATGCTCCCGTCCTCCATTCGCACCCACGTCTTGGCCAGCATCTCATTCTGTTGAGAGTCGAAACAAGTATGTACGTTGCGTGTTGTGTGCCTTTTGCGTTTTGTGGTGCGTGTCGTGCGATGGTGCCCCGTGTGCTTACCTGTGAGAATTGTCGAAGCTCGATCACTCGGGCGCCTCGAGCCCACGTGCCGTATCCACCGTAGCCTGCCCCCGTGTGAGAGCTGGCTGAAGCGCAAGCACCCGGAGAGAGGGAGGTGTACAGTACCAGAGTGTCGGCCAAAGCACAGATGGACGCCCTTCTGCTGGCAACACCAGTCGTTGCCGTGGTCGTGGCCCACGAACGTCGCCCTCACGTCGCCCATCTCCACAAAGGCCTCGAACAGCCCTGCGAGGAAAAGAGAAGAGAGTGTACAACGCGGTGTGTTAGTTGAGGGTGCGCTGTCGCTGTCGGATACGGCCATACTGCGCAGAAAGCACCGCTTCCCATCCGAACAGCGAAGTTAAGCTGCGCCAGGCGGTGTTAGTACTGGGGTGGGCGACCACCCGGGAATCCACCGTGCCGTATCCTTTTGTGTGTATGTGTTTTGTTGTGCCTGCATACATACCATTGCTTGTATCCACCGGCGTGACATCATCGTCCGCTTCACCGAAGCACTCCTTCGTGGTGGTGCGCGTGCGTGTGCGGCAGTCGTGTGCGTGTGCGGTTAGCGTGCATAGTGGAGAGTGAACGAAGCGTGGTGGGCGGTTAAAAAAACATACCTTGTCGGTGGGCGAGAAGATGGCGTCGTAGTGCTCCAGCGGGATGTGGAAGAACGCCAGCGCGGGCACCGGGCGCTTGGTCGGGTCCTGTTGCTGTCGCAGAGAGGCCGAAAGGTTGCGGTACCAATCCACCTGCGCCTTGTCCACGATCTCCGGCAGGCGTCCGCCGCCAGTGTCGAACAGGTAAAGCAAACTGCAATCGCACATGTTAGTGTCGTGTGTCGTGCGTGTCGTCGTGCGTGTCGTGCGTGTGTCGCGTGTTGTGTCGTGCCGTCGCAAGAAGACAAACCTGACGGGAGCATCGACAGCAGAGCTGGCCGCGTGGGGCAGGATGGGCAGGTAGTAGTTGCTCACTCCGTGCAGTGACGGCGGGCCGAAGTGGGAAAGCGAGAGCGGAAACGAAGTGTCGAATCTCATCAAATCACTCCTTCTACCGCCTGCGTCAAGTCGCGCACACGCACACGCACCACCACACGCACACATGAGTTTGACGTGCAGTGGCAATCGCAGGCTGTGTGCGTTGAAGCGGACCTGAGCCGTCGGCGAGATCGTCGTGGTTGCCAAAGACAGCGGCCCATCGATACCCGCCCTGTAGCGCCCCCGAACCGCATGAGCCCAAGGCAGCGACATCGAAGAAGAAGAAGAAGATCAGCAATGAAGGAAGAGGGGTGCCTCGATGCAGGGCTGGAGCAGCTGCGCCCAGTAGCGCGTGGCATTGCTGTGGATGTTGTTGCCCGTTATCTGATCACCGGAGAAGACCACCAGGTCGGGTCGCTCCGACCTGACGAGAGGCGATGGTCAGAACAGAAGGAGAACGTTCTGGAAGGGGAGGATGATGGTGGTGGCGTACTGCAGCACGGCACGCATGAGCCTGGTCGAGTTGGTGTCCTGCACGGGACCCCACCACACGTCCTGCGTAGGAGCAAGTTTTGAGGGCCTTCATCTTCTGCGTAGAAGTAGAAGCTGCAAAAGATGAAGGGATGGTGGAGAGTGCCGCTCAGAGCTGGCAAAGAGAAGAGGATGCATCCACTCACCTCGCCCTCACCAAAGTGGATGTCGGCGAACTGGACGATCTTGAAGCTGCCATCTGCGCGCAAGCGAAGCGTTCGATCCACGGTCAAAGAGTCCCTCGCTTGAGCCACGGTAAGCAGGCATGCAGCAAGCACGCAGAAGACCGCAAGGGGTCCTGCACCGTGCATTGAAGAACTCTGAGGACTGTTGGCTGCAGATTCAATCTTGTCTTCCGCGTCAAAACTCGAGTGCCGACTCTTGTCTTGGCAGACGGGGAAAAGGCTGTCGACACGGAAACGTTGGGTAGCCGTTGTGCAATCTTCTGGCATTTGGTAGCAAGTCATCATAGTTCGTATCAATCATCTAATTAAACACAAGCGAAGGTAGTAATCGAAGATGAAGATGCTGGAGTAAACAGTCAGAATGATGGAGTAAAGCGAGTAAATGCTCGAAATTAATTGAATTAACAGCACATATACAGACAAATCGACATCCTCTATCTACTTCCCACTCTTTCCCTCTACTCTTACTCTTCTTCTACAATGGAAAGCCTCGTACTGAAGCCGAATGGAGACGACTTGGTGCTGCCTAAGAAGGAGCTCTTGCGGACGGTTCTGACGCCTCATGGAGCCAAGAGATCACGAATGGACGATGCACCGAGAGGAGAGGGGATCATTCCCTCCACTCGAGGCAAGCTCATCACCGATCATGACGCAGAGCGAAGCGCCAAAAAGAGGAAGAAGGAAACCGATACTGGAAAGGTATTTGCGTGCCCGATTACCGCGTATTTCTACATTATCGATTGATAAGCTGCGATTCGTGTACAAGTGGTTCACATTGAGCTCTTCTGACTGCTTTATGGCTGACTGCTGGTGCGAAACAGAACGCTGCCGAATCTCGCCTAATTATTAAGCGCGAGGTCAGGGACAGGCTCAGGAAAGGAACACCACTACAGAAGCTCCTCACCAAAATTGGCGTCCACTTCACCGTTGTACGTGCCACAGCATGAACGCAACTCTTCTTGATTTGTAGATGTTCGCGCCTTGCCTTACCTGACACGACAGCACCACAACTCCAAGAGCGGGACGCCACTGAACGACAGGGAGCTGCTAAGACGCTTTAAGCGCTTCATTGACAAGACGGACAGCGACAACATTGAGGTACGATTGACTGCTCGCGTCCGCCAGGTGGTTACGTCTATTGCAGCTGCTTACGGTCGCCCCTTACACGTGCAGGTTCTCCTGTCGAACTTGTCCATCTACGATGCTCTCGAGAAGTACAAGCGAAGGAAACCCAAGCTGCCCCACTCGGACGATCCCATCGACGATGTCGTACAGCTGTTCAAGTACCTGCAACCCGTCCCCTCCGTCAACGGGTGGGTTAGTGCGCCTGACCTAGTTACTCCACAGGGCGTCGAACAGGATCATGGTCGTGAGCGGTGCGGGCATTAGCGTGTCGTGTGGAGTGCCCGACTTCCGTTCGCCCGGAGGTCTGTACGAACGCATCAAGCGGGAGATGGGGCTGACCGACCCGCAGGCCATCTTCGACTTTGATCTGTTCAGGAGCGATCCCACTCCGTTCTACTCCCTCTGCAAGGTACGTGGCACCGCAGTACGTGAATGCTGTCGTACGAGCGCTGTGCTGAGACCACTGCTTTCCTATATCTGTAGGACCTCTTCCCCAAGGAAAGCCTCAACCCTTCGCCCTCGCACTATTTCATCAAGCTGCTCGAAGACAAGCACAAGCTGTTGCGTAACTACACGCAGGTATGAACAGAGAAGCCTTTCCCGAATCCCAACGCTGCGTTGGTTGTGAACATGCTTACCTTCCCGTCTGCCCAGAACATCGATACGCTTGAATGCAAGGCCGGTCTCAAGCGTATCATGCACTGCCACGGTTCGTTCGCTACGGCTTCGTGCATCCAGTGCGCCCACAGGGTCGATTGCTCCTCCATCAGGTACGCATTATTTTCGGATAATTTTTTGGATCGCAACTTACCTGGCTTGTTCGTTAGGGATGAGGTGTTGGCAGACAAGATACCCAAGTGCCCCAAGTGTCGCATCGACAAAAATGTGATGAAGCCAGACATCGTCTTCTTCAACGAGCCACTCTCCAAGAAGTAGTCTCTCTCTCTCTCTTTTCCTTGGCGTCGTGCTGGTCGATACTAAAGCGTTGCCTATTCTCAGGTTCGATCTCTCGCTGGACAAGGATCTGGACAAGGTCGATCTGCTGGTGGTTATGGGCTCCTCTCTGCGCGTACAGCCGGTGTCTATCATCCCTGGTTCGTCTCTCGCTACGACCAGTCGCTGGCGGCATCGTAGATAAACGGGCTAATTCGTGTGTGCTCGTGTACGGCTCTGCAGAGGAAGTGCGCGATGCCAACTCGGAAGTACCACAGATCCTGATCAACAGAGAGCTCGTGGGCGAACCCGACCAGTTCGACTACTTCCTCCAGGTATCTATCAACTACTCGTCTCACCCGCACAGCAACCGCATGCTTAGTTTCTTCGTCGTCTTTATAGGGTGAGTGCGACTCCATCATTGTAGAGATCTGCAAAAGACTTGGCTGGACCCTCCCCATTCCGCTCATCACGGCGCCGCCCACGCCGCTGCGTTCGGCTTCATCGAGCACCACCGTCACACACTCCTTGATCTCCTCTACGACCTCTCCCGGTCCGACGACGATCGTCCATCGCAGCTCGTCATCGTTCACGGCGACCACGTCCTCTTCCTCTGCAACCACCACATCGTCCACCTCCCTATCCGTTTCTTCGTCTTCTCTGATCGTTGTAGATTCTCCGCCGACTCCGCCCCTCTCGCACGATGAAGAGGTGAACAACGGGGCCTCTTCATCTGCCAGCTCTTCGGCGGCCGGGTTGGGGTCATCGACTTCGCTCACGATCGACGTCACCTCCAACTCGCCTCCCGGGTCGCCTCTCGCTCTCTGTCTCTCGTCGTCTCCCTCCGCGGGCCTCATCGCCACGGTCGTCAGGGAAGAGACCGGTTCGCTCTCCAGCCCTTCGCCCTCGCCGCCTCCGTTGTCATCGCTCCTTCAGGTCACCTCGTCATCATCGTCATCTTCGTCTTCGTCTTCATCATCAGCTGCGCCTCCGCCTTCACCAAGAAAGGGACTGAAGAGGATCTCGTACTCGGACTCGGAATCAGACTGATAACAACAACAACAACAGCACACATCCCAGCGACCTCTGATCCACCGAGACCGACGCAATGCACAACAACAACGACGACGACGACGACGACAATAACGACCATCACATGACGACTAACACAACCACGACGACGAAGGCGACGGTGCCGATGACCACGACGATCGACCTCGACGACGACGACAACAACACGCATGCTTGCATGGTGACGACACTACACCCACTACTCTTATTCTATTCTTCCCTCTCCTCCTTATTAGTTGCTTCTCCAAGTCCTCGCGTTTGGCGCGTGTACCATCCTCACCTCTCTACACCACCACCTTCTTCTTCGCCTGTACTTGCGTTTTGTAGCTTTATTGAGTATACAGTTCTTTTGTTTGCACATCACCATCATCGTCTTGGTGCACGAGCATTATGAGTATGGTCCGGCCAGTAACGAAAGATGTAGATGCTGCGCTTTGGTCCACACCTGGCCAAAAAAGAAAAGAAAAGAAACCAAAGATAAAGAACCAAGCCCTCGATGGAAGGCCTGCCACCAGCACCCCTGCCCCCGTTCGAGACGGGTCTGAGCTGCTACAGCGTTGAGTTCTCGCCGTTCGAGGACAACAAGCTCGCGGTTGCCTGCTCGCAGCACTTCGGCATCATCGGTGCGGAAATCGCGACTTCCCAGGCTTGATTATAATCTAATCGTGCTGCGCTTCGACAGGAAATGGACGTCAGCTGGTGCTCCAGGCAATGCCAGGAGGTATGACCGTAGTTGCAGCCTTCGATACACAAGGTATGAATAATTAACATCAAATCAAGTAAATCACAATTAATGATTAAATCCAAACCCTGGTGCCAGATGGGCTGTATGACTGCACCTGGAGCGAAAACAACGAACGTCACCTCCTCTCCTCATCTGGCGATGGCTCCATCAAGGTTCCTGCCCCCTCGGCCACGCGCGTTTCCTTGTAACCGCCCAGCGAGCCTCACAACCTCCTACACGAACTTGGCCCGCACAGTTGTGGGACACCGGGCTGCCGCCTGCACAGAACCCCCTGCGCAGCTTTCACGAGCACACGAACGAGGTGCCTCCTCCCGCTACCGACGCCATAGCGGACACGCGCTAGGCTGGCCATCAGGCCCTTGCCCGTCGGTCACACTCACTCACCTCCGTTCCTCCCTAAGGCCTACAGCGTGGACTGGAATCTGGTGGCCAAGGACAGCTTCGTCTCAGGCGCCTGGGACAACACCGTCAAGTTCTGGTCTCCCGAACGGTCGGTGCTCATTCTGTTTCGTGTGCCGGCGTGTGTGTGTCGTGTGTGTGTCGTGTGTGTGTCGTGTGTGTGCTGACTGTTGCGTGAAAACTGCACAGGCACGAGTCGATTCGCACGTGGCGGGAGCATAGCTACTGCGTGTACTCCACGATCTGGTCGCCCACGTCGGCCACTCTCTTCGCCTCAGCCTCGGGCGACGGCACCCTCCGCCTGTGGGACGTCAACGAGGCCGGCGCGGCGCTGGTGATTCCGGCGCACGGCGGCATGGAGGTGCTCACCTGCGACTGGTCCAAGTACAACGACAACATTCTTGTCTCCGGCTCCGTCGACAAGTCCATCAAAGTCTGGGTACGGCGCGGCGCGATCGATCATCTCGCAGCGCTCTGCTGACTCCAGGTGCGTGTGCGTGTGTGGCCGTGTGCGGTGTGTGCGTGTGCGGGCGGTATGTACATGCAGGATATCCGGAAGCCCAGAGATCCGCTGTTCGTGCTGCAGGGCCACACGTTCGCCGTGCGGCGCCTCAAGTGCTCGCCCTACAACGAAAACATCATCGCCTCGGTCTCCTAGTACGACTCCCACGTGCACTGGTGTTGCGCTCTCCACAACACTGACACAACTGCGTTGCGTGTGCGTGTGTGTGTGTGTGTGTGTGAGTGTGTCGTGTGCCACACAGTGACATGTCGATGATGTTGTGGGACCTGGGACGGCCGGAGGATCCCTTCATGCAGCGGTACGAGCACCACACGGAGTTCGCGCTGGGCGTCGACTTCAACATCTTCGTGGAGGGCCAGGTCGCCACCTGCGCCTGGGACGAACGTACGTTGAACCTTCTTTTCTCTCATCGTCATCGACTATCGAGTCTTGATACGTTGCTAACGTTTTGTGCAATGACGGCGTGTGCGGCGTGGTGCAGGCGTGTTTGTGTTCGACCAGAATGTTGGGCCAGTGCTGCGGTGACGCGCGACAGAGACCTGTCAAGGAATTTGATGAATGCGTAGATCAACGATCGGCGCATTCCATGAATATTAATTGTCGAACTATTCAAACAAGCGCAAGGAGTTTAGCTGGGTGTTCCTGTGTGGCTCGCACACGGTCACGGTTCTCGCTTCTCTTTTCCTGATCTTCTCGGTTTGCAGCATCCTCCAACCCCACCCCCTCTTCATCTTGCAGCTGGCACTGCAGATTGAACAATCGGCTGGCATCGGTTATTTATTTTATTTATATTTATTTATTTGTTGCTGGGGTGAGACTGGCTGCATCTTCTTCCGCCTGGTTGCCCCGCAGCACCTCGAGGTTGAACTGATCATCCAAGATGTCCTTTCTAACTGCGAAGCTCGATCAGGTGCCCCTCCTTCCTTAAATTTGCCCTCTTTTCCCCTTCGATCTCTGCGTGTCGCCACATGTGGCTGAATTGATTTGTTCATTTTCTTTTTAATTCATCTTCAACTTCTTAAGTGTTGCATGCAATCCTCCATGCGGCAACTTCTCATTCTCTCTTCTGATTTTTCTCGTGCCGTGTTTTCATCAATCAACTCACACGCACCGCACACCACAGGGCACGCAAGTATGGGTGCCCAGCGGCGAGCGCGGGAGCACCGACTGGGTGTTTGCCGAGGTGGTGGACGACGTCGAGGAGGGCGCCAAGGAGGCCCTGGTGGCCCTCGAGGACGACACCGGCCGCGTCATCACCGCCCAGGACCCCGACACCGGCGAGTATAAAGTACGCACCCTCTCCTGCGTGTGCGGTGTGTGCGGTGTGTGCGGTGTCGTGTGCGATTCTTTCTTACGGTCTACACTCGATTGCAGCCCAAAACGGCCAAGTACGCGAGGGACGCGGTCTACATCCGCAACCCAGACATTCAAGACGGAGTGGACGACCTCACTGCGCTCTCCTACATGCACGACCCCGCCATCCTCCACGCGGTACGCACGCGCGACTGGCCGCGGTAATTCTTTCTTTTCGACCCCCACCGACTAAGTGTGCATGTTGTGTGCGTGTCGTGTTGTTGGTCGTGTCGTGTTCTAGCTGTACTTGCGCTATCGGGTGGACATGATCTATTCGTACTCGGGGCCGATTCTGATCGCCGTCAACCCCTACAAGGAGATCACCGGCCTCTACACCAAGCGCATGGTAAACCACACACACACACACACACACACACACACACACACACACACACACACACACACACACACAATGGAGGCACGCGCGCGTGGTCGCTGATGAAACGTTCGTTTCGAACGAACAGATGGACGCCTACGTGGGCCACCACTTGGGCAAGCTGTCGCCGCACGTGTTCGCCATCGCCGAGGAGGCCTTCCGCCACATGTCCATCGACGGTACCAACCAGTCGATCCTCGTCTCCGGCGAATCGGGCGCCGGCAAGACCGAAACGACCAAGTACATCCTCCGCTACCTGGCCGCCATGGCCTCCGGCGCGTCGGGCGGCTCGTCGAGCAAGGAGGGCCAGCGCAGCAGCCTCCTCGCCCAGAAGGTCCTCGAGTCCACTCCCCTGCTCGAGGTACCACCGCACCCCCCTCTCCCCGTCCACGATGCGCAGTGTATTGACTGTGTGTCGTGTCGTGTCGTGTCGTGTCGTTGCGTGTGTTGCGTGTGTTGCGTGTGTCGTGTCGTGTGATGTAAGGCGTTTGGTAATGCGCGCACGCGGTTCAACAACAACTCGAGCCGGTTCGGTAAGTTCATCGAGATCTGGTTCGGCAAGTATGGGAACAGCATCACGGGGTCGGCCCTGCGCACCTACCTGCTCGAGAAGTCCCGCATCGTGAAGCCCGCCCTGGGCGAGCGCAACTTCCACATCTTCTACCAGCTCCTCGACGGCCTCCACCCCGAAATCGTACGTCTGCCACGCCCACCGCCACCCTAATCGTATGGCATATTAACGTGTGTGTGTGTGTGTGTCGTGTGTGTGTGTGTGTGTGTGTCATGCGTAGAAACAACGATTGATGCTGAGGGAGGCGGGCGACTACTACTACCTGGCCCAGTCGGAGTGCCTCCACATCGAGGGCGTGAGCGACGCGGCCCACCTCCAGCAGACGGTCAACGCCATGAACATCATGGGCCTCACGCCCGACGAGCAGATGGACATGTTTGCCGTCATCGCCGCCGTGCTGCACCTGGGCAACGTGCGCTTCTACGAGGGCCGCGGCGAGGCTGCCCAGCTCGAGCCCGAGGAGTCCGACGCCGACGAGGCCTGGGGCAAGGAGAAGCGGTGCGTACGCTGGCTCGCCGCGTTGTCGTCTACTCGGCGCACTGGCTCATCGTGAATGGAATTTGGGGCATGCAGGGGACAAGAACTCGCGCATAGCCCGAATGCTTCGCTCAACCGCGCGTGTTGGCTGCTGGGCTGCGAGCCCGGGGAGGTCGCCAAGTCGTTCCTTCAACGGTACGTCTGCTTCGCCTGAGTGCAATTATTTTATATTTAATTTAATATATATATATTTATTGAACAATTTTTTGATTTTGGTATTTAATAAAAAATTTGGTGGTTGTTGCAGGCAAATCACGGTGGCCGGTGGTGAGCAGCTGATCACGCCGCTCAACAAGGAGAAGGCCGAGAACAGTCGCGACTCCCTCGCCATGCTCCTCTACAGCAAACTGTTCGACTGGTATGCCATCGACACTCTACTCACATTCCACAAACACAACGCACACGCCGCCACACGCCACACGCCCGCACGACGGCACACGCATGACTGACTTGGCACGCGCCAGGCTGGTGTCGAAGATCAACGATTCGCTGCGCGAGGAGGCCCAGGCTCAGGCGCAGCCGCAGCAGCCGGCCATCGCCCCTGCGCAGGCCGCCGCCTCGCACGGCGCGTCGTCGTTCTTCAAGAACGTGGCGAGCGCCGTCACCTCGTCGTTCGTCGCTCCGCCTGCCACGGGCGGCGGCGCACCGTCATCGTTCCTGGCGTCGGCGGGCTCGGGCTCGGCATCGCTTGCGACGGGCTCGGGCTCGTCGGCCGGCGCGCGACCGCCGAACCCGCAAGCGCACGCCTTCATCGGCATTCTGGACATCTACGGCTTCGAGTGCTTCGACGTCAACGGCTTCCCCCAGTTCTGCATCAACTACGCCAACGAGCGTCTGCAGCAGCACTTCAACACTCACATCTTCAGTACGTGTTTGTCACCACACACGTAGAACCACACACACACACACACACACACACACACACACACACACACACACACACACACACACAATCGCACATGCACACATGAATGCGCGTGCTGACGTAGCGAAATTTCGACAGAGCACGAGCAGCAGGAGTACATCAAGGAGAAGATCGACTGGTCGTGGGTGACCTTCCAAGACAACCAGGGCTGCATCGACCTGCTCGAGAACAAGCCCCTCTGCATCCTCGCCCTCCTCGACGAGGAGTGCCGCTTCCCCAACGGTGCGGTGCCATACAGCTGCATTCCTTGCATTTCATTTTCAATTCATGCTAAACATTCCATCCATTCCTCTCTGGTGCTGGCCTGCAGGCTCGGACGAGAGCTTCGCCGCCAAGGTGCGGAAGACGCACGACAAGGACGAATTCTTCGCCCTGCCCCGCTTCAGCACCAGCGCCTTCTCCATCAAGCACTACGCCGGCATGGTCGACTACGAAGCGCGGGTATGTGCGAGTGTGTCGTGCGGTTGCGTGTGCGGTGCTGCGTGTCGTGTTGTGCAATAATAATAATAATCGCGCGAGTGTGCCACACGCAGACGGGCTTCCTGGACAAGAACAAGGACTTCTCGGTGCCGGCCCACCCGGTGCTGCTGCAAAAGGCGGCCAACCGGTTCATCAAATACCTCTTCTCCGCCGCCAACAAGAGCTCGTCGGGCGCGGCGGCCGCCGGCAGTAGTGGCGGTGGTGGCGACAGCAGGCGAGGCAGCTCCATCAGCGGCCGACCGGGTGCGGGTGGCGGCGGCGGCGGAGCGTCGTCGTTCCAGTTCATGGGCGTCGCCACCCAGTTCAAGACCTCCCTCAAGCACCTCATGGAGACCATCGGGTTCGATCTCCGCGCCCCAACTAAATATTTCTTTGTCGTCAATAACACTCATCACACGACATAACACACACACACACACGACACATGCAACACGACACGACACGCACACACAGAGCGACACAGCCGCATTTCGTGAGGTGCATCAAGCCCAACTACGAGCAGATGCCCAACCTGTTCGACAAGCCGAGAGTACTGCCTCCACTCTACATTATGTCCGGGCCTATATATTCTATGTACATTTGCTGATTAACATTTTGCATTTTTTCCCCCTCTATTTTAGGTGCTGCACCAGCTGCGGTGCGGAGGCGTGATGGAGGCCGTGCGCATCGCCTCGGCCGGCTATCCCTCCCGCACCCCCTACAAGAACTTCTACGCCAGGTACCCCTCCCCACACAATGCCTCTGGTGTCGTGTCACGTCTTGTTTGTCAGCTGACGCGCGACACACGCACACGACCACACACACACACACGGCAGGTACCAGATATTGAAGAAGCACGAGCAGGGCGAGGACTCGAGGTCGTCGTGCCACTCTCTGTTCCAGGCCCTCGGCATCCAAAAGATCGAAGGCCAGTTCGGCGAGACCAAGATCTTCCTCAAGGCCGGCATGGCACGTCTTCCCCCGCCGCACACACGCGCGCAACACACGACACACACGACACACACACACGACACGACACACGCGTCGGCTAACGAGTGGGGTGCGTGGTTGTGTTTCATCAGATCGCGCATTTGGAGAAGCTGCGTACGGACAGGCTGAACTGGGCGGCGGCGGTGTTCCAGAAGAACTGGAAGCGCATCATCGCCGAGCGGCGCTTCCGCGCCATGCGCACTGCCGCGGTCAAGATCCAGACCCGTACGTGCCGACATTCTTTTCATTCCGCATATTTTTTATGTTAATTTCTACACCGTACGTACGTATCTGATTCTTTACATTTATTTATTATTTTGCGTGGCCAGGCGTGCGTCAGTTCCTGGCCAAGAAGGAGCTCCTCAGGCGCAAGCGTCTGCGTGCCGCTCTGCTCGCCCAAAAGGTGCCCGCCCGCCCGCTTTCATTGTTTTCATAGAGAGAAAGAGAGAGAGAGAGAGAGAGTGGTCATGATGTTAACACAAAACACAAACACAAACATGAAACGAAAACAAAACAGATTTTCCGCATGCAGCGGGTCAGAAGAGAGTACAGGAAGACGCGCGCCGCTGCTCTTACCTTCCAACGCGGTACTGTCATCATCATCTCTCGAATGCTTACTCCTCTCTGGGGCTTTGCTCACACTCACAGTTCACCACCGCACACGCACCACCGCACGCACGACACACGACACACACACACACACACAGTGTTCCGCGGGGTGATGACGGAGAAGGTGCTGCAGGAGAAGAAGCAGGCGGCGGCTTTGGTCATCCAGGCCCGGTGCCGCGCCTACCTGGCCGCCAAGCGCCGGGCCGAGGCCGAGCGCCAGCGTCGCGAGGAGGAGGAGCGCCGGCGCCGCGAAGAAGAGGAGCGCCTGCGTCGCGAGGAGGAAGAGCGCCAGCGCGCCGAGGAGGCCGAGCGCCTGCGTCGCGAAGAGGAGGAGCGCCTGCGGCTCGAAGAAGAGGAGCGCCAGCGCCGCGCGGAGGAGGAGCGCCGGAAGAAGGAGAAGCGGAAGAAGAAGCGCGAGGAGCTCGAGCGCAAGCTGAAGGAGGAGGAGGACCGGCGGCGCGCTGAGGCCGAGAAGCTGCGCGAGGAGATGGAGCGCGTGGTGCGCGAGGAGGAGGCCAAGCGGCGCGAGGAAGAGGAGGAGCGGCGCCGGCGCGAGGCGGAGGAGGCCGAGCGGCGTGAGACGCGCAAGCGGCAGAAGGCGGCCGAGCGCGAGGAGGCCGAGCGGCAGGCCAAGGCCGAGGAAGAGGAGCGCCGGCGGGCCGAAGAGGCGGAGCGCGCGCGGCAGGCCGAGGAGGCGGCGCGGCTCAAGGAGGCCAAGCGGGCACGCAAGGCCGAGGAGGAGGAGCGCCGGCGGGCCGAGGAGGAGGAGGAGCGCGAGCGGCAGGCGGCCAAGAAGCAGAAGCGGCGCGAGCGCAAGGCGCTGGAGCGGGCCGAGCGCGAGCGCCTGGCGGCCGAGATCCAGACCATGCGCGAGCTGGAGCGCGAGCGGGTGGCGCGGGAAGACGAGGCCCAGAAGCAGGAGGTGGAGAAGGACGAGGAGAAGCGGCGGCGGCGCGAGGAGAAGCGGCTGCGGGAGGAGCGCGAGCAGGAGCTGCTGCGGCTCGAGCGCGAGCGGGCCGAGACGGAGCGCCGGCGGCTCGAGGAGGAGCTCAAGGAGCTCAAGCGCAAGGAGAAAGAACGAATCGAGCGCGAGAAAGAGCGAAAGCGACAGGAGAGCGAACGCGACGAGGAGAAGCGCCGTCGGAAGGAGGAGGAGCGGCTGCGCAAGGAGAAGGACAAGGAGGAGAAGCGCAAGCGGCTCGAGAAGGAGGAGGCCGAGAAGAAGCGCATTCAGGACGAGCTCAAGGAGATGAAGCGCCGCGACAAGGAGCGCCGGCGGCTCGAGGAGGAGCGCAGCAAGATCCAGGGCACCAAGGAGGAGGAGGAGCGCCGCCGACGCGACGACGAGCGCCGCATGGAGCTCGAGCACCAGCTCGCCGAACGCACCGACGAGGTACGCGTGTGTGTGTGTGTGTCGTGTGTGTCGTGTGTTTCGTGTGTGTCGTGTGTGTCGTGTGCGCTGACATTATAGTTTGGTAGTTGCAAACGCTGGTGGCGCACAACGAGGAAGTGATGGAGGAGCTGGGCGTGCTGCGCGAGGAGCTGGCCGAGGAGGAGAAGAAGAACGAAGAGCTGCGTGACGAGAAGGTGCGGCTGCGCCAGGAGCGGGCCGAGGCCGAAGCCGAGTGGCAGCGCCGCTGGGCCGAGGCCGACGCCCAGCACCAGGCCGAGCGCGCGGAGCTCGAGGCCGCGCTGGCCCAGCACCGGGCCGAGCTCGACGACCTACGCGCGGCGCTGGCCCGCGAGCAGGCCGAGCGCGAGCGCGACGCGGCGGCGCACGAGGCCGACCGCCGCGCGTGGGCCGAGGCCAGCGAGGGCTTCGAGGCCTTCAAGCACGGCATGGAGGAGCAGCTGTCGGGCCTGCGCGACGACCTCGAACATGCACAGCGCGCGCACGAAAGCGAGATCGAGCAGAAAACGCGCGCGTTCGAGGACCAGCTCGCGGCGGTCGACCAGAAGAGGCGGAAGAGGAAGCAGCGGGCCAAGGAGGCCGAGGAGGCGCTCGAGGCCCGCGTCAAGCAGCTCGAGGCCGAGCTCGCGGCCAGCAAGGAGGAAAACGAAGAGCTCTCCAAGGACCTCGAAAACATCGAAGAAGAAGAGGGTACGACACTATGCTACTCGCGTTGTGGGATTGGTCGATTTTTTATTGTCGACGTGATGTCTGATTTCTGGTTGGTGGGTTGGTTGGGGTCATCGACTACGTGTGCACATGTGCAGAGCGTCGCCTGAAGGGGACGATCCAGGGTCGCGAGGCGGTCACGGGCGAGGAGGTCGAGGCGGAGATGCTGGCCACCGTCATGATGGGCAGCGCCGAAGAGGGCCGCAAGCGTCTCATCGGCCTCGTCTTCGCCGAAGAAAAGTACGCTCACGCCCACGACGTGTCGTATACACTGTGTGTCGTTGGAGTCGCGAGAGCTCAATGTTGTTGGCGGTGCGCTACGCAGGGGTTTCGTGATGGGCGTGCCTGCGCCGGGCCTGGTGGTGTTCCGCTACCTCCGCACCTGGGGCGAACTCTCCCTGTCCTTCCTCTCCGCCCGGTACCTTCCCTTTCTTCCTCGAATTCCCCACATTCCCACATTTTTGTCATTACTCACGCGGCTCCCACCGCACACCACCACACACGCACACGCACACACGCACACGCACGCACACGCACACACACGACAAACAGGCAAGAGAGTGTGCTCATGCCCTACACGATCTCGGTGATCCGCGCTCTCACCCAGAGCTACTTCCAGGTTCGCTGCCCTAACTGTAATAATAATAATAACAACAGTTGGGCGCATGTCTCACACATCGTTACGCGTGTCTCGTGCCACGACACACGCACACTACTAGGACAACCAAGAGCTGGCGTTCCTGCTGTCCAACGTGTGCGTCATGCTGCACCTCATCCGCAAGGAGCTCCAGGGCATCTCCACCCCCTCTAAGCGCCTCAAGCGGTACCGTGCCGCCCAGCCCTCTAATATATATGTCGACGCTGCCGCCGCCGCCGCTGACGTCACGCTCACCACTTGATTGATTGGTCAGCGCGGAGACGCGACGTTCGCTGCGGCGCGGTCCGGGCGGAGCCTCCTCCCTGCTGGCCATGATGGCCTCCTACAACTCTGAAGAGCAGCGCAACCTGCTCGACATCGGTACGAACGCACCACGCGCGCACAACCGCACACGCACACAACCGCACACGCACAACCTGACTCTGCTCGCGCTGCGCGCAGGACGGATCGACCTGGCGGGCAACAATCTGAGCATGCTCATGCAGCGCGAGGAGGAGAACGACGCCCAACTCAGCGCCAGCGGCGGCAGCGGCGACCCCACCAACGGTACGTACCTCTGATGTCGCATGCGTGCCGTGGTGTGTGCGGTGGTGGATGTGTGCGTTCGTTTCCGTGTTTTGCTGAACGTATGCCATCTTCATTGCTCGCCCCCGCGGTCTATGTAGGATCCGCGCCGGCCATCGTCTCGCCTGTGCTCTGGTTCGAGAAGCAGATGAAGGACCTCCTCAAGTACGCCCCCCTCCAGCACGCACCGCACACGCACGCACCGCACGCCGCACACGCACGCACCGCACGCACCGCACAGGCAATGAAATAATGATTGTTTCCCTCTCCCCCCAAATGGCAGGTTGATCTACACGCAGCTGGCGTTCAACATCCGCACGCGTCTGCGCAACGTGGTGGAGAAGGCCATTCTCGACAAGCGCAACCTCTCCTCGGGCTCGTCCGGCATCGGCGGCACCAACAGCCCCGGACCCCACCGCAAGAAGAGTACTGGCTTCCCGTCGTGTCGTGTCGTGTCGTGTCGTGTCGTGTCGTGTCGTGTCGTGTCGTGTCGTGTCGTGTCGTGTCGTGTCGTGTCGTGTCGTGTCGTGTCGTGTCGTGTGTGCGGAGCGATGATGGCTAACAGTTGGGGTGGTCGCAGCCGAGCGCACGGTGGCGCTGGAGACAGTGATCGGCATCATGGACGAATTCCTCACCCTCTTCCAATCCAACTTTGTCCACTTGGAGGCACGTCTCTTCGTGCGGTGCGTGCGGTGCGTGTGTGCGGCGGTGACTAACGTGTGTGCGCACACGCGTGTGGGCGTGTATGTGTCAATGTCAACAGGTGTCGAAGCAGTTCTTCCAGCAGTCGTTCCGATTCATCGACAGCGTGCTGTTCAACGTGCTGCTGCTCCGCAAGGATCTGTGCACGTCGCGCCGCGCCTCCGAGATCCACTCCAACATCAGCCGCCTCGAGGGCTGGCTCGCCGAAACGGCCGGCGACGAGTGGGTGGGACCCCTCAACAACCACCTCCACTACATGCGCCAGGTACGCGCACACGCAGCGCCGCACACGCACACACACGACACGGGACTGACGGTTGATGGTGGCGGCGGCGGTCATGTGTAGGGTTTGGGCCTGCTGCTGATGGACGACGCCAAGCGAAGGCGTGTGTGCGGCGACGCCGAATTCCGCCACAAGATGTGTCCCGACCTCAACGTCTTCCAAATCCGTCAGCTCCTCTCCATGTACGAACCCCACCGCACACGCACGACCGCACACGCACACGTCTCACCGCACACACGCACATGCCTCACCGCACACGTAGGTACACGCCCGAGCCGGGTCACGAGAAGGTGCCGCTGCAGCTGCTGGGCGAGCTGCTGGCGTCGGGCAAGGACGAGTACCAGGGCAAGGAGGGCGAGAGCGGCGAGCCGCAGGACCTGATCATCGACACCTCCTACCTGCCGCCCCTCCGCATCAAGGACCTCCACTACATCGAACTCAGCGACGTCGCCTCCTTCCCCTTCCCCTCCTCCATCAAGGAGAACCTCCAAGAGGTGCGTGTGCGGTTGTGCGTGTGCGGTTGTGCGTGTGCGGTTATGCGTGTGCGGTTATGCGTGTGCGGTAACTAAACACATCACACACACATACACACACACACGGCACGCAGGCAAACGAGGAGATGAAGCGGGTGAAGCAGGCCGAGTCGCGGGAGGCGGGCATGCCGAACGCGCTAGCCAGCGCCAAGTCGCAGTCGCGGTCCAAGTCGAGCCGCACCCTGCCCCACAACCCGCCCGCGGGCGGCACCAACCGCCTCGAGCAGCAGCGCAGCGAGCGACTCCTCACCGGCGCCGGCAGCCGCGTCTCGCCCAACGGCAGGGAGCGCACCGACTCAGACTCGTCGCCGTCGTCGGGTTCGGCCATCGGCGGCGGTGCCACGCGCGTGTCGCCTCGCGAGGGCAGCGGCGGCGGTGGTGTTGGTATTCTGCCGCCGGCGGCGGACTACGGCGAACAGCGGTCGGCCCAGCAGCTGGCCTGGTGGCGTGGCACCGCGCCGCCGCGCGAACGTAGCGCCAGCGCCGCGCCCAAGCCCAAGCGCAGCGGCGGTGCCGAACCGCCCCCGAGGCGTGGCTAGAGCCCAACACGGTTGGGAAATAGGGCAACAACATTAAAAATATTCATTTTATTCGTGAAATATTTAGAGGAAAGCTTTCATTCTACGCCGGAAGCTCAGAGAGAAGATGAAAGCGGCGGAGAGGATGGTGCGGGTCGTCTCGCGAGAACAGGCCCGGCTCTACATGGTGGGCCATCTCAAGCTCAAGTCGAACGTTTTCTCGAGCGGTTCACCTCCGTGCTCCCCATTTCTCGAGATTTTTGTCAATTGCTCATTATTGATTGATTTGATTGATTCAAAATCACACCAGGCGGCGAAGGTGTGGAAGAGATCTTGAAGGACCTCAGGTGCATCCAGGTGGACAGCTTGGATCCGATGGGCCTCTCGCACGAACTCGTGGTCATGGCTCGAACCGATGGCGTGGACCGAGGTACCTCCTCTTCTTCCCTCTTCTCCACCCCACCTACGATCACTTAGCTGCTGCCATAGGCTTATATTATTTGTTTTATGATAATTGCTGACCAATCGTGGCGCAGGCACAATGTTCCGCCACCTGCCCGACGGCTCCTACTTTGAACACTGGGCCAAGGAGCGGTACGCAGCGATCCCACACCAACACACGCACACGCCTACGACTCACACATCGTACGACCGCACACGCACACGCACACGCACGACACACTCGCACCGCACACGCACGCAGGTGCATTCTTCCGGCGTCGGCGTTTCCGTACTACCACAACAATGCGCAGAAGAAGCACATGACCCACTGGTGGTACCGCCGCGGGCAGGAGGCCCAGCTCGCCAAGCTCTTGGTGGCCAACATCACCGAGTCGAGCTCCGACGACAGCGACGCGGCAGCTGCGGCCACCGCCGACGAGAAGCGGCTGCGGCGGGCCATGAAGAAGGTGGTCAAGGAGGTCAAGGAGAAGGGACCCCAGGTCCGCCCGGGCCTCCTCACCCCCATCAACAATGAGAGGCACGTGACCAATTCCAAGCATTCCACACACCGCACACACCACCGCACACACCACCGCACACACGCACTAAACGAAGAAGGACAATGGCAGGTCGACGACGGGGCTGGCGCTGGAGGTGCTGTGGGGCGAGTGCCGGGTGGTGATCACGCGGGCCAAGGGGCGCGACTCGAAGGTCAAGCTCTACTCGACCCCCGACGCCATCTTCGCGCCCGAGGTGGTGGCCCAACTCGGCCAGCCCCTGGCCGACGACGAGTTCGGTACGCGTGTCCGCCCAACCAATCGGCGAGCAGTACATAGAAAAACAGCCAATCGCCGTGTAGCAGCAACAACAACAGCAATTGAGGTGTGTTGGTTGTGGTTGGGCAGCTTAATGATGGTCGGTTGGTGGTGGTTGCAGCGCGGTGGGCCGTGTTGGACCGAGTGGAGGCGGCGGGGCTCCTGCCACGTACCTCCGGGCCGCACTGGTCGGTCTTCGAGAAGTTCCGCAAGGCGCCCATCATCGACACCCTCCTGGATGCCGGCGACATCGAAGAAGTGCAGAGTACGTTCTTCTTTCTGTTCCCCCTCCCTCCCTCCTCCCTCTTCGTTCTTGTCGTCTCTCACATTCGTTCTTTCTGCTTTCGTTCTTTTTCGCTGTTCGCTTTTCGCTTTTTTGGTCCAGTCGAGGGCTCGCGCACGGTCTACCTGGCGCCCAAGGGCTGGACGGACCGCCAGTTCCCCGACTTTGACGACCGCATGCGCATCATCGCACCCCTCGACCCGCTCGTCTGGCACCGGTACTCCCAACCAACCGCCGAATAAAAATTAACCAACCGACCAATCAATCGGACTGCCAGGCCGCTCGTGCAGCACGTGTTTGGATTCGAGTACGTGTGGGAGGTCTACAAGAAGGAGGCCACACGCACCTGGGGCTGGTACGTCAACTCGCCCCCCCCCCCGCCACCGCTGGTCTCGCTCACCGCAGCGCTGGTGGGCCGGGCTGGGGGCCGGGCAGGTACGTGTGTCCGCTGCTGTACAAGGGGCGCTTCGTGGGCCGGCTCGAGGGCAAGGTGGAGGGCGACGACCTCGTCATTAAGAACGTGTGGAAGGAGGAGCCGCCCAAGAAGAAGCTGAAGAAGAAGACGAAGAACACGAAGACGAAGACGAAGAAGAAGACTATGAAGGTCGATGGTGAAGAGGGGGAGGAGAAAGAGGAAGAGTTCAACGAGGAGGCGTTTCGGGCGATGTTGAAGAGGCACGCCGAGGCGTGTGGGGCGTCGCGGGTGGTGGTCAACGGCCGGAAGATGACCGATGGCGTGCCCCTGGTCTACTCGTCCCTGGGCAGCAGCAGCGGCAGCAAGTCAACGACAGCACAGAAGACGAAGAAGAAGAAGAAAGCTGTGACGCCCACGAAGAGGAAGAGGGCAGGCAAGGCCAAGCTGGATGAGGACGAAGAAGAAGAGGAGGAGGCTTCATTTGATGATGAAGAAGATGAAGAAGATGAAGAAGATGAAGAAGATGGTGAAGTGGAGGTGAAGTGCCAAAAGCGAAGTGGAGGAGAAAGGCGAAGGAGCACCAGGACGAGGACGACTGCCGTGAAGAGAAAGAAGCTGGCGGCGGTGGAAGATGAGGAGGAAGAGGAGGAATCAGGCAGTGATGCAAATGATCCATCCTGGGGCCAATAAGCATGCTGCTTGCAATTTATTATCGTCCTCCACTCCGCCCTCTGGTCGCACACCTTCCACCGAAGCAAAAGACCAGAAATGACGTGTCAATGGAATTTCGCGCGCATTGCTCGTGTAAATCCCAGTCCAGGTTTGTTCCAGGGTTTGGTTATATCTGCCCCGAAACACAGTGACGTCACTGCAACCTGCAACCATCACTTTAAATGAAGTCCAGTTCTTCAATGGAGGGCATACAGACCGAAACGAACAACGACGACGAAACAACATCACAGCCATGCTAGAAAAGCAGGTGAAGGAGAAGGAGAAGGTGGAGGACCTGGTCATGTACTGGCACATCAGTTTCTGGGATCGGCCTCTCGAAGGTGTCGCCATGTACATGGACAGACCCGTCTACTTCAAGCTGCTCGAGGAGGAGGACGATGACGATGACGATGACGAGTATGAACAAGACCAAGTAATGGTTGATGAAAAGAACGACGAGCCGACCTACGCCCTACACGCCCTGACCGACGCCCAGTACTGCGAGCTCGAAGCACAGCACAACGAGTTCGGCCGGTTGGTGGGCCGGCACACGGACCACCGCCCGGGCATCTACGCGCCCTACACGACGCCCAGCTACGACACCGAAGGCACGCCAGGCACGAGTCGGGTCCAGCAGTGGTACGAGAGCGCGGCCAACTGGAAGCTCAGCTTCAGCCCCATCAGGCACTGCCCTCGGGTCGCCACCGTGCCGTGGTCCGCCTTCGCCAACTACCACCAGCCGACCACCACACCGGCGACAAACGCATAAAGAAAGCCCCTACAAACTTGCACTACTGGCGTTTTAATTGCGGGAGAAGGGGAGTACGGGGCGGCCGCGCACGTAGACCTGGGCCAGGTTGCGGTCATCGCCCAGGAAGAGCCACTTCTCCAGCGTGCGCCTGATGGCCGCCTCGTCATCGTCGCCGTTGTCGCTGTCAGCGTCAAACTCATCGATGGGCGAACCGGGACAGAACGGGGCCACCACGAGCGCGTCCAGCTCCTATTGTGCGTGTGCTCTGTGAGTGCACGCGCGTGCGCACGCAGCGTGTGCGGTGTGTGCGGCGTGTGCGGCGTGTGCGGCGTGTGTCGTGTTGTGCATACCTTGCCCACGGCAAAGTTGCCCACCTTGTGGTCGATGCTGAGCACTTGCGCGCCGCCCAGTGTGAGCAGATAAAACGCCTCCGCCACGCTCAACGGCGCAAGCTCCGGCCGCTTGGCGTGCACGATCTGTGTCGTGCCGTGTGCAGTGGTGTGTGTGTGGTGTGTGGTGTGTGTGTGTGTGAGTGTGCGTGGCGAGGGTTTGTGTGCGTGGCGTGTCGTGTGTGTGGTGTGCGTGTGTGTGTGTGTGTGTGTGGTGTGTGGTCACATTGGTTGAGTGCATGGTCGTGCCACCTACGGCCCAAATTTACCCGCACAAGGTACCTTGGAGGCGATGATCGCCAGCCGGAACGCATCGAGCAAGTTGGGGCACGGCCCTGAACACCACCATGCACATGTTAAGCTGCAACCAACCAACGCAATACTAATTATAAATAATTATAAATAATAATAATAATAAGCAATGGGCTGTACCGCCGGAGATGTCGGAGCCGAGGCCGACTTTGATGCCCTTGTTGAGGAGGCGCCGCACGGCGCAGACGCCGCTCAGCACGTAGAAGTTGGAGCTCGGGCAGTGGGCCACGCCGGCCCCGTGGTTCACCAGCAGGTCCTCCTCAGCCTCCGACAGAAGGATCTGTGCGCACACGCGTGTCGTCACTCAACCCGCATCGCCGCACACGCAACACGACCGCACACGCAACACGACCGCGCACGCAACACCGCACACGCACGAGACACCTACGGCGTGTGCGAGGACGGTCTTGTTGGTGAGCAGCCCGGCTTCCTGGTAGACGTGGGTATAGGTCGGCTGGTCCGGGTGCAGCTCGAGCACCTAATATAATGATAGATAGATATATATCAATATTTAGATATCTAATTTCTTGTTGGAATGTCAAACGTGGGCGTCTAATGCATGCAGGTAAGGTACCCAATCGGTGTCGGGCTTGCTCTCGGAGACGTGGGTCTGGATGGGGAGGTCGTGCTTCCGCGCGATCTCGCCCAGTCCCTTCATCAACTCCATCGTGCACGACGGCGCAAACCTGCGCGTGCCGTGCGTTGTGTAATGGGGGATCAGCCACCGCACACGCACACGCACACGCGCAGAAGAGCGGTAGGTACCTGGGGGTGAGGATGGGGGTGATGAGCGGGTCGCCCATGGCCAGCACCTCCTCGCAAAAGTGCGCCGTGTCGCGCAGCGAGTCGGCCGTGGTCTCGACGTAGTGCGCCGGCGAGTTGCGGTCCATGCACACCTTGCCCACGAACGCCCGCTGCCCGTACCTGGCCGCCGTCTCTGCGCGCCAAGTCTAAGCGTCGTGTGTCGTGTCGTGCGTCGTGCGTCGTGTCGTGCGTCGTGTGCGGTAATGCGTGTGTCGTGCGGAGTGTAGCGTGTGTCATGCCGTGTGCGCGCGGCGTACCGGCGAGCAGTTTGGTGGCAGGAGCATGGATGGTTCCGTAGTAGGCCACGGTTGTGGTGCCCAGTTGCAGCCCACGCCGCACCACCGCCGGATACACTGCACGCACGTGCAGCACGCACACGCACACAACGCACACGCACACGCAGTCAGCACGCATGCCACACGGCAACGCAAGACCTGCGCACCTCGTGCGGCATAGTCGACGTCCTTGAAGCGGGTCTCGGCGGGGAAGGTGTAGGTCTCGAGCCACTCGAGCAGCGGCATGTCGAGCCCGTTGCCGGCGTTCACGAACTGCGGCGCGTGGTAGTGCGTGTCCACCATGCCCGGCACCAGGAAACCTCGCCGGGGCAGCTCCACGAACTCGACAGCATCGCTCAGGCCGTATCTGCCCCGTAAAAAGAATATAAATTAAATAAATTACAATATAATGTTTCATAATTGATTTATTTTTTCAATTTATATAAATACAAAAGGGGGGAGGAAATACTTGTGGATGAGGGTGGGGCGGTCTGCTTCGCCGTCTTGCTGGGGCGAGTGGAGGAAGGCGATGCGGCCCGCAGCGTCTACGCCAAGCCAGGCGCGCGGCACTACGCTGAGCTTGTCAAGGGCGAGTGCATGCACCACCGTACCACAAAACACGCGAACCACAGCTGACGCGTCACCCTCTTCCATCTTGTGTTGTTGTAAAACAGTGAGGGTGGGCAACCGCACCACTTTGGTTGAATCAAAAGACCAGAAAAACAAGAAACAGTTGCAACCTCACACCTGGAAGTGAGGGTAGAACGTTTCTGGTGGAACATGAACAGACAATAGTATGTTGTGCTCATGCTGGCTGGCATGTAGCTCATAACAATCAAAGGGCGAAGGGGAGTACGGGGCGGCCACACACGTAGACCTGGGCCAGGTTGCGGTCATCGCCCAGGAAGAGCCACTTCTCCAGCGTGCGCTTGATGGCCGCCTCGTCATCACCGCCGCTGCTGCTCACATCTTCCGCGTCGAACTCGTCGATTGGCGAGCCCTCTGCGAAAGGGGCCACCACCAGCGCGTCCAGCTCCTGCGCGCCGCCGCCGCCGCAGACGTTGTGTCAACTCAGCAGGTCGAGTACCAGGCCCAGCACACAGAGGGGTAGCTGCAGTACCTTGCCGACGAGGAAGTTGCCCACCTTGTCGTCGATGTCGAGCACCCGCGCGCCGCCGAGGGTCAACAGGTAGAAGCCCTCAGCCACGTTCAGCGGCGCGAGCTCGGTGTGCTCGGTGTGCACCATCTGATCATCAACCCTTCAGTCACTATGGTTGCGTGCGTGCGTGCGTGCGTGCGTGCGTGCGTGCGTGCGTGCGTGCGTGCGTGCGTGATCGCGGCAGTCTACAAACCTTGGAAGCAATGATGGCCAAACGGAACGCGTCAAGCATGTTGGGGCAAAAACCTAAACACATCATGGGCACTTCAGCTCACTGCACACGACACATGCGCCACCGCACACGCACAGGGGGGAAAGAGAAAAAAAAAGAAAAGGCGAGGAAACTGTACCGCCAGAGACGTCGGTGCCGAGGCCGACCTTGATGCCCTTGTTGAGGAAGCGTCGCACGGGGCACATCCCGCTCAGCAGCGAAAAATTGGAGTTGGGGCAGTGCGAAATGCCCGCCTGCTGCGCCAACACAAGGTCCTCCTCCGGCTCCGTCAAATGGACCTGCGCGGGTGCGTGTCGTGTCGCGTCGCGTCGCGTCGCGTCGCGTCGTGCCGTGCGTCATGAGTGTCGTGTTGTGTAGAGTAAAGTGAACGACTCGCGGGGGCAGGCAGCGTACGGCGTGGGCGAGGACGGTCTTCTTGGTGAGCAAGCCGGCTTGGTGGTAGGTATGGGTGTAGGTAGGCTGGTCGGGATGAAGCTCTTTCACCTGATCGCCGCCGCCCCCACAAACACTGCCTTTAGGCCCACGCGCGCGGCTGCGTTGTGTGGCGCGAGTGCGATGGTGCGTGGCGCATACCCAGGCGACTTCAGCCTTGCTCTCGGAGACGTGGGTCTGAATGGGGAGGTCGTGCTTCCGCGCGATCTCGCTGAGGCCCGTCATCAACTCCATCGTGCACGTCGGCGTGAACCTGCGCGTGTCGCGTGTGTCGTGTCACGCGGTGTGTGCGTGTGCGTGTGTGCGTGTGTTGTGCGCGGTAGGTACCTGGGGGTGAGGATGGGGGTGATGAGCGGGTCGCCCATGGCCAGCACCTCCTCGCAAAAGTGCGCCGTGTCGCGCAGCGAGTCGGCCGTGGTCTCGACGTAGTGCGCCGGCGAGTTGCGGTCCATGCACACCTTGCCCACGAACGCCCGCTGCCCGTACTTGGCCGCCGCCTCTGCGCGACGTTTGGCCCAGTCAGCATTCATCAGCATCAACGCACGACACACGGCGCACACAATACGATAGGCACGACACGACACACGGCGCACACGACACACAACACAAGACACGAGTTTGTACCGGCGAGGACTTTGTTGGCGGGCGCGTGGATGGTGCCAAAGTAGCTGATGGTTGTGGTGCCCAGTCCGAGCGAGCGACGCACCACCGCCGTGTAAACTGCGTCCATCACACGAGGAGGCATGAATGAGAACACAGCACGCACGCATGCACACATCAAGCTCTCCAGTTTGCAAAAGGCACAAAACACGCACACGCACACATCACCGCACACGCACGTACTCTTCTTGGCATAGTCGGCGTCCTTGAAGCGGGTCTCGGCGGGGAAGGTGTAGGTCTCGAGCCACTCGAGCAGCGGCATGTCGAGTCCGTTGCCGGCGTTCACGAACTGCGGCGCGTGGGCGTGGGTGTCCACCATGCCTGTCGAATAATTATTTGTTGTTTATTTTTATGTTACTGGTGACAATCACATAAATATAAATAAATAAAATACTGCAAATTAATAATTGTAATAAATAAATAATTACGTACCTGGCACGATGAAACCTCGTCGGGGCAACTCTACGAATTCGACGGCCTCGCTAAGCTTGTGCCTGAGATTGATTTTATTTATTTCATTAATCTTAGAAGCTTTCATTATGAATTAAAATTAGAATTTATCAGGGTTGGGGCGTACTTGAGGATGAGGGCCGGACGGTCGAGGCTACCATCCTGCAGGAAGGCGATGCGGCCGGTGGCATCAACGCCGAGCCAGGCACGCGGCACCACGTCGAGCTGATCAAGAGCGAGCGAATGCACCACCGTCCCGTGAAATACGCGCACCACAACTGCCTCGTTCGTCTCCATCAGTGCCGCCTTCATCTCTTTGCTGCGTCGTAGTTTCAATGCAAGCGGTCGCTCCTCTCGGCGAACAACGGCGATAAAGTCGGATATTATTTCTATTTATCTTTCTTTTATTTATTTGTTTTATTTATTTACGTAAGCGAGATGGTGCCTCGTCTGTTTGTGCTTCGGCATGCTGAGTCCGAGTTCAATGCGAGCGAGGGCGCGGTGGACACGAGGGACTGCGACCTCAGCCCCCAGGGCGAGGCGCAGGCGAAGGCGCTCGGGGGGCTCCACTTCCATCTCGCCATCGTGTCGCCTCTTCGCCGAGCACGACGCACCCTCTACGAATCAGGATTTACGATTGGCGATGCTGATGACGCAGCAGCGGGAGAGCTGCCAAAGGACGGGGCAAACCCAAGAGTGAAGATGGACCATCTGGCGAGGGAGGTGCGGCTGGACGTGTGCGACTTCATGGATGGCGAGGAAATATGGCCGCTACGCACAGAGGTTGGAGAGGAAGAAGAGAAGAGGAGCTGGCGCGAGAGCCCAGAGCAAGTGAGAGAACGAGTGCATGCACTTTGGCGAGTTGTGATGGATGAAGCGACTGCTCTTGTGTCCGCGAGTAGTGGAGGGATGCAACAACAAATCTTGATCGTTTCGCACAGCGATTTCCTGTGGCACTTCACCGCCAACGAGTGCGACCTCGTCAACGCGGAGATGGCTGAGATCACTCACCTTCTTGCAGCTCGACTCAAAAACTAATAAATAATAAATAAAATCCAAGTGTACTCAACTTTTCCGTTCTTTTTAATCTCGATCGATGGAGAAGGCGGGGATGGAGTTTGATTCCGAAGATGAAGACAAAGCTCTCAACGAGCGTGAAGCCAGCGGGTACCTGTTGCCAATGCGCCAGAAGATTAATCGCCATTAACACTGCAAATTTAATCTCTCATCAATTCTCGCAGGGGCGTTGGCGCCTGCATGATAGATGAAGACTTTTACGCTCGATTCTCGGTCTTTGGCGGACGCAAGGAGCCCACGTTCGCCCCTTCACCACGCCCGCTCGCCAGTACTACTTCTGCCGCCGCCAGCAGAAGCAAGGATGCTGCACCCTCGCCATCAGCAGCTTCACTCTCTCGCTCTGTCCCTCTCGACGTACACTTGACACCCACCCTATACACCACCGCTGTCTTGTTGTACAATGCGTGGCTCATGTGCTGTGTGTCGTGTGTCGTGTGTGTCGTGTTGTGTGTTGTTCGCTCTTGAATAGCGAACGAAGCGAGCAACCAGCGACAGCTATGCAGAGTCGAGCGTCAAGCCCGCAGCTCCTCAGGTGCGTCGTGGTCTGCCTTCAATGCTGTATCAAGAGCCCTGATTGACCGACTTCTCTTCATCTTCACCTTCACCTTTTACCTTCGTAGCCGCCGGCCAAGAAGCGCCGAGGCACGGAGATCATCGACCTCATCGACATGATCCAATCCAGCATCACGCCCATCCCTTCGTCTTCCGGCGCTGGCGGCGGCGGCGGCGGCGGCGGCTCGACCTCGACTTCACCCACGCCCGCGTCGACGCCGTCCGTCGTCGCGGCCCCGGTGCTACTCAAGAAGTCGGGTCCGGCGGCGCCGACCCTGGCCGCGCCCCCGAGTCCCAACCTCCCTCGCACGTCGTCCCTCACGCAGCAGGAGCACCGCCTCTTCCTCGACCTCGAGCGACGATTCGTGCAACACCAACAGCAACAGGTACGCTGCGTGCGCGCCGTGCGTGTCGTGCGTGTCGCGTGTGTCGTGTCGTGTCGTGTGCAATGAGGGTCAACATCTTGTCTCGCTGTGAATGGGCATGTGCAGGGACCACCGCTGGACGAGGCGAGTCTGAGTAAGTACCTCGAAATGCGGCACAGGGTGTTCCTCGAACAGCAGGAGTACGACAACGCGCAGAGACAAAAGGTACCGGCTGTGGGCGCCAGCCTCCTCACAACGAGGTCCCTGTGGCGATGAAGAAGCTGCTGCTAAGCAACCGTGGCTGTGCACCATCGCAGGCCAGGGAGAACAACGTGTTTCTTAAGTACAATCCGGCGATCAAAGCGCAAGTCGAGGTACACGGGCTCATCCGTATTTGGTCGATTCAGGACAATGACTCATCACGACACGACACGACACGACACGACACGACACGACACGACACGACACGACACGACACGACACGACACGACACGACACGACACGACACGACACGACACGACACGACACGACACGACACGACACACACGACACACACGACACACACGACACACACTATATCCAACGTAGCAATTCCTGGCACAGAAGAGGACGCGGGTGAAGCAGTATCCGCGCTTCTATCAGCCGCACGTACGTCCACTCCTCGGCTTGTGGTTGTGTTTCGAAAAATGGGCGCGTCTAAGCATTCCGCACATGCTCGACAGGACACGGTGGACCTCAACAAAGTGGAGCTCGCCAACGACGACCCGCTCCTCAAACACCATTCGCCGCTCTTTCAAATCGTGCGTCCCTCATCAATTGTGCGGTGCGTGCGGTGTGTGCGTGTGCGATGCTAATGTTCTGTTTCTCAGGGCCGTGTGTTGCGCTTCGATCCCCCGCCTGACTACGAGTCGGAAATCGCGCCCGATCTGCCGGTCTTCCAGCCCCAGACGGCGCCCAAGAAGCGATGGCACAAGCAGACGATGCCGGCGGTGAGCGAAGACCCCTACGTGCGGTGTCTCGCGCGCGAAACCGACCCGGGCATCGAAGTGGTCCTGTCCTCCGGGTGCGTATGCATGACTAGGCTTCAAGCCCTTGGAATGTGGAGTATGCACGCAACGCACGACACGACACGACACTCACGCGTGCCCGGTACAGGAGCGTGTCGGCACTGTTCAACATGTACAGCGAGTCCTGGGAGATCCCAGTCTCCGTCATTCAAGACGACACCACAGGCACGCACCACGCACACACACGACACACACGACACACACGACACACACATGACACACACATGACACGCACGACACACGATGTTGACTTGAATGCGGTAGCAGGCGGTAAGAAGGTGGTGATCATCGACAAGCCGCTGCTCAAGAAGAAGCTGACGCTGCGAGAGAAGAACGAGATCTACTACAAGACCGCCTACGAGCACTTGGGCCTGTGCCTCGCCCCGGAGACCTCCATCTCCCTGCCCCTGCCCGTTCGCGCCCCGCCGGCGGCCAAGGACCAGCCCCAGCAGCCGCAGCCGGTACCCACCAGGCCGTGTTCCCGCACTCACCGCATTGCCAAGCGACCTAATCTGTGTGTGTCGTGTCGTGTCGTGCGTCGTGTGCGCAGCCAAAGCCGCCGCCAGCGCCAGCGCAAGTGGACACGAAAGAAGGCGAGGAAGCGGAGGAAAGCGGAGGCGAGAAAGCGGAGGAGTTGGAGATCGACGAAGAGGAGGGCGGCGGCGAGGATGAGGAGGAGGAGGAGCGCGAGCGGAGGGAGAAGGAGAAGCGCGAGGCCGAACAGCTCGAAGCCGAACGCAAGGCCAAGCTTGATGAGGACCGAAAGAACGAAGAGAGGTGCGACAACCTTCGCACTCTCTCGCGCTCCACCATCTCCGCGTTGCTGACACGCGTGTGCGTGTGCGGTGGTGCGTGTGCGGCGCAGGCAAAGAGAAGAGAGGGAGAAGCGGCGGTGCCAAGCGCTGGGCAAGGCGGGCGAGGAGTGGATGGGGCGCAGCTTCCCGTCGCTCGCCGACGGCAACCTCATCTACCACCTGTGGACCTTTGGCGACCTGCGTCTCCTCATCCGCTGCAAACTCCACGGCTACACCAAGACGCCCGCCGTACCGCACACAACACACCACCATCATCGCGTCGTGTTGCCTCGTCCGTTGATTGTGTGTGTGTCGTGTGTGTCGTGTTGCGTGCGCAGGGCCAAAAGTTTGTAGGGACGAAGGTGAAGCTGGAGTACTTTGGGGATCAGTGGGAGGAGACGACGGCGAGCGAGACCGCGCGGCAGTGGACGCACCACTACATCCGGCCCTACGACCCGATCATCCTCGTCGCTCGCTGGAACGTGTTCTCCTCCCGCCTGCTCTGCACCGAACGACGCGACATCCAGAAGCTCCTCCCGCCCGGCACCACTTTCGTGTACGCGTCCCTCGTGTGCGGTTGTGCGTGTGCGGTCGTGTGTGCGGTGATGTGTGTTCTGATGCGGGCACACAGGCCGGCCATTGCCGCAAAGGCTCTGCTGGTGGTGCTGCAGAAGTTGCGCACGCTCGCGCCCGGACAGTACCTGCTCACCCACAAGGTCGAAGATCGCGCCGTCGTCATCCTCAAGGCCGTCGATCGTACGCCCTCTCTCCCCCTACACATGGCCGCGTGTGCGGTTGTGTTCATCGTGTGTCGTGCGCGTCGTGCGCGTCGTATGTGTCGTGCGTGTCGTGCGTTACAGCATCTACGACGCCCCAAAAGGGAGGATCGGCGGGCTACGACCTCCACACGTCGCACGCTTCGTCGGGCGCCACAGACGAGCGCACGGTGCCCTACGTGCGGCTGATCTGGCCGCGCGAGCTGTCCGACCAGGTCCCGCACACGTTCCCGCCCGCCTCGGCCCCCGGCGGCCCCGGCGGCGGCCAGCAGGCGGCGTACTCGCCCGCGGCGTTGGCCGGGGGCGGCCCCGGCGGCCAGCAGTACCGACAGATCGCCGAGCAGCTCAAGCGGGTCAAGAACGTCAAGTACTGCTTCGACTACGCCAAAAAGGTACCCCACCGCACACGCGTGTGCGGTTTGAATTAAGTTGATTTTATTCGTTTTTTATCCTTTTTTAGAAGAAGTATTCTTTTTATATTTTAGATGTGGCATTCATTTTTTTTTGTTTCTTTGTTTTTCTTTTGTAGGGTTTCTGTCCGCGCGGGCCGGAGTGTCACTTCCCGCACCTGGAGGCGAAGACGGTGCTGGAGATCAGCAAGGAGCAGCGGAAGAAGGCCAACAAGAAGCGCAAGGCCAAGATGCGCCAGGACAGGCGACAGGGCGCCAACAACTCACCCACGTCTTCTCACGGGCGCCACTCGGCCACCGGCGGTGACGAGGGCTCGCGATCCCCAGTGTCGCCCTCCTCCCCAGGCGGCGGCGGCGGCGGCGAAGGCAGCGACGACGGTGGTGGCCACGGATCGTACGATGACTACCGAGACAGCGACGCCTCGGGCGGTGATGACGTCGACCACGGCCTGTCGGCCACCACCGCGACGGAGAAGAGGGTCGACAGTGACCTCCACTACATCGCCACCACGCTTTGATTGGACCTCACCAGATAAAACAACCGCCAACGAGCTTTATTCGTCGACACCACACTAACTTCCCCGCCCCGAAACACTTGCCTCCATCTTCATAACAACGCACGACACGACACGACACACACCACTCCGCCTGCACACAACAAATGGCGGAGCAGACGCAGCGGCAAATGTTCGCGTGCCCGTGCTGCGGGTACTTCACGCTGGAGGACAGCGGCGGCTTCTGCCTCTGCCCGGTGTGCTACTGGGAGGACGACGGGCAGGGCGACCACGACGCCAATGTGGTGCGCGGCGGACCCAACGGCTCGCTCAGCCTCACCGACGCCCGCGCCAACTACGCCGCCTTCGGAGCCTCCATGCCGGACCGAGCGGCCTATGTACGGCCGCCGCGCCACGATGAGATGCCCCCCACTCGCCCCACCGAGTGATTTTTTGTGTTTCATTTTTAAGAAGAATAATTAATAAAAGCAAACACATTTTTTAAATAAAATAATAAAACTGGACAAGGTCAAGATGGTGGTGGCGTGCCCCTGCTGCAAGTACCTGACGCTGCCGGCGCGGGGCGGCTGGGACATCTGCCCGGTGTGCTTCTGGGAGGATGAGGGCGAAGACGACCCCGAGCAGCCCTCGGGCGCCAACCACGGCCTCACCCTGACCGTCGCCCGCGCCAACTTCACCGCCTGCGGTGCCTGCGAGCCACGCTTCGTGGGCAACGTCCGCCCGCCCCGCCCCAACGAACTGCCCATTCCCACCGAGACCGCCCACCCCACTGACTGAGTCCAAACAACTCAAATAAATAATATAATATAAATATTAAAACAAGCAGATAGAATAAATAAACAAATAAAATTACAGACCAGCTAAGCTGGTGGCGATTGAGAGCTGCCAGAGGTCGTTGTAGTTGTGGGCATTGCCCACGAAGTCGCTGTAGCCGCCAAAGACCAGCATGGACTGGTCGGCGGAGGCAAGCTTGAGCATCGCCGAGTGCGCGTAGCGCTTGCCAGGCACCGATTGGCCTTCGACCTTGACCTCCAGCCACGTGCTCGTCGCTTTTGAAGAACTGAATGTCAGACGACACACACAACACGCACGACACACGCGACACAGGCAGACGAGGTGGTACCAAGGTTGAGGAGGTGGAGGTCGTTGACGTAGAACCCGTCGACGTCGTATCCGCCGAAAACGAGCACCGACTGCCCGCCGTGAAGGATGACCGCCGAGGCGCCAATCATAGGATCCGGCGGCGTCCCCTTGGTGGACACCTCCGACCACGTGTTCGTAGGCAGGTGGCACTTGAATACCTGCGCGATACAGAATTGAGCAATGAGCCGCATCAGATACACACACACACGTACGCATGAACACGCGCACGCGCACACGACACACGACTCACACTCAGGAAGTACAGAATTGATGATGCCCTGATAGCCCCACCAGCGCTGGCCGCCGAAGGTGTACAGGTACTCGCCGTCGTCGGTTGCTCTCTACAACCACCGCACACGAGCAATCATGCAACGCGACGACTGTGAGCAATTGGACACGATTCGATGCGCCCGTGTCGATGGGGGGGGGTGGCCGTACGGCAGCGGGATTGGACAGCGGAGGAGGCGTGAAGCGTGAGCCCGAGGGCTTGGCCAGCTGCCACTTATTGGTCGCTGTTCCATAGCCGTCGATGAGTGAAGCGCACGCGCACGCAGAAGTGAAACCAACACGCGGGTACCAATGTCGTATTTCCACAGATCGTTGAGGCGCTTGGCTTCATCGATGCCGCCAAACACGACCATCACGTTGCCCTCCCCCTCCTTTTGTTTCTGTGGCTGTACACCACTGGTCAGCCGCCGCGCAGGAAAAGAGAGCGTGCGTGGACACGGCCACGAACCTGGAGCGCAGCGACGTGGTAGTAGCGCGGCGGTGGCACCTGGCCCTCGGGCTTGATCTCGTTCCACGAATTGGCCGCTGCCCGATGGAGTGGTGAGCCCACACGCACAGGCTTGGCTGGCTTGTGTTGTGAACGAAACACACCGGCCCGAGGGTGAGGTGGCTTACCGATGTCGTACTTCCAGAGGTCGTTGAGGACGGTAGCGGCGTTGATGGGGTCGTCTTGGGTCATACCGCCGAAGACGAGAATGCTGTGGGTCGCCTCGTCGTACACGCACGCATGCCTGGCCATATTTCGCCGGTGGCACGCGTGAATAAAAGAGCGAAAGAGAAGAAAGAGCGAAAGCGAATGCGTACCTGAAACGCTTGGTGGGCAGCAGGCCGGGCAGGTCCGTGTTCTCGGGAGCGAGTTGAGCCCAGCGTGCGCTTGCTGGCCCGGTTGAGACACAACACATGCATATGTGAGCCTCCAGGGCAGGGGGGAACGTGGGGCGGCCAAGGTGGTACCTAGGTCGAAGGCCCAGAGGTCGTTCAACGGAAGAAACTCCCAAACGCCCTCGTTGCCGCCGAACACGTACAACTGAAAGAGAGAAGAAAGAGGGGAAGAGAGGGGGGGGGTTAGAAAGAACGAAAGCGAAGATGGGAGAGGGGGAAGACGAACTCGGTCAGCTGAGGGCACGTAGACCGAGCACTGGTTGCAGCGGGCCGAGGGCAGTGGCGCCTCTCGGCCACCGGCCGTGGTGGTGCTCTCGGTGGGCGCAAGCAGCCGCCACTGACCCGCCACTGAAGAGGCTCGCTGCAATGAGTGCACTCCAAACCAGAGCAGAAGAAGAGGCAAGGTCATGAGTGTACCTTCAGCGGCGGCAGCCAAGTGGACAAGAAGAAGAACCCCAAAGCAAAGGAGCGTCGCCCCTCTTCTTGTGCTGGTCGTCCATTTCATCTTTTAGTTTTTGACCCAAGCAGCACGAGAGTTTGTGTTCATGAAATTTCATAGCGGCGCGATCGTGCAAGGACCGCAAAGATTAGAGAAGGAGGAGTCGCACAGGGGTGACACAAAACAGATAAAAGTGTATTGCTAGAGTACAGTGGTGCAAAAAGAGAAGCAGATCGACGAGCACACAGACAGAGTTTTGCGTTACGCAGAGAGCCGCCAACTCAAGCCCGGGTCGCGCACTGTGCTGGGATGATTAGCAGTTGGTCTTGGCGAAGCCGGACACCGGCGACCTGGTGGAGAAGAGAGAGAGAGAGAAGGGTACGATAAGTGTACTGCCCGCCACCGGTCCAGTGCTCGGTCATGAGTGGGAGGCGCTGTGTACGAGAGAATGGCGTTCTCGGTCTTGGACCCGTAAGCGCCGTCCTCGGTGAGCTTGTTGTTGGGGTTGTTCAGGTTCCACAGCTTCTGGAAGGCCAACACCGACAGCTGACGCACGTCCGTACCACCTAGCCACACAAGTCACGTGAGTGACTGGCTCCCCGAACATGTGCGTCGCACGTGCATAGACCAGGAAGACAAACGCCAAACCCTCGTCCACTTCCACTTCCACGTCCTCATCCACCTTAATGTCCACGTCCACCTTAATGTCCACGGCCAGGGCCTACGAACCGTTGTAGTCGTAGTGCATGGGGTCCCAGTCGCCGAGCTTAGTCCAGCCGTTGTTGGTCATGGCCGTCTTCCACGAGTTGGCGTCCTGAATGTCGACAGCCAGACCACCGTTGTGGTTGCTCTTGCCTGGTGGTGCGCACGCCTTCGTGTAAGTCGCTGGCCGTGCAACACGGCACACACCGCACACACCGCACACACCGCACACACCGCACACACCGCACACACCGCACACACCGCACACACCGCACACGCACGACACACGAGAGAATACCGGGCTGAGCGGCGGCGGTGATGCGGCACTGCTTCCTCAGCATCCAGGTGTAGAGCATGAGCTGCTGGGGCAGAGTCCTGAGCGCGCTGTTGATGGTCATCGTAACTCCTATTCACATTTTAAGTCCGAGGCGCACTAACGCGTCAGTCCTGAACCCAGATATCTGAATGGTCTTTAGGTCCGAGAACCAAGGTCAACGCACCCCTCTGGTTGACGGCACGCTGGAGAGCGGACGCGGCCGAGGTCTGCAGGTAGGGCACGGCGGCCGCGGCGGTGGACAGCGAAACGCGCGACAGCGAGTTCAGGTCCTGCACGTGTTTAGTCGAGGAGAGAGCACGGACCCAATCGTCAGCGAGCGTCGACGAGAAAAGCTTCGAAATGAAAAGTGGCAATTTAATTGGCGATCTGGGGACGAAGAGGAAGAGGGGGGCTTACGGTGAAGAGGCCGCTACGAAGGCAGTTGAGCTGGCGCACGAGCTGCCTGCTGAGGCCGGAGACCACCTCCGTGCCGCAACCCTGCGCATCGATGGCTGCACCACATGCAAGATTATTGTGAATTACTATTATTGTGTTCATCTTGTGCTTTGGGGTAAAAAGAAGAAAGGGGGGAGGGTACCATCACGGACCGTGCGGGCCTCGGCAAGGCAGAGGGCGGCCTTCACTAATTGGTTAGAGAAAACGCTCCGAGTTCAACCGGGAGGGCAGGCAGAGGTACCAAAAGAAGAAGGCCGAGAGCAAAGCGTGACTTCATGCTTGTGCGACTTGTACGCTGTATGAAAGGAACTAAATTTCTGGTGTGCAAGGAGGAAACTGCATGTCTCTCTTTTTTCCCCTTTTATTTACAAGTGGTGCGCATGATCAAGGTGGTAGGCTAACCATCAAGCGCACTTGCCCGTGATGCTGCCGGGCGGGAGCTCGCACTTGGCCTTGCCGGTGGTGCTGGCGCCCTCGCAGTGCCAGTCGTCGGTGCACTGGCCCGGTGCGAGGCACACCTCGCCCTCGACCCGCGACGACCACAGCGCGCGCTCGGGGCCGTGCGGGCACTCGCACGCGCTGGTCCAGCCGCCGACGAAGCCCGGGTTGCACTGACAGGCGAGCCACGGGCTCACCGTGTTGGCCGGCGTCGTCGCGGCGCACTGCGCTTGGTTCCACTCCTGCGCAGTGCAGTGCTCGCGCGCCAGGCAGCCGCCGGGAGGCCGGCACGCGGGGCCGCCGAGGCCCGACGGGTTGGCACGCGGCACGTCCCAGGTGAGCTCGTAGTCGGCCGGGCACACGCAGGAGCCGGTGGTCGAGTCCCATACGAAGGTTGGCTGGCAGCCGCACCGCCCGGTCGCGGCGTCGCACAGCCCGAACGGTGCATGGCACTGGTCATCGCTGGCGCAGGTCCGCGGGCGGCACTCAGTGGCACCATTGACCGACGACGCGATCGCGACGAAGCCATCGTCGCAGGCGCAGGCGTAGTCGGCGGTCTCGGCGGTGGCGTTGGCGTAGGTGGCCGTGCAGTGCGCGTGCGGCGGGCAGTCGGCGCAGGCCGGCAGGCAGGTGTCGCGGCACATGGCGCTGTCGACAGCGACGTGCGGGCAGTGGACGGCGGGGTCGACCAGGGCGTTGGTCGAGTGGAAGCTGCGACACGTGGTCGAGTTGGAGGTGAGGCGGTAGGGGCAGGCGGCCTCGGGCCGCGCGGCCTGGCGCGCGTCCAGAGTCTGCATGAAGGCCACGCACTGGGCCATGGACTGATACTGCTGGAGCCGGCCCGTGCAGCGCGTCATGATGTTGCGGCAGAGCGAGACGACGTCGATCTCGTTGTGCGCCGTGTAGATGGGCATGATGGCGCGGTCGCTCACGACGATGTCGACGGCGATGCGGTCCGAGCACGGCGCAAAGATGAGGCTCTCGAGGTTGCGGATGCCGCCGCTGGCGAACTGGAACTTGGGCGGCGTCGAGCCGTACACGGGGCCGAGCTCGACCGTGGCCGTCTGCCAGAAGGTGACGGTGTTGTTGGCCGGGCCTCCGGACCAGGCGATGGTCGGGCGGTCGAGCGTGGCCGCGAGCTTGCCCTGGAACATGTCGCGCGAGATGTTGAACAGCACGAAGCCGTACTCCTTGGCCACCTGGAGCGGGTCGAACGAGCCAATGCCGCGCAGGACGAAGCGCGCGTCATCGGTGTAGTAGCGGTCGCACACGCGCGAGTAGTGGTCGAGATCGTAGTTGAGCCGCGTCACGTAGGCTTCGGTGGCCGCCAGGCGGGCGGCCTGCAGCGCCTCTGGGCTCATGGTCTTGGGGCACTCGCCTTGCATTGCCGGCTCGAACGTGGCCAGTGCCAAGCTTACCGTCATGAGGGTGACGACCAGGCCTAGGGTGATCGAGGAGGCCATGTGGTGATAGTTGCTTGAATGGTAAGGTGAAGGTTCTGTTGGCGTGTGAACAGAAGAAGCTGAGAGATGAGATTGAAGGGCCGAGCGCCTCAAGCTTTTATACTGGTGGCGTGTTCCATCAAAGTGAGCTGGACCGAGAGAAGCAACCAGCAGATCCAATCCCCATTGTAGTCCACTTCCTGGAAATGTTGCAAGCTTTGGGCGATCTCTCTTCGGTCGAACCTCAAAAATAGCCGCGGCCAATGGCCTCAGAGGGTGGAGCCACCCGTACACCCCACAGCTGTTCACGTTTCTTGGCCACTCGTGCAGCGGTTCAACTGCATCAAAGCAGACTTACGCGACCATCGCGTCAAAAATCGCCATTATTTCCATTTTGTTAGATGAGAGGTGTAACTTGTTGAGATTTATGGAGAAATCAGAGCGATCAAGGATTGATGTACAAGGATGGCACTGCGTAATACGTTGCTCTTGTGAGGTCGCGATCCTGAGATGCGATGTTATATAGCTACCCGCTACACGCGAGGGCGCTCCCTGATCTTGTTGCCGCTGTCGTCGATGTCGGCAAAGTCGTCCTGCGAGACCGAGCGCATGGTGTAGAAGAAGGTCCAGCCCACGCCCAACGCCAGCAGGCCCGCAGTCAAGAACTTCGCTCCGGGCCGCAGGCGCCACGGCACCGGTGGGCGAGCACCTCCGCCAGCGCCCGGGGGCGGACCGCCACCCTGCTTGCCGCCCTTGCGCATGTGCGGCGGCACGTAGCCCTCGTTCATCGATGACGACGGTGGTCCAGTAGCCGACATTCTCTTCGATGTGATGGTGATGATCAAGATGCCTTTTCCCACTTCTTTTCTTGCCAGCCGCAAGAATTCCTCGAACCAGAAGTGCGCACAAATTGTGCTCGTTTGCAGTTGTCGTCGAGTTGAAAACTCATCGAGACTTGATCTAAATCAGATCACCGATTGGGCAACCGGTGACTTTGCAACAGTAGAACAATTAGGCCAATTGGCGGATGAGAGCGAAATGAACAAGCAGTAATTATCCCCAACGGCTCTATCTCTCTTCCCCGCACGATTACAAATAAATACAACTAAAAACAATAAATGAGCCCGCCTCTGCTTCAAGGCCTTCGCCCGGCGGGAGGATGACGCAGACCTGCCTGCTTCGATGGGGGACCCTCACCGTACGCAGTGCAAAATTGTGTAGGGTCCCTTGTTGTTCTGACACGCAATCGGTGTGTGCGCGTGCGGAGCTCAGAATAACCGCCAAGCGCTGCATAAGCTCTACCGTACGCCCGCTGGTGGGTTGCAACGAACGCGGCAAGAACACAAGCGACAAAACGCAGCCACCGTAAAGAAGCATAGAGAACAGAGAACGTTGTAGCAGCAAAGAGGATAACTTATCGCCACACACCAAAACAGCTCCCACCCGCACAGATTTAGTATTGTATTATAATTATTATTAGCTCTCCATTTTCTTCGGATATTTAGACAACAGGCCAGATCATTTTATTTCAATCCACCAAGAGAGCGACAAGAAGAAGGCAAAGCGAGAAGGGCCAAGAGATGTTCTTGTACCTCGCCCTGTTGGGGGCGGTACTCGTTCTCTCCACCATCTTCATCCTCCGAAAAACTCCTTCTTATTCCTCAACTACGACGTCGACTGCGACAACGACGGAGGATGGTGCCGTGCCGCCGGAGCCGCCCCGAGTGCCCTTCTGGGTGCCCTTCGTGGGCAACGCGTTGGCCTTTGGCCGCGACTCCCAGGGCTACCTGCAGCAGTGCCAGAAGACCTACGGCGACGCGTTCCGGCTGAAGATGATGGGCCAGGACTACGTGTTCGTGCTCGACCCGTTCTCGTTTCCCAACGTCTTTCGCGAGGAGAAGAAGAACCTCTCCTTCATCGCCATCGTCAGGGAGTTCGCGTGCAAGTGCTTTGGCGCCTCCTGGGACGAGTTCGAGAAGCAGAACCACGAGACCGTACACAAGTGCGAAACCCCTCCCTCCTCCCTCCGTCGCTTTCGTTCTTTGCGTCTTTTTCGCTTTTCGTTCTTTCCCCAGGACTCTTCGTTCTTTAGAATCTCGCTCTCCTGGAGAGCTTCGTTCTTTTGGGTCCTATGTGCTCACCATCGTTTTCGTTCTTTCTTTATCTGCACAGGCAATTCATCACCTATCTACAGGGCGTTGAGCTGCCGGCCCTCACCGCTCGCATGCGCGAACATCTCGAGCGCGCGGTCAAGGAGAAGACCCAGCCGCAGCTGCTTCGGGCCGACACCAGCACCGAGTGGCAGGACGGCCACATGTGGCGGTTCGTCATGGAGGTCCTCTACGTTGCGGGTACACGCTCCCCTCACCACACATTTCTTTCCCACATCACAAATTCCTCCAGCTTTTCGCGAGGCGTGCATTCCTTCCCTCCACGCAACCGGTTTCGTTTTTGGTTGGTGTTGCGTGGCATGGCTGCCGGCAGTAGCATAAGAGCTGTGATTGGCTCTTGGCTTGCAACGACCTAAATTTTGAGCCGATCGCTGATCCCCATTTAGATCAGCAAGAGAAACTATTTACCGTATAATGTGCGATTGACCATCAACAGTGTTTGCGCCACCAACAACATCATGGACCAATCGAATCATCAAAGCCCACCGTCGTTTCAACTCACTGGGTTCCTCTTTTTATTCTCTTCACCACACCTTGCACAGGCACGCGGGCATTCTTCGGAGATACGTTCGACGTGGAGCAGAGCTTCAAGGACTTCTTCGCCTTCGATGACAACTTCCCGGCCTTCACCATCGGTGTGCCTGACATCCTTCTGCGCAAGAGCGTCAAGGCGCGTCAGCGCATGAACGATCTGCTCGTCCATCTGTACGCCCTCGCCTAGCCGCGTTTTGATGGATGGTGGCACTCACGACACACACGACACACGACACACATGCGGCGCACATACAGGACGGACCCGACGGCCAGCAAGTTGATGGTGGAGCGCGAGCGCTACTTGGCCGAAGAAACGTCGATTCCGCCCAACGTACACATGCATCCGCTTTGCTCTCAAACTTTGTGATTTGCATCTCGTCGAGTTGATGGCTCACAGTCTCTCCACAACAACAACAACAACAGCAAATCTCCCGGCTTCAGTTCGCCACATTCTGGGCAGCGCACGGCAATACTCTCCCCTGTACTTACCCACCCATCGCATGCGCCTTGTGTGGAGTCAAGCACTGATCTTTTTTTCTCACAAATTCCAAACACGTCAACAGCCGCCTTTTGGTCGTTAGCCTACATTCTCAGCGACAAGCGAGCCAAGCAGGAGATCACTGAGGAGGTCTTTGCCCTCTTCAACAAGAAAGACACTGGACGCGAGGTGCATTCTACGCTCTTGCATTTTATGGCCTCCACAGGCTCAATTCGGCCAGTTCGGCGTTTTGACTGTTCGTGTTCGCTTTCGTTCTTTCTTTATCGCAGACGTTCGCCAAGCTGAAGGACATGGTTAAGCTCGAAAGCGCGATCAACGAGGCACTTCGTCTGTCGTCGGCGTCGATCATCGTCCGCGAGGTGATGAATGACTTCACCCTCAAGATGCAGAACGGCGACCAGTTCCATGTAAAGCACGGCCAAAAGGTCGCCATGTACGTCTATCATCTGCTCTTGAGCCATTTCGTGTGTCGTGCGTCGTGGGTGTCGTGTGTGTTTGTGTGTGCCGTGTTGCGTTGTTTGTTGTGTTCGATCGAGCGCTAACTCCAACGCAGGTACCCATACATTATCCACAACAATCCGGAGGTCTACGACAAGCCGCACGTCTACCAGTTCGACCGCTTCCTGGCCGACGAGTGCCAGGATGACGACGACGACTACGCCCACCTCAAGTTCGTCCCCTCGACCAAGGTGCCCGGCAACATGGAGCGCGTAGAGTCCGCCGACGTGCTGCACCTCAAGCAGCGCGAGCTCCGCCAGCTCCGCGAGTCGCGCCGGCGCGAGCGCGACCTCAGGGAGTCGCGCACGATCCACACCAGCGCGGCCACGACAGCCGCCTCCGCGTCGACAACCGCCGCTGCACCCGCTGTCGACGCCGATCTAAATGTCGATGACACGGTCGACGACCCCCAGGACCTCAGGGAGAGCCGCGAGCAGACCATGCGCGACCTGCGCGCTAGCGGTCGCCTCTTCTCGCTAATTCTCCGCGAGAGCGGCGTAACTCCGATACCGACCGCTGCCGCCGCCGGCGAGGGCGAAACGGAAGTGGTCGGCGCGCCCGGCAAAGAGGAGTCGAGCTCGCCCCCAAAGAAGCCGCAGTTCACGCTCGGCGACAAGCTGCGGCAGAGGGAAAAAGAAGACGGCAACGGCGACAACAACGACGAGCACGAGCAAGAGGAGCGGCTGACGACGCCGACGAGCAAGCGGAGCCTGCGGTTCCCCGGCGCGCCGACGCTGCAGGAGCAGCTGAGCAGCAGCGGCGAGGTCGATCTAGCCAGTCCGCTCTTCCTGCGCCGCGCCCAGCGCATGCAGCGAAGGTACGACGCCGAAGATGAGGGGAACGACAGCGACAGCGGCAGCAGCCCGGCCGCGGCCTCGCCCAAGCGACCCAAGCACACGGCCACTACTGCGACGACCACCAGCCCATCACTGCCGCTGATCCAGGTCGACAATATTGATTTTAGCTCCGAGCCCGTGAGTCTCTCTTCGGCCGGCGAGCAGGCAAAGAGCGAAGAAGAGAAGAGCGAAGTGGAGGAGACCAAGCCGGCCCTGCCTCCCTTCAAGGCGGGCAGCGGGCTGCGTCGCAGCAAGCAGCTGCTGCAGATCGCCGCCAACAACAGGCGCGACCGCAGCGTGTCCCTCGGCGTCGTGCCCCAGCTGTCCGTTGACGTCGCCCCCACCGCCGCCGCCGGCAGCGACCAGTCGGGCCAGCCCGGTGTCGACAACGATAGCAACACCACCGGCGCTGACCTGCCGCCCGGGGCCGTGCGCATCGCCGAGGCGCTGGCCTTCCAGCCCGTTGCCACGTCAGCATCGACCAGCACCGCCGGGCTCGCGTCGCCGCGGATCTCGCGTGAGCAGCACCTCATGTTCAAGAAGCGGGAGCGGACCGGCTCGTTCAACATTCCTGGCGATCCCCGCCTCCAGCAGCGCGCCAAGGAGAAGAAGTTCTACTACAAGGGCCGCGAGCTGCGATACCATCTCATGCCGTTCGGCGGCGGCGCCGGCATGTGCCCCGGCCGCTTCTTCGCACGCAACGAACTCAAGCTCTTCGTCGCTGTCATGATCTACTACTTCGACCTCGAGCTCGTTCCTAACGAACAGTACGCACACACCGCACACACCGCACACACCGCACACATCACACGAACTGATGTGTGCGCGTGTGCCTGGTCTCCAGGGGAGAGATCAAGCTGCCGCCGTTGGACGAGACGCGGCTGGGCATTGGGATCCTCCCGCCCGCCAAGGACCTGCCCTTCCGCTTCCGCCTGCGCGAGGAGCACCTCGCCGACTTCGCCGCCCCGCAGGAGAAGCAGCAGTCCTGAATGGTTTCTGCTCAACCAACAGATTTGATGCCCTTGTGGCGCCTCAAGGGCTGCGTGTTGTAAAACTTTATGTTTGCACGCCAAATGCGAGAAATGTGTACTGTGCGTGCCTTGCAACGTCGTTGGCAACAACACACCACACACCCGTGGGTGACAGATAATTTGTTTGGCCACCAAGCAAGCGCCAATGGGATTCGTGATCCCGATGTTATTGGTGCCTTTTTAGGGTCCAATAAAAGGTGCTTGCGCTTTCGTCATACTGCCTATCTTCTTCTCCCTCTCTTCTTTTTGTGAGTCAAGGAGAGGGCTGAGGATGGCGTCCTCTGCATCCACTTCATGTTTCTCCGCGTGCGTTCTCTTGGCTATTGCCATCTTTTTGGTTCCGAAAGTGGCCAGCCAGAGCTGCGGCGTGCTGCTCGACCAAAGCGGCGGGGAGGCCCAAGGCGTGGCCGGCCTCAACGCGAGCGTGGTGGCCTTCAAGATTCAGCTCAAGACCAGCTACATCACCCTCGACAACATCACCATCACCTTTAACCACACCCTCACCGACACCAGTACGTAGCCCCGCACGCAATTTTCTTTTATTTATCTCTTTCATTTAATTTGTGTACTATTCTTTTTATTTATTTATTTTAAGAACACTTTATTATTCGAAAACAGTAATACTAATTTAAAATTTATTTTCAACGCAGATCATCCTACGCAGGTCAGGGTGGTGCAAGACTCGAGTGGCATGCCCAGCGGGAACCAGTCCTACTCGCAGAGCATCAGCTACTCGGGCACCCAAGCCGTCTACCTCATGGAGGGCCTCTACATGAGCAGCACCTTCGCCTACTGGATCGTGATCGGGGCCACCGCCGGACCCGCACTCGACTCGTCGCAGTGGCTCTTCGTGCCGTGGACCGTCGCGCCCGCCGGGTCGGCCCTCACCATCTACAGCAACTACGCACTGTCGCCCAGCTACGCGCCCGTGGCTGCAAGCCTCGTGCCGCCGGTGGTCTTCGCCGGCTGCGCGGCAAGCATGAGCCCGAGCCCGCAAAGATCCAGTGCGCCGGGAGCCACCTTGTCGACGACGCCGACGCCGACGGCGTCCCCCGAGCCGTCTGGACCGCCGGGGCCGTCGCCCACGTCGACGCCGACGCCGACGACCTTGGTGACGCCATCGCTCGCGCCCAGCCCCCGGCCCTCGCTCCCGCCGACGCCATTTCCCACGCCCAGTTCCCTGCCGTCGTCGTCGCCCAGCGGCCTGCCGGCGTTGGTGGGCGTGACCAACATGACGGCCAATTTCGACGACGCGATCGCCACCTTCAACATGTCCGGCGCCGTGCCTCTCGGTAATGCCATGTTGGCTGCTGCGTGTGTCGTGTTGCGTGTTGCGTGTGTGTCGTGTCGGTGGACAAAATGCTGACGACGTGTGGGTCGGCGTTGGGTCTGCGCGCAGGCACCAACTCGACGGCCCCCAAGAATGCCGCCAACGTAGTGTCGACGTTCAGCGGCCTCCAGCTCGGCAACGTCTCTGTGCCCGCCGCTTCGCTTTCTAGTACGCCCGCGTGGGTGTGTGTGCGGCCCTGTGCGGTGACACTGATTGGGACGTGTTCGTAGATTTGGCCCGCACGGTGTTGAACGGGAGCTCGGCCGATGCGACCTACGTCTACTCGGCCTCGATTGGAGACAACAACGCGACGCGCTTCGACCAGTCCTTCACCTTCTACGACCGCGACGCCAACGCCAGATTCGCCGGCGTCTCCTTTGTCATCCCGGCCAACTCGGTCAAGTGGTCCATCAACTTCACCGTCGACGACACCGGCGGCAGCGGCGGCTCGTCGCCGCCCTCGCACGCCACGCAGTGGTCGACGGTGCGCTACAGACTGGCCGGTCTGCTGCTGACGTCATCAGCCAACGGCACGACGTCGGAGCTGTCGACCTCGACCGACCAACCGATCACCAGCCGGGCCGACACGCCCGCCCCGGGGCTCACCACCTACTACGTGCCGCTCTTCAAGAAGACTGAGTCGACCACCGTCGTCGTGGCCGCTGTGGTGCTCTTCGACGTGGCCCTGGTCGACCGCGCTGCGGCTGACATCCGCCACCGCATCGTCGCCGTCGCCGTCAACACGACGACGATAGAGTACGAGGTGGTGTTTGAGTTCCCGCCGTTCAATGAGTCGTTGTTCTACGACCCGAGCCTGGGGCTCGGCGTGCTGCTGGGCGCCGACCGCGACGGCTCGGGCGGCGTGGGCGGCGGCGGCAGCGACAACACGGGACTGATCGTGGGCGTGGCGGTGGCGATCCCTGTGGCGGTGGTTGTGGTGGTGGCGGTGATTGCGGCCGGGCTCTACGTGGCCTGGCGGCGACGGAGCAACACGATCGACAGCGGCCGCGCCATCAACTTCTCAGTGGCTGACCAGGGTGATGATGACTACGAGCTGTGAGCGGTGTTGTGTGCTAGCCATTAGACTATTTATTTTTTACGTAACAAAGGGTGTGGAGAGGGTCCAAGCAAGAGGGCGGTGCCATTGTGAGGATCAATGCGCTCCTTGAGCAGTTCCGCCTGCGCGAGCGTACTGTCAGGTTCCACATGGACCATAAACTCCGCGCAGCCACCGCCGCGGGCGAGGCCGATAAGCTGCAGGTCCTCAAGGATGAACTATGGGACCCTTCGAGCCCTGGGTAGAAGGCGATGAAGGTGCAGACCGCCTTGTGGACTGGGCCACTCCAAGCCATACACAGTGGGGCATGGACAGTACTGGCCATAACAACTAACTTGCAGAACATTCACACCTGCAGCACAGAACTGTCAGTTGTTGCACAGCGCCAGAGCCTGCAGTACATGGAAATCACAGCACAGATTTGACGCTGAGAGCAGTGATGGCCACCCATTCACATGCATCCTTGTTGATCTCAATTGTTGGCCTCCACCCACTGTTGCCCAGGTTTGTGTGGATGATCTTGATGAATTTTCTTACCATCTCTGATGTATCACTCAACATCAGGGGCATTGTAAGCCACATGTGGCCATCTGAGTCACTGGTGATGTAGAGTGGCAGGCTGAATTGAGTGGCTTTGTTGAGCCCATCCAGGCTGATAATGCACTGGCAGCCCGTGTGGCGGTACCGGTGCTTGAGCTGGTCTCGTGGTTCTCGCGTGCGCACACCACCGGAGACAGAAAGACCCTTGGCCATCGGGCTGCCGCCCTTCTCGTTGAAGAAGGTAAGCACGTTTGATGAGGGAATTGAGAGGGACAGGAAGGCCGACGAATGTGTTCTGTGCGTGTCGTGTCGTCGTGAAAAGTGAGTGCGTGCGGCTCACACCGGTGGGGCATAACACGAAGTACCGGCCGGGACTGCCTTGGGGTGGGTTGGTGGAGCCAGGCGAGCCCTTGTGTGGTGAGGAGCTGCTGACCGACGGAGTGAATACGGGCGAAGTGAGAACTGAGGAGGACATCGATCGCCCGTGAAGCGAGAGAGACGACATCAAACTGCCGGAGCTCTTGCTTCTCCCGGACCGCCCGGCCGCCGGACTGCTCTCCTGTGGTGGGTGATTAAGGTTGTTACTGCCGGGGGTGTGTTTATAATTTTCTACCACAAAATTGCACGCACCTTGTCTTTCCTTCGCCAGCGCAGGGGCGACATGACCTTGGCCACCCAGTCCTTGTTTTCCTCCTTTTCTTTTTCCTTCTCCTTCTCCTTCTCCTTCTTCGCCGCTTTGAGCTTGACCTCTCCCTTTCCTTGCGGTCCTTCTCCCGCGCTGTCTTGGGTCCCTCGATCAACTCAATGACCGCGTCGAGGTCGTCCGAGTCCCGCATGCCCTTTACTCCTCGCTCGGGTGTGTTGCTATAGTGGTAGTTCTTTCCCTTGTCCTTTGCGTCGTGCCCATTCGCCATCGTTGTGTCCGCTCCGTTCTCTCCTCTGCTGTGAATGCCGCTGCCACTGCTCTTCAGCTTCCTGCCGCTCTCCTCCTTTGGTTTCTTGTTGTTTCCGTTGTTGTTGTTGGGCGTTGCAAGGTGTCTCTTGGCAATGTCAATCTCCTCCTATATAAAGAAAGGGGAGAAGAATTGTTATATGAGGAGGAGCTTGGCAGAAGAAGAGGCCTATACAGAGGAGAAGAAGAGGAGTACAACAGAGAAGAAGAGGCCAGGACAGAAGAACCATTTTGAAAGTAAAAGATCTATTCAGCAGGATCAGGACACTGTGGGTGGTAGATGTGGTGGAAATCAAACTGCCACTTACAAAAAGAAACTATCAAGGCGCACCTTTGAAGGAAGTTTGGTGATGTTGAGCATCAACAGCGACTTTGAGTGCCACAATGCCTTCCATGGACCCTTCTGGGGTAGTGGCCACACTATTAGTTGAGTATATGATTGCTTCCCACAATTTTTTTTCCATCCCAAGCAGAAAATCAGAGACTTACCAAAGACCACCATTACTTCTTCAGTAATCACAGTTGAGAGGTACTGGCCATCCTGAAATCTCTCTGTCTATATCCTTGCTCTGTACACCAACCTCATGAAAAACAGCCAAATGGTGGCCTTTTTTGTACAGATACTTGATTTTTGTGCTAAGCAAAAAGGGTTTGACCATTTTTCATGAACACTTGGTTCAAAGGAGCATCTCAATTTGTGGTTAAGATTTGGTCATGATGCCTGGGCCATTAAGTACAGACTTCTGTTGAGGAGGATGGCATTGCTCCTGAAAGAGCAAGAATGTAACTTCAATTGAAAGCACAGCTGAAGGTGAATGGTTGACATGTCCTGAGGAATGGAAGAGAGGAGTTGATATGGTTCTGACCTCTCAACTTGTAGCTTGTACTGCCCTAACATCATCTTCCCAGCAGCCCACCTGCAACTTGATGATTTTTGATGGCCTCACAGCTCACCCTCATCCTCCTTGATGGTCCTCTCTTCTCTGAAGCAAAATCTACAGACACCTGTAAAATAATACCTCCTCTTTCCTCCTGTGCACACGTCCTTGAAAGTTGAAGCTTTGTGTTTCATGTTCACCACTTTTTTATTTTGAAAAGTGTCACTGTCACTTCTTAACGAGCACTGTGTTGTGTACTCTTTAAACTTTGTCATTTTCTCTAGCAATACAACACATTGTATCTTCTACTGCAATCCTATCTCCTGCTAACAGCTCACCGGTCTCCAGGTCGCATCTGACCTGGCCTCGCTCCTTGCTACCCAGTTCCTTTCCACGTCCAACTAGTAGTGATCGTCGCCCTCTTCATTACAAGTCAAAACAGAATGGTACTTCACATCAATCGGTTGGAAAGGCGCTTTCCAGGGCACGTGCGACGTCCGCGTTGGTGACCGGGCACGGCCAAGCTGAGTTGAGAAAGTCGTTGGCGCGGTGGACGACGATGGCGGCTACCTTATCATCACTGCCTGTCATAGAAAACAGACCCTCCTGCCACCATCAACATCAACACCTGTCAGTCCTCCAACCACCGCACACAACAACCAACAACAACGAACCCCTGGGTTCTCAAAAACCGAGCGCATCTGGACGAGCTTCTCCTCGACGGTGCCGGCGGCGATGAGCCGCACGACGGTGACGGGCCGGATCTGGCCCCCCACTCGGTCTACCAGCAATCGCTCGAGGCCCAGGTTCCAATCGGGGTCGACAATGACCAGCGCGTCGGCGGCAGAGAGGTCCATGCCGATCCCGCCCGCGCGAGCAGAGAGCAGGAATGCAAGGAATCCGGGGCCACCTTTCTGGAAGGCCTCGATGGCCGCCGCCCGCTCGGCGAGTGGGGTGCCCCCGTCGAGGCGCAGAGTCGCGACCCCGCCCCAGGCCAGCCATTCCTCAAGAACGCCGAGCATGCGCCTCATCTGCACGGCGATCACCACCCGGCTCGCGCCCCGGCGACGGAGCCGGTCCAGCAGCCGATCGAGCGCCCACAGCTTGCCCGAGCGCGCCACCGGGTCGGAGTCATCGGAGTGGCTGCGCGCGTGGCTGGACGGGTGGTTGCACGCCATGCGCAGGCGCATGAGAATGTTGAGCCCCTCGCTGGGGTTTCTGGGGGCATTGTTGGCCGTCGCGTGCAGATAGGCTGAGATGAGCCTTCGGTAGAGCGCGCACTGCTCGGCGGACATCCCCACCAGTACCGTGACCTCCCGCAGGGTCCGACCACCAGTTACCTCGCCAGCGACGTCAGGCTCCGCTCTCCTGACACGACGCACATGACACGACACGTGGTAAGCTGGTGGGTGGTCCCCCTCTGGCTTTTAGAGGGTTGGACTTGAGGGGGCAGTACTGTTCTGTGACGTCGGCCGCGGCTCGGCTTTCTTCCATCGCGAAGCTCTCGAAAACAAAAATGAAATGAAAAAAAAAAACGAATTCGGCATTTTTGTTTCTTCTTTTCTTCCGGGCACCAGCACGGAACAGCAATCGCACTCAAGATGAGGGCAATTCTGGCGACCGATACCGGTCTCATCAAAGGTGCACATCATCTCGCTACACCCTGTGGTCATCCATCAAGGAAATCTCTTGCCTCCCCAGGATTACGGAATGAGATTTTACATCCAAGATTTGCCAAGATTTCGGTTTGTTTGCTGATTTTCTTTTCTCGACGGCAGTGGTGGACGTGGTGCGGGAGAAGACGGAGGATGGAAGCGCCGGCGAGGAAAAGGTGGCATTCACCACTCAATGGGGCGCTACCCAGGCAAAATCGGAGGAGATTCACTGCATGCGCGCCTACCATGGCCAGAAGGATCAGGTTACCACTAGCCTCACCTCTCATCTCTCTCCCTCTCTCTCTTCATCTCTCTTCAGCCCTCTGCCCTCACTCCGAACCTGCACGCTTCTTCCTTTTTTCCAACCATCAATCTTTCTTGTGCGTGTGTCGTGCGTGTGCGGTGCGTGTGCGGTGCGTGTGCGTGTGCGGTTGCATTCGCTTGCTCAGGTGCTCGTGGGCCGAGCCGGCGGACGCGTGGAGGCCATCAACGTATCGACCGGCGTCAAGGTAGGATCGGTGGTTGACCCCAAGGCGCCCACCAAGCTGGGCGACAAGTGGGTCGGCGTCGAGACGGCCGCGTGGGCGCCCAACCGCGCCGTCGGCTGGTACACCACCGGCCGCGGCGTCGTCTGCAGCTTCGGCGACGACGAGAACGACGTCGACAGCAAGACCGTGGTCCACAACGGGTCGGTGGTGAAGGAGTTCGCGCTCACCACGGCACCCATCGGGGCCTTCCGGCTGCACCCGACCGCGCCTCAGGCCGGTACGCCTTCATGCCTCTACGCTCTGTCTCAACCAACCGTTCAAGAATCTCAATGCACACACACACACGCACACGCGCGCGCGCGCACACACACACACACACACACGCACACACCACATGGACACAGCTCTTGGTGGCAAGGGTGTGGATCTTCGGTTGGTCGAGGTGGAGAACGGCAAGCAGGTGTGGACGGCCAAGAACGTGCCCAACGATTTCCTGGACATGCCCGTACCTGGTACGTCGCACCACTGCCACCACGATCCTCCCAGTTTCACACACACACACACACACACACACACACACACACACACACACACACACACGACGCACACGACGCACACCGGGCTGACGCCACGTCCACAGTCTGGGTGACCGATCTCGGCTTCCTTCCCGACGACCCGCGACGGATTGCCGTTGTTACGGGCTATCACCAGATCCGTGTCTATGATGTCAAGTAAGTGCCGCTCCCCTCTAAAATGGTGCAATTCGTGTGCGATCAATCCCATTGGGTGGCTGTTGACAAACTCGTGTGTGTGTGTGTTTGTGGTGACGCACACAGGGCTCAGAGGCGTCCGACTATCGACTTCGAGCTCAAGCAGCTGCCACACGCGTTCAGCTGCATCGTGCCCTCGGCGGACCCCAACGTGATCGCCCTGGGCGACACGCACGGCAACGTCGTCGAGATCGACCTCCGCAACAAGAACATCAAGGGCCTCTACCGCGGTACATACTTTTATTCTAAACAATTCAATCTATTGTTTTAATTTGTTATAATAATAATAGAAGGTTATTGATTATTTATTTATCTATCTATTGTTCGCAGGTATTGCGGGTTCGGTGCGCTCGATCGCCTACGGACCCGATGGGAAGACGATCGTGGCGGCTTCGCTGGACCGCTTCCTTCGCGTCTTCTCGACTGCTGGTCCGCTTCGCAAACTGCAGCACAAGGTACACAAACACACACACACACACACACGAGCTTGGAGGCGCTCTTGAGCGGCGCCAATCGACAACACACACACACACACACACACACCCGCACACAACCACCGCAACACGCGGCCGTCGACCTTAAATGTTGGTGCACGCAGGTCTACCTCAAGCAGAGAGTGACGGGCCTCGTGGTGACGGAGCCGCCGGCGCAGCTCGAGGAGGTAAAGGTGGAGAAGGAGGAAAGCGAAGACGACGACGTCAACAACGAAGACGACGAAGAAGGAGAGGCTGACGGCGACATGGACGAGGAAGGGGAAGGCGAAGATGGTGATGACGACGACGACGATGATGAAGAAGACGATGACGATGACGATGACGACGATGACGATGACGACGACGACGATGAAGACGGCGAAGGCATCATGTCCAAGGGAGGCATCATGGAGGACGACAGCGACGACGATTCAGTCGGCAACAAACGCAAGAGGCCGTCGTCCGACTCAGGTAGCCGTGGTCGCGGCGGTGGTCGCGGTGGCAGCCGTGGCGGTGATCGTGGTGGCAGCCGCGGTGGAGGTCGTGGTGGCAGCCGCGGTGGAGGCCGTGGTGGCAGCCGCGGTGGAGGCCGTGGTGGCAGCCGCGGTGGCGGCGGTCGTGGCGGCAGCCGAGGTGGTGGTCGTGGCGGCAGCAGGGGCGGCGAGGCGGTGACGCCAAGCGGCCCCGGCGAGACGATGGCGGCGCCTCGCCCTCGCGCGGTCGTGGCGGCGGCGGCTTCCGGGGCGGTCGTGGCGGTGGAGGCGGAGGTCGTGGCGGTGGAGGCGGTCGAGGTGGCGGCCGAGGCGGCGGTCGAGGTGGCGGTCGCGGTGGTGGCCGGGGCAGGAACTGAACTCGTCTCACCACTACACTGTGGCTGGCCCAACACAAAGCACACGGCCAAGCAAAAGAAAAATAGTTGGATCATTGTTAAAAAATTCTTTGCTGCAATTGGCGGAGATTTAGGCGGGTTTTAGGCTTGCCAGACACTGCCGGCACTTGTAAGTGGCTGCGGTCTGTGGGAGAGGGGTGTTGTCAACCTCAGGCTCATCGATCTCAACAAGACCAAGGGGGGCATGTCCCAGTACGCCGGCAGCAATGATGATGATGTTGGCACCAACGACGCGTCGGCCAACGAAGATGACGAGCCGGATGAATTGCGCCAGCGGCTGCGGCGTAGTCTGCCGCAGCCGCTCGGAGAAGATGAGTGGTCCGAGGAGACGCTGACGGAAGATGAGGGCAGCAGTGCTTCCTCTTCCTCTTCATCGACTGCCAGCAGCACATTCGACGTGACCTCGAGTCAATTTTCATCCCAATCTCGCTCTACATCGTCGCATGATTTACTACGCCGGCTGAGTGCGGATGGACGGCTCGAGCAGACCTCGACAGGCGATGAGGCCGAAGACATCGATCCCCTCCATGCCCATCTCCAGCACAAGCTGGCCAGGAAGACAAATAATGGAGGAAATGCTGCTGGAGGGAATGCTGGGAATCGTCAAGGAATGGAGGCAGCTGCCTCGCCCGACTGGAGCTCGGACGATGCGACGAGCCACGAGCGCCGGCAGGAGCGACGGTCCTATCGCATCTCGACCATGGGCGCCCCGCCTGCCCGCAGCTTCGACGAGCCACGTAGCGGCCGTGAAGATCGTCGACGCGCCGTCCTGGGCGATGAAGCCGCGGGCATCGATCGTAACCACTTCCTCCCTCTCGCGTGTCACGTGCTTGTGTCGCATCGCGTGTGTCGTATGTGTCGTGTGTGTCGTGCGTGGCATGGCTGACGCTCGAGGTGCAGTGCGGCGCGGACTGCGGCGGCTGGAGGTCGCGGGCACGGGCCGGCGGAGCGAGGGTAGTGCGCTGCGGCCCCAACTGGAGCCGCCGAACGCGAGGATGCGCTTCGGCTCGCCCATGGTGAGGGCCCTCTTCAGGACTGCCGAGCAGGAGATTGGACCCCAACGCCGACCCAGCGGTACACCACTTGCACGCACACACGCACACCACACACACAGCGCACGCACGCACGCAAACTGACATGCGTGCGGCATGGCTTTGTACAGTCTATCCGCAGGGAACTGTCGCTGCGATTGTTGTGGCGCCGCGTGCGGGCATCGACGACCAAGACGGCTGTGCGTGTTAACCTTGCGAGACCCCTCGTGTGCGTTCAGGACTAATCTGCGCCCACACACACACACACACACACCACACACCACACACACACACGGCCAACGACAGGGACGAGCATCGATTTGAGCGATATTGAGCAGAGCCAGCTGGAGGAGGAACGGCAGGACCGCAAGAATAAGAAGAAGAAGAAGAAAAGCAAGAAGAAGCGGAAGAAGAGCAACGACAAGAAGAGAGGGAAGGAAAAGGAGAAGGAGACCACGACCGACGAACACGACGATGAAGCTTCGCTGGTGAAGAGGACCAGCACGGGAGCAGCAACGACGACAAAGAAAAAGAAGAAGCCCTCGATCGACGGAAGGAGAAGGAAGTCTTATATCTTCCCCATCGATGAAGCAGCTCATTTGCTGTGCGTATACACACACCACCGCACACGCACCACCGCACACGCACCACCGCACACGCACCACCGCACACGAGTTCACCATTTGGATTTTTTGCTATGCAGGCAAGAGCCGGCGGTTCCGTTGCACGTGTGGTTCTACCAGACGGTCCTCAATTTCTTGTGGCCCCCGCTCAACTACTATCGCCTCCACTTCCTCTACATCTGCTGCTGCTCTGTTTTCGGTGCGCTCGCTGCACACCACGACACATGCATACCACACGAACTCGCAAACTCACCTTTGGGTTTCATTGTTATTATTTCAGGCGGCCTCTTGATCTATCTGTCGCAGGGTCCTGGCAACATGTCCTACACTGATGCCCTCTTTCTCAGCACCTCGGCCGTCACCACTTGCGGGTGCGCAACACACACCACACACACACACACACACGCACACAGTAAGCGCGAGCTTTTGATCACGTGGCACGTGTGTGTCGTTGCGCGTGTGTTTAGGTTGGTCACGACGGACACGGCGAGGGTGAACCGGTTGGGCCAGTTTTGGGTGGTGGTGCTGATGATCGTGGGCAACTTCGTGCTTCTCACCCTCCCGCCCGTCTTCCTCCGCCTCTACTACTTCCGCAAGCACTTCCGCACCACCGGCCTCCGATGCAAACGCCGAGTCGGTACGCGCAGGCTGTGCGTGTGTGTGTGCGTGTGCGGTACGTGCGTGTAGGTCGACTCACGCCTGGAGTTGGCACAGCCGAGTACAGCGCGCTGAAGTGGTTCGCGGCGATCGTGCCGCTCTACTACTTTGCATGGGTGGGCATTTCGAGCTTCATCATCTCCTTCTACTTCTCCGTCAGCTCCAGCGCCCGAGACGTGCTTCGCCAATACGGCAACAATCCCGTCTGGTACCCACGTGTGTCGTGTGCTGTGTGTGTCGTGTGCCGTGCGTGTCATGTGTCGTGCGCGTGCGCGTGAGTGTCGCGTGTGTCGTGCGTGTGATGGTAGTGTTGTGTGCTGATGGTGACGATGATGTTCTCAGGTGGGCCATCTTCCACTCAGTGTCTTCGTTCTCGAATGCGGGCATTTCGACCACCCCCAACAACATGGTGGCTTTCCAGGACTACCCTTTCCCGCTCTTTGTCTCGTCCCTCCTCATCCTTGCCGGTACGCACACGACACGCACGACACGCACCACACACGCACACGACACTCACCCCCACGCATCGCGATGCAGGTTACACGGCCTTCCCGCTGCTGATGCGTTTCATCGTATGGTGCCTCTATCGCCACAACAAACTCATGTACGTCCCCCGATTGTCGTGTGTGTGTGTGTGTGTGTATGTGTGTGTGTGTGTGTCTTTGTCAGCTCACGGTCCTCGCTGTCGCATTTAGTGACTACCGGCCCGTGTTCAAGTACATGCTCGACCACCCGCGTCGCTGCTTCACCCACTTGTTCCCCGCTGCCGAGACCAGGTACGCTCTACCGTGTGTGCGGTGGTGCGTGTGCCGCGTTCGGGGGCTGACTGGAGAAACCTTTCTTTTAGGTGGCTGCTGCTGGTTTTCATCTTCCTCAACTCGGTCGAGTTCTTGTCCGAGATTGTACGTTCCACCATCGGCCGGCTCCTGTTGTGTTGACGCCAACTACACGTGTAGTGATGCATCTCGAGGGGGGGGGCTGACACCGCGCGGATTGGACTGCAGATATTGGACTGGTACAGCGAAGCCTACCACGGGTTCACGCCCGGGCTCAAGCTCGCCAACATGTACTACCAGGTACTTCCTCCACGCACACAGCACATGTCATGACCAACGACACGACCAGCGACACGACACACACGATGCAAGACGCACGGCGCACACACAAGTCTAACAAGCGCTTCTGTTCCCAAAAACAAAGACCATTTCCATCCGGGTGGCGGGATTCAATTCCATCGACGTAAACAAGCTCAACACCGCCCTCCTGTGGCTCTACACCGGTAATTACCGTTCATGTCCTCCATTGCGTCCGTAGTTCTCGCATACGCACACCCATTCGAGCGCGTGTCGTGTTGTGTCGTGTCGTGTCGTGTCGTGTAAGCTGACCACCTGGTGTGTGCGTGTGTGTTCTCAAGGCATGATGTACATCTCCGCCACGCCTGTGGCCATCGCTGTGCGCTACACCGGCGCAGCCCGAGCGCAAGAAATCGGCATTAGTATGTGCTCCTCCGTCTGTCTGTCGTGCGCTGTGCGTCGTGCGGCGTGTGCTGTGTGCTACATCTGTGTGTCGTGCGTGTGCAGCTCTTCATTTGTCCTCCGTGTGCGTTGTGTGTGTGTTGTGTGCTATGTGTGAATGAACAGAGCGTGGTATACCGATGAACAATACGCTGGCGGCGCAGGCGCAGAACATATTCGTAAAGCACACCATCGTCCTGTTCGTGGCGGTGCTCTTCATCATTATGATCGAAGAATTACCGCTCACCTCCGACCCCAACTTCTCCATCTTCAAGATCATCTTCGAGATCGTGTCTGCGTATGGTACGACACGACACGACCAACGACACGACACACGCAACTTACATCGATGGTTTCAGGGCCAGTGGGTCTGTCGCTGGGGTATGGGGACAAGCCGTACTCGTTTTCCGGGGCCTTCCGTGATGGATCCAAGCTCATCATCATCTTCATCATGATCCTCGGCAAGCACCGGTAACCACACGACACACCGACCACACGACGACACACGACACGACACGACACGACACACACACGCACGACATACACGACACACCGACCACACGACAACACACATCGACACACACGACACACTTGATGCACATGACGACACAAGCTTACGCCACTCCGATGTGCAGCGGTCTGCCGGATTCGATCGATTCCGCCATTTCGCTGCCCTCCACGATGCAGCCGCGCGACCTGGAGCGAGGCGACGCGCCACGAACCAGCGCCGAGCGTCGCCGACGTCAGCGCTACGAGAGCGACGATGATGACCATGATCGCAACGACAAGCGTCGCGATGATGACCGCGCCGGGGGTGACAGCAGTGATGATGACGATGACGGCGGGCCGACAAAGCGGGTTAAGCGCGTCGCGTGGGCGCTCTGGGATTCACTGCTCGGGCACGACGACGGCCACCACCGGCCCAACGCCAACGCCAACTCAGACGACGACGACGAGGACCCGGGCCTCAGCGCCGCGCCCACCTACGGACATAAAACGCTGGAGCGACAGGACTTCGGCAAGGCTGCTGCTACTGGTGTATCGGACTTAAAATCGGCCGACAGCGCGTCGACCGAGGAGTGGCGCGACCTGCTGCAGCCGCTGGAGATGACCAAGGACCACCCGATGCACGGGCGGCACCGCCGGAGCTACGACACGCTTCCGCTGCCCGCGCCCACGACAGAGCCTGAGCGTCAGCAGCAGGAACAGCAGACATCGCCGGGTCATCACCATCACGACTTCGACGACAAACACAACTCTGGCATTCACGACAGTTCGCTGGTGGCTGATGACGACGGTGGCGGCCACCATCTCCTCGTCCAGCACTACCACCACCCTCACCACCGCAACCTCTCCCTGCCGGCAGTCTTCCAGCGCCCTATCGCCTGAGAATCGCGTGCGTGTAGACGTGTGCGTGTCGTGTTCCGTGTTTCGTGTTTCGTGTGTGTGCGGTTTTTTGGAGGGGGATGTGGCGCGCGTGTGTCATTTTTGTCTTCTTTTCAACCCATTTTGTTCACCACCGGTTCCTTCGCCCGAGTTCGATGTCTTCCTCGCCAGTGTCGAACTGCGACCCTTCCTCGTCTTCTCCTTCGCTTTCTTCTTCTCCGCTTACTTCTCTCTTTTCGTTTTCCGGGCCTGGTCGTTTTCGTTCTTCGCTTTCTTCGATGTCTTCCTCGACGTGACGCGAGCTTCTCTTCGTTTTCTTTTTGTCCGCTTCGTGGCGGTGACGATGATGACCGCGATGGCTGTGATCGCGATATCGCTGACGTTGCGTGGCGTCGTCACCGTCGCTCTCGCTGAGCACTTCGATCTCGTCGAGGTCCGTTTCTTCGAACAGGAGCTCCTTGGGGACCGTCACAGCCGTATCGATCGAATCCGGCAAATTCCTGTGCGCCGCCAGTCTCAGTGCCCGCACACGCACACGACGCACACGCGCACACGCACACATGCACGCACACGCACACGCATGTCAAGCCATACGAACCTGTGCTTCCCGAGGATCATCATGAACGAGAGCACCAACTTGGAGCCACCGGACAGGACGCCCAGGAAGGACGTGGGATTAGAGCCATAGCCGAGCGAGAGCCCCACAGTGCCTGCCCAGACAGATCCGCGCACGACACGACACGACACGACACGACCAACGACACGACACACATTCAGCTTGTGAGTCGAGCTGCGTGTGCGGTGGTGAGTATGCGTGTGGCGGTACCGTAGGCGGAGACCACCTCGAAGATGATCTTGAACAGGGAGTAGTTGGGGTCGACCGCGAGTGGAACCTCTTCGATCATGCTGATGAAGAGGATGGCGAGGAACACACACACAAAGTGTTTCACGAACACGTTCTGCACCTGCGATCCTACCGTGTTCTTCTTGTGAGGCGCGCGGCTCGCTGAGTGAGTGACGAACACACGTCTGACGTTAGCAACTACGACAGTTTAGAGCGCGCTTGTTGAGTCGCTAATTTGAACCCACCTGCCTCGATGCTGTCATCACGGCTTTGGTTTTTGGCCTGTCCGGTGTAGCGCACGGTGATCGCTACAGGCGATGCAGAGATGTACATCATTCCTGTGGTGCGGGTTCAACAACCCGCAATATTAGCATGATGTGTTGTGCGTGTTCCGTTGGTGGTGCGTGTGCGAGTGCGTGTGCGTGTGCGTGTGCGTGTGCGTGTGCGTGTGCGTGTGCGTGTGCGTGTGCGTGTGCGTGTGCGTGTGCGTGTGCGTGTGCGTGTGCGTGTGCGTGTGCGTGTGCGTGTGCGTGTGCGTGTGCGTGTGCGTGTGCGTGTGCGTGTGCGTGTGCGTGTGCGTGTGCGTGTGCGTGTGCGTGTGCGTGTGCGTGTGCGTGTGCGTGTGCGTGTGCGTGTGCGTGTGCGTGTGATACCGACGTAGAGCCACAGGATGGCCGAAGACAGCTTCGTCAGATCAACTGAGTTGAAGCCCGCTGTGCGAATGGCGATGGCCTGCCAAATGAAAACGTCAATAAACATGAACCAGAGTGTCAGGGTACCGGGGTGCCCACGAGTTCACCTGAAAGTACATATTGACCAATTTGTAGCCTGCGTTGAGCTGGAGATAGGCCGCGTTGTCCCAATCTAGTATCTGCACAGATAAAGCCATATGTTCAATGTGCTTACTTTTTCATAACATGAACCAATAGAGAACAACTCAGTTTGCATTGACATACCAGTTCGAAGAGGAACTCGACCGAGTTGAGGAAGAGCAGCAGTACAAGAAGCCACCTTATGAAGGTGATGATGATTCACCCAGTCATTCACAGGCGAGCTGGGGAATGCTTGCCCTGAAGAGAAGTGGCGGAGCGTACCTTGTCTCCGGAGCGGGGAACAAGTGGGTGTAGCAACGCCGCGGGTGGTCAAGCAAGTACCGGTACACGTGCTTGGAACGCCTGGCATCAATGTGGTGATCAGATGATAGCGATGATAGCCGAGGTTTCTAAAGGGGGTTCTCACGCACTTCAGGAAGGGCACGCGCCAGAGCGTGTAGACGATCAGACGCATCATCAGAGGGAACGCTGTATTGCCTGTGGGTCCGGAGAGAGTGTTTGAGTCCGAACCGTGAGCAAACGCACTCGCACACAAGATTGGGGGGGGGGGTAAAAAGGTGGCGACTCGTACCGACCAAGATGAGGATGGACATGACGATGAGCGGGAGTGGTTGGGTTTGCCACTGGACCATGCTGTCCGCGAACGTCGAGTATCCGCAGTTGCCGAAGGCCGACATGGAGTGATAGAGGCCCCACCTGCAAGCACGTGAACGGTTAAGGTGCCGGTCCGGTAGTTAAGGAGGCGGCCAGGCTTCTTAAGGAAGTAGCAGGAGTACCATGCGGGGTTGTTGCTGTTCTTGTCCATCAGGTCAAGCGCGTCGGGGGCCGAAGCAGCGTAGACGCCCAGCACGATCCACCCCAGGCCGACGAAGAAGCAGTAGTAGGACGGCACGATGATCAACAGCTGCCACAGGGCGAAGTACTCGTCTGATTGTGTTTTTTTAACGGTTGACAGTCGGTTGTCGAGAACGCATTACAGTGGCGAGATAAAGTGTGTACCACTCCTGGAGTGCTGATTGGAGAATTTGTGCCAATAGTAGAGCCGGGTGACGACCGGCGCTAGTGTGATGAGCACACCATTGCCCAGGAGCATGATCCCAGCAAGGATCACCTGCCCGAGGCGACTGAAGACGGCGAAGTTCGTGGGAATCAACCTGTGGGCGGGAAACAAGGAGATTAATAATATCGTTGTTTTTTCTGATCATATCACTTTAAATATACGGTCTATGTATGTAGATATATCAGAACATGTTAATCGTTTACAACACAAATAAACGGAGGAAAGGGTTACCCTGTCTGCGTGCTTGTGGAGACACCATGCACGAGCGCGTCGAGGTAGCTCATCTCCCCGATCAGCCCCAACTGCGAGACGTAGAGCGCCAAACCTCCTGCATGCGACGTGGGGCGTTTGTTTGGTGATGTGGCGGCGATGCGCCAGTAGCGGGCGCGTACCCAAAATGGACAGGAGACAGATGTAGAGGAGGTGCAGCCGGAAGTAGTTGAACGGCGGCCAAAGCAGGCTAAGCACGGTCTCGTAGAAGAACACGGAGAGCGGCACGCTCTCCTGTTCCTCTTGGTCCTTTCTGTGTGGTCCACAGGCAATGTCTCAGCTCAAAAGATAGTAAGGGCGCGGTGGTATTACCGATAGAGCGGGTTTTGTGTGGAGTGCCAGTGCTTGGCTCGTGACGTGGTTCGCTTGGGTTGGGCCGTGCCTCTTCTAGTAGATCGCTTGGCCCGGTCACCATCTGGCCGCCCTCAAACTCAGCAAAAATGGAACGAGAATGAAAGTCTAAGTTGGCACCTTTGGGGCGTGTGCGGGAGGGGCGGCGTTCGTCCTCCGCCGATCGAAACAGGGCGTGCACGACTGTCGATCTCACGTCCCTCCACTTTGGCCCCTTCCTGTCGCCACCATCGTCCGCTTCGCCTTCTGCGCCCTCCTCTTCCACGAAATCAACTCTATGCCCCGTCTTCTCTTTCCTCCTTCCACCGGCCGCGCCCATCTCGAACGAGGCCGGTTCCCCCTCCTCACCTCCCTTCTCACCCTCTGCTGACGTTGATGAGGGCCACGTAGTACCCAAGGAGCTGTCTTCCGCTGTATCCGCCATCTCCTTCTTCCGTCGTCCTACACTGCGTGAATCCAGAATGATTGCACAGAAGACCTGCCCAAGCAAGCCTTTCAAGCTCCGCCCAGTGCCGGGGTGCCATCATGGCGGACTCCTGCACGAAGCTGTGGTCTCAAGTCGCCATTCGAGGCCATGGCCGCCAACAGCCAAATCCAGTTTTCTGTCAATTCGCCCAATCCCTGGATAGGGGAAAACACTTTCCACGTTGTTTTCTACAGCACTAATTTGTGGGAAAAGGTCAGTGTTGTTGGTGATGAAGATGATGTTGGTGAACGTGTGGGGATCTCCTGGACCCTGTAGTGTCTGCAGAAGGTTTTGGCGCTGTGCCAGCTGCTGCACAGGCCCATGTTGTTGAGGCAACTGTAAAACAGGCCAGGGTCCCATTCTCACTGAGCATGGCGTTGGAGAACTTCACTAAGGCAGAGGATTGTTTTAACTTGGATAATGTTATATTGTTGTAGCTGTAAAAAAAAAAGTAACAACAACAAGGAAGTGTTCCCCACTTCCCTTGGGTAACCATAGTTACCCCAGGTAACCACCACTTTGGTGATGATCTAACCTAACCAATGAAATTCAAGATTACACAGAACATGCATAACATATTCAATACAATATATTGATATAACAATATAACCAACCAGGCCGTCACACCGAAGGCATCATGGCGGGAGAACAAAGCTTTCCGGCTGCATGGAGCCCACGATCACCTTGGCCTGGAAGTAGGCCTTGCGCGTGGCCGCGTAGTCCGGGTGGTGGATGCTCGTCGCCTCCATCAGCTCCTTCAACAGCGTCACGTACTGCGGCAGGTGCTGCACCACCACCACAACAAGAAGAAGAAGACGAGGGCGGTTGGAGAGGTGGTGATGGTGGTTGAACAGGCTGAGGAATAGCAGGGTACCATGAGCGGCGAAGTGAAGAGGGTCTTCAACGAGTTCTCCTCGTAGAGCTGGAGGGTGGTCTGGATCTTGCGCTCCATGTGGCCCACGAAGCAGCTGAAGCAGAACGAGGCACTCCTTGATTCCTCAATCTTCTGCCACTGCTGCTGGTTCTCGCTGCAGTAGTCCCAATAGCACTGCAGGAATCCCATCTACGCACGAACACACGACACTCAATGTAACTAGACCGCCGTGTGCGGTGGTGCGTGTGCGGTGGTGCGTGTGCGGAGGTGCGTGTGTGTACCTTGTCGATGAGAAGGTCGCCGATGAGGGACGAGGAGTTGTCCCACGAGGCGCGAAGCTTTTCAGCGAGAGCGGAAGAGAAGTCGGCGTGCTGCTTGAGGTAGGAGTCGAACTGGCCGAACACCTTCTCCAGCGCGGGTCGCATGTGCACTTCGTCGTGGATCGCCAGCATCACCCGCCCAAAGAACCACTACGCACCATCGCATGACACACCGCACACACCGCACAGACCATCGCACGACACGCACGGCGTGAGATTGGTCATTACGGATTCTGCCGGTCTGGATTGGGGGCAGCGCACCTTGACCGTGATAATCAGGTTGAGCTTGTTCATGTAGGCCTTTTCCGTGTTCATCAACTGCTCGATAACGTCGCTCCGCTTCTTCTTGGGTCCGACCTTCGCCACCTGCCCCAACACCAACATTTGTTAATATATTAGATATGTAATGTTAGAGATTGGTTATCCGTGATAGGTTGTTGTTTTTTGATGGCCATCGAATGGGCGAGTACCGCGGCGTGGCTGTTGTTGAGGGAGGCGGCGTTGGTGGTGAGCCGCGCGTTCTTGAGGAACGAGTCCATCTGCCGGCCGGAGGTCACCTTGCGTAGCCGGTCGGCCCGCGGCGTGAGCCCTCCGCTGGTCGTGTTGCCGCCGCTGCCGGTGTCGCCCTCCTCGAGGCTGCCCTTCTGATTGCTCGTCGCCCGGCCGCCGCCCGAGCCGCCAGCCTGCCGCTTCGCAGGCGCGTCGGTGACCCGCCGGCTGATGGCCGGCGACGACGGCGCGCTGATGCTCGACGCTGCCGCGGCCGCGGCCGCAGCGAGACCGTCGGTGAGGTGGCCGCCCTCGATGAAGATGCCCGGCTTCACGTTCTCCACGTCCTTGAAGAAGACGAGGTTGTTGAAGAACCGCTTTTTCCGCCGTTCCTCTTCTTCCTCGCCGCCTTCGCCGGGGCCATCGGCGCCCAGCCCCTCGACGAAGCCGACGGGCGGCGATGACGATAGCGGCAGTGGGAGCGGGTGTGCGGCGGAGGGGAGCATCACCGACGACGAAGATGAAGAAGAAGAGGAGGGTGGTGGCGACGTAGAAGAAGTGGAAGAAGTCGTTGAGGTGGAAGCGAGTGGGGAGTTGCTAGGCGAGCGCGGGCTGGTGGGCGTGGGGCTGTCGGCTCCGCGCTTCTCGGTGTGGGCCAGCCGCGACACCCACGAGCTCGCCTTGTTGAGCTTGGTCGGGGCGCCAAGAGAGGGGCTAGCGGATGAAGAAGATGAAGATGATGGTCCAGACGTAGCAGAAGAAGAAGATGTAGAAAAGCCGGGAGATGAACCCGGCGAGGGGGCGGCCTCGCTACGCCGCTCGCTGGCGACCCGCCGCGAGAGCTTTCGAGCCACGCCTGTCACCTCGGACGAGGCGAAGAGCGAGGAAGTCGATGTCGAGGAGGATGAGGCCGTGGGCGTAGTGGGGGCGGGCTCTTTGGCCGATCGACCCAGCCGGGTGAGCCCGCGCTTCTTCAGCTTGGAGGTCGTGGGCGGGTCGAGCGAAGGGTCCATCTTCTGCTACTTCTTCTTCTTCTTCTTCAGCCCTGGCGATTGGGGAAGGAGACTGGAAGCCTGATCAACAACAACAACCAGGAGATCAGAACCTCTGCGGCTTTGGGGGGGGGCTGTTTTGTTGTTGTCTACTGAAGAGGTGCGTGTAGTACCAATCTATTGGATTGATATAGGTTGATGTGTGTTGGAGCTTGGATGTGTTGCAGGCCAGCTGCAGCTGAACAGAACTGGTAAGGTTCCCTATTTGGCGTGTGGCACACCCTTAATTGTGCATCATACAAGAATGTTGGGGTATTAAGTTGAGCCAAATTGCAAACCTAATGTTTCTCACTTTCCTACACGCCACCAAACAGCAAAGTCTGGTCACTTCCACTACATCACCCGTGTTAACATGCATGTGTCGGGATGGGATGCGTGTCCTCGTTCGTATATACAATACTCATAGGAGTATACATTACATATAACCTTCTTGTTGTGTTTCGTTCGAACTGGGTCCACGCAACCTCCACCTTTCGCTCGTTCGTATTCGTGCCACGTTGATGTTACTCTCTCGTTGTTGTTGTTGTTGTTGTTGTTCGGTTCCCCTTCGTCTTCCTTCTTCGCTTCGGTTCCATCCTCTTGGCTTGGCGAGGTCGTGTTGGTTGGCCGAGAGGATCGATTGTGAAGATTCGCGCAACGCTCTCTCCACTCGCTAGCAGCCGCAGGCGTTGGAGTCCGGGGCACCGCCACGCTCTCCGCCGACCTTGAGGGCGTCGGGGCCAGGTCCCTTGATGGCATCGTTGCTGCCATGAACGATGATGTTTTCGACGAGGAAATTGACAGCTTCGTCGATGTTGATGTTCTCCTTGGCGGAGGTGGCGAACCACGCGAGGAATCCATTCTCCTTGCAGTAATCGTTCATCACCTCCTCGCTAAGCGGCGTCTTGACAAGATCGCACTTGTTGGCCAACAGCACAACGGGGAGAGGATCGCCGTTGGGCAGTCTAACCTTCTGCAAATTCGAAGGGGCAAGAGAGGTGAGCAAGACGAAGATTGCAAGAAGGTAAACGAGATGAGATTTTGCCAAATCGGCGTTGCAACGTACGTTGTCAATGTCCTCCTTCCATCTCTTGACAGCTTCGAACGACGAGTTGCGGGTGAGATCAAACACGACGAAGGCGCCAACAGCCTCTTTGTAGTACACCCTGGTGAGGTTGCCATAACGCTCCTGACCAGCAATATCCCTACATGTTCGTTGAAGATTTCGCGGTAACGGCCGTTAGAGCCAAATATTGAGAAGAGGAGGGGCCAAGGGGACGAGACGCACCACAGCTGGAGGTGGATGGTGGCATTGGAACGCTGGATGGTCTTCAAGGCAAAATCGACGCCAATTGTGGTCTTGTAGGACTCAGAGAACTGGTTCTCGACGCACCTCCGAATGATGGCGGTCTTACCCGTTCCAATGTCGCCCACCTTCAGGAAATAACGCGTTTACACATCTTGTAAGAAGGGAGCCCAAGTGGAGCTGGCCATTTCCAAGACAACGTACCACGAGGATCTTGTAGAGATATTCGGTGGCCGGTCCCTCCGCAGCCTTTCCGCCGTGTCCGTGTGACATGTTTGTTGATTGAGGCGATTTGCTTTGAATAGATTGGCAGAAATGAGAAGAGATGCGAGAAGATGGAGCGCAGACGACGAAGGAAAGGTAAGACTAACGCCCGACTTCGCTGGCGTACAGCACGAGGGAAACACAGAACACACGGCGGCAGCAGCTTCTGTTGGTGTTTCCTTCCCTACCGCTCTCGAAATTTCGGGACAGAGAAAATCCACGGGCACCGTGCCGGGTATTTCTATTATGTAAGGAATGTTAAACGGAAGTTTAACATTCCAAATTCTTTCTGGTTGCCGCGACTTTTCTGATTTGAAATTTCTTCACCAGTGAGAATCAAAGGTTGCGACACTGCTGCTGGCTAAATTCCTCCGGCGAGACAAGGTTCAGTCTTTTCGGTTTCCAAGCCCTTCCAGCATCGCCATCCCGGTTGGAAGTACAGATTCGTGCGGAGGACAGATAGATTCAGGATGGTGTCCCTCAAGCTTCAGAAGCGCCTCGCGGCCAGCGTGATGAAATGTGGCCAGAAGAAGATCTGGCTCGACCCGAATGAGGTCAGCGAGATCTCTATGGCGAACTCTCGTACGTTGTCCTCCCGAGGCATCCATTTGGGTTTAAATCCGCACTCTTGATTCAGATGTTGATTTGCTTTTCTATCCACAGGCCAGGCTGTCCGTAAGCTCGTCAAGGATGGCTACATCATCCGAAAGCCCCCCGTGATGCACTCGCGCGCTCGCGTAAGGAAGAACCTCCTGGCCAAGCGCAAGGGTAGGCACATGGGTGTCGGTAAGAGGAGGGGTACCCGTAACGCCCGTATGCCCGAGAAGGTCATCTGGATCAGGCGCATGCGTGTGCTCAGGAGGCTTCTCCGCAAGTACCGTGAGGCCAAGAAGATCGACAAGCACTTGTACGTTACCCCGCTGTTACGATGATTGATTTTTTACTCGATTCAGAGATTGATTTCCGGACGCTCTTCTATAGGTACCACGAGCTCTACATGAAGGTCAAGGGTAACGTCTTCAAGAACAAGCGTGTGCTCATGGAGTACATCTGGAAGGCCAAGGCTCAGAAGATCAAGGACAAGGCCGAGCAGGAGCAGGGTGAGCTCAGGCGTCAGAAGAACCGTCAGATGAGGGAGCGTCGCGCCAAGCGCCTCGACGAGAGGAGGAAGGTCCTCCTCGGCGAGGACAAGAAGGCCGTCAAGAAGGAGGAGACCGGCAAGAAGGCCGCCGCCCCCGCTGCCGCTGCCGCCCCCAAGGTCAGCAAGAACCAGAAGAAGAAGGAGGCTGCCAAGGCCGCCGCCGCTGCCGCCCCCGCCAAGGCTGCCGCTCCCGCCAAGGCCGCCGCCCCCAAGAAGGAGGAGACCAAGGCCGCCGCCCCCAAGGCTGCTGCTCCCGCCAAGGCCGCCGCCCCCAAGAAGGAGGAGACCAAGGCTGCCGCCCCCAAGGCCGCTGCTGCCAAGCCCGCCGCCAAGGCTGCCGCTCCCAAGAAGGAGGCTGCCAAGCCCGCCGCCGCCAAGCCCGCTGCCAAGGGCGGCAAGAAGGGTGGCAAGTAAGCGTGTTCGACCCCAAACACACGACTCTGTCCGCTTTCACCGCACCGACCTCAACAAAAAATCAAATACTTCAAACCATCTCTAGCTTGTGTGGCGAACCTGGTTTGTTTTGGATGTCGAGATCGATCTTGTGGATAGATTTATTGGTTGGTTGCGCATTGTCTTGCGTGCTTTACAAAGCCGTGAGCTCTTGCTCGGGTGATTGAATTGAAATTCATCATTACAAAAAAACTGTGCGCCCTGGTGTCTTTCTCAAGAATGACGTCATTCTTATCTTCTCTGGCCGCGGGTCCTCTCTAGAACGCTGTCCGGATCATCTGAAGAAGGGCTGTTGATGTGTGCAGAAAGGGATGATAAGCGTTTTGTAGATAAAAACACAAGCTACTGGCTTGGGGTGAGGACAGTACCGGAACCGACGACGACGAAGAGGAAGAAGCCGAGCACGATGGGGCCAACGGGGGGCGAGTTCTCCTTCTTGGGGGGCAACACGGCTCCCCGCTTAGTGATGTTCTCGTGGAACTTCTCGTTCTTCTGCCTCAGAGCACGGGTCGACTGCAGTGTCAAGAGCGATTGTTAGATGAGCGTGTGCATCGGCCCAAAATCTGCAAGCCACGAAGAAATAGCAAGCCGCAATCGCTGGAGATGCACAAGAATCGAAATGATGCTTGGCAGGGGGGGGGGATTGATTGATAGAGTAGCGCAAGCGCTTGGAGAAAGAAGAGCGTAGGGAGAAGAGGAGAAGGCAATAGAGTGGAGAATGAATCGACTACGCACCATTGTGTTGCAGATGGATGGAAAGTTGAGAGGGTTGACTTGCTGCCGTGTGTGTGTTGGTTCTTCGCCACTTGCGCAGTTTCGGTTCCTTCTTGTCTTTCGCGTGACTCTTGAGGTAAGCAGGTCAACGACGGTCAACATATGAAATTTCATCGTAATTTTATGCAAATTGTCGGTTTAAAGCAATTTAAATAAATTCCGGGCCGCTTGGGCAGTCATTGTCACGCGCCCACTGGACCACCTCCAGGTAGCCCTCCTGGGCTGCACGCGCGATCACCTCGTGGTTCCACTGGCAGCCATTGGCCCGTGCCCACTTGAGAACCTCCAGGTGGCCACCACCGGCAGCAGCCACGCACGTCCACTCGTCCCACTCGCATCCCTGGCCACGCAGCCACTCGAGCACCGCCAGCTGACCTCCCCGCGCCGCCGCCTCGCACGTCAGCTCGTCCCACGGCCCGCTCGCGGCGCAGGCCTGCAGCAGGTCCAGCCGGCCCAGCTCCGCCGCCACCTGCGACGCATCGCCCTCCCAGGGGCCTCCATAGTCACGCGCCCACCGGGTCATGTCTTCGTCACCGCGCAAGATGATGCTGGCCCACACGCTGTAGCCCCACGGGTACCCCTGGGCCGTGGCCCATTGCAGAATCTCCAGGTGGCCCGCCCGAGCGGCCGCGGCGCAGGTTTCATCGTCACACAGGCAGCCGTGGCCCAAGGTCCACTGCAGCACCGCCAGATGGCCGCCGCCGGCCGCCGCCGCACACGTGCAGGTGCCCCACGGGCAGTCGCTGGCCCTCGCCCACTGAAGCACCTCGAGGTGGCCCGCGGCGGCCGCGGCCGAAGTGGTCCGGTGGTCCCACGGGCAGCCCTCGGCGCGCAGGTAGCGCAGCGTGTCGAGGTCGCCCAGCGCCGCAGCCGCCGCGCAGGCCGACTCGTCCCATGGACAGCCGTTGGCGCGCGCCCACTTGACCAGGTCGAGCTGGCCCGCCGCGACCAGCTGCCCGGTGAACTCCTGACCAGGCGGGCGGCGGGTCCATGGTGGGGCGACATCCAGCAGGAGGGCTGCAGTCCAGCCCTGGCACGGCGCGGCAGCAGGGCAGGGTGAGAGGGTCCACGTAGCTCAAGACCAGCGCCACCAGCTCCGGCATCAGCCCCTCCATGTTGTGGTCTGTCTCTTCTTCTTTTGCTCTGGCCAAATACATTATTCGAATTTAAGTGAACTTCTCGGTTGATGACGAAGGGGAAGATGGCGGCGACAAGTCGAGCGAGAGACCAGCGAGCGAGAGTGCAAACTGGGCCATCCCCTCGACAAACATGGTGGAGGGCAGCCCGCCCCACTTGGCCTGCCACGCGCCAGGAAGTCAGCCAGAAAGAAGAAGACCCAGGATGACACAAGCGGCACCTTGTCACCAATCTGGCGTGTCTTGAATTCGATGCCCGTGTGCTGCTGGAACTCTTCCAGCGAGCGCGCTCGGCCGAGGCCGTAGAGATCGAGCTCGGACAGACACTGCGCGTGTGTCATGTGCGCACATGGTGTGAGGCCACGACTGTTCAGGCCACACATCAAAAGAAGAGGAAAAGAGTAACGCGAACCTCCGCTTCGACCTGGTCCCGCGGCGTGGCGCCCAGCAGGCACCGCACGCGGCGGAGCGATCGCTCCTTGAGCTTCTCCTTGTCCTCCACCTCCCAGAACGTAGGTCGGTAGGACCTAAACAGGAGGATCGGGTATATTAGCAGTGTGTGTCGTGTCGTGTCGTTGGTCGTGTCGTGTCGTTGGTCGTGTCGTGTCGTGTCGTGTCGTGTCGTGTCGTGTCGTGTCGTGTCGTGTCGTGTCGTGTCGTGTCGTGTCGTGTTGTGTCATGGGTGTCGTGTCGGAGCTTACCGGCTCCACAGGTGGTAGATGACGTGGTGCGGCGGGGAGAAGAAGTCCCAGCCGTGGGTCCACAGACGGGCGGCCATGCTGCTCTCCTCGCCGAAGAAGAGGAACGGAAGATGGGGATCGTAGGGCACCTCCTGAACCATCATTCGCCATCGTCCACTAGCCATCATTCCTCCATCCACCGCACGACACGACACGACACGACCAACGACACGACAC